CTGGCTTATCAGAGACGCAAAGACGCCAGGAGAAAAGCCAGCAACGAACCCACGGCACAGTGGAGGCACTCGAGCCGTCCTTTGATTGGCCGCAGGGCAGAGAGGCGGCAAGCGTGTGGAGAGGTCTCACCACTTATTTTTGGATTTTCTGTTTCCCTGCGTGTTGTGCAGGGAGCATGGGGTTCAGACCCAGGGAGCTCGCGTGGGCTGTATGCAGTAGATGTGCTTAGTATTCGATGAGCTTCTATGCCCTAAGCAGAGGTATCGTAGAAGACGAATCTCTTTGGATTAATTAGCATAGTGTAGTCAGGTCTTTAGTCTTAAGTATCTTATTCTTACTTATACGACAAGCTGAGAAGGACCTCAATGTTGCTGGTAGTTTTCTACTTTGTGCTGAGTGCTCTTGCGGGAGCATGTACTGTTGAGGCTAACACACGAGATTGTACAGAGAATAAGTGCGAAATGGTTGGCGAAACAGAAATCTGTACACAATGCAAGACGGGCGGAAATGTTCCCATTGATGGAGTGTGTAAGGCGGTTGCTGAGGCCGCCAATAAGTGTACGAAGAGCGATGACAATCCGGTAGGCGCAGGAGATACGACTTGTGGAAAATGCGTAAACGCATACTTCATGTACAAAGGCGGATGTTATCTGGCCGGTGCAGCTGGACCGGGTACTGGTACTAAAATGTGCAAGCAGGCTGCTGGTGGCAAGTGTACGCAAGCTGCTGATGCGAAGAACTACTTCATTCCACCAGCAAATACAGACGATACTCATGATTCTGTCGTTTGGTGCGGTGATGAAATAGGCGTAACACTTAGTAGTACTCAGTATAAGGGTGTTGCTAAGTGCCTAGTATGTGATGCTCCCGGTGGGGCTGGTGCTGCAACGTGCACAACCTGTGAAGACGGGTACTTTGGTGCTACTTGTAAAAAATGCCATGAAAGTTGTAGGACATGTGAAGCTGCAGAAGAGAATAAGTGCAAGTCGTGTACAGATGGCTACTTCCTTGGAGCAACCAATGGAGCCGCAGGTAAGTGCCTTAAGTGTAACTCTAAAACAGAGGAAGGCTGGCACGGAGTTGACAACTGTGCTAAGTGCACGTCATCTAATACGCAAAACACCCCTGCGACATGCACTGAATGCGTTGCAAATTTCTATCTAAAACCAGCCGCGGGTGCAACTCCTTCTAGTTGCGTCACAGAAACGGGGTGCGGTGACGGATACTTCCCAACTATTGTTGATGAGATCAAGAAATGTATCGCTTGCGGTACAGCTGCAAATGGTGGCATAGATGACTGCAAAAAGTGTTCTCTCAAAACAACGTCTGCGAAGGCAGGAATAGAGATCGTATGCACTGAATGTAATACTAAATGGCTCAGTCCTCTAGGAGACGCATGTTTGGATAGCTGTCCTCCTGGAACACATGCTGATTCTGGCAATATTTGTCCTTTATGTCATAGCACATGTGCAGAGTGTGATGGCAATGCAGAAGCCACATCGTGCAGAGCATGTTATCCCGGATTTGTGCTGAGTTATGGCAGCGATAAAGTCAGAGGCACATGTATTCAAGAATGTACCGGCAAATACGCAGAAAATTGTGAAGAAAATATGTGTACGGCTGTCCTTGGAGGCTCCAAGTATTGTAGCAAGTGTAAGGCCGGATTCGTTCCAATAGATGGTGTCTGTGTATCGACAGCTTCACGAGCAGTAACCGGATGTACGCCAGGAAATGGAGTATGCATTGCATGTACAGACTCATACTTCTTACAGTCTGGAGGATGCTATCAGTCGACAGTGTTTCCTGGTAATAAGCTGTGTACACTAGCTAGTAATGGAAAGTGTACAGCATGCTCCAACGGGCAAACAGCAGATGGTCAAGGTTCGTGCCCAGCGTGTAATGCCATCTGTGCAACATGTGCGGCAGGAAATATAGACCAATGCCAAACTTGCTTCCCTGGATACTATAAATCCGGAACTAAGTGCGTAAAATGTAGCATTACTGACAACGGAATAACTGGTGTAGAGAACTGCATAAGCTGTGCCCCTCCAGCTGGTAATAGTGGTCCTGTCACTTGCTATATGAAGACAGATGACACTAACGATGGTGGTAACGACAACAACGGCGGAAGCACGAACAAGAGCGGGCTCTCCACAGGGGCCATCGCGGGGATCTCCGTGGCTGTGATTGTTGTTGTAGGTGGTCTCATAGGCTTCTTGTGTTGGTGGTTCATATGTAGAGGGAAGGCGTAACTTAGGTAGTAAACGCGTTACTTTATGTAACCTATGTAGATGTGCTGCTGGGGCTATCTGAGCGCGGTCCAGAGATCGTGTGGGTAATCATCGCTCCTTCCTGACCAGTCCAGAGACGATGGCTGGTTGTGAATAATATAACGAGAGAATCCTCTCCAGTGATACCTCCAGAGCCTGGTGCATTCCTCAATCATTTCGTGGGCGTGTGCTCAGACCGAATGCGTACATCGGTCCTTTAGGGGTTCAGGCCCTCTTGCAGACTCTCTGATCCGCCGGCGCCTCTCCTTGGTCTGCCGCCTTGGTGGATGAGGCTTGGGTCGCTGTCTTTTTTAGATGCCCCCATCTGTCAGAGGGCTGCCCTCGGGCTCTCTTCTGGCCGCCCCTCGGTGTCCGTCCGGCTGTGGCCCGGGCAGTGCTTCTACAGTCGCGGTCACTTGGGTATCAGCGGGCCAGCTGGTGGGCGAGGCGGGGTTGGTGAGGCTGGAGGGGACTGGTGGGGGCTGAGGTGGGCGGTGTTGTATGCGCCCCTGGGTCCGGTGGGTCATTGCGGTGGTGGGTGATCCCCGCTCTGTTTGCTAAGGTGGTTGTGTCTGATCACCAGCCTGCGTTGCACTCCCGAGACAGAGGCACCGACGATCGTGTCGTGTCCCCCGACTGAGCGCCTCCCTTAGCCCCTGCATGTCTCAGGCAGTACTGCTGCTCTGTCTGGCTGGTGCGTGAAGGGTGAGGCAGGCCATCGCAGCCCCTCCTGTTGCTCTGTGCGGGTCTGCTGGGCCCCCTGGCATGCCCTGTCCAGTGCCTCGACAAGGTTAGTTCACCTCGGGCCAGCAGGGGCATAGATGAGCCGGTGGATGGGATGGGGTTCTCTCGTGCCTCTAGTGTGATGGCCCAGAAGACTGGCACGGTGGGGCACTGGTGACTGCACTGTCCCCGTGGTCAGCTGTGCTGCTCCTGGTGGGTCCTTGTCATGGAGTGCTGTGTATTATCCGTAGGCAGAGGTGACCCCCTTGGTCTCAGGATGCTCTACCATGCAGAGAGGAGCACGCTGGGGTCACCCATACCTCACCTGCTGTGCCCATTCGAGGGGTTCCCGGTGTGATCTATCAGGACCTTGACACCTCTCATGGCTCTGATGACCCCTCGGGGAGAGTCGGGGTGTCCTATACTGAGGGGTGTGCACCCTCCTGCATGAGCTGGGACCCACTGCACTGCCCTTAAGGAGGTCTGCTATGAGAGGCAGTGAATGATCGACAGCCCCTCAGAGTGGGTGGAGGGTGCTCGTGGTCGTCTCTGTGACCGGGCATCACTCTGATGGTCAGTCCTGTGCCTTATGGTGCTCAGAGGCCACCTGTGCTCCATCGCCCGCTGGACAGCCGGCCTCTTGTGTCATCCGAAGGCCTCCTCGCTCCTCTGGTTGCTGCCCTCTCGGGTCATAGGTGGAGGCCAGCGAGTCTTCGGAGTCTGGTGCCTGCCTGGGTGTCATGGGGGGCTGGCAGCTGTCAAGGCTCTGCCACTGCTCACCTGCCTGGAGTGTGCCTCCCTTGGGCCTGCTGTGCTGTGCTGCTCGGGTCCTCTGGCTTCCTATCAGGCCCCTGATTGTGAGAGTGACCCCACCTGGCCCTCTGATGCCCCTGTGGATGAGCATGGCAATGTGTCTGGCTGGGGATCTCTAGTGCCCGTGGCTGTACCTGCCTCTCGGGTGCTCGGGTGGTTGCCTGGTACTCTCGTATGGGGCACAGTCAGCGTGTGTCTGAGCAGACCCTAGTCCTCTCTGGGTCCACACAGTCTGTTCGTGTGTGGATGGTCCTCCTGCGCTCATGTCCGTCTGTGTTCACTGTCATTCAGTCTCAAGAGCAGGCCAGTGCCGTCATCAGGGCTGCTGTCAGAGGGAGTCGTCTGCCACTACCACTGTTCGAGCAGCCCATACAGTCCAGGCTGGTTGCTGTGCACTCTCATGGCAGGGCTGCTTGACTCCCCTTGGTCACTCTCTCTGTCCCGGCGTGCACGGCTCCTTCGGGTGGCTGACAGGGTAGTGGCCTCCGGTGAGTCTGCACTGGGAGGCACCGAGGAGGGAGGACAGCTAGGCTGGCACCACTCTCCGGCTCCTGAGGGTTGTCTGGGTGGAGGCACTCACAGACCACGAGCACACAGAGGGATGAGTCACAGATGGACAGCCCCCAGTCATAACAGCTGCGATCACCCCACTCACCAAGAGGTCAGGGGCGCATACAACACCGCCCACCTCAGCCCCCACCAGTCCCCTCCAGCCTCACCAACCCCGCCTCGCCCACCAGCTGGCCCGCTGATACCCAAGTGACCGCGACTGTAGAAGCACTGCCCGGGCCACAGCCGGACGGACACCGAGGGGCGGCCAGAAGAGAGCCCGAGGGCAGCCCTCTGACAGATGGGGGCATCTAAAAAAGACAGCGACCCAAGCCTCATCCACCAAGGCGGCAGACCAAGGAGAGGCGCCGGCGGATCAGAGAGTCTGCAAGAGGGCCTGAACCCCTAAAGGACCGATGTACGCATTCGGTCTGAGCACACGCCCACGAAATGATTGAGGAATGCACCAGGCTCTGGAGGTATCACTGGAGAGGATTCTCTCGTTATATTATTCACAACCAGCCATCGTCTCTGGACTGGTCAGGAAGGAGCGATGATTACCCACACGATCTCTGGACCGCGCTCAGATAGCCCCAGCAGCACATCTACATAGGTTACATAAAGTAACGCGTTTACTACCTAAGTTACGCCTTCCCTCTACATATGAACCACCAACACAAGAAGCCTATGAGACCACCTACAACAACAATCACAGCCACGGAGATCCCCGCGATGGCCCCTGTGGAGAGCCCGCTCTTGTTCGTGCTTCCGCCGTTGTTGTCGTTACCACCATCGTTAGTGTCATCTGTCTTCATATAGCAAGTGACAGGACCACTATTACCAGCTGGAGGGGCACAGCTTATGCAGTTCTCTACACCAGTTATTCCGTTGTCAGTAATGCTACATTTTACGCACTTAGTTCCGGATTTATAGTATCCAGGGAAGCAAGTTTGGCATTGGTCTATATTTCCTGCCGCACATGTTGCACAGATGGCATTACACGCTGGGCACGAACCTTGACCATCTGCTGTTTGCCCGTTGGAGCATGCTGTACACTTTCCATTACTAGCTAGTGTACACAGCTTATTACCAGGAAACACTGTCGACTGATAGCATCCTCCAGACTGTAAGAAGTATGAGTCTGTACATGCAATGCATACTCCATTTCCTGGCGTACATCCGGTTACTGCTCGTGAAGCTGTCGATACACAGACACCATCTATTGGAACGAATCCGGCCTTACACTTGCTACAATACTTGGAGCCTCCAAGGACAGCCGTACACATATTTTCTTCACAATTTTCTGCGTATTTGCCGGTACATTCTTGAATACATGTGCCTCTGACTTTATCGCTGCCATAACTCAGCACAAATCCGGGATAACATGCTCTGCACGATGTGGCTTCTGCATTGCCATCACACTCTGCACATGTGCTATGACATAAAGGACAAATATTGCCAGAATCAGCATGTGTTCCAGGAGGACAGCTATCCAAACATGCGTCTCCTAGAGGACTGAGCCATTTAGTATTACATTCAGTGCATACGATCTCTATTCCTGCCTTCGCAGACGTTGTTTTGAGAGAACACTTTTTGCAGTCATCTATGCCACCATTTGCAGCTGTACCGCAAGCGATACATTTCTTGATCTCATCAACAATAGTTGGGAAGTATCCGTCACCGCACCCCGTTTCTGTGACGCAACTAGAAGGAGTTGCACCCGCGGCTGGTTTTAGATAGAAATTTGCAACGCATTCAGTGCATGTCGCAGGGGTGTTTTGCGTATTAGATGACGTGCACTTAGCACAGTTGTCAACTCCGTGCCAGCCTTCCTCTGTTTTAGAGTTACACTTAAGGCACTTACCTGCGGCTCCATTGGTTGCTCCAAGGAAGTAGCCATCTGTACACGACTTGCACTTATTCTCTTCTGCAGCTTCACATGTCCTACAACTTTCATGGCATTTTTTACAAGTAGCACCAAAGTACCCGTCTTCACAGGTTGTGCACGTTGCAGCACCAGCCCCACCGGGAGCATCACATACTAGGCACTTAGCAACACCCTTATACTGAGTACTACTAAGTGTTACGCCTATTTCATCACCGCACCAAACGACAGAATCATGAGTATCGTCTGTATTTGCTGGTGGAATGAAGTAGTTCTTCGCATCAGCAGCTTGCGTACACTTGCCACCAGCAGCCTGCTTGCACATTTTAGTACCAGTACCCGGTCCAGCTGCACCGGCCAGATAACATCCGCCTTTGTACATGAAGTATGCGTTTACGCATTTTCCACAAGTCGTATCTCCTGCGCCTACCGGATTGTCATCGCTCTTCGTACACTTATTGGCGGCCTCAGCAACCGCCTTACACACTCCATCAATGGGAACATTTCCGCCCGTCTTGCATTGTGTACAGATTTCTGTTTCGCCAACCATTTCGCACTTATTCTCTGTACAATCTCGTGTGTTAGCCTCAACAGTACATGCTCCCGCAAGAGCACTCAGCACAAAGTAGAAAACTACCAGCAACATTGAGGTCCTTCTCAGCTTGTCGTATAAGTAAGAATAAGATACTTAAGACTAAAGACCTGACTACACTATGCTAATTAATCCAAAGAGATTCGTCTTCTACGATACCTCTGCTTAGGGCATAGAAGCTCATCGAATACTAAGCACATCTACTGCATACAGCCCACGCGAGCTCCCTGGGTCTGAACCCCATGCTCCCTGCACAACACGCAGGGAAACAGAAAATCCAAAAATAAGTGGTGAGACCTCTCCACACGCTTGCCGCCTCTCTGCCCTGCGGCCAATCAAAGGACGGCTCGAGTGCCTCCACTGTGCCGTGGGTTCGTTGCTGGCTTTTCTCCTGGCGTCTTTGCGTCTCTGATAAGCCAGCTCCCTGTGCTTTCCCTGGACGGGTCGGGCCCCTGCGGACCCCCGTGCGCCGATGACCTTCTCTCCGCCTCCGTAGCATTCGCATCCCTTTGGATTATGTCTGCGACCTCTGGTCGTCACAGGGGAGCCTCCCTTAATGAAAGACCCCTACGAGATCCTAAGAGAAGATCGCAGCAACCACTGGGGTTTGTGGAAGGTGTGAACCGGCAAAGATTAGATAATAAGGTGCAGCAGTCTGTTGGATGTACAGTGTGTCATTTCTGGCCTTTTTTAATGAATATTATTAAGATATCCTATCGCATGACGGGATGCCATGTGAAGCTTAGAAGGCGCAGACAAGCAGTCCCGCATCTGGACAAGGAGAATCACTGACCAAGCCGTGCCACCTTCTAAGTTGATTGACCAGGACTCCTGTCATCCCTTCTGGATCATCTTGAGACCATCACTACCACCACTAGTGAAAACACCTGGGTTTGCAGTACCCTGAGCCTATTGGTGTAGGACTTTAGGCCCTCAGAGCTTCCTACATGTGGATACCTATAGTAGAGGGAGCAGAAATCCAGGAGAGTATAATGACTTGCCAGCTACTGGCCGAAATCCTGATCTAGAATCCTTTGTGGCTTTGTGTGAGGCAGAAGGATGGTCAGATCTCCCGTCTGTTGATAAGGGAGTTAGATAGCGTTCGTTTGTGACCTTTGGTCCAAGCTATAACTGGCCATGGGTAGATATGCCGATCGATACAAGTGCCCTATCTCTTGACGCAAGAATTATACCATACGAAAGGTTGCATCATTACGGCATGACATGTCTTTCTGATGCACAATACGAAAGTGGGCCCCCGTTGTGCAGCTGGGAATCCGAACAACCCGACTGAAGGCGCCATATCTCATATTATTTCTAATACAATTCTGCTAGAGGCAGGGACATCGATATTCATAAGCTGATACGAGAAATGGGAGGTTCAGCAGCATACACCTTGAGTCGGGGAGCACCATAGATATACATCTTGGATACAATCTTGTCAAGGATCTTATAGGAGACTGGCCTGGGCCTCAGTGGCAGGGCGGTCTTCATTGAGAAAGCGGATGTTGTGACTGCTGACAACTCGCCCATTTATTCTTGGGAAAGACACCGCTAATGCTCATTACTGCGGGATGGCTGACCCTTACTTACCTATAGGACCACTGATGTACAGTGTAGATTATCTACAGGGTTGATATCGTCATCTATCGCTGGCTCTACATGAGTAGGGTGGACTCTGCGGATTGATCAGTCATCTTAAGAAATCGTGCACCAGCGAGGCTGCATTGCGGCCTGCATTCGATAGGTAAGGGTTCCATTGGGCTGTAATGCACCTTGCAGAGCCCACAAGGTGTGTAGCTACCTCAGCGCAGCCACCGAGATGGTAGCCTTACTTAATTGAGACTCGCAGATCTGAGCACAGTATAGCACCTTTTCGAGTCTTTGGAGTCAAGCGTATCTCAAGCGACGAAGATAAATGGAGACACGGAGATAGTCAATACTAACAATAAGCTGCTCTGATCCCTGCTATCTGAGGAATTAGCAGAATCGTAGAATAACAAGGACCCATTTCATACCCCTGCTCAGGTGGCTGTGTCTTGATGAAAGTACGTGCCACAGTCACTGCCAGCTGTCTGTTGGTAGAATACCACTACACTGGAGGCCATGATCTGGGTTGCTAATTAGACTAAGAAGCAACAATAATTACACAAACAATGAGTGAGAAAGTCAATGCTGATTGTGTATCTCCCACATTGAACATACCCACTGCACAGGGTAAAGTGCTTAACGTCCCAGGGGCCCATTGAAACCAAGTGCTTGTCAGTAACAATATACATACGGGCTCCAAACGGCAGGGAGAACTAGATGGCGGCTGGCGAGGAGATACTGGAGAGCACAACGGATGTCCACATGGTAAACTGGTGGTTCTTTTCCTTAGCAGACAGGACTCTGGCCTGTAATGGTTACCTACATGACGCATGCCTTACAGGACCGATAGAAGCATCTGCATACTAATCTGGAAAGGCTATCAGCAGGTTATACGAGATATGCAAGTGGAGAACAAGAGCGGACCATACCACCCTGACTGATGAGCAATCTAAATTACGTAACGTGTGTACCAGCCCCTTGGTCGAAGGTGAAGGTACACTGTAGAACACCACACAGGCCGGAGGTGTTGTTGGTGAATGTCTGCCACGGGAAGACGCAAGTGAGGTACCTGTGGACAGAGACCACACTGACTGGTACTGATCTGCACAGTATACCCCTACAATCGATCTTAATCTGTATGTGGAGAGAAAGCGAGCCTCCTCGACTCCAGACGAAGCAGACCCCAATAAATACTACGTTGCTACAAACGTATAAAATCAAAAAGAGCGTCCGGTTTGCCCACAGACCCCGTGACGTTTCCATGCTTAGAAGTCAGAGGGGCACTACAAGTGTCACCACTGCAATCTGAGCCGGTAGCTGGCCTCTCTAGCGTCAGGTGTATCTCACTGGTTTGCTGATGGCCTCTACCCTCTCCGTGCGAACCGGCTTTCCAGGAATCACTGTGCATGGATAGCCTTCTATGCATATAAATAGCATCTTCCTTTGCTGAGGCATGCCACCCAGGATCAAACACTATAAGGCAAGCGCGACCAGAAGCAATTTTCCTTACAAGCCCGTCTACCACTAGCAGTGAGCATCCAAACGTGTGCACAGGTCCTTGACAAGTGCACTGCGATTCAGGTCGGTCAGTATACTAGACTCGTGACACTTGGTGCACGGATTTCTGTTTTTAGCTATAGGTATGGAGCCCATGCCTTACCTTGAAAGACGGTGGAACGCTCTGCAGGACCCTTCTGGATATACAGCTATCGCTATAGCTGATGGGGGAGTAGGTGCGAAGACCTTATGCTTAAACAAAAGCACTCTAGTGCAACCAAGGGCTGTCTCTCGTCAATAGCAGACAGCTCAGACAGGTGGTGTCCATTCCATCATCAGACCTTATGCGGCGTGTGTGCATTATTAGAGAAGCTTCTGTAATCTCTGCTCAGTCTGCTGGGCAGGCACAGCCCAAGTGCAACGAAGACGGTGGTGGAGGCAGCCACCGGCGCAGGGCAGTGGGGCGTGTTGCTCGGTGCAGCGCTCTGTAGTTGGAGACTTCGGCCCTCTGAGACGGTCATAGTACAATGTCCACACATGCAATTGCCTTTTCATGCTGCTTACCCCTATAAGCAGTTGCGATGCATCATACATCAGAAGCGGCGCAGAAGGTCCTCAGACTACCGGACCAGTAGACCGAACTGACAAGGGCAGCTGGCCATGCACGCAGAATCTCTGTCCTGGGGGCGGCGGGCGCGACGGCTGCCTCAAGTTTTTTAGCCGGGGTGGGGCTGTCACCTGCTATCTGAGTGATCTTCCCATGCAAGCCACCGCCGCTCTGGGGAAGCAGGTCTCCCTCATCCCTGCATTGGCCAAGATCAAAACCCAAAGTTCGAACTCAAGTGCCAAGCGACTCCGACGGGAGAAGAACTTTTGTTCTGCCCTCTTCCCAAGAACGAGACAGGACAACCACGATCAGGGGACGATCATGATGCGCTCCACAAGGCAGTCCCGAGCCCCCTGGAGACCCAGACACTGGCCTTCCTCGAGACAGAGCAGACTGCGTTCCACCGATTGCACATGGGTGGTGTTCGCATGGCACAGGGAGACACAAGCTGATGGGCACGGCGGCCTCGCTCGACATAACGAGAGCCCCAACAGCAGACGGCCTCTCCCAGGCAAGTGTGCCCCGTCCCGAGGAGCTGCGTCGAGGCCTTCCTCCGGCTGGGACGCGCTGCACTCCTGGACTCGGTCCCTCGGGGCCCTGCGCATGCCCCCATACTGCGTGGTACAGAACCTGCTCACCAGGAGCTGAAGGAGATACTCCACTCACTGCCCATGCCGATGACAGTGACGCGACAGGGTAGTCACAGAGGCGACAGACCTAGCGAAGCGCTATGCTCGACGGTCAACATTGGGTGTAAGAGCACTGAGGGGCAGGAGGCCTCCTTCCTGGCCGGTCTCAAGGAGCTCCCAGAGCAACGGAGAGCTTGAAGCCAGTGATGGCACTAATCACTCGCCCCGCCTGTCCAGACGGACCCACACGTGACCCATGTGAATCCCTCGACAAGAAATAGGACTTGGGGTGCTTGGCTGGCAGAGGCGAACTGAGTCCTGGCTGCCCATAACTGGTCGGAGGAAGAGGAAGTCTTAGAAGGCGCTGGGAGGAATAGCAACAGCTCCTAGGGAGATGAAAATAAAGTCTTCTTTTCTCACCAGAGCTGGATGGAATCCGACTTTCAGATTCTGGATCTTGGGCTTTGCTTGGAGTGGTAGTTCGCGTGAGACTTGCTCGGATAGCAGCTGGCAAACCAGCCTCGGTGAAGCAGAGTAAATGGCCAAAAATTAATTGGCCCCTTCGTGATGCATCTTAAATTTCAGATCAAAGGAGATAGACATGGTAATCGGCCAGTGATGCTGTCGTGGTCACCAAGGGATGACATACTGGCCGTTGCCGCACGGACCCAAGTTACTTTTTATACGAAGGATGGGGCTCTAGTGGACAAGATCCCGACTGAAAACTCCACTATTCTGGACGTGATGTGGTCACCCAATGGAGCATACTTCGCTGTACTATGCTCTGGCTCACAGCTAGTGAGAATATGGTCCTCATCTCAGAAAAGCTTAATCAAGCTGATGCTAGACGTTACAGATCCAACGTGTTTATCATGGAATACGCTAGAGCGACAACTGGTAATTGGTACCGGCCAGGGGCATATTTTTACGTATGACCCGCACACTACCAAGCGTGTCCCCCAAATGACCAAGCATGTTCGCAGGTTGGTTTCCGTTTGTCATACTATTTCTACCCACCGGATCATTTCCTTGTCTGCAGAGAGTCTGATAGTATCTGACAGTGATGGAAACACTCAGGCCACCTTAAAGCAAAAGGCTCTTGGCTGTCTCTTTCTGGGCAAGCTTCTTCCAATAGAAATTCTTATAGATACCAATGAGTGCATAGATGCGGTTGCAGTCCCAGCCTTCTTCCATCCCTCTATCATGAAAAAAAGTCACTCAGACTCGCAGGTATCATATGAACCCGGATACAAACTCATCATTATCTCCACCGTGCCAGAGATGTGGTCTGCAGAGACATTGGATAGCAAGAATTTATTCACTGCGGTAGTCAACGGCATAGATGGCTGTGCGATTCTCAATCTACCAGATGTGGGGGCAGACACGTTAATTGATATGGTGTACTGTCCACGAACTGCCTCTATTCCTCCCTCGATTTTTGTACTATTTTCTAATGCGTTGATACTTCGCGTTTCACTAGACAGATCTAAAGTAGGATTTAATCTATCAACAGATGCACACGTGACAAGGTTTGGAGCCATCATGTGGCAACGAAACGCTATTAAGTTATCCGTTTCAGGATCAACTGGAACGTACAATGGTTACATTGAAGAGATGAACGATCAGGTGGGGCTCCAGGACAATGCAAATGGAATAAACAGCCTCACCGAATATATAATGAAGGGAGTGAGCACGTGCCACGGAATTGGATTTCTTTCCGTCCTAGGTACGGGAGACAAGCTTGTTCTCCCGGTGGAACGAGGCTTCTCGGTAGTTAATCTCCACAATCCTACCCAGGAAACCCCCTACCTCCTTTTCGGCAAAAACCCCACATTTCCGGGCATAACTGGTTATCCTGTTAATATTTCCCATAGTCTTTTTAATAGAGGTCTTTGTGCCGTTGCGTTTTCCAACGGTGTTGTGACTGTAATGCTGACAACTAATGTGGTACTCTGGCAAGTTAGTGTTCCACTGAACCCACCAGACGTATGCTACCTTGATCAATCTGTTAGCGAGGCCTCCGTGTTTGATCACAAAAAAGGTGTGGTCTTCTGTCTCTCATTGGCCAGCCCTAGTGTGGCATCCCTCAGCTTTGTGTTGGCAAATCCCATGGCTCCTCCAAAGGCATACAAGCTCTCGACTCTTATTGACCTGAATGGTGAACCATCTCAATTTGCAGTTTCTGACGGGGCAATTGGCTATTTATCTAATAGCAAAATAAGGTATTCAAAGCTTATTTTAATCGGCTCTGACCCGGCACAACTCAATCCTGAACTATCTTGGCACACGGCAGAACCCACAACCAAGCCAACCAGATTCGACATTATGACACTGGAAACAGGGTCGATTTGCATCGTGTCTCTTGCACAGGAAGGTACGTTGGAGGTGATCGTTGGTTCCTGTCCAAGTCTAATACTTTCTGACGTGGAGAGCCTCAAGTTTCAAGTATGCGCCTGTTGTTCTCCCTTTGTTTACGGCATTACCTTCGGAGGGATGCTGGTTGTGTACTCCATTTACGAAGACGATGGGAAACTAAACTTTGTTAAAGTTGCTGCCCAGCAGCTTCCAGATGAATTCACAGACAATGTTGTTTTAAGAAGAGGCACGGATGCAAACGTAACAATTAAGCTTAGTCCTGGTGGCACAATTTGCGCAATATATCGAACTGGTGCAAAAATTCGGCCGTGTTTTTATCTTCCTGCTGAAGGAATTTTGATAAACGATGCGCGATACTCACGCATTCTATCTGAAGAAGCTTCGAACGATAGTTTTGAATCTGTCTCACTGCTTTTCAAAGAGGAGCCTGAGTGTATTTATGATATTACCTTTGACTCATTGTTGGCAAATACGTTCGTTATAACGACTTGTACAAAGATTGGAAGCGACTGTCTGCCAGCTAATTCCTATGTTTGCGTGCTTCACCATTCGCTACCAGAGCAAGAAGGCTATGGGATATTAGCTGTAAAAGCCTCTGTTGCTACATCTTCCAGTACAACGTTACCAACGATAGTTGCAGGGGGCATGGGATTTGTTTTGGACGGAGCAGAACTTCGCCAGCGCGACTATATTAGTGGGCTTCAAAGCTTTGCAACATGCCTAGCGTTCTACGACAATTCGGCATCATTTGGAGCCCCACGTCCTCTCCTGCTGAAGGGTGATGATATCGAGGACAACACTTCACAAAAAGATGACTTATTTATGTCTTATTATAGCTACCTGGCACCTCTGCAGGATAGCTTGCTTCAATACACTGGTCAGGAGTTCAATTCCGTTCCGTTCAAAATATCTGGTCTTTTCCCTAAGTATCGATCGCTCAAAGCGGCAGGGCTGTTGCAAGAATACGAAAAAGCAGCAGTGGAGTTAGGAACTATCGGCCACACGAAGCTAGCATTTATCCTTGCGTCCGTTTCTGGCAACACAGATGTGATGAAGTACGTAGCTGATTCGGCAGTTCGTATTACAGACTTTAGCACTGCGCTTACTGCTTACAGAGAGCTCTCTTTGTATGGGACAACTGAAGAGCACGTTATGCATAGCCTTGGGACTTATCAGGATACGACGTTCCTAGATTCTAGGGGTGCACAGGGTGTTAATGACCTGCTTCGCAATCTGTCCACAATGAATACAACACACAGCAACGACCCAGCTGCGTTATCCCTTTTTCTATCCAGAATCTGCATCAACGAATATGACAATAACACAGCTATGGCTCTTTCCCTGCTGATGGCATGCCCTGATCTTCCAGCATCTGGAGATAATAGTAGCAACGTGGCATTTGCCATGGGACAGAGCAAGGCAGACGTCTATCTTAGTGCAGCGGAGCGGTTTCTCCTTAAGTCCCGAAAGCCAAACGTGGCCCTCTCCTTCCGTATGGATAGCTTAGATTGGAATACTGCGAGCATGCTAGCAACGAGGATAGGGTCCACAGCTGTCAGAAGCGAGATCTTGATACAGTGGGCGGGAGAATTGGAGAACAGGCTTCAATATCCAGAGTGCCTTGACGTCTGCATGAACTTGCTAAAGGATGACAGCAAGCAAGGACAGGAGTCAGGCGAAGCACGCTTCATGTGGAGCAGCATTCCGCCCAAACTAATTCCCTTTCTGATAGGCCTCATGTCACGCTGTTACGCGCAGTTAGGGAAGCTTTCAGACCTGAAGGAAATGGCTCTTCCTCCTCGCAAAGAAGCGACGAATCGGTTTGTTCCTAGGGTCAAGGACCCTTTGAATATCCTTCAGCGGTCTCGCCTTTGCATGGAATGCGGAAACATTCTATGTCTGCAGAAGCGCTTTGCGGAAGCTGCTCTCTTTTTGGAAGCCTCCTCTAACTTAGCAGAGGCGTGTTACTCAAGGCTCAGAAAGGAGATAGCAGGCCTTCTTAGTGGCGAGCTAAACATCTATGCATACATATATAATTCTACAGACACTAACATGATTCGTGTTGGCGGGAATAGGGGCGGTGGATCTGGTATCCAAGGTACTGGGGGGACCAAGCCTCTCCTTCTCTTTGCTCTCATTCCATCTCTCCTAACAACGATAGCAAACTCTGCGCTTTCACAGACAGCCTCTGGTGATAGCTCAGGTATTGATATCTCCATAGTTAAAGAGATAGATGCGGTGCTTAACGTAGAAGCAACTAAGAAGCTTCTCTCAGAGCTTCTCCCCACTAGCATACAGGACATCGTGCAAGAAAAGGATCTGAAAGAAATAGACCCACCGCTGCTTTTATCTCGAGCAGTCGGCTGCTATATCAAGTCACGGCAGTACGGTGAGGCAGAGCGGCTTATAGACAATGTTACCGATATGAATATTGTCGCAGACTTGGCGAGAGTTTACATGAAAGACGATCCGGATAAGGCTCTGGTTCTTTTCAAGCGCGCTGGTCAGAGTCGTGAAATTGTGGATTGTCTGATTGCACTAGGAAAGATCTCCGAAGCAGAGTCAGCCGTTAAAGAGACAAAGCTTCTCCTCGAAAAGGCGCACGCTGGGGAGCGTACTACTTTGGCGGTGTATGAGTTGGAGGCAGAGCTCAAAGGATCCTCAGCAAGCCTTTCCCTCTATCACCGGACAGCTGGTAACATAAAGAAGGCTATATTTTTCGGAGTGCTGAGTGGAGCATTCGATGAGGCATTTGACCTTGCAATTCAGACCAGTAATGAAGACATTCTAATTCGCCTTGTTAACGAGCGTGCTCCCCAGGAGTTTCTGAAAAAGGCGGTGCGTTACTTTTCGGCACCCGTCACACGCAGTAACCCGGATATTAGCCCGCTTGACGAAACTCCAGAAACCTCCTCCCAGCCACTACAAGTTCCTAGAAACATTAGGGCTGCGGCGCACTTCCTGGAATTGCTTGGGGAGCATGAGGCGGCTATCAAGCTCTTGCTTCACTACGGCGATGGATCGACAGATATAGACAAAGCTCTCGATCTGCTTAAATCATGTAAGCAATCTGTTTCCATTATTGAGCTGATTCTCAAATATCTTAACGGAGAATTGGATGGCTGTAAGCGCCCCCCGCTATATGTGTTCAAGTTTTACATGGCTATGGAGAAGTATGGAGACGCAGCTAGAACCGCATATTTACTTGCAGACCGCGAAATAGAGGCGGGCAGATACTCAAAAGCGAAATCTGTCTTGATCCAGTGTGCTTGTAAGCTCAGAATGCAGGCCAAGCATATGCCCACAAAATTTCGGGACTTGCTTATTCTTCTGCACGGGCTTGAAGCAGGCAAGGTTTTCTCAAAGGCAGGCCTTCATGCGCAAGCTGCTATGTGTCTGTATCGTACAAGTAGGCTTGCAAGTAGGTTTGGAGACGCTGCTGTCAATGTGCTTCTTCCGGCTACCGTGGAATGTAGTCGTGCAGGTCCACGCTATGCAAATGAAGCATATGAATGTGCGTGCATCTTGCTTAAAGAGTACGGAGACAAGATACCTGAGAAGTATAAGAAACCTGTAGAGCAAGTGGTGCGTAAGCACAAGAAAGGGGAGCCTGTTGACGCTGAATATCGCTCATGCTGCTCCTGTGGAGAAAACGTACTCTTAGGGTCACTCAGTTGTGAAAATTGTATGGCCGTTCTACCATTGGATAGCGCAACAGGAGCCCAGATCACGCTTGCAGACTATTGCGAATGTCCCACTTGTTTGTGGACATGCTCAAAACTGGGATTCTATGATGTTTATAAGGAGGAGGAGATAAAGAATGGTCAGTGTGTTTGTCTCATGTGTGGTGCCAAGATTAACATAGAGCAACCAGTAATTATCACCGAAGATACATTCGAACGGATGACCAATGGATTTCCGGACTTGGATGAATACTCAGTCAAGCCTCTCCTTATTTACGAGAATGGCCAGCTTGCCCAGCGTCGTTATGAGCAGTGGACAAGGCTGTGGCAAGATCAGGAGAACTAGAGATAATCCACCAGCAGTCTTCTCATAACAGTAAAGAGAAACGTTCTTCCCTTCTATTTACAGGAAACATCTACACCTACATCAGCAGATCCTTGCACTGCCGGATCTGGTCGGGACTCAGATCATCCGAAGTTTGGATGATACGAAGGATGTCGTTCCTTGATTTATCTAACTCGTCTTTAGCCAGGAGCTCAGCACAGTCAATATTTCCATTGCTCACAGCCCAGGTCATCGCGGTCCACCCACGGAATTCCTCTGAGCTTTCGTTGATGACCATGCCAGCCTCTGCAGGCATCATGAGGCGTACGCACCTATACTGCCCCTCGCTTGCTGCCCACATTAGAGCAGTCCAGCCGTCTGCTTGGGTCATCCCTTTTTCGCAGTCATATAACAGCTTTGCTGCATCATAATGATTTGAGCGACACGCAGCCATGAGGGCCGTGAAGCCGCTCCCGTGCTCAAAGCACTCATTCGTGGAGAGACCCCCCTCCTTCTCAAGCAGAAGCTGTACCACCTCTGTCTTGCCGTGCTGCGCCGCCTCTATTAGGGCAGTCATACCATCTAAGCACTGAAGGCCTGCCTCGACATCTCTAAGAAGCTTTACACACTCCGTGTGACCATTCACGGATGCGTACATCAGCGCCGTCCATCCGTGAGCGTTTTGCATACGGACTTCCGTAGTATCGATAAGCTTCCTGACACCATCCACATTGTTGTAGGCTGCGGCTAACATCAAAGCTGTGGGGTTAAAGATATTCCACCTACCGTACCTATGGATTCCGTCCATTGCCATGCCAGCATATGTGGCTATCAAGTCATCTGTCAGCTGAACAGTTGGATTTATAACCGCCTCCATCAGCGGGGTCAGCTCTCCTATCTTGGCTGATTGCAGGATCACCATTTTTTGGTATTCATAGAAGCGCTTGTGCATGGTTACGTTCCTTTATTGGGCCATAGACACCCCAATTATCATTGCAAAACATATACCCAGTTCTTTTCCACTTTAGTTCTAAACAATTTGCCGTGAACTAAAACCAATGCTTCAAAAGCAAATGGGTGTGCTCCTCCGCTGAGTGCCAAGGACCAAGCTGCCATATCGGTTATGCGACGTATGTGCAAATTACAAACGTTCTTTACTTTTGGCTCTTTACATTCTCTTTTCAATCTTACATATACCCTTTTACGCTAATTATAGAGAACTTAGCAGAGCTCAGAAGCTTCTGCTCATTCACCCTCCTGCAGACAACTATCTAGATCACCCTCGTTGGCATCCTCAAGCACCTGGTGGTGCAGGTTCCCGAGTACTTGCTGAACCAACAACTGACCCTTTACGGCGCCCAGCCGTACTCGCGCCTCAACAACAGAAGTAGAGACCCCTCTACGCTCTTCTGCAATGATCCTTTCCATAGTTTCTGCATTGCTACGCTTTCCAAGACCAGCGCCAGCAGAAGATGTTCCTAGTGTCCCTCCTACACTCACAGTCATGTCCATCAGGCTTGGATCATTCTGCTCAGCCAGGTGTTCATGGCCCGCTATGTGCGCGTCGCGATTGCTCGCATATATTCCTGCAATAGTATTCCACGCTCCAGTCATAAGCTCAAGATCGTCCACAGTCCCTGGAGTAGACTTTTTCTTGGTGTTTCCAGCACACGACAACGCAGACGCAGCAGCAACAGCTTCACGTGCGCCAACCATGGCTCTGGCACGGGCTATATTCCAGCGTATCATGTCTGACTCCGAGACCTTCAAGGTCGGCTTGGTGCGAGTGGCATCCAGAAGCCCGCTTGATCCCATATCTCTCCCAACAGAGGGGACTCCCGCATCTGTGAGAAACTTCTGGGCTGATCTGTATGCGCGAAGCTCACTATCAGATTGAATAATCTGCTGTGAGTCCGGGGTACTGGGGACGTCTTCAATCTGAATGGGGACAGCAATTGCTTCTCTCAATCCACTCCGAAGGTTATTGTCCGTCAAAAGCATTTCTTCCGGATTGAGTAATGAAGCGTTCAAATCATCGAGCATATCAACGCAGGTCTCCAGATGTGAAGGCCCGGGAGGACCGCCGGAGTCATCTATCGAATCTAGATTGGTGGCCAGCTTTGCGGGATCTACTGAGCCAGACGTAGACCTCACAGAGCTAAGGGCCGAGGCTACATCAAAGCGCACCCTAGACTTTTGAGGCTGCAGGGCTGCTTGCTCTGAGGGAGGCCTCTCTTCATAGTTCATATTGTTCAAGATTGTCAGGAGATCAGCGCCAGAATTGCAATTAGTCTCTGCAAGAGCTTCGGCTGTGCTGCTAAGCTCCTGATTTGCTAGCTTCCATCGAGCCATTAGATGCTGTACCAAGTCGTCGCTGTCACCCCTTGCTGCAGCCCAATTTGCAGCCCAAGAATGGCCCAAAATTGCAAACTCAGTGTCTCCGGCTAGAAGTTTATCAATGTATGGAGTAACTATATCGACGCAGTTGAGGCGAGTTGTGATTTCAAACAGACGTCTACAGATAGGCATTATGAGGGGATAGATATTAAACCCGAATGCTATGTCTGCAGCGTTCATGAGCAGGACACACCCTGATAGGGCGCAAACGTAGCTGCATGGCATGTTATGTAATATTTTATTTGGCAGAGAAATGGGGTCGGCCAGAGAGGATACGGAAAGCGTCTCATCAACGGTTTTCTGCTTGAAGTCATCAGATAACATATGTGAACCGCTCAGACCTGCGTTATTGGTACTAGTATTGGTCCGTGGAGTATTATTTAATTGAGATATTCGTGCATGTAACGCTAAGACATCGGCGCGTACAAACATAAGGTCGCTTTCACTTATGGCGTTGCTGAAGGCCGTGCATGCGATGAACATTAAGTTATGAACCATCATCATTCTTGCTATGAAAGCCAGCTCTGCAAGAGTGTCAATGTACGAGGCATAGTTCTCGTTAGGATCGTCGCTGATAAAAGTCGGCAGCGCCTCTTCCTCTAACCTTGTGAATGGCATGTATGGAACCGACTCCACATCGAGCCGTGCTCCAGCAAAGCTAGTGTGTTTTGAATGGTCTCCATCCTGCTTGTCAATTAAGGCTGTTTCCGTCTGTGCTTCTCGAGTAACATCATCTGGTATGAGCACCTTGTACCCATTGTCAACCGTGGGCTCGAAGACCGCACTAAAGTCAACATCTAGGTGCTGCTCAATAGCTGCGATAGCAACCAAGCAGACATCAAGAACTCCGTGGGCTGCGCGGTGGAGCTGAAAAAAGTGCAAGCTCTTTCCTAACCGCAGATAGCAGACAATGGTATACAAAAGCATACGTGTCTTCATGTTCTTGGGAATAGTTATGGGGTCGGATGGAGTGAAGTCTTCCGGAGTGCCAGTTTTCAACCGGGGGAGAATATTACCTAGGAGGCCTGCAATCGAGTTTGCATCTTCCACAGACTTCACCATATTATAGAGTGTGTTGCGTGCCAGAATAGCATAGTATACATCCAGAGGACAGTATATTTGCGTCGTGTCTTCTATAGATCTTATGTGTGCCACCGCAGCCATCAGTGGGTCCTTAAGCTCTGTTTGTCTATTAAAAACGGGAGAAGTGATGTGGATTAAAATGTCTGCACAGCCTATGGTGTCATTCTCGTCGGTGAGAGACGTGATGGTGGGATGCGGTGTCACCAAGGGCATCATGCGGAATTGGGTGCGTGCGAGTTGCGTCTCAAAGAAGATGTCTGCTAGCTTTGAGAGTGCATCAAAGCGGCTGAAATAGTCTTCGTTCATCTGATGCGTATCTGCAGCCAACAGCAGGGCCTGAACAGTCAATAATTTAGTCTGGTTGAAATTCAGGGGGTTGTCGAACGAAAACTGATGAAGGATCTCTGCGACTGTTGGGCCCGATGTTGACACTAGATCATTAAGGTTGTTCGGTTGGTTCTTCCCCATTGGCTGCTCCATGTGTGTAAGCCGGAAGATATCGATGAAAGCTGTGATGGCACCCTCCTTTATTGTGCTGATGCATAGCTTCTGAATAATGGAGAGCCGGGACTCATCGCTGGACATGGTTGTATTTTGTACAACAATCTAGACTAAATTCACAAAAATTCCATTTTTGTGATAAAAGTACAATGGTGCAGAGACTCTTTTTATCAGTTGGTTTGCTGTTGCTGCTGACCTGAGAGATGTAATTGGGTGCAGAGTGCGAGAGTTTACGAAGGCTTTCACGGTCTGATTTCTTTTCCAACGCATGATATATGGAACTGTAAATCTGTCGAAAGTCAAAAGCAGAAAGAGTGATCGACGTAGACCTTTTCGGCTCAGGTTGCTTGCACGTCTCTTTAGTTATAAAAGTAGATTGCTAGGATCTTGCGATAGAGCACATGTTTTTGTAAAGGGAAACATAATTATAAAAATTGGATGGACACCCTTCCCAAGGAGTTCGATGCCATAGTTTTGGGCACAGGTCTGAAAGAGGGGATTGTCTCTGCTCTCCTGTCTGTCCACGGGCGTAAGGTCCTTCACATTGATCGAAATGACTTCTACGGAGGAGATTGTGCGTCATTGAAACTCTCGCAACTTTACTCTTTTTTTGGTGAAAGTCTGTCGTCAATCCCCGCAGAGTTCGGAAAGGACAACGAATGGAGCATAGACCTTATACCTAAGTTCATACTCTCCAGCGGAGACTTATTCTACATGCTTCGTCATGTTGATTGTCTTCACTATCTGGAGTTTGGGCGTGTCGCAGGTGCGTTTGTTTACAATAACGGTGTCATTCATCGTGTGCCCGCCACAACCAAGCAAGCTCTGGACTCAAAACTTATGGGTCTGTTTGAGAAAAAGCGTATGGCAAACCTTTTCGAGTATATTACTAGCTTTGAAGAGAATCCATCTGCTACCTCCAATTTATCTAGCCAGGGAAAGACACCTGCAACTGCTACTTGTAACGAATACTTTGATGCATATAAGCTTTCGGATTCGACTAAGGAGTTCATTGGACATGCAATGGCTTTAGAGCTGGATGATGAGTATTTGAACAAGCCAGCTTTGGAGACCTTCCGCCGCATCGATCTCTACACGCAGAGCCTCAGCCGCTTTGGCCAGTCTCCCTTCATCTATCCTCTCTACGGCCTGGGAGACCTCCCGCAGGCGTTCAGCAGGGTTGCAGCCGTGTGGGGAGGAATATACATGCTCAATACCCCTGTTTCTGAAATTTTGTACAACGATGACAAGAAGGTTCGTGGAGTACGATTCGGAGACCATGAAGTTTCTGCCCCAATCGTCGTGGGAGATCCCAGCTATTTTCCTGACCTTGTTGTGAGCAAGGGACGCGTGGGCCGGGCGATATGCATATTAAAAGGCCCTATTCCGGAATGTGACCAGCAGTCCGACGTGGAGAAGGATGGCGCTGGAAATAGAATCGTGCAAACCGCCCACCAAGTCATTCTTCCAGCCTCTCAGATACAACGCAAATCAGATATCTATGTCTCGACGCAGGGATACAACCATCGAACTACGCCACGCAACTGTGTGCTGGGCTATGTCTCAGGCCTTGTCTATGGAAGTAGGAGTGACAACCGCGATGAGCTCAAGGCAGGATTTGATATTCTCAAGAGAGCAGGAATCAGTAAGACCTTTTACAAAGAGTATGACCTATTAGAACCAAAGGAGGAGGCTCAGAGGAGAAATATCTTTATCAGCAAGTCTTACGACGCTACGTCCCACTTCGAGAGCACAGTAGCTGATGCAATAGACATGTATCAACGCATTACAGGAGAGACTCTAGATCTCACTACCATTGTGAAGCGTCAGGCTCCCACAGTGGAGGATGCGTGATAGTTTTGTGAGTGAATGCATCTATCAAAGGGATTGCTCAGGCTCCTATGGTCATCCTTGCTTGGTACTGGCACACATCACACTTGCGCTGTGTTTGCGGGGTTGGAGCCCATGCTTTTAGAGTTTTTTCTAAAACCATGATACCTGCACCAGAAAGCACCCTCATACGGGCCGTCAAACGATCAGACAAGAGGCTTCTTGAGGTAATCTTGCCAAGGAATACTCAGTTTGGCAGCAGAGACACCGCTGGAAAAACGGCGTTGATGATTGCGGCAGAGATGAATAATCGTTACTTTTGTCAACTCTTAATAGATAGGGAGCATTACTTTCTTACTAGCGATGGAAAAAATGCACTGATTTTGGCCGCGGAGGCGGGGGCAAATTACGTTATCCCTGTTTTAGCGCGACGCTGCTCGTACATACAGGATTCGTCTGGGCTGTGCGCGCTTTCGCACGCAGCACAAGCAGGAGATCTTTCAATGTGCAAGCTCCTCGCTGAACACTGTCACCTGAGAGACGTTGACTACGAGAGAGCTTTGAAGTTTTTGAGAAAGGAGTGCAGGAGGCCCGAAGAGAAACGCCAGATTGAAGAGTTCTTGATTCAAGGGTCTACAAATAATACAAAGAAAGAAAGCAACCTTGATTCAGTCGCGCCTTCTAGCATAGGACTAAGATCCATTTCCTCTGGCGGTAAAGCTTCCAACCACATATCCTATAATTCAGTGCCGCCTACGATCATTCTACAGAGGTTAAAGGATTCACGTGATATTAGCAAAGCAGAGTCGGACATAGGGCCATTGTTTAACAAGGGCATTACCAGGGCATCATCGATAGGCGCCGTCTCTGGTTCACGATTATCAGTTGACTCATCTAAGACCCTAGACCAAGTAATGGAGAAAATTGAAATTGAGAGGCTGCAGACTGAGAATGCTAGATTGAAAAATGCAATCTCCTCCTTAACAATGGAAAAGAAGAAAGAAAAAGAGTCCCTGGAGAATCAGCTGAAGGAGTATTCGCAAAAACTGCACGATGCAGAGTCTGTGGCCATCGCAGCCCGGTCAGCCTCAGCTTCGGATATTCCTCCTAATCCAAGGAATCTAGAGGGTTTAGAGAAGGAGCTAGAGGAGCACAAACATACCATACAAAAGAAAGACCAAGAAATAGCAATCCTTCGGCGACTAGTGGAGACAAACTGGTTTATGAAGGACCTAGATGAGAAGCTTTTGCGGCTTACCTCCAGATCTAATGAGGCAGATGAGAAGGCAAACACAGGCCCCCCAAAGACGTTACAGAGTAACAGGTCTTCGTGTATATCCATGGCTACTTCGGACAGGAGCAAGATTTCTGTCACCCCCAGTGTAGGTCAAATAGATAGCTCCATTAGGATGAGCGATCTAAAAGATTTAGCTGCTCCCGAAACCATTGTTGATCCTTCCCATACTGACAGCCACTCTAGTCAGCGACCAGGGTCACAGCTTACTCAATCCTGCTTTATACCACTTCTCAATGAATATAAAGCTCAAATAAAATATACTACAGAGCTTCTGGCCTATTATCAGAATATTTTTAAGCAACAACTAAGCCTAGGTGTTGAAAGCCTAGGTATTGAAGACCTAGGTATTACAAGCTCGTCGTCACCAAACGACAATGATCGTATTATCACTAATCTAAGAAGCCTTTTGTCTTTGCGCACTGCTGGAATGGACCGTGCTATAAGTCTGGTGCAAGAAAAGGACTTAGCTTTTCAGTCGTTGCTGAGCGAACACGCAGATACTGTGCGTCGAAACATAAAGCTTCAAGCGGCTTTGTGGAAACACAAGCGAACCTTACTACACATAGATATTAAGGATTTGCTGGAAAAGTATAACGTTTCCAACGGAGAACTGGAGGTATCGCGGTTTAAAGCCTTAATTGAGGAGATGCACAGCGAAATCAGGATGCTATCAGCTTCATTGCTCAGTGAAAAGAAAGAGCTAAAAGCATTTGAAGAGGCTGGTAATAGATACCTGCAACTCTATTATGATGAGCAACAAAAGAACATTAAATTAGAAAACGACATACTCGTTCTCAGACGGGATGCACACATAGCCCAGACAGAGGTAGAGAGGCTATCCTCCCAACACCCCAACCATAACGCTGACACCATCAATAGTATAGACCCCCAAGGGTTAGTCTGCCAAAATAAAGAGCGGCAGTCTCCAAATCCTGTTGCAAATGATCAAAGTAACGGCCGTCCAGGAGATCTTCCCTCTGGGCTAGAAGGAATCACTGAGATGTCCATGGGAGACGTCTGTGAAGGCTGCATTGAGTTAAATAAGGAGCTTTCGCAACTAAAAGCAGAGCTAAAAAGAATAAAGAATATTAACGAGGGGCTTACACATAAGAATGAGTTACTTGTTAAAGACCTAGAGACTATCGTGCACGAGCTGGATCCAGTACTCAATGTGAAGCGGATATACGCCAAAGGAAAGCTGTCCGCATCCGGGCCCTCAGAAGATACGCCCCAAGAGATAGAGGCCATAAAGAAAAAGATCAAATCATTAACTTTGGAGAACCCCCCACTATCAGTCCGTATGGAGCAGCCCATAACTAGTAAGCTTTTACGCGAGCCAACTGATGGAGATACAGCTCACGCCAAGCGACACGTTACCGATATGTGGACGCAGACATTTAACCTCTCTGTTCCCCTTGAAGATGAGCTATCTTACAATGTGCCACTAATCTCTCCCACTTATAAACTCCTCCCAAATATAACACAGTCAGAATCCACCCCTATGCTCGGTGATATTGACCATTTAATATCTTCCACATCTCCGCCTCCACAGAATACAACTATCCTCTATCTAAATACTACCAACACAGAGCAACCCACGCAGTGTGTAGATGCAACAATTTTACACAACCCGCTGCAGTCCTCGTCCGTTTTTCATGGAGCGTCTGCAGAAGCTCTGAAGGATCTGGACACATGCTCAGAGGAGAGACTTGATGAAAAATTAGGCCTCTCCAAGAAGCCTAAGAGCCCATCTAGCGCGCTTACACAAAAGCTTTCTAATCTGCTCAAGGAGGCGATTGACGTTCCACCCCCGCCACTGCCTTCTGGCCAGCACTCCACGCGAGCACGATCCAGAAGAATCATCAACTCAAAGGACAGTAAAGATAACAAAGGGAACAAGCAACAGAAGGCAAGAGATGGACAAGAAGATAAACATGATGCTCTGCAGCTTACACCCCTGATGGTTGCTGTCCAACAAAAAGACCTTGCCGGTATCTCGAGTAATCTCCAGTACGGAAAGGTGGCAACCTCGACCGGCATGACAGCACTCATGTTTGCAGTCGAGAGGAATTTTCTAGAGGCAGTAAAGGTTCTTGCACCGTTGGAATCGGGCATATATGCGCCAAACAATGAGACTGCGCTCACCATGGCTCTGCGGGCAGGGCGTATTGAGGCAGCAGAGATTCTGACACCATACGAAGGTGTAAAACTTTCTAGGGTCAATCTGGCAAATGACCGCTTCACCGAACTCATGAAGGCGGCCAAGAACAACAATATCAGCATGGTGTGGGCACTCCTAGGCTACCAGAAGCGGCTACAAGACGACGGCAAGCGGACCGCCTTAATGTATGCTGCAGACGCGGGAAACTTCGACATATGCCGCATTTTAGCCGCCTTTGAAGCTGGAATGAGTACGGTAACGGGGGACACAGCCCTTATGATAGCCGTCATCAACCAGCACATTGATATTGCACAACTTCTACTCCCACTGGAGACCGGCCATCACGGAAACAGGCTTACAAACGTGGGGAAAGGGTATACCGCACTCCACCTGTCTGTATACTATGGCCACTATGACCTGGTGAAGCTTTTGTATCCCAAAGAGCATCACATCCTCGACGCTGACGGCCGGTCATACTTGCACTATGCAAAAAACTGCAGCTCTCGCGTAAGCCGTGAGACAAAAGACGCCATTTCTGCATACTTTCTCACTGAATCTTCCAAAGTCTCAGGCACCTCATAGTTTCATAGGCACCTATGGTCAGCCTCGGGAATTGAAATATGTTAGTACTTTAGCTTAAGGCTCGGCTTATAGATTTAATTTATTTTGATAAGCATTTTCCATTAAAAATTTCCACTAAAAAAGAGAACGTTTGATGTCGAGGGAGCGCCGCATCTTTCTTAATGACCAGAGGTCGTTGGCGCAGATTCGCCGCAGAGAAATGCAGCAGATTCTAGAGGACGATATCTCTTCTGATGAAGAAGAATCCAAGAAGCGCCTTGCATCCTATCCTCCTGTGTCCCACGACGAGGCTGCGCTCATTGCTGCCGAGCTACAGACTGGGGACCCCAGCACCTACCCGCTAGACAGGCTGGAGTACTGCGTAAGACACCTCAGATACTGGATTAACATGCAGGATAAATACACGCTGCACCTAGCGTCGAACGAGGCTGTAATCCGTGCTATCATCGCATATCTAGAACTGGAATATTCTCACTACAGAGCTGCGCTCCAAGGGAACAGCAGTGCTGACCCTTTCCTCAACGCCATATATGAAATAACTTGGCTTCTTAGCAGTCTTTCTTACTACTCCAGCACTGCAGAACGTATACTGTATCAAAAGCATGAAACTTTGTTGGGGATTCTCTCAGATATTAAGCATACACCAGCATCCGAAACCTTGTGCATTATCATTCTCAACATTACCTCGAGCAAGCAAATACGCCTCACGCCTTTAGAGTGTACTATCATCTTGCGGTTCTTTTACAAGCATCTCCTCATGGAATATCCAGACCTGTTCTGCCAGGCAGAGGCACTCAAGCAGAGTCAAATACCACAAGAGAGGCTCAACGTGAGCTTCATCTCAAAGTATGCAATGTATATAATAGGCAATCTTGTGTACGCAATGATATCTTACTACGAGACACACTTTCCTTTGAGCTATTTACAAGCGGGGACAGACGACGACTACCACGAATTCGATTTCACTGACGAGGGGGACATCATATCAACTTGTTACTATGAGGGAAGACTACATCACCCATATCTCTGTCCGACCTTCGTGGCGGGGGTAGTCCGCATTTCAAGAGAGGAAGAGATTCAAATAGAGGAGGACTTTGTGTCTCAGTCGTTCGTCCAGCAAGTAGTCTTTATCTTCCGCGCGTTCTCTCACATCTTCGAACTCGGCGTGTCTATCTTTATGTTGGTCCCACCAACTAATGTGTCCTTTATGAACCGCATACTTTATATGCTCATAGCTCTACTGGAGGCGCACATAACGTCCTTCTGGTCTTGTGTTGAGCTTTCTGTAGCGTATAACGTGGAGTTTATGAACAAGCTCTTCTCCCTCATGTCTTTTCGCAAAAAGAACCTGACATCTCTCGTTGTCTCTGCAATAAATAAGATTGTACAGTCAAGGTCTTCATATCAAGAGCTGCAGCTGAAGGAGCGGCTGACTGCGACGTGTGAGGACCCCTTCATCTCTGCACAAGTGCCGGGGATGCCGTCTCTGTCTGCGGGGGCATCTATATATGATGTTGGTGGGCCGCCGAATTCCCCTTCTCTTGTGCTTCTCATCGAAAAGACTTTCACACAAATGGCTCCATTGTCTACGAGCTTCACTATCCAGATCTCTTCCAACATGAGCTCACTTTTGGTTTATGTAGTCAACAACTTTCTAGAAGCAATCTCCCCTAACGAGCACCTGTTCAACCAATATATAAGGGTTCTCAAGAGCATGCCTCTCAACAAGATTTCCACAGCTCTGTACTCCTTGACGGAGGCCCTTGTTTCTAAAGAAGCTATCTATCTCCCAGACACTTGGAAACACATATACGATATGCTGATCTATTTCTGCCGCTTTGGAAACACAAAGAAGAAGTTCAAGGATGTCCTGGTGGGCTTTGTCACCAAGTTGCTTGAAACGTATCCGGACACAACGGAGTTCTTCCTAGCAGTTGGTGGAGAGAGCTTCGTCACCGATAACCTAGACCAGCCGCTGTTCGAGAAGATGGCTGGTGAGTTAGAGACTCTTGCTTAGTTGCTATCGCCACCTCAGTTCACTTATCAGTACTATTGATGTCCTATTGATGTACTCAACACCATGCCCCAGACTGCTTATGCTCTCAACCCTTCACACTGGGATCAAAGTCTATCACAAAGTCTATTGCAAAGTCTGCAAGGCTCATGAAGGCCTGGTCCATCCCAAATCGAGCTCTTGGAATTTGTATCCCATTTGCTCCACAGGCTGCAATCTAGATGATGTACTTACGTTCATTAGATTGAGTATTTCGTGAGCCACCTCATCATCGCTGTCTAGAAACTCTCGTATCAATCTTTGATTTTGCCCATACTGGGACGCCGCTGAGAAGAGACGCGCAGCTTCCATGGTGCTAAACTCCTGCTGGGACACGAGGGTGAATAGCCCTGGTAGATCGCGGCTGAAGTCCTGCACGCATTCCTTGTGTTTCAGCATGGAGAGGGAGAAGCTGATGGCGTCCTTTTTCGCTTTAGAGCTCAGTAAGCCTGTTACATTATGCAGAATCGAATACGCAAATGAGTGCCCGCCGTCTAAGTGGAGAAATTCGAGGGTTTTGTTGTAGACCACACCAGTAAGGCCATAGTCTGTGAGTAAGATACTGTCCAATAGAGCAATGGCGGACTCAAATGTGCTGCTAAAGTAACACATGACGATGGCGGTGGAAAGCAAACCGCTCTCGGTTGCATTGGATAACGTACTGAGGTGGTGCGCCATTGCAGTGACTATAGCACAGTATCCTTCAAAGTATGATCTCTGCATAAGATAAACGTTATTGGAGGTAAGGCCCCAGTCGGCAACTAGCTGCACTGTCCGGGAACGCTCTGTGTGCGCTCCTAGGACGTAGAAGATTGCGTTGATAAGCTTGTTGCATGTGTTACAATCTACAAGAGGCCTCAGAAAGTCGTCCCCGTGAAGCGCTAGGAGAGAACTCAAGAGGGACATAGCGGCCTTGGCAACATCAACGCATGGGTCTAACGTGAAAGACATGAGTATGTCCATGCCCTGCTGGGGTGTATATACGTAGTAATTGTTGTAGGAGGCAATCCCATAGATGTTTGCTGTGTTGCTATTGATGTAGTCGTGCACCTCCTTGGATAAAAAGTCCTCCACCGTATGCTTGTCCTTCTCTACAAGGGTGTATATGTTATTTAATAAGTGCAAGCATGCTTTTTCTTCCTTTCCAATGTAAGATGCATAGTCTGTAAACTGCTCTGCCACCGGGCCCATATCAATCCATGAGGTTCCATGGTTTACGTATCCAAGGCCTTGCTGAATGAACGATGGGGATGCTGCAATATCTTTAAGAATTGAAAGACAAAGAACACGTGCCTCAGCACAGTCGTCACGAGCCAGAATATCTAACGCACTCGGTTGAGCTCCAGAAGATGCGGTGTTTCCAAACATCTCGAGACAGCCTAAACGAGCTAGCGAATAAAGTACAATCTGCACAAGGGGCTTTATCAAAAGCTCACAACTTGTCTGGCTTCTCGCTGCATACTGGCGGAGCAGCTGAAAAAGATAGATATAGTGTGCCTGATCGCCACCTGGTGTCAAGATCTGCTGCATGAGATAGACAGGCCCCCCGATATCATCCTGGGGCACGGTGATGGCTAACTTGTTGGACCGCTCAGAAAAGGGGGTGTCATAATACGGCTCCCGTGTCGCATGACTGTCTGAAACGTAATACACTTTCAGGCGTTCCATGATTTAAAATCTGAGCTTCCGGCTCTCTCGGCTTCTTCCGGCGTTCCCGGGTTTTTTATTTTCACATTGTAGATGCTCAGCTTGAATGAGGCCAAAGCCGGCGTAGGAGATTGGAAGAATATCCAGCCGGTCGTAAGGTCGGCCTTTATTGAGCTTTATGGGCTTGTAGAGAAGCAATCCACTGAACTGCACGAACTGAAGACTCGGTTAGCGCAACAGGAAAGGGCAGCAGAAAGGGCAATCGAAGCCGCTGAGCGGCGCGATCCCCGTTTTGATGATCTTGACGCTAAGATTCGCGAAGCTCGGGCAGAGATTTTAAGCATCAAGACGGAGTGTTCTGAAATGGTCAAGGCCAAGGCCGAAAGCCAGCTTACACACATTATACATATGCTCAGCACAAAGCTGGATGTGGAAGAGTACAATGGCGCATCGGCAAAGTTTGCAACGAGGGATCTACTCGACTTGATAGCCCGTCGGCTAGACACAGAGTTCGACGAAGTTCGGCGCCAAGCAGATGCACTGGCTTCCTCTCTTCGTAGAGACATAGATGAAAGACTGGCAGACTACGTGTCGCAGAGCAATTTTGACTCAATAGTTTCTTCTCTGAGGACGCAGCATCCACAGTTCGAGATTGTCACTACCCTTATGAATGATCGTCTCAAAGAGATTGCAACAACCTCTGTGACACCTGAACAGCTGCAAACAGCACTACAAATTCAAAGTGAGGCACTTCAAACTACAAAACGCAGCCTCGAGCTCTCGATTGATAATGTGGCCGAACACTGCGGAGACTTCACCCTGAAATTAAATAGCCATGCAGATAAGCTTGCGAATGTACGGGCAGCTATTACCGATGATCTCAATGCACTTCATGCCAAGCTTCTAGATACCGAGAACCGAGTCTATGCAAAATTCCCGCACATCACGCAGCACGTAGAGGAGCTTCAAGAGCGGCTGGCTTCTATTGAGAACCTGTCACAGAACTTCAAACAGGACCGATTTGACGCCTTAGTGAAGGCCAGTATAGATACCCAGTTAGACAAAACAATATCAAGGCTTATTAAGCACGAATTTAACCAGTATCACGCACAGTTTGATAATACTCTTAAGGAGAACACGGCCCATGTCAAGGATAAGCTTGCAAAGTCAGTTGCGAAGACCATTGTGAAGGAAGGAGCCAAGTCACAGATGGAGTTTGAAGAGCGGTTCATAGACCTTGAGAAGCTCCTTGTTGACACGCGGTTATGGTTCCAGTCTCAGCTAAAGGAGGAGCTGGTAGCGTTGTCTGACTATATGGAAGAAAGTAACTTGAAACTGATATCCAAGCTTAACACATTGGACTCCATCATTCATTCCAGTGATGCAGTGCTTTCGCTGCCCACTGCGCGGTGGCTATGGAAAGGGAAGCGGTACTCCAGTGTAGGAGGCATAGTGTGGAGTACTGAGGTATGCAACACATTACAGAGCAACTTCATTTGGGACACCGGAAAACCAACAATCTTAGTGTGTCTAGCAGGCTGCTACCGGGTGGACTTCGTAATATTTGGCAAACAGCGTCCCACGGTGCAGCTGCACGTAAACGGGGAGCCCATTATATGTGCCATGAGCGGAGATGTTGCCCCCTATATGTACATAAAGCCTAAGAACCAGGCGCAGAACACTTATGTGGGCCAGAGCCTGACGGACTATATTTACTTGAGCGAGAACAGCAAGCTGCAGCTGATAGTAACCAGCGATCACGACAAAAGTTGCGTGAGCGGGTACTTGAGTCTGCAGAAGATATGGTAGGGTCCTTGTATTAGTAAACGGCTGCTCTGGCTTTACGTATGATAGAGCCGGCGAATAGATCCCCTGGGACAAGGCCGGCCCGAAAACATAAATTATTCATGACTGCTGTCGGCTCTGGATACGACGTTTCCTGTGGATCCTACTCTCCCGATGGGAAGATCTTCCAGGTGGACTATGCACTGAAAGCCGTCGAACAGCACGGGCTCTGTGTTGGCATTCGAACCTCAGGGGGGGTAGCCCTGGCTGTTCAGAAGAACATTCACGACATACTGGAGATCGACTCTGCTCCGTGCTTCTACCAAATAGAGGATAGCATCGTGATAGCGGTTGCGGGGCTTCAACCGGATGGCATGGTTTTAGTGTCCAAGGCCCGAGAGGTGGCAGAATCTTACAGAGAAAACTATAGCCGCATCGTGCCAACGGGTGTTCTCGCCAACAGCATCTCCGGCTATATGCAGCTTTACACTCACTACGGCGAGGTGCGTCCCTTTGGCTGCTCCCTGTTGATAGCTGGGTACGACTCAATTGCGTCTGCAGACGAGCCCACCACATTGAAAACCAAGTACTCACTTTACTTGTTGCAGCCGTCGGGCGATATCACCAATTGTTTTGCCACAGCAGCAGGTAGACATACCTCTCAAGCTAAGGTGGAGCTCGAAAACCACATGGGGCCTGCCGAGAAAGACACTAACGATAGATTTAATCATCTAAAGCGTGTGCACAACTCAGGGGGGCTGTTGACTGGGATGAGTGAGAGTGAGGCAATCCTGGCAACCGCAAAAGTTATCTGGGCGTGCCACGATCACATCAACGATCCGGAGTTTACCCTCCGCTTTGCTTTTATCTCCGACACAGGTACTGTAGTATATACAAAGGAGCAATCAACAGACATTCAAGAGCAGACCAAGCTGACTTAAGTAAACCAAGCCACCTGGTTGAACTGATGTCTCTTGTCGTGTCACTTGGCAGCTGCAACTATACGCTGGAGCAGTTGCCATAGCATCATTGTTCTCTATCTGCATTTATCTATCAATGCCTTTAATATCTTTTGTTGACGATCTCAGGTTGGAGAGTCCAATCAGAAATGTTACTGAAGTACGAAGTGATCTAGAAAGTGATAAGCTCTGTGGGATGAGCAACTTGTTGGTACGGCTTTGGCAGCCATAGCAGCCTCAATTAACAAAAAAATCTCTCACCGAAATGTCATACCACGAACTTCAGCATTTTACATTGTTAATGACTCAGATAGGGTTTCCACGGCCCATATCCATTGATACGTTCCGGAAGCCAGATTTCTTTCTTGTCGCCGAAATTCTCCACTATATAACCACCGTAGTTGCACCAAGTAATGCTATTGCCATGGACATCGCTACTCAGGAGGATAGGGTTTATTTTATCACAACTGTGGTAAACGTGCTCCAGACCACACTGCACCTCAAGCTGGACTCCAAGAAGATTTATGCTGCGGGCCCAGAGGCAGTGCGAGAACTCAGAAAAATAGTGCAGGAGGTAGCCACGTATATAGGCGCGGCAGCTACATCCACAGATAAGGGGACGTCTTCTGCAGCCAGTGTTGACTTGACTCTCCACTCGAATGCGTTGTGCGTGGCCTCCTCGAAGATAGTTGAAGCATCCACCAAGCTTCTTACGCAGCTACGCCTCCACGTCGATGATCTTTATCAGCGCATGCAGCAGGCGATGAGCAGTCAGCCAGACGCAGCCTCTCTCTCTGCTGCCGTCCAGCAACGTATAAAGAATCTTGCGGCCGAGTGCAACACCCTCCAGGAGGAGGTGACGACCAACAAGCGCGAAAAAGCTAAGCTCGAGGAGCAGATAACCCAGAAGAAGCAGAGCATCACACACACGATGGATCGACTTGATGCCATTCGTTCCACAAAGCCCCCATTCCTTGCAGAGCTGGAGGCTCTGGAGGCAGACCTGTCTAAACTTCATCTAGAGTATGCTCGCAAATTTCGGTCTCTTCTGTTTCTCGAAGGCCAGCTACGTGCCAATGATGTGCGCGAGCAGCAGCGTGTAATTGAGCGGGAGAAGAATCTTCGGGCCCTGCAAGAGAACGCTCTGAAGGAGGAGCTAAATAACATGTACGGGGGCGTGGATGCACGCTCATCGACGTCGCACCTGGACGATGAGTTTGTAGAGACTCCCATGCCCCATGTCATGGATATGCACCAGCCTAAACCAGTGCAGGACTTCGTCCCTTCTAAGGCAGCGCCCATTAACACGAATGCAGAGATCCCTGATGATGAATCCTATTCGTATAGCTATGAGGAGGAAGAGGAAGAAGAGCAGGTCATCAGCTCCGCCAATCCTATGCAACAAGCGCGTGCACCAGAGACACATTCTAATGGAGAGAAACACCGAGGACTGGATGAGCTATCCCATAAGTCGAATGAGAATGCGGACAATGAGGAGTATTCATATGAGTACAGTGACATTGGTGGCGAGGAACTGGACCCCGACAACATAGAGTTTTGAAGTACATCACTCAATATCCACGTCTACTTGTAAATCACAGATCTCCTTTTACTTTACTCTGGGGCTAATCCTACGCTCCGAACTTTTCAATTAGATTTTAGCAAAAAATGTCCTTAGCGAAGCTCTCCATTGCCGACGTAGATCTCTCTGGAAAGCGTGTTTTCGTGCGCACGGATTACAATGTCCCCCAGGACAAGGAGGGTAACATCACCAATTTGGCGAGAATCGAGGCTTCTTTGCCGACCTTGAGGCACTGTCTTGAGAAGGGCTGTAAGTCCCTTGTCTTGGCCTCCCATCTTGGCCGCCCAAAGGGCACCGGACCAGAAGCGGCATTCACTCTGGCTCCAGTCGCCAAGGCTCTCGAAAGCCTTCTGGGAAAGCCTGTCACCCTTCTTAAGGATTGCTGTGGACCCGAGGTTGAGAGTGCCTGTGCCAACCCTGCGCCTGGTTCCATTTTCCTCTTGGAGAATCTGCGCTTTCATAAGGAGGAGACCAACGAGAATGAGGACAATTCTGAAGTAAAGGCTTTCAGAGCGTCTCTCGCGAAGCTCGCTGACATCTACTGTAATGATGCATTCGGAACCGCGCACCGCCCTCACTCTTCTATGGTCGGAGAAGGGTATTCGATCCGTTGCGCTGGCTTCCTGATGCAGAAGGAGATCGACTACTTCCGTATCGCCCTTTCTGAGCCCAAGAAGCCATACTTGGCTATTCTTGGAGGCGCTAAGGTAGCAGACAAAATCAAGCTCATCAAGAACCTACTTCCGAAGGTCGACAAGATTATCATCTGCGGTGGCATGTCGTTTACCTTCCTCAAGAAGCTCAAGGGGATGAACATCGCGAACTCGCTTTACGACAAAGAGGGTGCAGAGACTGTTGACACATTGATGGACATCGCCAAGGCTCACAATGTGGAAGTGATTCTTCCTGTCGATTGCATCGCGGCCTCGGAGTTTGACGACAACGCCAAGACGAAGGTTGTTACATGCGAGGAGGGTATTCCTGAAGGTTGGATGGGCCTTGATTGTGGCCCTGCCTCCAACGAGCTCTTTGCGAAGGCCATCATGTCTTCAAAGACAGTCATCTGGAATGGTCCACCGGGCGTCTTTGAGATGAACAGCTTCTGCCGTGGAACCATGGCCATGGTAGATGCAGTGGTTAAGGCTACTGAGGCAGGCGCCATCACCATTATCGGTGGCGGAGACTCTGCAACTGCAGCCAAAAAGGCCAAAGCAACGAACAAGATCTCCCACGTTAGTACCGGAGGTGGCGCGTCTCTCGAGCTTCTTCAGGGCGACCCGCTTCCTGGAGTCATCAGACTGTCTGACAAGAAGTAGGGGTTACGTATGTGGGATAAGTGAATTCACCTACGACCTTCGTTTGATACATTTGCTGGGGACTTGATTGGGAAGATCTGTATTGAGGTGAGATGATAAGCCGCATTGGGAAAAATAACCGAAGAGTGTAGCTTCGCATACGGCATAGAACACTTCAGAACTCCAGTTATTGTGCGCGTAATTGTGAAGCTCTCAGTTCCATTGGCGTCGAGCAGAGCGAAGATGCTCCCCGGATACCTAGAAAGCAAGGAGTCGTCGAGCACATGGGTGCCCTCGTAATAGCTGTGTGGGATCCTCTGCACATTAAGGAGTTAAGACTTAGGCCACCACCAAGCACAGGATCCATCTATAACCATTTACTACCTAAGTACACAGCTAAATCTACGCCTTCCCGCGGCAGAGGAACCACCAGCAGAGGAAGCCGACGAGACCACCAATGACAATAACAGCAGCCACAGCAATGCCCGCTATGGCGCCAGTGGAGAGACCGCTCTTGTTGACGCTTCCACCAGTGCCTACTTCTGATTCTAAACATATGACTGAACTGCCAGATGATGACACACATTGCTTGCATCCAGAGATCTTCTCTGAGCACTTCTTGCATAACCCATCAGTGGTATCGTCACCGTTTTCCTTGTAATACCCAGTGGCACAGGTCTTACACGAGCTTGCAATACTGGGAGCACTGCACGTAGCACAAGTAGAATGACAGTTTCCACAGGCTCCACTTTGTACCTGTAGTCCGTTGGCACATTTTGTACATGTTCCTCCCTGTGCACTACTACACACTTGTTTACCAGGCTGTCTATCTGTTTGATAGCAGCCGCCGTCCTTGAGGAAGTAGTTAGCAGCGCATTGAGTGCACACTCCATTGCTCACTGTAGTGCAAAATTGTGTTCGCGTATTGGCCGCACAGTCGCCGTTCAAGGGGGCCTGAGTGGAGGTCTTGCACTTTGAGCAGTATGCAGTTCCTCCTATCTGAGCCCCGCATGTCTCACAGCCAGCGCCGTCTGCAGACACTTTGCACGCATCCCCGCAGGCGCCTCCGTTATTAGGATAGCTGTCATCTGTATATGTCAGTTTCTTGCCAGCAGGACAGGCACTGCACTGATTGTTGGCCGGCCCAACGCACTCAGCGCACTCAGGGCTACATGGCTTACACTTCCCTTCGTTAGTATCTCCGTAGTAGCCCTTGATAACTGTGCAGTCAGGTACGCACTGGTTTGTTGGTGTCAAGTAATGAGTAGAAGTACACTTTGTACAGACCTCGTTGGCTGTGCCTTTGCCAGTGCATTCCTGGCAGTTCTCTGTCTGGCACTCGTTGGCCTGTCTCTTGACGCACGCGTCGCCCTGGAGCGTGTAGCCATTGTCTCCGTCACACTTGCAGACCTTCGGGTCGACAGCAGCGTCTCCAATCACTCCATCCCCGGCGCAGGCGGCCGTGCACCCCTTCTTGTTGAGCTGGATGAACTCCTGCGCGTTTGTGCACGAGAGGCAGAGCTCATCTCCGTTATTCGGGTTGCACGCGGCACACCCGGCGTTCTCTGGAGAGGTGCAGGCGCCGGATTGCTCTTTGACCGCTGGCCGTGTCGCCTCTGCCAGCTGCAGAACGAGGCTTGTGAAGATAAGCTTAGCAAACATTGCGCCGGCAGTGCATAGAGACTTGTATTGAGAAAGTTTCCTGATTGTATTCCTGAGCGTTATACTATTATCATGGAAGGAATACGAATAACGTAGACACACTTCGCATTCTGCTTCTGATTATAGAGAAGAAGAGATAGACGCTTAAGCCGTGCCTTAGTTTGCTCAGTCCTTTGGGAATGGAGACCAAAAAAGCTTCAGTGTATGACAAATGGGCTCATGGTACGATCAACTCTGGCTTTGATAACGATTCATTTGCAACATAGATGTATAGGCGATGCCCACCTGGACAGGATACCATCGTCCCTAGTATGCGCTGCTGTGGTGGTGCAGGCGTGACCCCAACATAGGGCCTGCTAGATGCCCTGTCACCTCTGTCACAACAATGGATATGTGGCATCCTTGTCCCATTCTTGTACAGCATCTGCCGCGTGCTGCATAACGCGCTGGAGAACACTATCTTCCAAGTGGCATACAGCCTTTCTCACGACATCCTCCCTCGCTTCATAGCTGGCGACCCTAGTGGCTCCCTGCGTGCAGTCTATCCGGCACACTAGGCAAGTCAAGTGCAAATAGCTGCATTTACCTGCACACCAGCAATCAAGCAACTTTTCGTTTCCTGCTGCCACCCTCTATGCTTGGACCTGTAATACAAATGCGTCCTTCCCCATCAGCCCACGCCATCAAGAACCAGTCCATTCGGAGCAATCAGTTGTATCCACCTACATGAGTATGTTGATGTAATAGCTATACACGACCTAGGCGTACTCACAGGCCTACTAGATGCACAACGCCCTGAACTAGTCCACTCTTTGCGTCCTGCCGTAGCCCTCGATCGGGTGGCCTTGCGCAGTCGTCTCACGAAGAGGTACCACGCAGCGATAGGGGCAGCGAGCACTAGCCGGGCTGTGCAGCGTTCGCCTCTAAGCTGTGCAGCATGTGCTCATGTAGAGAGCTTGTCCGGCGGGCCCTGCCGTGGCCTGCTCCAATGGGGGCTGGTCTCAGTGGCTGGCCGCAGCGCGCAGGAGCCACAGCCAGGGCAGGGCAACTGGGTCTCTGCACGTGCTACAAAGCCGTGTGCACTGCATCGCAACAGGGACGGACACTCCGCGGCCGTGCGCCCGCCAGAGGGCCGGTGGACCTGCGCGAGACGTCGCGTTCTCGTGCAAGGCCTGCCTCGGAAGGCCCCGGCCGGCGCGGAACAGCTGCGTGCGTCCGTGCAGCCAGTGCAGCCCGGAATCTCGCCGGACAAAAGAAAAAATGCGCGTCTGTGCCTCGAATCGACGCGCCGGTCGGTGTGTGCAGCCAGTGTCGGCCTCGGTGGACGTGTCTCTGTGGTTGCTAGATGTCTGGCCCTGGCACGCAGCCGGTGGGGTGGATCTGGACTGGAGCAGGCGGCTGCCAAGGGCATCGACTGTGTGGGACAGGGCCGGGGGTGGCTTCCGCAGCGGCATCGCTGGTTTGGCTGGGCCGCTGACCCGGCAACTGTCGCCGTACGTGGCCAGCGGAGCCGCCATGCCCCCGTAAGCGGGGAGCCCCTTCCTCGGCCAGAATCGGCTCTAGAATGACTCCCAGCCTAGGCGTTCGTCCATTCAGAACCCCTCCGTGCGAGGCCTCGATGGTACTGTAGGATGTTTTCGTACAGTCTCTACGGCTGTTCTGTTCGAGCTCGAAAAGAAAATCGGGAGAGCGCCTCCACCCACGCGCCTCTTTTGCCCTTCTGGCTGTAGACCGTGATTCCTCCTCTGGTGCGAGGCGGTGCAGCAGGGGCTCAGGGCTGCCTGGTCGGCCTTCCGAGCGGACCGTCACCCGTGCCCACGGGCCATCCGCCAGTATGTCCTGGCGATTGTATCAGAACAGGGACGTATGTCAGCGGCACCCCGAAGCCGAAGGGGTAGGGCGTCGGCTGTAGACTGAGCACCCCCGACGCCTGGAGATAAGGGACGGCACCAGGGGCTGGATAGATGCTCTGGATCGGATAAACATTCGGAGCAGCGCTAGGAGTGGGCGCGAAGGGCGGAACCAAGGAAAGGCTGGATGGTAGGTTCCTTGGCTCGACAATGCTGCAAGCAACAGACTCTGGTGGCGCAGATAGCGAGTTCTCAGGTACAGACGTCCCTGTCTCGTCTTCGTCCTGAGGAGAAGATGGAGCATAGCATCAATCATTAACTAGAAACCATTTCATCAATCTCCTTTGGAGAAAATCCGATTTGGTGCAAAAGCTCTGTCTTTCTGTTTCTGTGCATAGACTTTGTGGCTTTCGTATATTTCAGATATCCATCCCACGGTCGCGGTATCAGTCGGGCTGCTCGAGCAATACTCAGTTTGACTCTTTCCGCAAATTCTTCTGGCGTCTCTCCGTCCTGAATAGACGTAGGGGGAAGAAACCAAACATCAACAATCAATATCCAATTCGTCATTAAGTCAAACAGATATCTATAGAAAGAAACATCCCGAGAAGACCAGTATGCATGAGAGCTCAGTGTCTCGTTATACTTGATTGCTATTGGGCAAATCTCTGCACCAAGCTCGAACGCTCCCTTTTTGAACATAATTATGAAGCGGTTATTGACAAGTACTCCCTCTGGGAACAAAAGCAGAGGCGCCTTAGCTCCTTCGTCGTAAATGCGATTCTTGATCTTTGTCGCTGCCTCAGTTCTCTCGGTTCTGTCAGACCTATTGAACCATACAGGGTCCAAGCATCCTAGGATACGTTCTTCAATAATGCCCAGGAGGCCACTATACTTTTGTCCGACAATGGCAAACTGCTTGATTGAGCTCAAGATTATTGCATCCATTATAGTCGTGTGATTAGCAACGTAGATTCTCCCTGATTGGGTGTGCGGGATAGATCCATGGATGAGAACAACAGCGCCTATAGACAAGAGGGTAAGGTGATAGCCTATCTTAAGTATGCGCCGTTGAATATGTGTCTGCAAACGCTTCGATGGAACCAAAACAGACGTCATAAGAGTCCCGAAGAGGCAGAATACAAGCATAAACAGAAAGAGAAAAGCCCGGATAGGTAAAAGAATACAATAGCGGATGATGCAGCCAGTTGCCCAGGTAACCCAAAGAGGGAAAGTCCAATTCCACGGCCGCGAGTATGGTCGTTCGAAGCACTCCCAGAAGCTGTCAGACGCGACAGCCTGAACCGAGTCCAAAACCAGAGAGCTCATAAGCTCCAAGTCCATGTACTTCTTCTGACCCATGCGAAGGCTAAGTCGCGGCTTTGAAGCTGTCCGGCCAATGAGTTTGTCCAGCTCCTTCTGAAGGCGCGGGATGCTATTCCTATTCAGAATAAAGTCTGTCCCATATTGGTACGGCTCCAAGGCAAGCATCAGGGCGCTTGACATCGTGTGGGTATCTACGGCGATGGGAGACTGGGTGCTCTTATACTCAGAGTCATCCGACAGAGGCTGGCTGAGCAACTCGCTCTCAGCGTCTAATTTCTCCTGATCCTCCATAAGGCCAAACAAAAAACGGGCGGAGTCCCCAGATCTTACACAATTGACACGTGCATTTAAATTTGAAATTGAAATATTTACAGCATATATGGCACTTGTAAACTAAGGGAATTTGAAACAGGCGCACATGTTTTTATCGTCACTATATGTTTGGGGTCATGGGTCCGTTTCCGGGCGAAGGCCATCAAATGAGGATGCACACATAATCAGGGATTTGAAGGGCCTCCGCCAGGATCTAATAGACAGTATCACGTTTGTAGGTGTTTTCGATGGTCACGGCGGCGACCGCGCCTCTAAGTTCGTAAGGGACAAGCTCCACTTACAGCTTTCGAAGGCGCGTATCTTCCCGATGGACCTGAAAGAAAGCCTTAGACAGGCCTATCTAAATACAGATAAGCTCTATTTACGCGAGGAGGGCACGTCAGACATCTACTCGTCTGCTGGAACCACGGCGGTGGTGTGTATTCATCACAAGGGCATGTTGTACTTTGCTAACGCAGGAGACTCTCGTGCAATCGTTGGACTGCGCGACCGCGGTGTACGCCAAATCACAGTGGACCATAAACCTAACCTTCCTGCGGAAAAGACACGAATAGAGCGCGCAGGAAGCTGCGTTGTTATGGACGATGGGGATTGTCCCCGGGTGGCAGGCATGCTTGCCGTGTCTAGAGCAATAGGCGATTCGCCGTTCAAGAACTGCGGCGTTATTGCAGACCCAGACATTTTTGCACTCCGGGAGGCCGACGCCGACTACGTCGTTCTGGCGTGTGACGGACTTTGGGACGTCCTCTCTAACGAGGATGTTGACAGTTTGATCAGACATGTATTCACAGTTGCGGGGAAGTCCACAGACCCTGTTTTTGCGACTCAGCTTATCAAGTCAAAACTCTCCGGGCCCGACCACACAGCAACTCGGAAGGAGCTCCTTCAGCACGCAATAGCATGCCTCGTCGCCAGCTCGGGGCCTGATGACCAGCTGGTAAAGATAGCCACTCGTATCGGTGAGTACCTTAGCCAGCGGCAGACCTCCATCCAGGAGCTGGCCACTGTGTTTCCAGAGATGCCTGGCCTTTCTTCACTGGAATGCGGTGAGTACAAAGAGTGTGATCGCTCTTACAAGACCGTCGGACAAAAGATATCTCCAGAAGCCGTGGCCTCCTACTTATTGAGATTAGCTCTGTGTCTAGGCTCTGAAGACAATGTCACCATCGTCTTGGGTCTAGGAAGGAAGCTGTACCCCAAGTCTATTATAGTGGAGTATGACAGCGTCATGCATCCGCAGTAAAGCTGGGCCTCCTGATGTGCTATCAAAGTTAAACGTAAATGGAGGTTTACCTGTTCATAATTTTTAGACATTGTATGATTGCTTTTGTTCTTTCGTTCCCGTGCTCCATGCCTCTGCACCTTGAGGCCACTAGTCAGGTACTTCATTGGCTGACATTGTTAATCAAATTTTGGTGGAGGTGGGGCCGGAAGAGCAGGACTGCAGATGGGGTCAGACGCTTCTGGCTTTATGGAGACGGCGGAAGCCCTGCTTGGTCTCGAACTTGCTTTGCTCGAGCTGATGATGTCATAGGGCTTAGAGGCTGGTGAGGCTGCTCGACCCACTGCTGGATTGGGAGCAGCAGAGCGACTTGTAGTGCAGTTGATGGAGGGATCAGAGATCAGGTAGCTATATTTCCGGAGATATGTATAACCGCTCATGAGTGCCAAGACAGAACTGAACAGAAACATCACCAGGGAGGCCAAGCGGATGGGTTTGATAAGCATGTATAGGATAGTGTTAAGAAGCCCTCCATCACTCATATTAGCTTCTTCCAGCGTGTAGGAGAAAAGGATGGCACAGATGGCAAACATCTGCGCTGCCGTCTTCACTTTCCCGCCTCTTTCGGCTGCCATGACTACCCCACGGGATGCAGCTATCATCCGCAAGCCCGTTACCAGAAATTCTCGGCTGAGGACTATTAGCGTTGGGAACACGAACAGCGGAGGGTAGATCCCAGTGGCTATGAAGCTGATGAAAATGCCGACCGTTAGAATCTTATCACAGAGGGCGTCAAAGAGCTTGCCAAAGTCGGACGTCGCGTTGAATTTGCGCGCTGTAGCACCGTCTAAGTAGTCTGTTATGGATGCCACAACACAGAGAGTAAAAGACACCGCATAGCGGCTCGGAAACTTGGCGAAGAGACACGCTGTGATGGAGAAGAGCAACGGTATGCGCGAGAGTGAGAGGATGTTTGGTATCTGCTTCACCAGCCTGCGGAGCCCCTTCATCCTGAAGTATTGAAGATTAACCATACTTTGGTAAAATTTACTCGCAACTGAAGGAACCCACATGGAAAATGTCTAGTCAAACAGTGGTACCTTCCAAAAGATAGCGGGATCGCAAAAGCGGATTCTCTTGTTCAAGTGAATATTGTTGATTGCATCCATGTCATCATCGCTCAGCTGTACTTCGGTGCACTTGAAGTTGGCCTCAATGCGCGCGGGCGTCTGGCTCTTAGGAATGACACTGTACATCGAGGTGTTCCACTTCTTCACGTGCCAAGCGAGCGCCACACAGTGCGGGCTTGTCCCTTTGGCATCGGCTATTGCTTTCAGCGTCTTGCACTCAAGGATCACGTTCTTCTGTGTGCCAGAGGGATCCCTGGGATCTGCATATGATCCACCCATGGGAGAGTAGGCTGTCACACCTATTCCGTTGTCAAGGCAGAACTTTACGGTAGCGTCGTTGGGGTGCCACGGGTGTATCTCGATCTGATTCACAAGAGGCTTGATCTTGGCGTAGTTTAGTAGATCGGCCAAAAGAGGGACCGTGTAATTCGAGACCCCGATGTGCTTCACAAGGCCCTCCTCGACCAGCTGTTCCATTGCCCTCCATGTGTCGGCCAGGGGGACCTTCTCGAGCATCGCACGGCCTTCGGCATCCTTCGGGAAGAGATCCCCGACGTCATTACGAACAAAGGCAAGCGGCCAGTGGACAAGGAAGAGATCTAGGTAATCCACCTGTAAGTCAGACATGGTTTTCTTGCACTGCTCACGGACCAGTTCTGGGCGATGGTTATAGTTCCATAGCTTTGAGGTGATCCAGACATCTTCGCGCTTGATTCCTGAAGACGCATCCTTGAAGATCTTTCCAAAAGCACGACCAATGGCCTCCTCATTCTGGTAGACATAGGCGCAGTCGATGTGCCTGTACCCAGTCATGAGCGCTGTCTCAACAGCGGTCTGCACGGCCTCTGGAGGCGCCTGCCACGTTCCAAAGCCCAAGCGAGGAGGATATTGCATTTAATTTCTTAGATCTGAATCTGTACCACTGTTTACAGCTTATGGAGAATGCTCATTTACAAAAGGCACATAATGACGACGTGAGCGGCAATGGCCGTAAGCTCATGCTAGAGAGCATCTAGTAAACTATCAAGTAAACTAGTAAATCTAGTAAAAGAACCCGTGTCAAAAGTTAGGATCGGCCCATGGGGAGTCCCTGTTAATGGTGTACTTCATGATCTGCTTCGGCTCTCCGTTTTCCCAAATCCCCACAAGCACGTGCCCATTGAGCTCAAGGGTCCCGTTGCCGTGCTTCTTTCCTTTGGCCCAGTCCCCCGTGTAGGAATTTCCATGTGCATCGGCAAAGGTCCCCGGACCGTGTCTGAGACCTTCACGCCACTCGCCGACATACCTGCATCTGCCGGTCTTATGGTTGTACTGGAACTCGCCCTTTCCGTGGGGAAGATCGTTGAACCATGTGCCACTGTAGGTGTCACCTGTCCTGTATAGCATAGTCCCCGTGCCCTCCTTGAGTCCCCGGACCCACTCTCCACTATACACATCTCCGTTCGCATACTGCATCTCTCCAGTACCATCAAACAAATCTTGGTAGAAACGCCCCTTGTACACCTGTCCATTCTTGTACTCAAGGACGCCCTCGCCATGCCTCTTGTCGTCCTTGAATTCTCCTGTGTACTTCATGTAGATGGGGTCCTCTCCAGAGTACACCAACACGCCATGCTTGCCCCGTGTCTGGTCCATGGGGTCAGTCCCACCCATGGTGTCATTCTCGAACGTTCCTTCGTAGACAGAGCCGTCTTGAAGGCGCAAAATCCCCTGTCCATGCATCACTCCTCTAACCCATTGGCCCTCGTACTTCTCTATGACCCTAGACGTGTTCTGGGGATCAACGTAGGTCATCGATCCCACTCCATGCCGCTCGTCGTCGAGAAACTCGCCCTCGTAGATATCGCCCTCGCGGTACACAAACTTTCCGTGTCCGCACATCTTCCCGTTCTCCCACTGGCCTTCGTAGGCGTCTCCGCACGCGTACGTTATGATACCCATGCCATGGGTCTCGCCGTGGTTCCAGTCACCTTGGTACACATTTCCGTTGCTGAAAACGAAGGTTCCCTTACCGTGGATAACATCGTCTTCCCAGGATCCCTCATAGTAACTTCCGTCTGCATTCGTGTACCTGCCCTGACCGTGCCTCTTTCCCTTGTACCAATCGCCCACGTACGTCTCTCCATTACTATACATAGCCTCACCTCTACCGTGCATGCAACCATCTTGGATAGGGCCTCTGTATTCTAAAATCATGGTCTATCGGCGCAAGATATTTCTTGGATTTGTCGTTTTTTATTTTATAGTTCAAACAACTCGATAGCAGTACGGAGGTTCAAAACCATAGAAGCGTGCGCAAAACCACAAAGAGATCTCTGGTAATTGCCTCGTTGCGCTCTATAAGGCCGTTCCTAAAGTAGCTTATCATGTTAACCGTTATAGATGGGGATATGCAGTAGAACACCTTGGCCTCCATGTCAGGCTCATTCGTTCTTTGAAGAAGCTCCCACCATGCACTGAGCAGTGCATACTCACTCGGAATGATGCTTTTATTCAGCAATCTAATTGTGTCGACAAACAAAACAGACAAGACGCTGACCGCCAACGGCTCTCGCATCATAAGCATATCAGCAAGAGTTGTGAGAGCTTTAAAGCATAGCGCATAGTGTTTGTAGAAAAGATTGCTCTCGCTTACAGCCCGGATGATTGGCGGGATGAATTCCAGAAACACATGCAGAAACTCGCTTCCTTGTCGTCTAAGATACGCATTACAAGTGGTGAGCGTTTGGCAAATACTCTCGATAAAGACGTCTGCTAAATCTGCGTGTGCGGCAAAGCCAGTTGTTGCCAAGAACTTTAGGATTGGTGCCAGCACCTCATTGAAGTATATACCTATTAGATCGTCCTTGTCAGCATCGCTCGACAGTAGGGAAATTCGTTCAAATAGAGCGTGAGCAAACCGAGCAAATTGCACATCAATCTTGCTTTGTTGTGTTGCATTGATCGGGTCTAAAAATTGCTTGTAGGCTCCAAGAAGCGCAAGCATATCGGGACGCACCGAGTTGCTGTCTGGGAGAGCAATATTGGTACCCACAGATGTGTTCAAAAACCAAACACGTATGTGGTTGTAGGCGCTTGCTCGCATTAGCATTTCCAGGAAGTTCGAGATTGCCCTTCTCACAGTGCAGAAAATATTATGCAGATTGGGGTCATTAGATGATGATATAATGTGCTCATGAATAAAGGTGTATAGCTTGAGAGTCCTCCCCATGAAGTGGGAGTATGAGGAAGCAAATATCTCTCCGTTAGTTTTGCCTGCGACGCCCTCACATATACCGCTGAAGATGGAGTATAGTGTGCTTATGGTGCTCAACGTTTCTATGCTCACTGGAGGGTACTGCGAGAGCACTCCATCGAGCATTTCAAACAGAGGCCCCACGTAGTCCATGAAGGTGCTGGAGCTGTCACTTATGCGTCGTGAGATGCTTTCATAGAGGATGATGATAAGTGACGACGGGATCTGCATTGCTATCTGTGGAATGTTCCGGAGGAAACTTCGAAAGCCGGCAGACTCAAAAAAGGCACTGCCCTTGATATTATTCATCAGAAGGGCAAAGCACCGGACCGACATCTCTTGGAGGTGCTCGTTAGGAAAACTAGTGAAGAAGAGCATCTTGTTCAATATGACAAGGAATATGCTTTCCTTTGTGTCAACAAAGAGGGGCATTTGGCTGCAAATATATACAATGCCACTCGCTATGCATATTTTGTGTTCAATTGACACAAGAATGGATGATAGATCAACAAGGTGATTGATTGTCGTGATGATAAGGGAGTCTGAGGACTTGATGCTGCGAGCAACAGCAGGGAGGGACCATGCAATGGAGTTCACAGCAGGAACCGAGAATTGCTTCGACAGATCGGATAGTAGATCCTTGATGGCAACAGATGTTTTGATTGCACGTGTGGTTGCCTCAATGGTCTTGCTCATGACAGCAAACGTGTTCAGCTTTTCACTGTCTTCAAGCTCTCTCTTCATCAAATTGCCATATTCATCGACATAGACGAGTACTTCTATTGGAGGGGGTATGTTACCAATGGTAAAACGCTGAACGGCAGTGAAGATATCTGTGTAGAGCTCCATTCTTTTGAATGCGGGATTGGAAGTATTGCAGGATTGTGCCCTTTTAGCCAAAAAGGAAAAAAACTCTATTAACTGAATGTCAACGACATCAAAGCTTACCTTCTGGAAGACAAGGATTGCTACGAGAAGCTGAAGGGCTGATCGGTACTTGAGTAGGGCAAGCTCCAGAAGCTTTTCGCTTCCAATGCGCTTGGACGCAACCTGACGGAGGCATATCGTGACATCAATACTGTCTGGTGGTATAGAACTGCTGGCGATCTTCTCCACTTGGTCCAGACAGCTAGTGAAGACGCTGCGAAGAAAGAACGAGAGAGAAAAAAGGGCCTCTCCTGTAAGCACTGGCTGCTGCCCCGAGCATGCATGAGCGGTGTTTGCCGGCGGTAACGTAATTATGTTATAAGATAGAGGGGACAGCCCTGGATCGACTCCAGGCGGCGCATGAGAGCTGCCTGTAGCACATGCCTCTACTTTTGCCTTATAGCTCTGCGATACCACGTCCCAAGTGCTATAAAAGAACGTTGAAAGCTTCAGCATAAGCGCGTCTGGCTGAGACTTTAGGGTTGCATAAATATGGCCGAGGGCCTGCAGAGAAAGGTGGTAGATCTCCTGGTTCCCAAAGGACAGTATCTGATGACAATATTCAAGGAGAGAATCAATAAAAGGTAGCAGTTGATCTATCTTGATTGTATTGTCACAAAAAGAAACAACTGCCACCAACAGCTTGAGAAGCAAGGAAAGCAGAAAGATATCTCTCTGTGCACATGCATCACGTAACAAATCCATGAGATACAATAGGATGTTCGAGATCTCAGAAGATAGCTGTCTCTGGATAGCCTGCTTCTGGCCACTCAGCAGCTCATCACGTACTCGAAAGTCTTCGAAAAAGGACGTCAGAATTGTGACAGAATTTATCCTGTCCAGTGGAGTGCTGCGCATGGACAGGACATCACTGAGGAAGGTACTGTAAGACGATGGGTACGTGTAGAGGGCAATCAAGGTGAAAATGGTCAGATACTTACGTCTGACAACGTCATCAACACTTAATGTTTGGGCTGCGAAGCTCATTATATAGGAACACAATTCTTGTTGCTGCTCCGTGGGGATAACGTACCAGCTCCGCCTAATAAACGTTTCTAATAGAGAAAAACCAAAAAAGCGAACCATTGGGGTCTGGGTGGAGCGGTCCTGAGACAAAATGTTCATACACAATTGGCTTGATTGGGGAGAATCCTGAAACTGTCGCAGCACATCAGCGGCCCTCTGCTTCAAGGAGTAGTCTACTGTTTGCTGGTAGGCTTCTACAACTTGTACGAAAAGTGAATAGTTGAATGGCTGAGAGAAATCCAGGAGAGCCTCCATTTTTGAAAAGAAAGCGATTCTAAGTTTACTAGCTGTGCGCTCTGAGCCTCTTCCTGAGCATCTCGGAGTAAGCCTGGAGCTCCTTGGCGAAGCCCTCGTTCGATTCTTTTAGCTGAGTAAATATCGACATTGCAAAGTCCATACCATACTGCAAGCGGAATAGGGACACAAATAGCTCCTCTGCCGCTGTCATTACCGGCTGACTCTTGTCACAAAGAAGAATCTTCAGCTCTACGGCAATGTATATTGCTAGAAGCTTGAGGTGAGCCTCCGAAAGCTCGCCACTGGAGACGCAACGGCTGAGGATAGCAATAGTCGCCAATTTGTGATCGGTGGTTCCCTTTTGGGCTGGGTTGACGAGCACTCTAAGAACAGTCTCAAGACAGTTAATACTAGGAGCAATAAGCTCAGTGATCTTAGCGCACAGAGGCGAAGAGGTGCCAGCGGTAGAAACAAACGATCCTGCCACATGGAACACCTCAGCGTATAACTCCAGAAGAACAAGGTGGTCGTGCGACTCTGATGCCTTGTCTATGCGCTGCTTGAGCCAACAGTCGATTAGCTCACTGATTCCATTAAGCCTATTGTATGCCTCATGGGCTAGCAGCAGAAGTTCTATTCCAGACGGTTGGGCTGTCTCTGCTGAAAGCTTCACCGGAGTTGCTGTTATGAGCTTAAGGGCTATGCGATTTTGTTCGGCAGTTATCAGATTATCTGGACTCTTTTCAAAGACATAGTTCATAATACACTCTATTGCTTTGTCAGCTGGAAGCTGCAGAACGGCCGAAGCGACACATTCAGCTGCAGGGCCCTTATAGGCAGGAATAGCATCAAAAACGTAACAGCGATATATGTAAGATATAATTGAGTCCAGAATTGATTGCGTCAATGGCAAGGTAGCAATCTTGCTCAAAGGTGCTGACTGGTTAAGAGTCACAGTCTGCAAAAGATCTGCAAGACACGATAGTACAGAGACATTAATGTCCACGCTCTCAGAAGAGATTGCAACTTGGTGCGTCGCAGAGCTGTACGATACAGCCAGGGACAGTAGAATATATGCTAACTGCTCTGGTTTTGTGGTTATCTTAGTTAACGTTCTAATTACTCTTGCAGCCGCTGTGCGAACATCTTTGGCTGCGGAGGTGAGTCCTTTCTTAGTCATAATAGTTATGCGAATAGATCCTTCAAAGATCCTGCAATTGGCTGGCGATAGAGCAAGAATGGTGCTCAGCATGTCAAGAAGTTTTGATCTAATGTCCAGAGGAAGCTGGTCATTCAGTATATTCAAAGTTCGCCCAACAAGGCGTGTAACATAGGGCTTCAAAGGCTTTGTTGCCTCTTCTGTGTTGACGAAAATAGGCACCTCATCAATGATCACCGTCGCAACTCCAGGGCTTGATTTTTGCCCATGGGGCACGCTCCCAGCAGTGTGCAAGAGAAAGAGACTGCTAGTAAATACAGCATTCTGAACAGACTCGTTTGTCGTCAGCTTGTTTGACAGTAGAGACATCAGGATATCCAAAAGGGGAGAGAGATCTACCTGGGTGGCCACCACGAGATGGCCTGAGTTCAACGCCAATGCTGAGCGCAGCCCCATATACAGACCATATGCAAATGCTGTTAGAAAATCGTAGTTGCTCGCCCCAGCAGACTTAGTTAGGCTGTGCAGCACATTCATCGTAGCCAGTATGCTTCCTGCTAAACCCCTACGGCTCATAGCTAAGCACACTGCACGCAGAATAGCCTTGATATAATCAGAATCATTGATGATGCTTACGTACAGATCATCGGAGCTAGACGGATCCAGGAGAAGCTGGAGTACATAAAACGCACAAACAAGCTGACCAAAGAACGGAGACTCAAAGTTATCTCTGCAATACCGTTCGAGCATCAGTAACGAGTCTTTATCATCTCCAATACATAGAACGATTGCCTTCAGGATGCAACCGACTGGATGTGTCTTAAAGTTGACGAGGAGATCGGTATCTGAGAGAGCTTCTTCGCTTAGTGATGAAAGGGATCTAGACACTCTCTGGAAGATATCCTTTACGGCAGAGTAGAACGGTCTCGGGAGACCTGTCAAGCACTCTTCCATAAATCGTGCGACTCTCTGGTTCTTTTCACAAGTTCCCAGCAAGTCCTCCTCAAGTATAGTCAACAGTCTATCTATCACAGTCACCATGGTGGCCCTCTTCTTGTGACAAAGAGACACCAAAGTGACAATGGATTTGTCAGCAGAGCTACTAGACTCAAGAACGTCGGTAAGTAGCGGGTCGACGACTATAGACGTAACATCTATAGAAGCTTCGCCACCAGCACCGAATGACGAAAAGAGATTAGCAGCGCTGTACGAAATCAGCACATTGGAGCTAGATAGACAGAGGGACACCTTACCAATCAGCTGCTCACTAACAGTGTCGGCAGGAGGCGGCAGATGCTTCAAAAGAACAGAGAGTATGTAAAGGGCAGAAGACACGTCGGTGTCCATATCGCTAGAGCTCATATCAGCGTCCAGAACGATAGCTACAAGCATAGGGTAGAAGTACTCAGAGGCATAGGTCTTAGACATGCGGACAAGGTCCTGAATAGTTAGGTCTACGATTAGCGGATAGCTGAATACGTCTGGCTCGACTACCTCTGTGGGGTCAATACAGTTGCTCATTTCGAAAAGAAGCTTGTTGATATTGGGCATACACTCCCGTGTCATCTCCAGAGGCTTTTGGACGATGGCCTTCCACGTGGTCATCGCCTGAGTTCGCACCTCTGAGACAGGATCTAGTCGCAGCACAAAGATGATGGACATAAGCAGTTCGAAGTTGCTCTTCCCAAGACGTGTAATGGCATGCTTAACAGCATTGTCTGGAATGAAGATCTTTGTTTTCTCACTTCTTTCTCCCAGAGAATAGTAAGCTTCATTGAGTAGAGCCTTAGCCTTCTTGCTCTTGTCATCTGGCTGGGACTCTAGGATAGTGGACATAGTCTCTGACCCCAAGTCGCTGATAATATCTGCCGTAAGAGATGCACAAAGCGCCCTTGTTGAATGATCCTCAGAAAAGGCAAAGATCTTTATCGTCTGCAGAATAGATTCTATTTGAGAGTTGTCTGTACCGAGGAAGGACGTTGCCAAGATACGAGCAATTTGAGAACGCACATCAAGGAAATAACTTGCATCCTGAACGTTATCCATAGCCGATATAAAGATCATCGAGAACGCCTCTCTGAAGAAAAGCTTGATAAATTCCGCTTCTTGGTCAAGGTCCTTACGCTCCACAATGCGCTTGGTCATATATTGCAATATTAAAAGGAAGGTAACGGCGTTAGCAGATTGATACTGCCGACAAAGATGATCTGCCATGGTGTCGGAGATCTCCAGCGATTGCTTCCCAAACGTCCAATTGCAACGGAAGTAGTAGAATAAACGTAGGTGCTGGTAAAGTTCGTCAGCCCGATCTAGATCAACCAGAACTGTGCTAATAGCCTCTGCTAATCCGTGTGCTTCCGCGTACGGGACCTTACTCTTAAGGAAGATGCTCGACCAGAGCTCATTAACAATGCCGTTAGCGTCAGCTGGAATGGCAGTCGCAAGAATGGCAAGCGATTTTGCACCAGCAGAGCGTATCTCAGGCCTTGTCTCTATCAAGGTAGACTTCAGAGACTGTTTAATCAAGGCTGCGTGCTCCTTGAGATCCATAGTGTTGCTAATCTTGCAGCAAAGAGCCAAACATTCGCAAGCAAGCACCTTTGTATGTACACCGTCCATCCTGTTTCTCCCAATGCTGTATATAGTTGCCGTGGGCATCGTTATAGCCTTTCTGCAAAGAGGAACTAGCAGAGTCAAAGATGCGCCGTCAAGCTTGGTCTTAAACTTTATGTCTGACACGTCGCAGAGAATGTCTCGAAGTAGCGACGGGTCTGTGAATGCAGCTAGTATCCGCGAAACATATGGGCGTATGTCTGGTGATTGCACTGATAGGGTAATGATGTCCATGGTTTTCTGCGCAGCTTCTTTGACCTTAGCATTAACTTCAGACACGATGATGTCTAGAACAACGGGAATCACGCGAGGAAGCATGCTGAAGATAATGCTCTTAAGTAGGGAATGCGAGATGACGGCACTATTGAATGTGCAGATGCAATACATGAGCGTGAGGGCACCGTAACGTTCGTTCCAATCGGATGATGCATCTAGCGCCTTTAGAAGAGTTGACAGGATATACTGCATGCCAAAGGGAGACAAGTTGCCGAGAAGCTTTTCATGTATTTCATCAAGCCTCTGAGCAATAGTTTTGTTAGGCGATCCAGAGAGCTTCAATATGTATGGCAAAACAAGGACCAAGCAAGGCTCAAATAGCTGTCCAAATCCGATGTAGAGTCCTTCCAGGAGAGCCAACGCAACTAGTATTTGGCGCACCTCAGTGGTGCTAGCCTTTCCAAGAGTACTGATATGATCTGCTGGCCCAAAGAGAGGGAGGAGGTATGTTGAAATTACCCCCTGATCCCCAATTAAGCACTCCAGGCCATAATATGCAGAGATACCGGCCAGAGCGAAAGGAGCCCCTGGATACGTGTCAAGATGCTTAATGCATGTATCCCCAAAGCGAGGTATCAGCACCTTGATGGCATATTCCAGGGCTTCTGGAGCATCTGGAGGAAACGCACGAGAGACATTCCTCACAATAGCATGGTAAAGAACACGGCTGTCTGTATTGTCCTGAAGCTTCAATGCTTCCGTGAGGAAGTCAAAGAATTGATCTCGGAAGGAGTGAGAGCATGGAAGCCAGGAGCATACATCTGTCAGGACAGTGATGATCGAGGAGATCCCATTTATATCCAGATAGTGGATGAGGGACTCCTGGTGCAGTAAATACTTGTAGAAATTGCCATGCTTCAATAAGAGTGTTCCATAATCTACAGCAGACTGTGCGAGATAAATGGCAGACTCGGGGATTACTACAGAGGCCATGTAATCATTCCTTGTCGAGCTTTTGATGAAGCAAATTTGGTTTTTATATTTGACTCCGTAAGACATGAAAATGGACGAAATAGCGTCTACACAGCTGCGCCGACAGCTCTCGTCGAAGTCCAAAAAGCCCACGACCAAGGCAAACCTAACAAGCAGTTCTAAACACGACAGCTCTGCGGGATCCTGATGGACAAAAATATAAGGACTTGCCCGTAAAGTATCCAGTACTATGTCCTCACTGAAATAGTTCGGCACCACAACAAGATGCGGGTTAACCTTAAGGTCTTCTGGAGCCGAAGTATTACAGCGTACAAATAAGCACTCTTCCCTCAGTTTCTGGATCCTTCTGTGCTTCTCCGAAGAATGCTCATTGAGCGTTATATTACATGCTATTGGAAACGAGTGTGACGGGAGCATTGAAAGAGACCCTGCTAGAAGAAGCTCTGGGGCGCCTAGAACGGTAACTGCTTGCTGGCACTGAAAAACAGTGATGTTATTGGCCGTCAATAGCTGAGTGACAATAGAGATGGCTGTCCACAGCTGACGTCGCAAAAACGCAGCGGGAGTCCCAACGTCCACAGGCGAGTCCTCAACAGTTGTATAGGAGCACACAAGCTTGTTAATAAGGATGATATAAGCAAGATAAATGGTACGCTGCTCATATTGTAAAAGCCGCCCAAGAAGGTTCTCCAGGGTTTTTGGGAAAAGACCTAAGACATATAGTGAGCAGTTAGTCGTTAGAACATATGTTAAAAACGCTCTGAGAAGCCCTACTGGCTGCTCCACAAGTAGGGGCGTGTGGAGATGGGAGGCAATGAATCGGTCAAAATTGTCCAAGGGGAACTCTGTTCTAGCAATAAAGAACTGACAGCAAAGCTCTGGGGTGTTAATCAAAGATGGCCTGTGCTGAAGATCTTGAGTAGTGAACTTTAAGGCCATTAGCCCGTCGATAGCCATGTGTCTGTTCGATCTCTGAGTTGGATGGGACATATTCTTCAGTAGAGGCTGAATTATAGATGAGTCTACGCAGCTAAATGGTATGTTTTCACAGAAGATCTTTAGAATCGTGCGTCCCAATCTAGATGACTCCCCATAGTCCAGAAGCTTCAGGAGCTGCTCTAGAAAGTCCCGATAGAACTGCCTAGGCATCGATTGTTGAACGGCTTCAGGAGTGACGACCAATACGGCATTCATATATTCAAAGATTAACTGTTTTGCGCTTAGTGTAACAACGGTCTTGTCTTCGACATCAAGAAATGCGTGGAATAACGGCATAGCAGCTTGAAGCATAAAGTATGAACCATGCCCCACCGTAGATTGAGAAGAAAGCGTGTAACAAGCGACATTTGATAGGTAGGCCAACGATTGGAAAGATTCTCCACCGACAAGCACATTATTTGCCAAGCAGTTTGTGAACGCAATTTGCATGTAGAGACGGTTCTGTTGTCTGATGCGGGCCTGTACATCGTTCGAAGATAGTATTGAAAGAAAGTGGTCATAAAGCTGCCGATTGGACTGCTCACCTGTCCTCTTTATCAAGAGTATAATGGCCATAATAAGAAACGCCGGGTTATGTATATAACACGGGATGAAAGAGTACCTGAACTTACCCCCGGGTCCGGTATCTTCATGAGTATCTGAAGAGCACTTATTGAGAGCTTTCTCAATACAAAGAGAGAGCCCATAGTTCAGTAAGGCCACGAGTATCTTGACAAGTGCCGATGCACTGGATGAAGAGAGCCCGTCAACGGCAGAAGCAAGCTCTAGCGCAAGCGCAGTAGCCTGCTTAAGTGTGGAGGCGACAAATTGTGATGGGAATGACGCCCACGCTGTCACATATGTCCAAATACGCTGCTCCAGAGAGTCCAGAAGACCAAGGATATGCTTCCGCCGGGTATCTTCAAATGCGAGAACCTGAGCTCGCACTTCGTTGTACTTGGCAAGACTCTGTTTGTACTGTTGCTCCCCCTTTAGATCATCCGGATCTAGCTTAGGCATCTCGGGCGGCTGAAGACGTGGAGAGTGGAGATCAGATACAGTTTGAGATGATGCACACAAAATCGACCTGTCCTTATCAGTGAGGCTTAGAAGCTCAGCAATGCTAGGATCTAACCGCATAGACTGGCACAGACTAGTAACAAGACATGAAATCGAAGAGTGTGTGAGAAGATGGCGTGTCTGCCTGAAGAATACCTGAAGATCTACACTGCAAATGAGCTTATAAAGGAGCTGTGAACATGAATCGAAGCTGGATATAGATACTCTAGTGGGTGCAGACCAAGAGTATCCCCGAATCAAGTTAGTGCGAACCGAGAAGTGCATGTAAGCCAAGCATAGCCAAAGCTTCCCATGATCTGCCGGCAGTGGCCCAATGGCGCGAAAGGAGGCATTCAGAAGAGCTAGATGATCAACGTCGTTAAATGCACGTGCAATAAGTCCTTGATAAAGAATCTCCTCCCAAGTTCGTATTCTTTCCTCCCTGTGAAGAGACGATGCGAAAATAGACGCAAGGCACGTGAGCAAAAGGCCCACAACTGGGGTGTAGGTAGAGTGAATGGTATCAGTATGCAACAATAGTTTGTACAATCTACTCCAGAAAAGGGAAAAGCTAGCAAGCAATGTATCTGTGGAGGCCTGTCTGCAATATTCGTGAAGCACCGTAAAGATAGTATCAAGTGTTACTAATGGTGACTTAAGATAGCTTGCCTCTATCACAGCCAGTTTTTGATCAAAGTAGTCAGAATCTATGGGTATCTCATCTACGAACGGCTCAGTTACAGCAACTGAGGATCCATAAATTCTTAGTAAGTGTAAAAAGACGTCTTCACCTAAGTATAGCTTAAATGTGTCAGCCAGATTGGCCAAGGTAGTTGCAGGATTTTGCGTCGTATTTAAAAGAAACAGTAGCGTGCCCTGCAAGCGAGTCGACGCTTTTGCATTAAGCACTTCGCCAAGCTTATTAATAAGGAGGTCATATTCGTTAGATATATGGCTATCTCGGGACTGCGTTAAAAGGCTTAACAATGAATCAATGTTACGAATAGTTAAAGATGTCTTTTTCTGCATAGACAAATCTCCCGAAATGATCCGGCAGATCGTAAAGCTACTATCCCTGCAGTTTAGTATCGCAGCTCGCAGCTTAGTGCTATCCACTCTTGGCTTGTCTTCCAGATATGCGTCAAAGAGAAGAGACAGGAGATAGTCCCGCAATTTGACACTAGCTATCACGTAAGTGTGCCAATGACTCAGCGACTCAACGAGAAATGTCAAAAACGCTGTTGGTTGTCTCTGCATTAGAGAAGTCAAGCAGCCCAGGAGGCGCTCAACCTCGGCGGGCAGAGAGTCATCGACGTGCTTAAGCGCATAACGGAGAACGTACTCGTAAGAACGAATGTAGCGGCCAGTGAGCCGCCGCGCATCTGTAAGCATTATCGGCCAGAGGCGAAGGATCTGTTCGGTCGACCCATACTTAGCGATCGCTGGCAGGTGGTCTAAGACTAAAGTCTCTTCGGCCTGCTTCGTTAACTTTTCAATCTCCTGCTCCGAAGAGTGGCGGCCGGACATTTTTAATTTGGTCAGTCTAACTCGAGGGCTGCGTCTATGGACTTCGATACTTTTGAAAAGAGTGCTCGTCAGAACATCGGATTGGCTGATGCTGCACGGGTCTCTGGACGGTTGAAAATCCTAAGGAGGCTCCAGTCCACCTGCAAGTTTGAATACCCAAAGATACTTGGAATCCTTAAGCAAAAGGATCACGACAAGTGGATCACTGATTTGTATAACTGCCTCGTAAAAGATAAGAAAAGCCTCGCAGAGTTCCGCGCTAATTACACAGACATCCAAGCAAGTAAGGCTGCAGAGCAAGCTGCCAAGGACCAGCGGTTGAGCACTGAGCTAAGTAACTCTGTCAAAAAGTATAACCAGGAAAAGCAAGAGTTCATCTCAGCTTCCACAGTGATTGGCAAGTCCACTCAGATAGATAAGAGGATGACACGTTCTGCTGATATACCTTTAGCCAGTGAAGTGAGAACGCCGGACACCCTAGCTAAAGCTCTAGACGTCTTCAGCAGAGAGTTCTTTGAGTCTAACATTGTGCCACGGCCGGATCCAACTCCTGAACTCCTAGACCCGCCGTACGACCCTAACTACCTTTTGTTTCAGGCGCGGATATATGCCATACGGTATGACTATCGCGTACAAGGTGTAGAAGGAAAGGAGGCCACGTGTGCTGCAAGAGTTAGTATTATTGCTGGCATTCTTGGTGGAGACGTCAGAGAAGCAACGCGTTGCTGGGACTTCTACTTTAAAGCGGGGATAGTGCATGATGCCAAGTGCATTGAGAGCTTTGCACTCTTATACGTGCTCTTTCTGGCGAGGTACTCCTTTATAGATACTAACCGGAAACACCAGCTCACAAAGTTAATCGAGCAGCTGTATGCAATGGCCCACCCAGATGCAGCTTTAGATCCACCTCAGGAGATACAACCCTTCACACCTAGTGCTATAATGGTAGTTCATATTGATTGCCTTCATACAGCAGTCAAGGAAGGCACCTACAACGATAGATTATTGTCTCTAATCGGCGGGTTCATAGTATATTCGGCCGAAATTTCATATGGCTTGAAGGACCTCGAAAGCCATGCCCTCTCCAAGTGCGTTCGGCTTCTCATTAGGCAAATAAAGGGCTTTCAAAAGGAAGCATAACTTTATTTCTAAGATTAGCACAAGCAACGTTTGCCTGATGCGGAGCGAGGGTTAGTGACGAAGCAGGGAAAAAATAATGATAGAGTTGGCTAACAGAGCGCTGATCCGCCTACGTTCTTGCAACACAGGCAAATATCTAAGAATAATGAGGACAGGAGAGGTCAATGCAACCGGTGGAAAGGGACCTGACGCAGTTTTTATAGTTCATCGCATAGATGCCAACCACATTAAGCTCAACTCCGCAGAAAGCACTAAATATTGGCTGCGTGTGGACCCAAACGGAGAAGTACATACGGATGGCAATAGTGGCCAGGCTTCGCACTTCGTTGTCAAACACGACTCCCGCTTCAACATCTCCCTCAGTCCGGTGGAGTGTTTGGATTGGCACTTGGGAGCCACGAGGACTGGTGTCGTTCCTCCATGTACAAATGTAACAAGCGGACGTGACGGTAGATTCATTGTCGAGCGGGTCGAGTCATGGCCGACCAACTACTAAAGCTCATCTCCAGCGACTACCAGCTCAACATTACTCTCCAGACAGTAATCTACTCTAATCTCAGCGCAACAAAGTCTTGTAGCAGCTAACGAGCGCAGTAAATCCCACTCGCAACACTCAGACGCCAAAATCCAAAATTTGTCTTAGTTCTACTTGAGCACCTCTGGACCCGTGGTAGCCCATGCAATCAGCCCCCGAAGGCCTTATAGACTATCAGGACGAGAGAGATGTGGCCATTGCTTGGGAGTTCAATCTTTGGAAGAGCGCCGAGACGGCACGATTCGAAGCTGAGCTCAAAAAACTACAGCAGGAGCGGTTTCAGGCGATAAGAGACGAGTTCAGCGCCCGCTCTGCTGCTCTACGAGAAGAGTATGCGGCAAAATTATCTGCCATAGAAGATTTGGAGGCATCTGTTGATGATGCTATCGCAACCACCGCCAAGAAGACAGCAGAATATAAACTACAGCGGCAAGGTCTAAGCAGGGAAGCAAAAATGATAAAAGAAAATCTACAGAAGCAGATCACAGAAGCAGAGACAGTCGCAAACGAATCTCGGGCTGAAGCAGAGGCAATTCTGGCTGCGCAGAACACAAAAGCCGATCAAATGGAAAGCCAAGCCCGGTTCTTCTACGAAGAACTTCAAAAGGTCCAAAAGCGCAGGGAACAGGAAAGTGCTCAAATCATCAAATTTATAGCTTCGAGCGCAAATGACCCTGGACAGCAGGCTTACAATAATCTTCTAGAGCTGCAAAGGGAAATGGACGCCGCGGTCTCCAAGCGCGACTTCCTTGAAGCAGAGTTAGCCGAGCTCAATGCTCAGCTGCAAACGCTTATGACCAATATTGCTATTCTGCGGCACGGTCTCTCTCCCGATAGTCCCCTGAATTAAACGAAAGGAAGCCGTAATAGGGCTTAGCAGGGAAAATCTTAAACTAAAAATTTTGGCTGCGAATCTATGTCCGCCAAGGTGAGAGCGTCCATTCAGGGAGTCGTTGACCATATCTTTTCGACTCATAACTTGATAAAGATTCTGAAGGGCAGAAATTCTTTAAAGAAGTCCAAACCGGCTATACTACTATCCTTTCCAGACTGCAACTGCTGTCTCTCCGACAAACATATGCCGTCCGAAACACATCTAGACTTGGATTCTCTTGGAATTGATTCTATAGCGATAAACAAGTTGGAGTCCCCCAAGGACGCTATGGTGTCGTTCATGTATCGAGTTGGTCCCACAAACGCCTCTAGCCCCATAGAGAGTCCGTGTAGGACCCGGCTGCCCCACGATATCCTTGTCGTTGGGCATGTATATGTGTCTAATTACGTCAAATATGTGACTAGCTTTGCCCCTTCTCTTATTTATCGCGTTATACTGCAGATTGATACCTCCAAAAGCAAATTCATAGATTTTCTTGAGAGCGCTTCAAACGGTACTTCTTCGCTTTGTAGTAGCAGCATGCTAGAGGACTCTAGCTGCCTGTCAGTGGCCAGCAGTCTGATGTCGTCGTTCTCCTTTGCAAGCAAAGATCTGGGCGGCACCTCCCGCATATCGACTTACAAAATAAAGCCATACGGCGGCGAGACAGTCGAGATAACTAAGCCTCTGATGAAGGAGATGACCAAGTATTGGAGCGGTGCAATTGGATCGTCATTCAAAAAGGCGTACTATTCGTCTAATACGGTATGGATTGTGGTGGAGAAAAATACTATTGTCACGACAGAGGACGATAGCAGGGTATTTACTCTTTGTAATGTTACTTGGGTCATTCTAAACTGATCTCTGTCACGCTCTGGGGCACACAGAGGGGCGGAACCAGTAAATTAAGGGAGTGCAGGCAACAGCTGTGCGAATCAAGGGCTAAGGCTGCCGTGAGGGAGAAAGGAGGGCGAAGAGCATGCGGACATAGCTCTGTGGTTTGGACATTTGAAAAAACTGCAAAAAACCCTATAATCTATGAGTGACTCACTTCCAGTGCACGCATACAAGACTCTTGGCGTTCCTGTCGGGTGTGAGGATGACAACCTTATTGACAGCACCTACCACTCGTCTCGCAAGCTCCCCGTTTCCGAGCATGCAACCCCGGAGGAACGTGACGCGGTTGTGCGAACCATCCTTCTTAGGCGTCTCTCCTATGCATGTATTTGCAGCTCCACACGCCGGTCCATCTACCATCAGGTCTCGAAGCTCATCTCTGATCTCTCGAAAGACCCTGTTTCGGCCAAGGTTATTGTTGCTGAACCTCAGATAAGCTGGACAGATGATAATGCCCGTACTAACTACTGGAGGATTTGGGCAAAGACTGTGGTACAGGGGCCCGTCGGCTTCTCGTCGATCAACAAGGCCAAGTGGTTTGATCCCACCATTCTGCGCGGCTTTCTCTCGTATGCAAGCGTCACAATTACTGCCAGGCTAACTATATCCATTACGGCCCACTTTTATAAAGCAAATCAGACGGCTCTATCAATTGAAACAATGCGCCTCGAGAAGGTCGCTACCTCTGCTGGAAACGCCATTCTTCTTGGCTCCTCGCAGACAAGGGCAGACGTGTTCAAAAGCTCTATTAGTGACATCTCTGATACCGCGGTAGAACAGCTGGCTCCTCTTGCAGGCTTCCTGCGATGCTCCACGGGAACCAGCATTCCCAAGAAGATCGAAGTTAAAGACTCCCAGCAGATTACTTCGAGTGCTTTGAAAGACGCGTTTACCGATGACGCAGTTATGGATCTGACGGCCTCTCTCATTGAATCAGCAGGGGCTGTAATAGGAGCCACAGAAGCAGAGGTGGTCGATTCCATAACCAAGAAGTATCCCGGTCTCACCGGCCTGGATCTCTCCATCAGCAACGTAGACATTAACGCGTCTATACCCGAGCACCACATGTTTACCTCCGAAGCAGGAAGCGTTGTTGTTCTGCAGGTTCCCGTCGCTGTTCAAGGCTATAAGTGGGACCAGACCCTCAGATACGTCTTGGTTAATCTCATCACCGGCAACATGTGTGGCACTGCAGGCGTGAGCAGGAGCAAACAGGGCATAGGCAAGTTTGCTGCTCTGTTTAAGGGCAAAGGCAAGGGAAAGGACAAACACAAGGAATCGGCTCACGAGGCATCAACCTCGGGGAGTGTAAGCAAACCAGACACTACTCCGAGCACTCAGGTTGAGGACCAGACATCGGCATCACTGAAGCCGGCGTCAGAGGCAGCGAGTGCACCAGCAGCGGCATCTTCTGCAACGTCGCCGCCACAGCTCAAGACGACGTCGCCACCACCACCGCCACCTCCAGCGGTTGTGTCTCCCTCAAAGCCACCGGCGCCGGCAACCCCCACGACTGCAGCGGACGCTTCCAAGCCTACCTCGGACATTAAGCCTGCAGGAGCGTTCTTTATCAATAAGAAGATTCTCGGGCCCATTGACTCGGATACCTCGTCGTCCGATTGATGCTCCTTGCCGATTTTACGCAAACTGTATTTCCTTTTGCCAGATTGCATTACTGATTATTGATGTTAAAATGTTTACCCGTTGTAAATTTTTTAATGGGGTATATAATTTTCCTTACAACATTTTATACATTTTTGCGTTTTTTAGTTTTGTGGAGCAGTAAAACGCCCGAATGACCTACCAGCATTCCTCTGGTACACTCGACGGTCATGCTTTTGAGGATTCGTCTCTCTGTATGGACATGATCCAAGGAGGCGCTGTAACTGCGGCGCACGCTGAGGATTACAAGGAGTACAAAGGCGAGTGTGATGACGCCCATAATCCGTACCCGACTGAAGGGTCTTACCACTTCAACTCCTTCAATCAACACGATAATAACTTCATCGTCCACTACGCCATCATGCCTCCGTCTCTCCAGCTCACACAAGACCCTGCTGTCTCTGTTTCTTCACCCCCCACCCTTGCGTCCATGCTACCGGATGCTGACGGGAAAATCCTCGCACACATGCAGGTCTTCACCTTGGTTAAGGAGCAGACCACAGACAAAGAGCTGTTCCGTCTCGACATCGACCACAACATAGAGTTTAGCAGCAAGGATTTGCTATCCTATACCGACTTTCGCAACGTACTGCGCTACAAGACACAAGCTGGCTATTTAAAGACCCAGTTTTTCAGGGTTTGTCTCCTCTCTGAGATAGAGCAATACAAAGCACCTATAAATAATATCGTTCTGTCGCGGCTGGCTAAGCCTGAGCAAGAGACCACGCATAAGAGTATCATGACGCAGATCAAATGGATCGTTGACGATGACTCTCTGCACCAGGCCTTGCAGAAGTACTATTTAGAACAGCTGAGCCTAAAACAGTCGAAGTCCAATGATCTTAGCCGACTCATTGTCCCCGGGTCTACTGATTTCTGCACGAGGATTCCGTGCGGGGAGCTGGACCCACAAGCACGGAATTCAAGCAATCCCTCGCGACTGCGATTAGCTGTGGTGAGGTTTACCAAGACCCAAGCTCAGAATCTGGGAATTGAAAAGGACTCGGTAGAGCACAAATATTACCTGGAGGCCATGTCCAAGAAACGCACGCACACCCGCAGCACGACAGAAACTGGGCGCTACATGGGTGAATGGCTGCGCGGTGACTTTAGATTGTACGATGACGTGCTAATGCAGAACAACAAGAACAACCTGTACAAGTTAAAAAACTCTACAATCCAGGACAACGACCACATCAAATTTATTTCCAATTTCAATGACTTCGCTGTTCCCCGGTCACTGGGATACGTAACGGTTCGCAGTAGCGTAACTTCCCAATTTCTGGACTTTGTAATAGACTTTCAGCAGGCATGTGCAAAGACCCAGTTGCCGCCGCTTAAGGTGCTGGCCCAGATGCCGGACTACGCAGACTTTTATCACACGTGTGTAGAGCCGTTGCTGAAGGACTCTCGGCCACTTCCCCCCACAAACCAAGCTAATCCCAAACAGCCCTGACACGGCTCCGTGTCTGCAGTTGGCCTGCAGTCTGTGACTTCACGACTTTGTGACTTCACGACTTCGTGGCGCAAGCTAAAGGAACACAAATCCCAGTTTTATTCACTAATCTCACAGTCTCACTGTTCGGCTATCGCGTCGATTTCCACTAAAGCGTCCTTGGGAAGGCGGGCCACCTCAACGCAGATCCGCGCAGGTTTTGACTCGGTGAAGAACTCGGCGTAGACCTCGTTGACCTTGGCGAAGTCATCCATGTTCTTCAAGTACACTTGGCACTTGACGACGTTCTTCATGGTTGTGCCGGCAGCCTCGAGAACGCCCTTCAGATTCTCGAGGCAGAGGCGTGTCTGGGCCTGAACACCGTCGGCAAGCTCGCCGTCCTTTATGCCGAGCTGCCCTGACACGAAGACAAGGTTCCCGGTCTTCACAGCCGGGCTGTACGGTCCAAGGCAAGGGGTGGATGTTGCGACCGCTTCAGGCATTTTTTCATTTTTCTCCTTTTCTCTTTTTTTTGACGATGATTCCTCACTCCATCACACAGCCCACACATCCTGTAAACTAAGGAGAGGGTTCAGAAAGGAGATGGAGGCTTCATGCTTTTGTCTGTGTTTTGTATTAAGGCTTGCACGATCTGATCATCTGATAAGATCGTAATGTTCTGCATACTGGCGTCAATGGAGATGCGCGTGTGATTTTGGTTGCTAAAGATCACGGCGTCTGCTTCTGACGGAACCGCGATAACGGTGAAGGGCAGTGCAACTGGTGGAGGCACTGGCGGAGCCCCTTGGTCCCATTGCGGTGACAGCAGCGCCTGGCTGTTGAAAAATGTGTAGTATGCATGTTGCTGGCTCAGCACACTTATCCGTCCTTCCAGCTCTGCAATCTGTGCTTCTAGCTCCTCGACAGAGGCATTGTCATCTCCTTCCTCGGCGGCAGTAGGGACGATAGCATCCATGCCTGCAGCAACGGGGTCATGCTCATTCGTCTCCGAGTTTAGTGTGCGAGAGGAATCCTCGGTGACAATGGCGGAAGAATCTAACTTTGACTGAACCTCAGCACTGCCTGAGCCGGGTAGATCTGGCTTGGGCCCATAGTGAGGAAATCCGTTCCAATAAAGCATCTTATTAACCTTCTGAATGATCTCCAGCGCTATGAACGTGGAGAGTGCATCGTATATGCGCCGCTTGACCGTCGCGTGTTTGGCAGTATCTTCATAAAGCCCGAGGCGGCGCAGAACTTCGCTTTCAAGCTCCACTTGTTGGAGTGCCCCGGCTTCGTACATGACTGCGCGTATGTTGAGGGTTATAGAAGCCAAAAACCCCTCTCTTTCCGACATTTTTTAAATTTCCTCTATCCATTTGCTGTCGTGTCCCATAACTTTTCTGCTCCGCGATAAATAACCACGCACGCGGCTTCCGTGGCTGGACCGAAATCAACTGTTTGCTTTAACCGATCTAGACCTGCCTCTATGATATCCCATGCGCTGCGGTAGCCTGCATCACGCAACGCCCGTGCCCGCTTTTCTCCCACGCCTGGGATTGCCAGCAGGTCAGAGAGATCATCTAGGGTAATCCTTCGTAGCCTATCTGCGAGAAGTCGATAAACCTGTGCGGTGGTTGTACGTCCAAGGCTGTCCGAAAACTGTGCCATTGCATTGCTTTGCTGAATTGAGTGCTTCAGCAATGCCTCAAGTGACCCTCCATCAATCCCAAACAGCGTACGCACTTCCGTAAAGATTCGTTCAAGACCCGCTGCCGCATGAAGCCCTTCCACCCTGGTGAGGAACGTGTATGTAACTAGCCCGTTGTATGCGGCAGCCATGCCCACGCTGCAGGGACCGCTGCTATTTAGCATCTTAGCCTCTATCATGTCCATATTTAGATGAAGCTTCGCAAGCGTCGGATGAAGGATTGCCGGATCCATTTGAGATGCAACATTATAGAAAATCTCATATTTCGGTGCCAGAAGGGGGGTTTCTCTGAAATGAAACGGAAGGGTAAAGAGCTGATTGGGGGGTATATCTTTCGTAGACTCGCTTTCTCCGGACGTTGGGTCACTGAGAGATGCTACTATCGATGCATATATTGGTATAGTTGTGCAGCATATATGATAGTCGTTTCCAACCAGTAGCCCTTCAGTTTGGAAGGTCTGAAGATACGTATAGATCACCAGAGAATTATAAATGTCTGTTCCTGCATCAACGCACGCCCTTCCCCGAGGTGTAAGGCGCACAATACCGTTTGAGAATGACACAAGACCAAGGCTCTGCAATACCTCCAAAGCTCGAACGACGTTTTCGTGCTTAAGCGACCCTTGAACATGGGCAAGTGTTGACTCTATGAACTCCCTGACGGAAACATCGTAGATGCAGCTGTTCAGAATCACTTCTGCGCTGATGCTTGATTTAGAGAGACTAGATAATATCGGACGAATCGTGTGCAGCTCCGAAAGCAACTGTTCTGTGGCGGTGACTACGTCAGATTCGGCACTCAACTTTGCCAAGACCTCCTTCTTGTCCCGCTCGGTGAGCAATAGAAATGAATGGCCGCTGGTGGCGAGGCCCATGCGACCCGCACGCCCTATCATCTGTCGATATTTAGCTCCGTCCAGTTCTATAGACCCAATCTTCTGATATCGAATGATTACTGACCGTGCAGGCAGATTGACTCCTGCAGAGATCGTAGTGGTTGCAACAAGGGTGTGAATAACTGAGTTTGAAAATGCCTCTTCGATAAGTGTACGCTCCAAAGACGCCAGTGATGAATTGTGGTACATGACCCCTGCTGAGATGAGGGGTGCCCAGGAGACATCGCCCAGCTGCTTCAGCTCGGTGATCAGCTGAGTGCGCTTTGCTATGAGTTCAGCGGGCGGGCTAGGGAAGCTTGTGCGTATTATCTCGGCTAGGGAGTTTGCCACATCGACGGTCTCATGCTTAGTAGTCACAAATATGATCAGCGGTTTCAGTGCAATCAAAGAAATAGTATTTAAAGGAGATATGTTGAGCTTGACTTTTGTAATTGGAGAGTTAACGAGGATTTGACCTCTTGGCTCGAGCTTCTTGGTCTGGGCATTGAAAAGGTATAGGTTTCTGTCTACAAGAACATACTCTTGAAGAGAAATCGGTCGGAAGTTGCACTCATACACGTAGCAACCAAGCCACCGCTGAAGATCGGAAATATTACTGAGGGTTGCAGACATGCCCACGATCCGATAACAAATTGGGATGCGTGCAGTTTTTTCCAATAGGATAAGCTGGCTAATGAAGAGCTCCAACTTGCATGCTCGAGTAGACCCGTCCCCTATGAGATGGATTTCGTCGAACACAAGTAGCCCTAGATGTGCCACCAACCCTTTCTGAAGAAACTTGCTGAAGACAAGAATAGCTTTCTCAAATGTACACACATATATTATGGGTCTAGATCCCGAGACCCGTGGCACTTGCTTCATCCCAGTGATCCCGACTACTCCACAACCCGGAGGAATGATGTCCCTCAGTTTCCCAACAAGCTCATCAGCCAATGCAACAAAGGGAACAGCAATGATGGCAGACTTCTTGCACAGAGATAGACATCGTAGAATATAGATGAATGCCACCAGGCTTTTTCCAGCCGACGTTGGCGCTGATATGAGGATGTGGCGGTAACACGGGGGAACGTACTCATCTTTCTGAGTCTCTAGGGGCACTGTTTTCAATAGGAGCTCGCTTTGCCATGGCAACAAATCTTTGACTTGCAGATTTGCAATAACCCCTGAGGGGAGACCGAAGGTCGTCTGCTCTAGAGACAAGGGCATAGGTGCTGCAGTGTCCTTGGTCTCATCATCTTCACGTAACTCAGTTTCACGTGCGAGCAGTTTCTGTACATACTCATGCATGCCTGTGAAGCACTCCTGACTGAAGATGTCAGCATCGTGGGGTGTCTGTTGAAAAACGGGATGCCAGTGGGTGTATACTTCTTGGAGCGGAACATAGGGGCTTGGCCTTGGGGGCTCGGGCGTCACTCCACCAGTCTCTGAAAGGGTGAGGACCAGTGCATCGATAGCCTTGAGCATCGAGCAGGACTCAGAATGTGACTAGAACAACCGATAACAATTATTTGCCCCAATGTCTTTTTGCTTCGGAAGAAAAGAAGATCATCTCTTTACTTGCTTGCCTACCGGTGCTTCCTGGTTCCGGGTGCCACCTGCTTACTAGTATAGTGACATAAGTGACAGTACCTGTCCCTGTAGATATGTCCGAGAGAGGGCAGATTGCTCTTAGAGTAATGAAACGCTTTGATTTTATGGCTTATTGCAGGGCCTTTCGAGAAACTAGTCATCTGCATGTGTCTCCTGAAATAGTGAGTCTGCACACCTTATTTACTTGTGCACAGAAGAAGTCCGGACAGTGACGGCTTAGGTTACTCAATCAACTAAGTTATAAAAATTAACTAACATATTCGATAGACTCCGTTGCTGCATCAGGGGTGTAGCAAAGAGAAGGAAAAAGCCTAAGAGCGATTTACTCTTTATAAGTGTTTGTGTGTATTCAACAAACTAAAACAAATTATAGCTTGTGTCAATCTGTCACTCAACATTTATAGAATTGATTGACCAGCAGGATTGACCAGCAGAGAAGACCGTTCATTACCGTTGGGGACCCAATATTTGCGACATCATAGCATGCCTGTCCGAAGAACAAAATCGAATAATAGGATACCCACTAGCAGAGTATGTCTTCTTCGTTTATAGTGAAGTGACGACAGACATATTTTCGACAATAAGGACAGTGACGCTCCATAGACGTCAAGCAAGCACTGCAGACAACCATGTGTCTGCATGGCAGAAAGACGACATTGGGATGGTTGTCTAAGCACACTGCGCAGACGGAGTCATGTGAAGCATCAGAGATCTCCATAGTCCGCGTCCGGTGCATGTACCGACGCCGAGCTTCTCCGCGGAGCCAGAACGAAGACGACGAGGCCATGAAACTATCGTTGATGGTGCAGAGATGCATGAGGCTCTCACCACATCGTTGTTCTTCCTCAGAACGCAGAAGACTAATGTCTAGATCATCAAACAAAAATGACATCAGGGTATCCAATAAGGTGTGTGCGTGAATCGCATAGAGAGTGTTCTTACTCTTCCAGAGCATATACGAAACAATCGGAGAAAGGTTTCGGATGAATTGTAAACAAACACTGGCACTTAGCACGAGAGTGGACGTATCTGTTAAGATGCTGACAAGAGACTGTACAGACTTTGTGCAGCGCAGACGCATTGCGTAGTCATATGGCGTTTGAAGATGCTTATCGGAAAGCCTGTTCTCCGACGCCAGGGACGATACCAGATGAGAGTGCCCGTTTTCAACAGCATAGATCAATGAGGTCTTCCCGCTATGGTCACGCATGTCCGCTTCGTGTGGAAGCAACTTATTGACGAGCTCCTTGCAACCCTCCTTGGCAGCATACATGAGCGCTGTCTGTCCCCGCTTGTCACGCATGCAGACCTCCGTTGATAACAAAAGATCCGCTAGCGAGTAGTTTTTGCTGAGACAGCAATACATGAGGGCCGTTAGACCGTCGTTATCGTGTATTCCTGCTTCACTCTCGATGAGCCCCGGGACCCCCGGAGACAGGCACGCACGCGCGGCATACATGAGTGCAGTCCGTCCGTTCTTGTCAACCATGCAATTTTCCTTGGGAAGCAGCGCTCTGATAGCATTTCTCTGCGAAGAAGTGACAGCATACATTAGTGCCGTGCGACCTACATCATCTTGTCTTTTAGCCAGATTATCCAGGGCTATAAGTGACCGAGTCACCGAGTCGAATGCTGTTTGGGCAGAATACATCAGGGCGGTCCGCTTTTGATCGTCAGCAAGTTGATGCTCGAATACAAGAAGCGCACGGGCGACATTTTCATGATTGTTAACCAGCGAAAGGAGAAGGGCAGTCCGTCCTGTAGAATCGCGCATCCCGGCCTCTGTTTTGGCGAGAACTCGCGCCACGGTTGAATGGCCATTGACGGCAGCAAACATCAAGGCAGTTAAACCACTCTCCGACTGAAGTTGCGATTCATACCGAGCCAAGAATGCTACTGACTCTATGTGCCCGCTAGCGGCTGCCCGCATCAGAGCCGTCCGGCCCTTGTGATCTTTAATCTTGCACTCCTTTGACGCAAGAAACTTAAGAATCGGCATATAATTATTCTTTGCAGCGCACATCAACGCCGTCTTGCCATAGAAATCAGTCATTCTGCTTTCAAACGGAATGAGGTATCGTATCACGTTATCATTGTTTGCCCTTGTGGCGTACATTAATGCAGTCCGCCCCATGGCGTCAACGAGACCCTTCTCTATGGGTGAAAGTAATCTTACAATCTCATCATGCCCAGCGTGGCTGGCTAGCATCATAGCTGTCTTCCCCGCCAACGACTGCATTCCCGCCTCGTGGGTGACAAGTCTTTCAACCATCTTAATGTCCCCCCGCATTGCTGCGCGCATAAGGGCTGTATTGCCCGCAGAGTCGGATAGCTTAGCTTCATAAGGGATCAGACGGTCTCCAAGTGCCAGCACGACTTCGGACGGAGGATCCTTCGCGTCCATCAGGAGCATAAGCGCAGTAACTTCCTTTGCAGCCTGCTTCCCTAGCTCTGCCTTTTGCTTGGCCAAAATCATCGCAATGTGCCACTCATGCTGTTGCACGGCATACATAAGCGCAGTCATCCCCTCACTACTAACTATGCCCGCTTCATACGGAGCAAGAATAGAGACACACGCCGGCCTCTTATTTATCACAGCATACATGAGAGCCGATCGTCCGAGCATGTCAGTTATTCCCGCCTCCTTCTCAGCTAAGAGCTGCACTATATCCTCGTGCCCTGCTTCTACTGCATAGATGAGTGCGCTCTTCTTCAAATTATCAACCATTCTAAGCTCCCTTCCAGCGGCTAGAAGATAGGGGATGATGTTTGCATACCCCTTTTGGGCAGCGCACATCAAGGCGGTGGTTCCATTGTTAGTGATGAGCCCAGCCTCCAACGGAGCCAAGTACTGGACAATGTTTGCGCAGCCATAGAAAACTGCCCAGTGAAGCGCAGACCAGCCGTGGTTATCCTGGAACCCGGACTCGTATGCGTAAAGAGACATGACGCAGGAGATGTTCTGGCGCTTTACGGCGATCATTAGCGCAGTGACACCCTTCCTGTCAACAATCCTCGCCTCCTTGTGTATCAAGTACCGGACAATATTAACATATCCCCGCTCGGTAGCCCAGCTGAGGGCCGTGCGGCCTGTGTGGTCAGTTTTACACGCATCCTCTGGAAAGGTGGCCATGACTGCTCTGAGATTGTTAGCCTTTGCTGCTCTAATCAGAGCGGTGTCGCCGCGCTCCTCGCCGTTCAACCCTGCCGCCATTTTTAAAAGGTTTAGTTCAAGTACAGTTCAGCGCAAATTCACTAATCAACAGGCGGATGAACCACTGAGAATGGCAATGCACTCGTCTCTGTCAACCTGACTAACTGAATGGGCAGAAATGCGGGCGTGATCAAGTGCGGTCTTCCCGCTGGAATCACGCATGTCGCCCTCGTGCGGAAGAAGCAGCTTCACAATATCGTGGCGTCCCCACCTTGCAGCCTCCATGAGCGCTGTGAATCCCTCGCCTTCAAAGTACCTCTCCGTCGTTCTCGCGCGCGATTCCCTCGAAGCTAGTATGGAGACGGCATCGGAATTGTTCCAGAAGGAGGCCATCATCAGTGCAGTTTGTCCGTTGGCGAGCCTCATCCCGTGCTCACGAGGCTCAAGGAGACGAACACACTCTGTATTACGGCTGTGGACGGCAAACATGAGCGCAGTCCATCCGTCAATGTCCTGCAGGCAAGCCTCGTATCCGACAAGAAGCTCGACTAGCTCCGAATTGCCAAGTTCAGCGGCACGCATCAGAGCAGTCTTTCCGAAGGAGTCAGAGGACCTTGCCTCATTGATATAATACTTGGCACCCTCAAGATCGCCTCTCTCAACGCAAAGCATTAGCTGGGTTACACCCTCTACAGGGCGCACAACTGAGGAGTCAAAGGTCTTATTGGCATACACGTCAGGCTGGATGGGTGCAGCAAGAACGGGCTCTGCCTCATACGTGTTGGCTTCAACGGCAGGTTCCTCCTCCTTCAGGACCTCGGCCACGCCTGTGTCTGGCTTGGCAAAGGCGCTTGGAGCGGTGGCGTAGACCGGCTCAACAGGAACATCGTACTCAACAGCAGGCTCTTCAAGTCTCTTCACAGACTCAACGAGAGATGGATCCTGCAGTGCTGTACAGACTACACCCACGTCAGAGTCCTCCGGCTCCTCCAGCCTTTCAACAACGCTCACAGTGTTATTGTAAAGATCATCATCGGCGGCAGTAATGATTTCAGAGACAATCTTCTCTGCTATAACATCTGGAGTGGGGTCGGGAACGGGCTGGATAGACGCTGTGACGCTTGCTGGGAGGATATTCATGTCGACGGGCTCGCGTATGTCCTCCGCAGGAACAGAGGGAGCACACGCCTCTTTAGCGATGAGGCTAACAATCTTTTCAGCGGCATCTACAAAGTCAGACGTCGCCGGCTCAGTGGCAAATGTACGAGTCTCGGAAGGTGCATAAACAGCCATTTCGGAAGGTTCAAGAGTAGAAACTGTCGGAGTGTCTGTCGGCAAAGGAGGCAGCTCAAGATTTTCAGGGGCCCTGGGCTCAGCGGTGAGCGACCCAGACATGGGTGTAGAGATGCGCTCCACCTGCATCGGGTCTCTCTGAGGTTGCTCTTCGGGCTGCTCTTGGATTGGCGCAGCAGGTGCCGCTGGCTCCTCAGGCTGCATAGAGGGCGGCTGAGACTCGGACTCCTCAGATAGCCCAAGGAGATAGCGCATAGACGGAACAGACCCCTCGCACACTGAACGCATGACGTCGTTGATCTGGGGCTCCAAAAGCAGCTCCAAAATGGATGGACGGTACATCGGATCCACCTGCAAACACCGAGCTATAAAGCCGTCAAGCTCGCAGGAATACCTATCGGGGAGGCGCTGGATCTTCCCGTGTTTTATCTCAGCGACTATACTAGCGTAGTCACTGGAGATCCAAACTGATTGAAAGGCAGCGATAAAGAAGAGAGTCGTCCCCAACGACCAGATATCGACCTTCTCTGTGATATTCGGCTGCATATCTAAGATCTCTGGGGCTTGGAGGAAAAGTCTGCCCAGGTCAGCGTTGCCCGAGCGGATCTCCCATGCCGACTGCGTCGGGCTTATTCCACCAACCTTGCACTTTCCATCGCGAGAAATAAAGATGTCGGAAGGCGTGAGATACCCATGAACGACAGGCCCTATAGGGATTTCAGCAGAGTACCAGTCAATCATCATCTTCTCATGTGGCTCGTGGAGATACTTAAGAGCAGACCCGACCTCGGCAGCGATGTACCAGATGTGCTCCTCGGGAATCTGCTGGCCGTATGCGCTCATGACCTGTATTGCCGTCCCCAAAGTTCCTAGACACGGCTCCATGATAATGTATATTGTGTAAGTCTCGGGAGCTATGATTGTGTTATATGTCTTGACAACGTGATCGTGATTGAGGTATAAAAGGGCGCGCGCCTCGTGGGCCAGGGCGTTCGCCTCCTCCTGGGAGAGTTGTGAGTAATTCACAACCTTGACCGTCACCTCGGTGTTGTTACTCGTGTCCATTGCCTGACAAATGCATCCAAGGGTCGTCCTACATATATCTGCTGTCCAGACGTAGGGGGCAGGGAGTTGAACCGCAGCCATTAATTTCTTTTTAAAAAAGTCCGCCTTTTTTAACTGCGCAGTAAAGCTTAGATTGATTTACTAACGAGTCGACACGTTACAGGTTCAGGACCTCACGCACTCTGCTGCTCTTATCTGCAGACACGTGCTCCCATGGGTGCATGGCATAGTACGCCACATCGTTCCCATTATTATCGGTAGTGTACTTGTCGATGTACCCAAGAAGCTCCTGGAGACACTCGGGACGTCCCCACCTTGCGGCCTCCATTGCAGCCGTGTAGCGCTCGCCCTGCCAGTACCTGTCGTTGGTGGAGATGATGGCCTCAGTCGGGGCGAGCACCTTGACGCACTCGCAACGGTTCCAGAAGACGGCAGTGAAGAGCGCCGTGGCACCGTCGCGACGCTGCATCCCGAACTCCTCGTGGAGAAGCGAGACGCAATCGGCGTGTCCGTTCTGGGCAGCATACATGGTTGCAGTCCACATGTACTTGTCCTGGAGGCGAACCTCGCCGTGGCCCATTGCGTCAGAGACGATCGCGCGGACACAATCGGCGTACCCGTGCTCTGCCGCGTACATGAGAGCGGTGCGGCCGCACTGGTCTGTGGACCCTGCCTGGTGGAGGTTGTTCCTGACGCCACTGAGGTCGCCGTCTCTGGCAGCGATCATGAGGTCTGTGAGCCCGCTGGGTGGCTGGACGATATCGCGGGTCATCTTCGGAGGAGCCATCGTGGGAGCGTCTCCGTTCTCCGCGATGCACTGCGCAATCTTTCCGCTTGCACAGAGCTGCTCTGCCTTGGGGCGGGCAGACGAGTCGAAGGAAAGCATAGAGTTGATGAGATCAACGAGGTCCTGGCTGTATCGGCCGTCGTATGGCAGGCTGATGGCCCCGCGAGTGTACACCTCTCCCTGCAGATCGTTGATATTGCTCGCGCTCCAGGCAGTCGAGTTTGTCATCATGGCATACCCAACCATACCGATAGAGAATATGTCACAAGGACACGAGCCCTTGGCGCCAGCCTCGATGAACTCCGGCGCCATGAAGTGCGCCTCGCCGAGCTGCTGGAAGGCCCTGTAATTGCCTGGGTTCTTGAAACTCATTGTGGGGCAGATGTACGGGTACCCAAGCCTGATACGGGCGCCGTCAGCGTACAGGAAGATGTTGGCAGGGTGGATGCCAAGGTGCGCAAACTCCTCCAGTTCTGTGTCGGGTTTCTCCTCGCTGTGCATGAAGCGCGCGGCATCACAGAGGGCCGCAACCACGCGCCAGACCTCCTCCTCGGTGAAGTTGCTGTATGACTGAGCCTTCGCCATCATCACGTCGTAGAGGGTGTTAACTCCGTAAGGAAGACCCATGGTCAGGAGGGCAGACGCATCGTCGTTGAAGTAGTGGGACAGACGCGCCAGATAAGGGCTAAGAAGATCCGGCTGGACAGCGGTCGACGAGTTGTTGAACTCGCAGTACTCGCCCGTGCGCCTCCTGAGGGTAGCTCGGTCCGACTCGTCAAACCCGCCATAGGAGCAGGTGAAGAGAGCGATGTTCGAGCTAGGATCCCTGGTCGAGCGTGCAGAGGCAATCTCGTGCACGCCGGTGGAGTAGATGTCCGCAACGGGCTGGTAGTCCATGGCAAAGGCCTGGCCGTCCATTTTATTGCCCGCTTTAAGCGGTTTGACCAAAAACCCCAAATTCCATTTTAAATTCGCTTTACTGTGGTCACAGATGTTCACTCAGCGGCAGGGGATGCTAGAGAATGCGCCGGCAGCGATCTAGTCGCGCTCATACTGCTCAAGAAGCTGTATGGACTGCTCTTTGCGATCTTCCGGGACGTGTGCGTAGGGAGCACGGGCGTAGTCAATTGCCCTATTTCCAGACGCGTCCTTCATACCGTGCTCCTGCTCGACAAGAAGTTCAATGCATTCCAAACGGGCCCACCTCGCTGCTTCCATGAGGGCCGTGTACTCTCCGCCCTGCCAGTGTTTGTAGTTTGTTGTGATCCCCGCCTCTAGAGGAGCGAGGATGCGGGCGCACTCGATGTGGTTCCAAAAGACTGCTAGGAAGAGGGCAGTGCAGCCATCTTTGCGCTGTATCTTTGCTTCAAGAGGTGCAAGCATGGAGACGCAGACGAGGTGCCCGTTTTGCGCCGCATAGAAGAGCGCCGTCCACAGAAACGAGTCCTGGATGCCTGCCTCGCGGTCCTTAAGCAGCTCCACAATGGATGATCTGCCCATCTCGGCGGCATACATGAGTGCTGTACGCCCTCGTGCATCGACCTGGCATGCCTGCTCGTCCAAGAGTGCCATGACGGTCTCTTCGTCTCCGCGGCGAGCAGCAACCATGAGCTCCGTCACCCCTTCGTCAGGGTTGACAAGCGTGGTCAGCCTCGGGAGCGTCTGAGGATCTTCCCCTGTGGCCTGGGGCGCTGGAGCGGCCCTGCTCATGGGCACCGCAGTCGCGGGCCCCCCGGAACCAGCTATGTCTGAGTCGGACGGCGTACGGATAACCTCAACCTCCATGGGGTCCATCCTCACTTTTTTCTGTAATTTGTGAATTTTAACAAAGCCACGCAGGCGCTTTACTCTCCGGGAGTCTAGAGCTCCTAGGCCCTCTCGAGGATCCTGATGCATTCCTCCTTCTTGGCGTCATCGAGAATATGGTCCCACGCGTGCTCACAGTGGTAGAGTGCTGTATGACCCTTTTTGTCCGTCATCTTCGCTTCATAGGGCGCCAGAATCTCAACGCACTCGACGCGGCAGCACTTAGCCGCCTCCATGAGGGCCGTAAAGCCCTCCCCCTGCCAGTAGTGGCTTGTCGTCGTTGCGCCGGCGTACTTAGGAGCGAGTGCCCTCACACAGTCCGGCTTGTTCCAGAACACCGCCTGGAAGAGCGGCGTGCATCCGTCCTTGCGCACGATAGGCATGTCTCCCTCGTACTGAAGAAGAGCGTTGACGGCCCTGACATTACCGTTTTGGGCGGCGTAATCGATCGCTCGCCAGCCATCCGAGTCTACCTCACCACACTCACATGGCGCCAGCAACTCGACAGCCTCGGCGTTCCCAAGATCCGCAGCGACCATGAGGGCGGTCTTCTTCTCGTTGGGCGTCTTCCATCCGATGTCTCCGGAGTGCTCTCCGACGAGCCTCTGCACAACATCGTTTTTGCCCGTTCGAACCGCGTTCATAAGAGCAGTGACAGTCTTGGACTCAGGTGCCGTTTCCATGAGCGGGGCTGGGGTTGGGACCGGGGCTGGTGCGCTCCTCTTTACAACTACCTCTGCCACCCCTTCTGGCAGTGGTGTGGGAATCCTGTGGACTACCTCATCATCGGTAAGCATGATGCTGTCCGCAGGCGCATCACCGTAGTAGCTGGTGAGTGCGTAGGCCGCTGCCTCATCGTCCACCTTATAGTCATTGCCCTGAGCGCCCGCGTCAGCATAGGCATCAGGCTCTGGAGGAGGCGTCTCCACCCGCACAACTTGCGCGACGTCCATGACGCTCTCTGCAGGGGCACTGCCATAATAGCTATCAGGGGCGTAGTAGGCGGACTCATCGTTGGCACCCTTGTAGGCATCATCCATCGTGGCATACATATCCATCTCGGGCGGTGGTGTCGGGACCCTTGCAACCACTTCCTCGCCGATAGTGCCCCTGGTGTAGGAGGCTGCGTCGACTGTCGCATCTGGACGAGGAGCGTTAAGCCAGTACCTCTCCCATGGGTTGTTGTCATCGAAGGCAATCGGGTACACATTGTTCGGATCCAGGGCGAGGACCGGGGAGTCGTTGGACACAGGGGCCACTGCCTGAGAGATCGGCCTGGAGAAGCCGATTGCCATCCACGGGTTTTGCAGGCCGCCCGCTTCGATCTCGTACGCCGCCTCGGTGATTGAGGGGTCGTTGAGGAGATCGCCGGCAGTGGGCCTGTAGCCCTGGTCCGGCGTCATCATGCGCTGGAGCATGTCATCAAGCTCGCGGCTGAAGCTGATATCGAGGCCATCCTTCTTTCCTTCTTCGACCTCCACCCTTAGGGACTCCACGTTGGTAGAGTTGAACGGGGGCCTGCGCATAGCCATGGCGAAAATGCACGCGCCCGCAGACCACACATCGGCAGGGCACTCGGTGTATTCCCTGTTGAGAAACTCAGGCGACGCATAGGCGAGCCCCGGGAAGCTGGCGTCGCCCTTTTCATAGAGCATCCTATGCTCCAGGGGGAAGATGTTCATAAGCTTCACAACTCCGGAGGTGTTGAACACAATGTCGTTCGGTGTGATAAACGAGTGGAAGATCTTGTCCTGCGAGAACTCCTGTCCCTGCTCGTTGACCGCGACATGGTTGGTGGTGGAGAGATAGTGGAGCCCCTTGATGACCTGGTAGGCCACCTGGCAGACGATGTTGTTGAGGAGCGAGCGATCTGCCTTCTCACACTCGTCGATGAGGTTCTGAAGCGTCTTGAAGAAGGGCTCCATGATCACGTGCAGGCGCGTGCGCGTAATGTTCATCTGGACGTCATATACCTTGAGTACCAGCGGATGGTTAACGGACTTCAGGAGTAGGGCCTGGCGGTGAATTTCCGAGACTTGTGCATCGTCCATCTGCGTGCAATCAAAGCTCTTGATAGCGACCTCCTGGTAGTCGTTTCCCATGGCCAGGAAGAGCATGCTGTACTCTCCTGCCGCCAAAGTCGTCTGGAAGCGGTAGCCTTCGGGAAGCTCGATGCTCGACATCTCGTGCCAATTTGATTTTAATCTTCCCAAAAAATGAAAATTTTGCGCCTTTCTCAAATTTTGCTGCTTACCTATAATCTTAAACGCAATGTCAGTTGAAACCTTGTAGTCACGCAGGCCAGCCGACTGAGGGCGACTCAGAACGAGTAGTGGAGTCGGACAGTTCCATCTCGGAGTCCACTTCTAGGCGTAGACTCTGTGAGCCTGTGGTTAAGTTATAGCGCGTACTACTGACGCTGGATGGGGAAGATGTCCGAGAAAGTGGTTCTGAGCCCTGAAGGTGAGGTTCTTGGGCAATAAGCGACAATGTTGACATGACTGTAGACCGCGGCGGCATGCGCCTAGATTCACCCAAATCCTTACTATGCTGTGTTTCTTCCCGAAAGAGAGGAGCAATTGTAGTTTGAACAGGGGCTCTACAAACTGGACATACCTTATGAACCTTCGATAAGCAGCTCTTACAACAGGTCAAGTGTCCGCAAGGCACCATAACCTCCTCAGCTTCTTGCTCCAGGCATATGCAACATCCTGGCAGCTCTGTATCTCTGCATATGCTCTCCATCTGATCGGCAAGCTCTTCTGCAAGAAAGGGCCCGTCGTCACAAAAGGAAGAAGATATAAAGTCTGTCAGTGCCCTTGCGTCTTCCCTCATAGGGCTATCCTCGTATTCTTCATCTACCCCGCAAGCAAGGGTGTTTAACATTGATACTATTATTGCCCGGATTGAGACAAGATTTCCAGTATGAAGTGCCATAGCTGAGTTATAGATGAGAGCCCCTACCCCATACTTCTCCTGCGTGATTGCATAATCGAGAGGCCTTAATCCCTTTGGCCCAACCAACGAGAGCTCAGAGCTTAGGAGCAGTAGTATGCTTGAGATATTGGCTCTTGCTTCTCCAGTAAGGCCGTGCACGTGGGGGTTATCTATAAGGTAGAAGAGCGCAGAACGCCCACGAGAGTCACATAATCCTGCTTCTGCAGACAGCATAGAGACTACGGGGACCATTTCTGCCGAACTCTCATGCCCACAAAGGCATGCGTACATAAGAGCTGTGCGTCCAATGGAATCCTGTGCTTTTAGTTGTGTGCTGATGAGCTGCTCAACTACCTCAGGGCGCGTAAGCCTGGCTGCATGCATGAGAGTCGTTAGGCCCTCTGTATCTACATCCCCCCTGTTGAATAGTCCCAACAGAAGCCTCAGATCATCATTCGTGGTATAGGCTGAGGCTCTGCGATTTTTATAGTCAACGAGGTGGCCTTCCCCCTTAAGGAGGAGCTCTACACAGTCCTTGGATCCGTGGTGTGCGGCTAGCATTAGCGCTGATCTACCCTGTTTGTCCTGTAGTCCCAACTCGCCAGTCTTTTTAATTAAGATCTTTACGCTTTTCGCGTTGCCATGTCGAGCGGCCAGCATGAGAGCAGTATATCCCTCATGAGATCGTTTGTCTCGTAGATATGGAGCAAGAAACTCGACGACTTCGTCAAGATCTTGCATGGCCCCTGTCATGAGTGCAGTAAGGCCGCCTTTTCTTAGTAAATTGGCTTCACACAGAAGGTGCATGGCTATGTCTCTTGTCTTCGCTAACATCAGGGCTGTCGTTCCGTCAGCCATTTGCTTGTTGAGCTCCCTGTCGGACTTTATTAGAACTAAGGCGCAGCTCTTGTGTCCCATTCGGATGGCAGTCATGAGAGCCGTTTCGCCGTTGGCACGCTGTAGCCCAAGCTCCACGCCATTCTTGAAGCACGCAAGGAGCTCAACCAATTGGAGATGGCCGCGCCAGGCAGCGTACATGAGCGCAGAAATGCCGTCATTGGTCTGTCTTCCCGCTAACGACAACAACTCTTTTGCCGTGGTTAGATGATTGTGAATGGCTGCGTGCATGAGCGCGGTTCTTCCAGCATTGTCGCACAGGTCTTTTTCCTGAGACAACAGAAGTGCAACGAGAGGGGTGTTGCCGGCCTCTGCGGCACTGATAATGGCGGGGCGTCCACTGGGCATGGGACAGGTGCGCTCGGTCATTGACGCCTCGACCAGCTCCAAGCGCCCGCTAGCTATGGCGTTCATCCACAGATAGCCGTCATTCTCCGCACTGTCTTTGTCATGCATAGACCTCCGCCCCACTAATGCTCTGAAGCAGTCGTCAGATAGATGCCAGTTTGAAAATTTACTTTGCACAGTCGCACAGGATCGTGAAGCGCTATGAGAAGAACTACGTGTGCCCAGCAATGTAAGACGGCTTCTTCATGTTGAACCACCTGTCGATGGTCTCTTTGACAGACAGCTGGTGCATGAAACCACGTTGGAGTTCGTTGTACAGCATGAAGACAGTTAAAATCGCTGCATAAAAGACGAGAACCGGGACAAAGACGGGTATGTCCATGAATGGAAAGAGAGACGAGAAAAATGCTATGAGATGCGCAGTGGTGTACTTCCGCCAAAAGTCAAACTCTGGCAAGTTACGCCGATAACCCTTGTCCTCTGTGTCGTTTATCGGTAGCCCTCCTTCTGCCTCTTCGAACGGGGTGATGAAGGCGACGAAGGCAACGAGGATGTAAACATAAAGAAAGTAGGTGATCATAAAGTACTTGCGACTGATTATGATCCTCAGGAGAAACAGAAGAGTCAGAAGTGCTGCTCCAAGCCATCGGTACAGTTTGTATTTGATTGTAAGGTTGACATGCGCCTCTACCTTTGTCTTGTATTCTGCGTAGTAAGACGCGGCAATCTCTGGCAGCGATGTACCTTGCATGTTATATCTTTCGTGGAACAGTACAAATTGGAATAATTTAATTGAAAATGAAACCCTTTGCAGAGACATTTGGCACAACATAAAGATGGCTTGAGTCCAGGTCGGAACACAGGAGCTGGTAGAGACATGGTCCAGCACGTTGAACTCTGACACTCTCTGGTCTGGATCCAGAGGCAGCAGACACCGAGTGGTGAAGAAAGCGACGAAAGGAATTTAAAAATTGCTAAAAGAATGGAACAGGCGACGTCACGCATACTGAAGGAGGGAGGCTCTCAAGAGCGCGGAGACGATGCACGCCTGTCAACCTTGGTCGGGGCTATTGCAATCAGCGATATGGTCAAGACAACCATGGGCCCCAAGGGGATGGACAAGATCCTCCAGAGCGTTTCTGGAGGGATGAACATTACAAACGACGGCGCCACGATTCTGAAGTCTGTGGTCGTCGACAACCCTGCGGCACGCGTCCTCATTGACATATCTCGCGTCCAGGACGAGACGGTTGGCGACGGAACGACCTCTGTTTGCGTCCTTGCCGGAGAGATTCTCCGCCAGGCCCAGCAGCTGCTTGCCAAGCGCATGCACCCAATGACCATCATCGAGGGCTTCCGAGCCGCCACAGATGTCGCCTTGAAGGCTCTGGAGTCTATTGCTGTGGACCACAAGCAGGACGCTGCGGCGTTCCACACAGACCTACTTAACATCGCACGCACAACACTTAGCTCTAAGATACTGACATCGGTGCAGGAGCACTTCGCCAAAATGGCTGTTAAGTGTGTTTTGAATATGGAGGGTGACACAAACCTCAAGAACATCCAGATCATCAAGAAGCCCGGTGGTACTCTCCTGGACTCATATGTTGATGATGGCTTCCTCCTCGACAAGCGCATCGGTCTCTCTTGCCCCAAAGAGATATCCAACGCAAGGGTTCTCGTTGCGAACACTCCCATGGACTCTGACAAGATTAAGATCCTGGGCAGCAGAGTTCGCGTGGATTCTCATACAAAGCTTGCTGAGATTGAGGAAGCTGAAAAGGCAAGGATCATTGCCAAGTGTGATAAAATTGCAGCCCATGACATCAATGTATTTGTCAACAGACAGCTTATTTACGATGTGCCCATGCAAGCCCTTAGCAAGAAGGGTATCATGGTCATTGAACACGCAGACTTTGACGGCGTTGACAGACTCTCCTTGGTCTTAAATGCAGACATTGTTTCGACGTTTGATACCCCCAATAGTGTCAAGATAGGCTTTTGTGAGAGCGTTGAGGAAGTCCTTATTGGGGAAGATCGTCTCATCAAGTTTTCTGGACTCCTTAAGAAGACGTGCTCCACCATCGTTCTCAGGGGAGCTTCTATGCACATTCTCGATGAAGCAGAGAGGTCCCTCCACGATGCACTCTGTGTACTCTCGCAGACTGCTGCACGTGATTCTCGTGTGGTCCTTGGTGCAGGGTGTGCAGAGACCGCGATGGCAAATGCTATTGAAAAGGCGGCCATGAAGACTCAGGGGAAGGTGTCCATCGCAATGGAGGCGTTTGCTAAGGCCCTGCGGAGCATTCCTGTGATCATTGCAAACAATGGAGGCTATGACGGGGAAGAGCTAGTGTCAAAGCTCAGGGCCCTCCACAACGCAGGAAAGACAGACTTTGGTCTCGACATGAGGACAGGGACAGTCATGAACGTAAGACATGCTGGGATCACAGAGAGCTACATGTGTAAGCAACACGTAGTTCTGTACGCGGCAGAGGCTGCAGAACAGATACTAAGGGTCGACAGCATAATAAGCTGTGCACCTCCACAGAAGAATTGAAGCTTAAAGATGACGAAAGCCTGTAGCCCAGTAGTAAATACCCCAAGATTTGTCTGATTGACAAATTGATTCTGAATGGTTGCTGAGGATTGTGATTGACATACGTTTACTTACAAGCGGAAGTCTTATTGTAGCCATGTATGTAGATGCTACGAAGGTCTAAATCAATTCCGAATCAACTATACTAACCTATCATGATGACCATGATGCAACGCAAAAAATAAAAATGAGTAGAACGCCAAACATTGAGCACGCTAACTCCTCTGACGGATACAATGTTCGTCGTCCAGAAGAGGTTACAAGGCCTGGTGAGAGGCCGCAACGACGCTATGACGACGCACGTGATGAGAGAGATCCGCCTGGCTTCCTCGCTGGCTTCAATCCCATGGCCTCGTTCCAGCGAATGATGGATCACATGAACGATTTCTTTGGGAGTACTCGAAGCATTTTTGGAAACATGGATAAGATGTTCGAGGATGCGCGACACGACCCCGAGGGCACACACTATGTCAGCAGCACCAGTATGTGCATGCTCCCCGGGGGCGTGAAGGAGGTTAAGCAGCGCATAGTCTCAAACGGGAAGGACGTAGAAACGCATACGAGAGCAATAGGCGACAAGTACATATCGAATAAGCGTGAGCGGGACATCAGAACGGGTCGTGAAGACGTGAGTCGCGACCTCTACGATGTCAAGGAGCACGAGGTAGACTCCTTCACTCGGGACTTCGACGACAGAATGAGCAAAATGCCCATGCGCGAGCTTTTCGACCGAAGTCACCAAAATGCCTTGTTCGGCGGGTGGGACGAGTACGATCGTGCATATGATACGCGCAGGGCGCTGCAGGATCGCAGTAGCAATCGCTACGATAGCCGCAATGATGATGGCTATGGCGGTCGCCGCCGCGATGACTACCACAGAGATGAGGATCGCTATGGATCCGATCGATATGCGGGAAGACACTCATCCGGTAATCGTCGCTACTAACTAATTGCTTTGTTGTCTCTATCGAGGCACTGAGAGTGAATTTTTATTACATCTGCCAGGCATAACAGGTGTTTCAATGGTCATGGTGAGCGTTATTTTTGAGGTGGTGACGCTCCTGTGGGTGCTTTGGTTGGAGTTGGATTGCCGGACTCGTTGAGCTTTTGCATAGTAGCTAGGGGCTCTTTATTTGAGATGCTCTTATTAAGAGGAACAGATGGGGTAACTACTCCATAGACAAATTCAGTATGTGTTTGGGCGAGGGAAATGGGCCGTACATTGGGTGTCGCCAAAGCAGGGGTCTGCAAAGAAGACCCACCAGTCTGAATAACAGGCGTAAGGTGGAAATTAGAAACCAGGGTTGAGAATGCAGACGCTACAGAAGCCTCAAAGCGACTGATCAGATCTGAGATGGAGCACACGGCCATGTTGGTAACCATAGCAAAGGTGCCCTCTGAGGCACCGTCAGCAGTGGCCAAACAATCCTTCTCAAGATCTGCGGCCAGCAAGGAAATTGCTGGAGCACTATCTCGAATTGTAGAATCTAGCACAGCCCCGCTCAGAAGTTTGTCTACAACACCTTCCTGAATATATGTGTGAGAAAGTTGCGCAGTTCTCTCCACAAGCGTAGCATGAGATGTATTAGAGATGCTGCCTAGCTGGACTGTGAAGGCATCCATCATGTCCATTAATGTTTCCCCAATCTGTGTTAGCTGTTTTATGGATTTGGTAATGGGTGCCGCTATACTTCCTGTTACCTCCTTATCAAAAGACCTCTCAAGAAGCTCTTCATACTTAGACGTAGCGTCCTTGACAGAGTCTGTGTGACTAGACACGATGGCTTGAGAAAGGTTCATGGACGAACGGAGCTCACTGAGTTGTCGAGTGATGTCTGCGTATCTTTCAACTACAGTAGGTACGTCTTTAGCTCTCCATGTGTCGACAGTATCTGTCAGTACGCCGATCCGACCATGTTGAGTATTGCACTGATTAGCGAGACTGTCCTTCAACTCCTGAGTACTAGATCTTAGCACTTCAGTAAACTCCGAAAGAACACTTTTGTGCGCGGCTTGCAGCTGTTTCTCCAGATTAGAGACCAGTGCGTGCGTACGATGCTCCACTTCTCTTGCTAGAAATGAATCCAGCCCCGAAAGAAATGCTGTTTCCTTCTCAGCAAAAACCTGAATCTGCGCTAAGATATTTTGCAGTAGCAACTGAACCGATTCGGAAGACTTATCGAGCGCACTAGACAAGTTATCAAGTAAGCCCAGGGATGCAGTAGACCCTTCTGTCAGCTTGCGAAGGAGCTCGATTTGAGGATTAACAATAAAGGAAGATAATCCTTGTCGTGCCTCCTCCATAAGATGGCTTTTCATCTCAGACGACAACTTCCCCAATAAGTCTGTCTCTAAAAGTCCTGGAATGCTTGTACCAAGCACTTCTGCAGAGCTTTTGAGAACAGGAACCATAAGCTTCTCCAACAGCTTTTCCAAGCCACCATCTAAGTTCCTCTTATGCTCATCTAGGACCTGGGTAAGGGCTTTTGAGAAGAGTGAGAGCTCTGCCTTGCAAGCAGATACGGTTTTCTCTATCTCTATTATCGCAGAGGAAATCCCGCTCTTATCAATCATGTGACGAAGAGAATCTAGACCAAATACATTTTCAAGAATGAGAGAGGCCCCGTTAGCCCTAAGGTGATCCAGCTGTGCTGCGTTAATCTTTTCTTTATCACGACCAAGAACAATCTTCTCATAAAGCCGACACTTCTCCTCGTGGAGCTCATTCACCTTTTCTACCGTCTTATTCAAAGCTAGCTTCAGCTTCTCGACCTTCTGCTCCCCTGAAACCAACAGTGCGGTGACTCGCTCCATCTCCTTAGTTGCTTGCTGTATCCGCGCTTCTAGGTCTGCGATCTGGGCCTTGTTAACGCGCGCCGCCTCATTCATCTCGTCATAGTTTTCAACGGTAAGAAAGATTCCTCCCTGAGCATCCTTTTGAGCAGAGAGCAGCTCCCGTAGGCGCTTTATCTCCAGGGAGTATTCCTTCAATACGGATTTGCCGCTAATCTTCGTGGTCACCTCTGGTAGATTTTTGATCTTCTTAGCTCTTGACATGTACTCTAGGGTGTTAGTGGTTTCGTCTAATGCCAGGTCTGCTGTGGTAATGGTCGCAATTATGCATGTCTTTGTTCGGCCACCGAGTGAATCCTGTAGTAGACGGGTCAGCTTAGACTCTCTGTACGGAATATGCTGCTTTGTCTCTGTGAGAGCGTTGATGACACGGCCAAGCGTAAGAAGGCTCTTATTTATCTTACTGGCTTCTTGCTGGCGATCTCCTGATGCACCCGATTTACCGGCTGATTCGCTACCTGCCAAGTCCACAAGGTTCAGCTTCGAAATACGTATGACATCGATATCGGTATTGTTATTAGAAGAAGGCGCCGTTTCCTTTACAATTAGACATATAGTGAAGATGGAATGAGAGCGTGATGAGCTGGAATTCATCTTAGTCTCTGCCACGCGTCGATTCTCGGTCGACTTAATCAAAAGAGACATGATCTCCCCAGGAGATTTGACAAGAACCTCCTCAAGGCCCAAAATAACGAGTCTTCCACCTGCTTTGTCCCCTGGTTGAAGAAGGTTGGTGGAGGGCAGGGCAGTAGAGTCTTTGGATTCTTTAGCCTCATCTGCTCTATGACCTTTTGGAGTAACTCCGTATGAAGACCGCTCTTCGAAAAGTTTAAGCGCCTCTCGCTCGTCAGATGAATCTTTGAGTAAGTCATAGATTTCTTCACAATAGACCTCCATGTGCGAAACGCGAACTTGGTAATCTGCATTTTGACTATCAAGCACAGAGAAAATCTCATTACTTACCCTGGGTATCATGCCTGCGTGAGGGATGGTGGAAAAATCGACGTATTTTACCCTCCGGTCCCCCGTAAAATGCCCTTGATCACCTATCATTGTATATGTTTTCCCTGTTCCTGTCTGACCGTAAGCAAAGAGAGTACAATTAAATCCATCGAGGAAGTCCTTGACTACTGGAGATACGACTTGTCTATAAAAGAACTCTTGGCTGGCGGTTTCGTCGAATACTTTGTCAAAGAAATAAGTCTTTGCTTGCTGTCTATTTTGCTGACTGATCTCGATAACATTAGCAGACGTGTTAATCCGGACCACCGACTTAGAACTGTGAGCAACCTCGCGTGTGTTCAGAGGCCGTGCACGCACTACTACCGCTATGTTAACTTCCTTTCCGGAAGCGGTTGGACCGGCTTGATTCCCAGCGCTAGTCATTAAAATTTTGAAATCTTTAGCCGTACCTCTTCCTTCTTATATCTTTTGTCATTTCAATTTACTCATCCACCGTCGCTTGTTTGGTAGCACCAGGCTATGGACGCTTATATTTATTCAAACTGACACATGGGTTACTATTTCATGTCTGTGAAAGATATCTTGATATCAAGCTTTTGTGATAAGATGCGGCAAATAAGTTGCAGCACCAAAATCGGTAACAGCTTAAACGATAAGTTCTTTAAAGGCATGCAAATAAATTATGACTATCAGAATACAGGGCGTTAAAGCAAGCATTGAATCATGTTGTGCACATTCAGAGGTATATGATCGTATAATCTTCTGTTCAGGACACATATCTTGGGAACCACTGCGTTGAGTCCTCTAGACCATCACTTGGAGGGCGAACCGTCATGCAATGCAGAGCTGCATGTCAAAAGACACACATCTGTCAGAAGAAGGTTGAAGGACAGATCCACAGGCCTTGCATGACTCGCTGGCATTCTTCTGTACAGAGCGTAATGTCTCGTGACAGGGAAGTCGTAGTTTTGTCACCAACCCCAATGGGGCTAAGGCATGGTCAGCGCGGAACTATGCATCCCTGCTGTGGTGTCCACAGAAGTGCTTGTCGAAGAGGATGTTCGCTCTCTCTGAGGGCACACACGAGGAGGAGCTGTGTAATGCGAAGAGCCTGGCACAGACCTTAAAGGGCTCAGGCTCGTGGTCATAAAAAGTCGCTCCTGCCCGTCTCCGCAGGTACTGCAGTCCTCGATGGTGGATCATCGCGTCTTCTCCTTAACCGGCACGTTGGCAGCCTGGTCTCTGGCGCAGTCACGCAGAGCATCGGGCCAGAAGCGCCGACTCGTTACCTCCTTTGCTCGGCCAAGTCCCGTGTTGGCCACAGAACACGCGTGTCTAGCCCCAGTGCGTAGCCGCTGAATCCTCAACAGAGGGACGTGTTCAGAAGTCCGTTACGCTAGCATGGCTCACTACAAGCAAAATCCATCTGTCTCTCAGAGAAGAGGCGGTTGGGCCGTGTGTTGCGCATCAGGAGGCCTTTATGAAGGGCGCCCGCACGTCTCGTCACACATGTGCGTCCGAGTGACAAGTAGTAGCTGGGGATACGGCCGCCCTCGGCCTCGCAGACATAGTAGGTGTGCTTACTGGTGTTCAAAGCAGTATGCCGTTGATCGTGGCATGCCTCTTCTCCAGGAGAGCTGGACACCACTCGAATTGTGACTGTGTGCCATAGACGGGTGCTCTCCTTGTTACTCTGTAACACTCGTGCGCATCGGGACCGGCGATTCGCATCTGTGATCCAGACAGGAGCAGCGTCTTGTATTTCCGAGTAAGATGCAGCCGACCTGCGAGCCTACGTGTCGATTTGCAGTCTATAACAGGCAAGCGGCAACCAGGTGGTGTGCTACTCACGTGGACATTGCAGACTCTGCATCTGAATCGAGAGGCTTGACAGCGTACCGATTCCACGCTTGGCCGCCATGGAGTCGCTTTCTTCTGCTTAGTAGCAAGCAGTCAGGCTTTACCGGTAGGAATGATTCGGTATAGTTGAGCGGCCCGAATAGACCCTAGCGACACCACGGCTTTCTGTTTATATTAAACGCTTTCGCTGTACTGGGGTCTCAGTGAGAAGACGAGCACAGATCCAGGCATGCAAGCCTTTAGAGATGCGTACTCCACGCAATTCCGGTGTGCTCGCCTGACGAGTCCTACTGCTCTAGCCGGCATACCGTTAGATCCTTCTGTACAGATTGAGCGAGCAGATATTAGCATACGGGTCACGTTAAGTATCTATGTTCAAGGCAGCTGCTGCTGAACGGGCACACCCAGAGCCACTGTCACGTAAGATGCCAGCAAGATTCGCGGCCGCAGATCACACTGTAATCTGGCGACTGATTTGGTCATGCCACTCCTTTGTTCGCTGGAAACTCGGCTGGGCGCGGTAGAGAGCACGTCGGGAGAACCCGGTGGGAGGGGACAGGCGGGGCTTTCTGCGCCATAAGGGGAGCCGCCGCAGGAGGACGCGCAGGCACGCACACCAGGCCACAGTAGACACGCGGGCGCCCCTGTAGACCGGGCCGGCAGCAGGCGTCCGCAGAATCCGCGCCAGAGCCAACTGCTCAAAAAACTGGGCAGCCTCTGGTCGTGTGCAGGCCTTGCAGAGCGCTGCGGCCCACGACACTCGGTGGCCCCTCTCAGAGCGGAGGACCTCGCAGGCCGCAGGCAGCAGCTCGTCGTCGGCGATGCCCCGAACGAGGGGGACGGCCCCAGCCTGCCCGCCTCCGCAGAGCTCTGGGCATATGCAGACAAACCGGGGCTGCGCAGGGTGCGGCTCTCCCTAGCGGCCGAGGGCAGGGGTCCTCGGCAATACCAAAAAACTCCGATCAATACATCAGCCCCGGCGCCGCTGTATGTAAAGCAGTCTGTTCTGTGTGGCGGCCTAAGCCAACTCGTACTGCGGCGATGGCCCGGATGGGGGCGCCCTGCTCGCCCGACGGACCGGGGCAGGCAGGCAACAAACACCCGCTAAAGCTTTTGTGCAAGGCCTGTACATATTTAATTTCACATTATTCGTTGGTCTGTTTTTAGTTTTATCGCCGCTTCTATCGGATGGGCTCTGGGGCAATGACGGCGGAGACGCGCGCCTCCGTTCTGCTCGAGCTCGCGAAGCAGGTCGTCGCTGCCCGGCGGCTGGGGGAGACGGCCGAGAGCCTCGTGCGGCGGCCGCTGCTCCTCCACCGGCACGTGCTCCGGACGGCCATCGACTGGAAGAAGATCGCCCGCGCCCTGTCCGAGGACCGGAGCAGGATCTACCACTGGTACCGCGAGACGCACTCGCGGAGCATCCTCAACGTGAAGATGACCGGCGAGGACCGCAGGGCCATCAAGGCGATGATCATCGCCGGGGTCAGGGACCGGAGCATCCTGGGCCCGGACTTCTACCGCAGGGTCCACGAGCGCTTCGGGATGAAGTATCCGCGCCAGGAGCTGCGGATGACGTACAACAACGCGCTCCGCACCCAGGACGTCCGCGCCGCCCTGGAGGAGCACGGGGTGGTGCTGCCGCGCCGCACATACGGCCCGAGGGCGGCCAAGCAGGAGGAGGAGGCATCTCCTGTGGCGGCCTCTCCCCCGCCCCCCTGCGTTCTTGGTTGCGCCGCGCCTCCGCTGGTGCCGCCCGTCGGGGGGCCGGTCTTTGTTGCCCCGGGCGCGGTCTCTGCGCTTCTGCCCCCGCACGCGCCGGGGTGCCTCGTCCTCGCCCTCCCGCCCGGGGTCGTTCCTGGGCCCGGCGTCCTCCCGCTCCAGACGGGCCAGGGTCTCCTCGGGTCGCCCGTTGCCTTCGCGTGCGTGCCATGCTTCCCCCCTGTGGGCTACGGAGGCGTGCCTGGGTGCGCTGATACGTGCCCCAGTAAGGGCTAAAGACTGAAGAGCCCGGCTTGCTCGGTGGTTGGCGAAGAGTGGTTGGTAGGAGCAGCTAATGGCCGGAGCCTGGTCAGTGGCGAGGCCGTCATGCCTAGAGCGTGCAGCATGCTCAACCACGGCACAGCGCAGGGCCCACCAGACGCAGCTTACACATCGTTGAAGAGACCACACACAGCAGGAGAAGGCAGGTCTCTCCCGTGTGCGCAGACGACTCGAACACCGCGGTCTGGGCCAACGATCTACCAGACAGGCCCGTCCGGTAACAGGCGACTGAATGCTCTCTGGGCCGTGAGCTAGGGCTGATGTGCAGCTGGTCAGCCACGGAGTCCACCCTGGCTGGTCCTCTGCCTGCGTGCGCCGACACGCCAAGGAGCTGTAGGGAAGTCGTGTGCTGTCTTGACAGGTATACTATTACCTCCATGTCTGCATCCTGGATGTGGCCATCAGGCACAACTACATCTCTGATCGTCCTGTACACGCCTCCTGGCACGAGTGGGTGCGCCGGAGGGGGTGCACTGCCCACCGCCGGGAAATGGATGAGCTCCCCTGCTCAGGAGCCGACGGCCGCCAGCCATGCCCAACGAGGTCCCCTGCAAGGAGGCTTGTTGAGCTGGTCCATCCGGGGGGCTGTGTATCCGGAAGAGCTCCGCGTTGAATGGCCCCTTGATTAAGGAAGCCGGAGTCTAGCGCGATGTGACGACTGCCCGTCTAAGGCTGAGACTTCGGTCTGGTGCTGGCTATTGGACGAATGCTAGACGGGAGACGGCCAGAGAAGACGACCTAAGGCCCTGTTATAGTTCCGCGTCTACTCGCTCGGTGTGACTAAAGCGCCTGCTACCTGGCGGAATCCTCTGAGAACGTGCCTATCCCACCATCCAAATAGGTTCAGTGTAATGCTTTTGGGGCCCTGCCTGCAGACTGGCCTGAAAGTCCCATGAAAGACCTATTTTTTATAACCTTTTTCAAGAGAAGGTAGCTCGTTGCATAGGGTTAGGGCTACCATCTGTAGAAACACAGCCCCGACTAGGGCAGCAACATACAGCTCGCAGGTGCGTAGAATGCTTGCAAGGGAGAACGGTAGGAAGCACGTTCGATCATGACACAAACGCGAGACAGCACTGCGGGTTGTTCAAGCAACCGGACTAGATACGAAGCACTGGATGGCTGTTATGTCTATCCTTCGTCTGACAGGGGAATTTAATATAGGGGAAGACGCAATCATTCCAACGATCAGAACCAAAGACAAAGGCTAAACTCGCGGCTTGTTGGTAGGTGCACGTGATAAATATGGAAACATCCTCGGATGGACTGTTACGGTGGAAGGGTAAAGCCCCATAGAAATGGAGCGCCCCCAATTACATGCAGAATGGACAGTTTATTCCACAGTCATCAAAGTTGTCCAAGTGAGAATGAGCACCTGATGAGGCCGTCAGATGGACCCGAGAGTCAATCGCCCACTGCCCTCCAGACCACTTCCAGCTGACCCCTGTGATCTCCGCTGAGTAGATAATGTCAGTTGAGGAAAGGAGAACGACTAATCACCAAGGCCAGAGTGATCCCAACACAATGAAAAGGATAGACACCGGGTGTTCTTGTGCACAGGTGTCGATTGGATGGAGTCATCGGAGGTCTCCAGAAAAGCTTGGGCTCAAAGTAAGGTTGACGGGAGAGCCCAGATCCGCCAGCCCTGACTTGCCCCGTCTTCACGCAAGCGGCACGGGAAGTTGGCTTACCTGCGCGATCCTTGGACCACGCATGCAGGTGTGGGCTCAGCAGAAGAATGCTGGAAATAATTGGCTGTTGCCGGTCCTCTGCCTGTGGACATCTAAGATTCCATTAGTAAACCCGTAGAATCTTTGGCTATATCCGGAGACGGAGGCAAGCTCTGTTGAAGAGGTAGAGCTCCCTTCGCATCGTCATCGCAGGCGAGGCAGTCGAGAGGCCCTCCCGTTTCTACATGGGACCAGGGAGCGGGCACCGGCGAGCCGACCAGCGGGTCAGTCCTGCTCCTAGCCGGCGGGGATCGTTAGTGAGGAGCCCGACACAGCAAGAGGACAGGGCACAGGCTGCCCAGCGTGCCATTGCAATGCTGGAGTCCCAAGTCTCCAATGGAGGCTGTCCCGGACGCGTTCACAAGTCTGCGGGTTAGCGTGGATGCCTGACCCGCCTGGGGGGAGCAGCACAGCACTGAAAGTAACCGGTGGGTGGAGTGAATCCATCCCTGCAAGTTGATCCTGAACCTGACACAGCAACATGCTTGTTACCTGGGCTCGACACCTGCGGACACAACACAAGGAAGCAGCGTTCCACTGCCGTCGAGAAGCCCCTACCAACGAGTAGGTGATGTGCCGCGTCTCGTGGCCATCCGTCTATAGAGCAGGAGGGGAAGGCCCTTGGTTCCTACATAAGTGTCCGCCTCTGCCTCAGATGGCTGGTCTACTTGGCGAGCTCCGGCCGGTCGCAGCCCGGAGTAGTGTAAATTACGAAATAATTGCGGTCTCATGCACTTGGCCAGGAGAGAAAATAAAAATGGCGCAGAGCGATGTTGATCGCAGGGGTGTTGAAGCCGACAGCCCCCTGCGTGGTATGACCGAGCTCATGCGGGCTGCTAAGGGGGGTGACTCTGAATGCGTCGAGAAATTGCTGGGTGCTACGTCCGATCTAATCCGTAAGCAGAATGAGTATGGCTGGACAGCCCTCATGTGGGCAGCAGAGAACGGCTATGTAGACTGTGTCAAGCTCTTACTCGAGAAGGAGGGGGGTATGAAGGATAATTATGATAAGACAGCTCTCATGCTGGTAGCACAGAATGGCCACACAGAATGCACCAAACTCCTATTAAAGAAAGAGAGCAGGATGGTAAACAAGGATGGCTGGACTGCACTTATGCGTGCAGCAGCTAATGGTCACCCAGACTGTGTCGAGTTGCTCCTAGAGAAGGAGGGGGGTATGCAGAGGCATGATGGGAAGACAGCCCTCATGCTAGCAGCAGAGAACGGCCACCCAGACTGTGTCAAGCTACTGGTGAAGCACAAGGGTGAACGTGATGTCTCGGGCTGGACGAGCCTTATGTATGCTGCTTCCATTGGAGATGCTGATGCAGTTAGGAGTAATCTTCAGGAAACGGGGAAGAAGGATGGTAATAGCTGGACAGCACTCATGAATGCAGCACAGAATGGCTATACAGACTGTGTCAAGCTCCTACTCGAGAAGGAGGGGGGCATGAGGAGTGATTACGGTTGGACCGCCCTCATGCTAGCAGCACAGAATGGTCACCCAAACTGTGTCAGACTACTCCTGGAGAAGCAGGGAGGCATGCAGAGGCATGACGGGAAGACAGCCCTCATGTGGGCAGCAGCTAATGGTCACCCAGACTGTGTCGAGTTGCTCCTAGAGAAAGAGGGGGGTATAAAGGATAAATTTGGTAAGACCGCCCTTATATGTGCAGCACAGAATGGCCACCAAGAGTGTGTCAGACTACTCCTGGAGAAGGAGGGGGGCATGAGGAGTGGTTATGGTTGGACCGCCCTCATGCTAGCAGCAGAGAACGGCTATGTAGACTGTGTCAAGCTCTTACTCGAGAAGGAGGGGGGTATGCAGGATTCTTGGGGTGCTACCGCTCTCATGTATGCACTGCACCATGGTAAATTGGACTGTGCTGAGCTGCTACTGGATAGGGAAGCACATATACCGGCTAAGGATGGGAATACTAGTAAGTGGTTTGACCACGATCCTGGTTCTGACGCTTTGAGTATAGCTGAGAAGAAAGCTAAGAGTGATGGCGCCTACAAAAAGTTCGTTAAGAGGATTAAGGCCATTCGTCAGTAGGAAAGAGGGAGCATACGAATAGGGCTTTGTGGCAGTTCTGGAGTGAATTTCCCTGATATGCTCTCCGCTGCGCATTGCTTGGGGACCTCCCTCTGCCTGATCTTCTGCGTTGATGCGTCTGTGGACAGGATGACCCGCTGCAGCCTGGCGTTTTCGCGGCGCAGCTCCCCAATCGTGTGGGCCGACTGGTCAAGCAGAAGCTCCATGGTGTGCACCCGCCCCAACAGGGTTCTGGCCTCGATGGACGTCAGCCTTTCGTTGACGACAACCGTCGAGGCGGCGTCGGCGTCGAGAGCCCTGCTCGCCCCGACAAGCTTGTTGCTGGTGTCGAACGGGTAGTCCGACAGACTGTCGTCCAATACGATGTGTGAGTATTGTGTTTGAGACTGTGACCTCTGACTCCCCTTGCAGCCGCATATGTTAAACAGGACCATTGGGTCACATCTAAAAATTCACTCATTGATAGCTATATTCAGAGATACATAATTTGTAGGGAAAAGAGATTGAGGGTCATCAAACGAATCTAAAAACTTTCAACGCAGAAATAATGAGGTATTCCCATCCTCCTGCCACTAGTACAGCTGTATAATTAATTGATTAAATTCTTAAAAAGCAACAAATCTATGATAGACTGCTTATTATATTAAAGTATCAGACTTAAGCTTTGTCTGATTGTACAGTGGCAGCATAATGACTCAGTATGAAACCAGTATCCCCGGGCTGTAATTCAATGTGGCGTGGTTGATTGTCACTAGATGCGTTTGTGTTACACATGGGCGCATCAGAAAAACTGACAGGGCATGCACTGGCTTGGTGGGTGGTCCAAATGTTACTCGGACATGAATGATTGTTCGTTAATATACTAATGGTCTTGTTAGATGCTTCGAGATTAGATGTAGATATTGATAAAGCTTGTTGTTTAGTAGTAAACGCCATAGAAATCTGAGGCTTAAAGAGTTGCTGAAACTGTGTTTCGTTCTGGATAGTGAACTCAACGGGTTCATTGGCACTTAACGCAGTAGAGACTGCATCACTCGTATCTCCTGTAGTATCAATTACTGGAGTGATGACCTCAGGGGTAGTCACCGAAGGAGAGCTCGGCTTCTGAGAACTTTTAAGCTGCTCTCTCACAGCCCTCGGTATGTAGTCGCCGACTTTGTAGGTGGGTACCTTAGACTGAGGCGATGAGGTAGCTGAAACATTGGGCCGCTGTTTTCTGACGCTATCGAATCCGCCTGAATCTTTTGGTTTGCTTTTCTTCGAGGATACATCTATTGTGTAGGAGTTAAAGTCGTATGTTGACTTTAGACCTGTCAGCTTCTCGTTGCGATCAAACTGGTCAATCTTTGTGGTAACCTTAACCTTTGACAATTCAAGCTCTGGAAGATCCTTGTCTTCGTCGCTGAATTCAAAGACAGGGACGTTTAAGAGCTGGTTATCGGAAGGCTTGTCCCCGAATGCTGTGACGTGCTTGTTACGATGGGAAATTTCGGTATCGGTAGGTATGCATAGAAGTCTGCCTTTCTTGGCAGCAGGCACAATGCTCTTATCGGTAAAGATATCTTCTACATCCACTGGAGAAGCAACACGGTCTGAATTGAACACCTTCAACGTGCTGATAGATTCAGATTTTTTTGAGCGCAGTTCCAGCGGTGTCCTGACGAAGCCGTCCTCAGGATGCGATGTAGAGGCGCTCATGGGCTCTTGGCCACGATTAATGGTTATAATTTTAATTTTGAGTCGGTTATGTCATTCAGTTAGAGTTCTCCGGAGAGACTCGAGCCCTACATCAGACCTACGCAAGAGTCAGGCTGCTATGTATTTACTGTATCTTCTTTAACTCACATTAACTAAAACCTCGCGCCCAAGCAACACTCGAACACATTTAATATTGTTTTGCTCCACAGCATAGTCTATGGCCCGCTTTCTTTTGCTATCCACAAGGTTGGACTCTGCTGCCAAGAGGACTTTGACTGTTTGGTCATGACCATTAAACGCTGCATACATTAAAGCTGTACGGCCATCTCTATTACGCATTCCAGCCTCTCGGCTCACTAGAGCACTGACTAAGGATGTATTTCCTTCGCTAGACGCAAACATCATCGCCGTCCAACCGCTTGGCGCGTGCATGCGAGCCTCAGGAAGCAAGTATATAAGGCCGCTGTCTATTGCGTTTTGCGCGACTGGCTGATCTGCTGCCTTCATCAAGGCAGTGAACCCACTAGAATCAGTAATTCCCAGTTCCCCCAGCAGAACACGGATACAGTCTGCATGTCCTCGTTTGGCCGCAAGCATTAGGGCCGTATCACCTTCATACGATTGGCCTAGATACTGGAATTGCTTCTTGATCTCTTCTACGTTTCCTCTATCAGCGGCAATCATCAGCGGTGTCTTTCCCGAAACAGGAGTTGCTGAGCGAGCCACGTGAACGTAGAGAGGAAGTTGTCTCTGGGTGCTTTCTTCCAGAATAGCCAATATCCTCTCATAATCATTATCCTCAATGGCCTGTTGGAAACGGTCATCGAGTGTTGGGTCGTCTTTGGGAGAGAAAAAGAACGACTTTGTTAACTCATCGATTGACTTTGAAAACTTAAGCGAGCAGCAATTCATATAGTGCTGTGACATTGATATTATATAGCCAAACGAAATTAGAGCGTGATTGCAGGGATGCTGACATGCCTTCTTTAGAGAAATCATTTCCTGCAGAAAATTGGAGTTAGTCTTATCAACATGGGTTACTAAGAGTGAAATAATACATCCGAGAGCATACATATCGGCTGGAGTACCAATTTTGAAGCGATCGTCATGAATCTGGACTGCTGACTCAGCGGCCATGGAGGCCATTGGGCCAGGAACTATTGAAAATCCCACGTCGTAGATGGTAGCCTTCTTTGTGAGAAGACAGTACGTAATGTTTGCTGGGGACAAATGACCATGAAATCCAGGCTTGTGCTGGGTGCCCGGCGGAGGGTTGTGGAGCCAATCAAGGACCATGGTTATCTGGCGGATAATGTCCCACGCAATATACATATTTAGTGGCTTTGTATTAGCCTCACAGAGCAGTTGAAGAGGAAACTCAGTAAACACAGACGGATCTGAAAATTCTGTCAGAAACCGATGGCCTTGCTCATCTAAGTATACAGCACTAGTGACGGCGATGCTAGGATGATGGTAGTGGAGACAGTGGCTTGCGGCATCTCGATAGCTTGGCCAAAGGAGACGGTGTGTCTCTGATAAAGAAATGGTACGTAAAAGCACTGTCATTCCGTCATGTGTTCTCTTGGCTTTGAAGACTGGACCAAGTGGGCCTGAGTATAGGTAGGAAAAGTCTGTATAAACGAGACTTCTCGGCATTTGAGCCCAATGATTTTATTTGGCTCTGCAGCAGAACCAATAGGCCTGCTGAATTGCCTGGACGAAATGCTTCATAGCCTTCATGCATACAATGATGAACTATAACTGTTTCAGCCTTCTGGCTGGTGTCTTCGCTGTCTACTTTCAAGCAAATAGATGGTTTTTAATGCTGTTCTGCTCTGTTTCTGGCCTCCCCTGCCGCTTCCCGGTAGTGTGCACTGTGTGTGGTGCCGTGTACGAAGAGTCAGTAGCTAAGAAGCGTATTGCAGACCGAGCTAATTGCATCTCCGGCCATGAGCTTCTTCCTGAAGCATGTATTCCACTCAAGAATGGACCCACTCACAGTGAGGAGAGTCTAGAGCAGGTGCGCATTTCTGCACTCTCAGGGGTCTTGGATTACTTTGGATCTCTAGTGTCTTCTCTGGCGAGCGATAACTACGGACTGCGCAAACAATTGGCGGAAAAGTGTTCTTCAGATATTCCAGACGCTACATCGAGCCATCAAGCCGCAGCCTCCCATCTGCATGTTGCCAGCCCCACTACCTCTTCACCAACAAAGATATTAGAGCTAATTCAGCGACATACCCCACAACTTGTGGCAATCAGGGCGTCACTGCCCCTGCCTCCAACGGTCCAGTTAAGCTCGGGTTCATTAGAAGAGCTCCGAAGTAGGCTCCGCAAACACCTAATGTTCTCAGAGAACCCCATTTTTAGCTTGCTTTCTATCGAACAAAAGCCATCTATCAGTATCAAGCTAGACCGCATCTGGCCCGTTTATCAAATACCTCATGGAAATAGCGATCGAGTGCCTGTTAATTTCATAGCTGTTTCATCTAAACTCTATTTGGAAGTGAGTGGAACACACTTATCCATCAACGGCACAGCACTACTCTTTGTGCAATGTAACCACATCTATAGCGCGCAAGACTCCACACTTATTCTTCAGGACATACTTACGGCTCTTAACCTAGACACTCCTCCGAGAGTGCTGACAGTTTCTTCCGAAGTGTTCCATGTCCATCCATATGGCTCCTGCATCTATGCGAGATCCCAGGACATGCTTGTGTTAACGCCAGTAGAGATCGATCATCTGGATCATCTTGGTAATATCAGCTTTTCCATTTCTGCCTCAGTAACCTCTCTCTTACAGACTCAGCCACTCTCGCCTACATTGAGCTTTTCCTACGAGGGAGAATTGCTGGGGGTTAATCCAGATGGAAGGTTGCTAGCGACGTACCTACCGAACCAATCTACTCTTCTGCTCTCCGATATTTGCCAGCTCCCTTACAAATTTGGACCCCTTCTGCGATACCACCTTGAGGATCTACACCCCACTAGAATTGACTGGGACGGAACTGGTAAGCAGCTTACTCTTTTAGGAAAAGATGGGACGTCAGTTCAAATGAGATTGGAGCGGGGGACACTTTCGAGGAGTAAATGAAATAAAACATTCAATGCCTAAGAAGTTTGTCCACCCCAAATCACGGCAGGTTGCATACGAGGCGGGTAAGATGCTGCGGGACAAGCGGGTTACAGCGAAGAAACTCGAGCACAGATCTGCCACGCGTCAGCCAGTCCTCTTGAAGCTACGTTGGTTTCAAGACCATCTGCGAAAAGACTTGGATAGAAACAAATACACTGGAGAAGAGCTTCGCAAGATGGCACTAGACTACATAATTTACTACTACTCGACAGAGATCCTTCCTGTTCTCCTTGAGAAGAAGAAGTCACCCGTGGCTGCTATGGCCATGGCAGCGAAGGAGAAGGAGCTCCTCGACACAATAGCGCACGGCACCTATACTGTCCCCGATCTCACAGATCCGTCCAACGTGCAGACTTTAATCCTGTGGAATAACTCCATGAAAACTGCCTCCGCAGTCAATTTAATCAATGTTAAGTTTGCAAACATACGAGAGCTTCTTCCGCAGGCGCTAGCTAACGAAGGTACGCCTGTCAGCACCAATTAGCATTAGCATTCCGTTTACACATATCCCTTGACTTCTCTGCCTGAAGTGTGTGTTGTAAATAACTTCCATTTTCTGCTTACTCCCCGTTTTACTGTGCTATTTCTGGCAAGACTACCTCTAAGTCAATCGTGTTGTCATCACTTTTCAATTGAGATCGTCCGAGACTCGGAGCAACGACTGAGTATAAAGATTGAGTATAAATAATCCTGGTAAAGCCTGATAGCTATGGAACCACAAAACATCCTTTTTAAGGCGGTGGAGGAGAACGATTTGGATCTGATAGTACAGCATGCAGCTCAATATGCTGGCACGCGCGATGCTGACGGATATGCGGCACTTCACAGGGCTATCTTGAGTAGAAAGCTAGAGTGCACAGTTATCTTGGCTCCCTATGAAAGGGCCTACTTGACCCCGGCCGGAATATCACCTATGTTCTTGGCGGAAAGCATAGGGTTTCTCCAGGCTATTGACTGCCTACGGGACCCTCCGCGTAAAGTAAGGACCATCAAGGATGAAGACGACAAGGACCTAAGCTTGCAGATAGGCACAAATCTGGACTATCAGTTGGCGCTCCTTGCGGAGCTACTGGACACAAAGGCAGAGCTGGAACAGGTAAGGAATTGGAATGCTAAGCTTCAGCAAAATGTAATACAGCAGAATAGAACATACCTTGAGAAGAGTACAGCTTCCAATCACACCACTAATCAATCTTTTACCAATATAGACACCTGTGTTATCTGCTTAGACAGACCGCGAGAGATAGTGTATCTTCCATGCAGACACTTTATTGTCTGCGAGCAGTGTTTCATTGCATCACAACTACGCACTTGTCCACTTTGTAGATCACCTATTGTGGAGGCAGTGGCTGTTCTGCGCTAGTTAAACTTAGTACTGAAAATTTAATTTATCACTGATGGAGCTGGCACAAAAGCCACCATCCAAGCCACCACCAAAGCGTCCTAAATCATCTCAGCATAAGGGCATGACACTACATCCTCCGTTAGCGTCTCTGGCGAGGCTTCCAAATGGAGAGCTACGGGTACCGTCCCCGCTAGCCCGATACGCCAGCATGCGGCCACGCGCATCTTCGGTAGCAGATTATAATTCTGGCTCAGATCGGCAAGAAATCGGGTCATCTCCTGAACGCTCTTCTTCAACCTCTCCACAGTACCTAGTTGGCCTTGAAGTGATACGTTCTTCAATGTTTGCTGCACAAAAGTCGTTCCAGAGCAGGGTGCGGGCAAGAGAGTGGGTTCCAGATGGCTCTCAAGAAAATGTGCCCCGAGAGTTTCTTGAGCTAACCCAGCAGCGCAAAAGCTCGGATGCAACAAGTACTGAAGCTCTTTTGGATCCGTTAGCACGCGATCGAGTCGCAACTCTTCGAGCTACCCTAGAACAGCTTTTCTTTAGGCTTCAGACTACAGACCAACTACAGACTGACCCTGTCTTTGGGCCCGATACAGGGGCAGATCTGGAGCTAGGAGAATGCAACATGCCAATTGAGGATATTACTAAGTTCACCACGGAGATTCTTCAACCAGAAGATTCAAGTCATCCAGGTAGCAACTTCGATACAGTCACAAGCAGTAACAAGTCTGACCCTACCATTCAGCCTATTACTCATTCCACTATTCCAACCTCACTCGCTCTTTCTAAGCCTACAGATACTAGTCACTTTTTGCGGTCTAATGCAGCTCAAAATTCAAAACCCCCGGATCATGATATAATTAGTCAAGACCATGACGGTGAAATAAACGATTTCCTCCTAGGAGACGCTTGTAAGATTGGTAACCTGCTGACCCCGTTGCCAAGTGTGGAATTAGACAAGCAAATTGTGAGCTTTTCAGACAAACAAGGTCTTAGCGAAATGGACATTTTTGGTCTAGCATTTGATACATGTCTTGATTATCTATCCAATTACAATAGAAATGGGCAGATAGCCGAAATCCTTCAGACCTTGAGTAGAGTCAAAGCATACTATGTCAAAAGGATTAAAAGCACTCCCACGCAGCTAGCTGCATACCAAGAGGCAGCGAACATATTGGATAGCAAGCTCCAGGTAACGGTACGGGACCTCAAGGAAGCAACGCACGAAAATCAGGACTTAAGAATCAGATTGACTACTTTGAAAGGGAACTATACAGAAGCAGTGAAGCGCATTGACGAGCTTGTCTGCCAAAATACGATGCAGGCAAGAGATATGACTATTCTTACCCGCCGACTTAATGTGGCACAGGACCAAGTTAGCCAGCTGTCCTTTACCCTCGATATGATTAAGTCTGAGCTCCTGGACGAAAGAAATAAGACTAAGCGCCTTGCTGCAACGGCAAACAGATTCAAGAGCAACCTAGAGCGCGTTGGTGACAGAGCTGCACAGGCAGAGCGGAAGGCGAACTATGGCGAGTTACAGATACTAGACCTAGAAAAGCAGAAAAAGACAATGATGGCAGAGATGGCTATGCTCCAAGAGCAGCTTTCAACGATTACAGGAGCATTTGCCAAGGAGAGAGGTGCGCTAGTCTCTGAGAATGAGCGACTCACCATGGAGAACAATGACTTCCAGACTACCCTAGCAAGTGGTGGCATGTTCTTCGCTTCAGGGGCAGAGGACGGCGAAGCTAACTCTGAGGTCCTGGTTAGGGTAGCAAACAAAATACATAAGAGAACGGATATGAGTCCCCATGCCAAGCTGGCTGCAACAACCATTCTGCGCCTGTGTGCAGAAGACTCCAGAGTTGCGTGCCGACGTCTAGGCATTACAAACGATGGCCTTTCTTCCATCATGTGGCTTGTTACAGCTGCGAAGAACTCTGATAACGTGGCCACATTTCTTACCCACCTTCACGGGCAGTATTCGTCATACTTTGTAGCTAAAGGCATTGCTGTACAGACGAAAGATAGCTATGTAATGGATGCAAAAGCTAAACGAAAGAAGAAGGCCGCCGATGCAGTCATGGACACCGTCAGGAACCTTCGCTTAGCAGCTCCTAACGAGGAACCGAGTGGATCAGCAGAAAATAGGATATATACTTCCTTTGATAACGAATTTACAGACGCGTCTGCTCCATCGACCAGTCTTCTTCTAAGAAAATCCCACAATGTACTCCTAAATATGCATCGGCAACTACAGATTTACAGGGATAAATATGAGCATTTGCCAATGGACTCAGACAAGGACTTTAATGAGTTACAGACATTACTTGCCGAGTACTATCAAGGGAAAGAATATAATGAGAGAAGCTCAGTCACAACTTATGATGTATACCAAAGACCTTCTTGTGGAGATTGTCCTTCGGCTCCATGTGATTCGGATTTTGATCATCTTAATCAATTTGGCTCCCCGAAAGGCGATGATGCACTGTTGGATAATGGATCTGGCGAATTCCTGACGCGATCTCTGGACAAGGAATTTGCGTCGACTCAGCTTGAAAAGCGCACTCATCACAGCAGTACAATTCCATCGATGCATCCCAGTAAGACAGTCCCAGCTCGCGATGATCAAACGGGTGCGCGCACTACTGCTCCCGAGAAGGACTTCTTGCAGCAAGGTGAGACTTTACCTCCAAACCTATCTATGGAATCTGTAGATTTCGGGGGTCAGTATGCATCCTCACAGCTTATTGATGAGAGCACAGAATTCTTTGTTGATGCAGAGTCTCATGAAGAACATTTGCAAATCAATAGCGTGGATATCTTCGAAGAGACTGTCAAGGCAGCTAACGCAAAAATTACTTCCATCGCTTCTCTCGCCACAACCCAGGAACAAAAGGACAAAGTTATATTGCTACTACAGAATCTCCTTTATAAGTCCAAGTACAATAGCTCTATCTTGCAAGTTTTTGATGAGTATGCAAATAGGCTCATTCGGGATAATAACCAGGTGAAAGAACTACTTCTGCAACAACGGAATGGGAATGATCTTGATGCTAGTACTGATAAAGCTAATTCCCCGGAAGCGGTGGCGGCAAACGAGACGACAAATGGCATACTGAAGCTATCCCAAGTGTTAGATAATTTATTTGACGAAAGGAGCCCTGTTTCTGATGAGCTAGTGCAGAAAGACAATCAGCAAGCGAGTATAGAAGTACTCCTTGACGCCAATCTATCAATGTGTACCAAGGAGACCATCAATTGGGTTGTTGACCAAATCAGATCCAAAGCAGAGCGTGCTCGAAGAAAGAAGGCCATTAAACACCAAACCACACCCAGACTAACTGCTACCAATAAAAGGCTATCAAATCCCAGGGCTCTTGGTGTTTCTCCGGGTCGAAAGCCTCTTCCAAGCGCGTGTACAAGTGCACGGCAAACCCAAAGAATGGGTTCTCAAGGAACTCAGTTAGATAAGGATGTCAATGGGACTAACCATTCTTGTGAGTATGAGCAACTTTGCGAAGAACAGAATTTGCTGACAGTTAATGGTAAGGTTAATCCAATGGATAATGGAGAGAAATATCTATATTATAAAGACGCAAGTGGGAACCTTTGCGCAGTCAAGCACTCGATCGTCCGTTCAGGTGACGGCTACACACTTCATGAATCACGGCCTTCTAGTACTGACAGGTCTGCACACTCAGAAGGGATATCATTTCAGCTTAGCCCATCTACACAGCGCAGACTTTCTGCTAAAGATTGCCCAACACGGGGCACGTCTTCGCCTGCTATAGGGAGTATAGTAGATCTCAATACAATAGCGTTGGGCAGTACTCCCCCAGTACCAGACCTGCCTTCTATGGCACCCGCAATGTTGCTGCAATCAAAGCGGGTAGGCTCTCCTGCAAAAAGCACTGATAGCAGACAGAGCTCGTCACGTCTAAAAAGCGGTTCACCCTCTAAGCGACACTTTTACGGTTTGTCAACACAGGATATCTTAGCCCGTGTTTCTGAGAATATTCGCGGAAAGAGTTGGTCCGCAACTAGACCATTGTCGTCTCCATTAAACCCTGGATATCCCATGCAACAGACAAACAAGTCGGAGCCAAGGCTCATAGTACAAACTAGTGACGGGGCTATCAGCTTTGTTGATACCTCTTCAGTCAAGAAGGGCACATCTGAACTGATGTCGATCATAGAAAAAGATAATAGAGTCCTTACCAATGATATCTATTACGTGGAAGGAAATCCTACTTCTGTAGTCCTTGCTACATTTAATCCTGATGATATTCCAAAGTCTCTGAGCGCAGCTATTGATAGACAAGAGACTATCCTGATTGAGAATAATCAAGACACTGTAGGTAAAGCACAGATACCTCTCACAATTTTCTTTATCAACGACTCTATAAATCCATTGCTACCTCCACCAGAATGCATAGAGAATGCATCTGCAATGTTTCTGGCACACCCTCTTCCCCAAGAGCTAGCGGGTGCAGTCAAAATGGCAATTGGGACCGCTACTATTGCAACGCAGACAACCCCCATGGTCTTGGATGAAATAATTTCAACCGGTGATCTCCTGGTCAATGACGCGTTTTCTGTTATTGAAAAGCTCTTTACAGCTATGCATGCAGATCCACTACAAATGGAGCAAACCCCTGTGCAGACACCGGCCGATGTCACACGTATCGATTCGATTCCCATAGACAATGATAATGCCATTGATCTCACTATGTCACGATTCACTAATATTCCTCTCTTTCCAGACATCTACATGACTGAGCAGCTTATTCCTCAAAATGATTCTCAGGCAAATAACGGTGGGGGCAAAGTTCCCAAAGACATCAAGCAAACTGATGACCCTGTGACTCGCACCAGCCCCTTGCTCAGTCTTTTACAGAGATCTTTGCCAACTAGTCTGCCCCTAGTTACACGCGGGCTTCTAGGACCGTCAGGAATTACAAAATACAGCGATGACAACTCACCAGACCATCTTCCCCTTGTTCAACAGAGGAACCTCCATAACAAAGAACAAAGTTTATTAGATCTAAAAGCTGCTAGTGAACGGCCAAAAACGGCAATTAATACTAGTAGTCCTATAACATCATACCTCAAGAGCATGGCTAAATCGCAGTTCAATCCAGACTCAGATGTTAAGGACACCGCAGATATTGCCACGGACATGGAGTCACCATCTGCCATTCAACAGTTGAGCCCACTGGACGGGTGTAACCTTTCTGGTTCTATCGCACAGCCACTTGACACATCTCTACGATGTACTCGGGAGGACATGGCTCTAAGTATGGCCAACGACGATCTTGTCGACAACAATTCTAGAACTTACAAGGAGACCGTTCTCGAGCTCCTTTCTGTATCCCAACGGCACAAATCCCTTCCATCCCAACGCTTGCGACAAAGCATTGATGCTAATAAATTTGCCTCTGAAACCATCAGACAAAAGAATAACATAGCAGAGGGGTCACTTTTAATAGAAAGCTTAACCCCTGAGGAAGCACGAGGTGGACGTTTGCTACTGTTTGCGCAGCAGCAAAGTAAGTTTAATTTAGGTCCTGGCAAGGAATCACCAGCTCTTACATCCACCACTGAACGCACAGCACTTCAAAACCGTCGCCTTGAGAACAAAATTCTCAATCATCATATCCAAGGCCAATTCCAACCGCAGCTCTCCTCAACCACGTTTATCAAAACAAAACAGGACAACACTTATCCTCAAGGACTTGCGCTAACATATAGCGAGTATCTCCATGCACGTGGCCGTGATTCTCGTCCATCTTATACGGTGACTGCATCCCATTCTGGCCACCCATACTTGCGGCTCCATCCCAGGCACGGCCAGAATGTCCTCTTCACCCAATGTAATCCCCTTGAACCACCAGAAGGGCCATTACTTCAGTTTGTTGGTGGGACGTTTGAAGCCCTCGTTACAAAGTTCGGATCCTTCAAGCGACATCGTTGTACGCTCCCGCATGAACTATTAGAACTAGCACATTCTCATTCTGATGACAGCCAAGTTATTTATCCCTGTATTCTCTCTTCTAATGTTGATCTTGTAGACGACTTCTCCTCTAATTCTTCAAAAGGCGAGGAACAGTCGCCTCAGAATAGACAGGCTACTCGCCAGAAGATGCAGAAGACGTTTGAATATCTAGTGGAGACCATAAAGCATCTTCCTTCTAGGACGATAACAGAAGAAGATATAACTAAACCCAATGATTCCCTGACGGACGGTTTTCGCATTACTGCCAAGCAGTTCTCTAAGACGAAGTTGCTGATACCAAGACCTGGTGACACAGTGCTGTACCTGAGACATTCGGCATTACATGTCCGAAAGAATGAATCTAGGTCAATCTTTCCGACCATTCTACAACTACTTCAAGAGCTCTCTCCTCACCGTTGTGAACTTTTTACAATAGAGACGGGAAGTGCTGTGGACATAATGCACAAAACATATATTAGAATACCAATTGCCAACGCCTATCTAAAGTCTAGTATATGGACTCTCAAGCTAATCAGGGCTATATATAGTTCCAGGATCAACATGGAAGAGTCCTACGTTACCATCAAGGAACCCGTAGAACACGTGTTGACAGTTTCTCTGAAAGATGAAGGCCGGGGAGATCACGAGGTTGAGCTTGACCCTGTGCCTGACGGAGTAGGTGGAGCAGACATCACAAAAGCAGACAGTACAAAAGGCACTGACTCCCGGAGCAGATCTTTTAGCTTCAACGTTGTTCACGGTGGTCTCTCACGGCAAGAGGCAGAGTCTTTGCCACACTTTTTACTATATTATGCCAAGAACAAGTATGGCGTAACCGCCATAGTCACATCGCTTTTATGGTCCTTGATCGTCTCTGTTTGCTATCATCAATACGAGAACAACGAAATTTACCTATTTGCGCGTTTTCTATTCGGTGACTTAGACTTTGACTTTTACCTCACATATCTTGACATCCAGCGGGCCCTTGGTGGGCTTCATAGAGATGCTGTGGATTTAGTCGAGGTACCTGAGCTTTTACAAGCCATACTGCCCAACTGGAGCAGTAAGCGCAGGTACAGTCTGTGCGAGAGCATTTATAGTTGCAAGCTGGTTCAGCGCAGTAAGCAAGCCTATACCATTGACATAGTACATCTTTCGCAAATGATATTAGTGGCGTATGGTGGCTATAGGCGCTCGCTCTTTGAAAGTATGACCCTTGTTTGGTCTAAGATTAGTACAGAGAACTTTCTTACTGAAGGGAAGTTTAGAGAGTTCTGTGATACATGTGTTACTTTGCTCAACTTCAATTCCGTAACAGAGGTGTTCTACGCTTTCTCCGTAGAGTATAAGGACGACACCTCTGTCATTGCTCAGTTGGAGATAGGGGATCAACCTGCAGTTGAGAGTTGCGCCCTTGCAGACGCTGTGCACGATCTTTCTTGTCGACGCATGTACTATGCGAACTTTATAGATTTTTATCTTAGCTACTGCCTTGGGCGCTATGCTATAATAAGTAGTTTGACTCTCGATGAGGTCATGCGGGGGACTCCCGCGAAGCGCAACATTCAATTGGCATCTAAAGTATATGAACGATTGGTTGCTTTATCACAAGATATCGCAACAAAAAAGCTTTCTTCTGCAGACATAGAGGAACCGAAAGCACAAAAGCAGGAGCTTGTTAAGGCCATACGTAAAGTATTCAACCATCTCAACCTGGCATCCTGTGACATCTCAGCGTACGACTCCCAGCGGGCCATAGACAACATGCGCCAGGGAATAAATTTACTAACAGACTGCTGCATGGACGCCAAAAGCGAAGCTGCCAGTATCGTGCTTGGTGGAGGCGTGGCTGCCCTTTCCGCATTCATTGTGCGAAACCATTAGGAGGTGCCGTAGAGAATAACACATGTAAACATAGCAAGAGTGTCATAGGCCCAGGATTTTAATTCCCGTTTCGTCTCCAAAGACCGGCCCCTCCTGATAGAGAGCAAGATTGCCACTCTTCTGCAAAGCCTCGAGAGCCTTCTTGAGCACTGGGTCTGGTAGAGCAAACAGATCTGATGCGTCTTTATCCATGGTCTTCTTTAACTCTAAGACGGTAATAATGCAGCCCACAGTAAAGTTATTGTTTTTCAAGAGCCGGAGAAGGGAATCTGGAATAGTATCTTCGGGTGCAGAAAGAAGGTAGTAGGACTTGTTGATTTCGACGAGACGCCCCTTGCGTTTAAACCAATCGATGATCTCTCTGAAAAGCTCATCGCTGACCTTGCGATTGATCTTTGTGTTCTTGAAGATCGCCTTCTCCAGATAGTTATCCTTCGGAATCTCGCGGGACTTTACTTCATAGCACCACTTCATTAAAAGAGCGTCCCACTGTTTGAGCTGTTCAGTGCAGACGTCCGCCTGCTCAATCTTCTGTTGGAGGGTGAAGAACGGAGGAAAGTACCACAGTTCGGAAGATTCCAAAACGTCCTTACAAGCCATTTTTATTCCCTGGTCCTATTTCAATGAGCTTTTCAATTTTATGTTTAGTTGCCATAAAAATTGCTAAGCGTTACAAAATACTTGAAATGATTTTAAAATGAATTTTTCTCGGAACTTTTTCGACCTCCCGACATGGCTAATCTGAGGCTGCAGAAGCGCCTGGCGGCAGACGTCCTCAAATGTGGTAAGCGCCGCGTTCGATTTAACCCTGCCCATGAGAAGTACATCGAACAGGCGTCGAGTCGTGAGGCTATCCGATCCCTGATTGAGTCAAAGATCATTGCAAAGTTGGACATCAAGGGCTCTTCGCGCGGTCGTATTCGTGCGCGCCATGCAGCTAAGCGCCTCGGCCGCCACAGCGGTCACGGTAAGCGCCGCGGTACCAGGGAGGCTCGTATGCCTTCGAAGACTCTCTGGATTCAGCGCCAGCGTGTCCTCCGTCGCCTGCTGAGCAGGTACCGTGACGACGAAAAGATCGATAGGCACCTTTATGAGACCCTCTATGCTAAGGCTAAGGGTAACATGTTCAAGAATAAGCGCGTTCTCTTGGAGCACATCGTTGGAATGCAGAAGGAGCAGGAGCTCGAGAAGAAGAAGAAGGAGGAGCTTGAGCAGCGCCGCAAGAAGGCAGAGCAGCGATGCAAGGAGCGAGCAGAGAAGGTTGCCGCCAACCGTCTCGCGTTCGCCCAGACGGGTATATTCACTGAGAAGACTAACAAGTAAACCTGGGATGGTCCAGCGGTCTCGTTTACTTTTCCATTCGTCTGTCGACCAGACTTTCCAGGGCCCGCACGATGGCTGTGTAGGTGGGGTCTGCTTCATCCCTGTTGAAGTGCTTGAACTGCTGAATAGTCTGTGCGAGCTGTGGCATGCAACGGTTGAGTACAGTATGAATACTGGATGCCTGAGGCCCGTTGTAACTGTCTAAGGTGATAAATATCTGGAGGACTGTGGCTATCCTCTTACTAAATAATGCGTCGCCAAGACATGGGAGCAGATTGCAGACGAAATCAAAAAGCCCCGTAAGGAAGGCATCTGCGTTCCCCAGGACACTCACGCAGGTATCCGTTGCGTAAACAAGGGGGGCAGCATAGCAGTACGCTCGCAGTAATATGTCCCGATGTGAATCTGCAGTGATGCTTGTGTAAGCACAGCGAATTGAGAGATAGATAAGGATAGCGGATATAGGAAGCTCCATGGCTATCAGAGAATCAATCTGTATCAGGGGCGTATCCGATGGAAGGTATGCATATCGATCCATAAACTGTCGAATCCTTGAAAGGTCGCTAGTGAACTGGGCACCCTTATAGAGTACCTGCGCTAACTCGCCAACATCAACAAGTGACTCTATAAGAATGGAGAAGGCTTGATAAAAGCCATTGATGTCTCCACAATCTTCCGTGAAGCTAAAGAGGTAAGAAAGAAAACTAGCTGTGACTGCTTGCCCTTCCATCACCATATACTTTGGATATAGCTGTATCATGGTAATAATCAGATTCGTTACGGTTGTATGTGTGTACACGAGCTCTCTAGAGCTCACCGATTGCCTTGTCACGGACACCAACTTAAACAAAACTAGAGCAGTTGCTTCCAGGCAGTCCTTAGAGTTGTCCACTAGAGGAAACAGGTTCAGAAGGTTCAGAACAGCCCTAACGATCTCTAGAGCTGAGTCTATTAAGACACTGTTAATGAGGGGCAGGATTGTATCCATGTACACAGGGTAGATAAGTCTAAAAAGTTCTAGAGAGGCTGATAGGTCAGCCTCGCACTCTGAATTGAGGGCATAAATGTGTATTAATAAGATCTCTCTGTAACAATTGAGCAATCTGCGAAGCGCTGAGCTCCGGTCAAAGAATTTTGATGCTGTTACAACTAAAGACCCTAGTGATGAGGTCAATGAAGAGAAAAACGACCGCTCCAATTTCATGTTATCCTGCTCGCTATTCAGAAAAGACAGGAGACTCTCGACCAATCTTGTGTGCACATCAAGGTATCCATCAGAAGGAAGACGGGAACTATCTGAAAATACAGCAGTCAGAATATCTATTCCAGCAATTAAGATACTAAGAGTATGGTTACTTGACAGCAGCGCCTCTCTTTGTGCATCGGCTGAGCTCATGTCTGTGACTATGGTAGAAATCGCATTTGCAGCCAGAACTTGCAGTCCCATGTAGGCCTCGAGGGGCCCTGCCTCAGTGGGTGACGATGTAGTGAGCATAGGAGCCTGAAGAAAACAAAGCAATAGGCTAAAACAGGAATCGACAAACTCGGGCAAAATAGCCGCGCTAACGTAGGTCAAAAGGAGCGCTAGCCGACGCAGAAAGAGAAGATTACCCAGTGACGCCGGCTGACCTACTGTCAGGGGACAATAGAGCGGCCTCTTAAGAACGAGACTACACACCCTAAATAACGAATCAAAGATACCGTATGCGTCTTCAAAAAGAAATGGCGTCCCATGTTCTTTTTCTGTACCTCTTTCCCCATAGCTATCGGCCCCAAGGTGCTCAACGTCTATGGTGAGACTGGGCCATATAGCCCCAAAGACAGTCAAGACACTGTCTAGGGTCAATGACGCTGCAAAGTACTCTGTGGATTCCTCTGAAAGAGCGCTGAAGGCCGTAACTGCCGTGGTAAACGTCGTCATGAAAGTCTTTATGAGGAGTCCTTGGAAACCAAAGAAACACTCAACCACGAAGTCACAACACTCATTGGTCTTCCCTCCAGAGACGTCTACGAGGGCCCCGTTAAACGGAGACGTCATCCACTCGTGGAGATCATACTTGTCCAGGCAACAACCGTGAATAATCAGGTCTGATATCACGGCAGATACAGCTTGATTACAAAAGAAGGAGTTAGCGGCCAAGTCGCTTGTTTGCATGTTCCGATGGTTCAGAATTGTTTGTAGAATCGATAGGGGGCCTGTTATGTATGCTCCAAAGGGCCCACTGGGGTCTTTTGGCAACGCATTTAGAAAACGAGCACCTACGGTTCCACAGATAGTCGCTACTTCTGTACATGTGACCGTCGACGACAGATCAGTCAATATAGTTCTACACGCAAGATCCCGTGCTGTGTCTAGTGCACTATCTAACTCCATTTGATAGACAGAGAAGATATGCGATAAGCAGCGCCATGAACCTGCGAGAAGGGCGTACACTGATCCTTCATTTGCGGTAGCATGCTGGCCACTGGTCAAGATGTTGGCCACAAGTGTCAGAATCTCCGTTACAAGAGGTTCGACAATACTCTGTGGAACAGTGCAAGTGCCTGGAATTAACGAAGTTAAGATTGATAAGGCGTGCGTCAAGAGGGAGCTGAGTACAGATAAGTCCCCATATTGGAAAAGAACGTAGCTTGTTACAGCAATCATATAACAAATAAACGAGTCAAGATTAGTTCCCAGGCTCTTCTCTGACGTGAGGTGGTGCACAGATAGCTTCTCTATTATAGATTCAACAAGTTTTAAGATGCGCACCGAGAGTTCTGGCTCAGCGACATGTGCCTCAGCACTGAAGAGAACGGCAGGAGTCATGTTCCTTGATCTAAGAACAATCCCGCAGACGCTATCAGTAGATGCACAAACAGCTAGTAGTACGTTATAAGGTGACTGAGAAGAGCGTGCAAGTACCGTCGAAAAAGTATCAACTGACGCCGAGAGCAGAGACGGCACCGGCGTTGCACAAATTGTATTGAAGAGTGACACGAATATTTCATCAGCAGTGTGCACAGGGGGACAGCGAGATTGATTGAAAATCTGCCGAATTTGAGAAAGAGACGCAAGCTTAACAGGAACACTTGCTAGTTCATCGGGCAATAACGACACTTTGGCCAGGACAGATGGATATGCCTCGTTAGAGGACAAGAGGCTGACAATCTCGAGGCCTAAAGCGGCCCTCTCATCAGTTGTACTGCTTGGTGAAAGGGCAGCCTGTATGAGAGCTGCAAACTTTTCTGGAGAGACAATAGCGGAATGCAGCGAGTTTTTGGAGATAAAAAGAGATAAAAGTACAGATGGAATTAATCCTTTTAAGCACAGATATCGAGATACGCGCGATTACATATATTTAGTCCGATAGGCAATTATACAGTCGACGAATCAGGTTAAGTAAATATTTATCAAATGAAGAGCTTTAGTAGCAGAGAAAAGTTAATTTGATCCTTTCTAGAACTTAATAGTAAGACATAAAGCCTTTGGCGTCAACAGATAGTTGCTTAAGAAAGCCACGTATATTCGATGTGTTATTCTTTTGAGATGGTTCAGAGGCTCCATCTGCACGGGCTAAGATGGGGTAGTTGAAGTTCCTACTGTGTTGCGTTGGTGCACTCAGCTCGACAAGTAACTGACAGTCACTCGACGCAGCGGCCATCGCCCTTTGTAACCCTTCAACCACCTGCTTCACACTAAAGAATGGCATATAGCAATCTATGGAAAAAAGCCTATCATCCTCATTGACAGTGCATGCAATATTTGTATTCTGAAAGCTACATTCAAACGACCTCATAGAATATATCCGAGGGAGAGACTTTTCAGCGCTATGAAGCCCTATACTTAGTGGAATTCTATAGAGGAAAAAATTTGTCACCAGGGTGATATTTCCAACTATATAAATGAATGACCCTTCACGATGTATGTGATATGAGGTATACCGAGGCTCACCTTCTATATTTTTCAGCGCTTGTCCTACTTTAGAAGATTGATGTCTGAGGGTGTGTTCAAGGGCCTCGATGATGCCTGGATAGCCCGACACCATGCAGAAGTCATCCTTACCCAGTGCATCACAATGTCCAAATAGCGCCTCAAAGTTACTTCCCAAGACTACCACAAACGGCAGCTTGGAAATGTGCTTATAGCAATCGAGAAGTGCCCGCCTGTATGCACATATATCGGCAATGATAGTCTTAATAGCATTCTTGTTATTTTGCAGCTGCCTGTCTATGTACCCGTTGGCGGTCTTCTGTGGAAGTTGTGCAAGGTGGAACAGGTCATCTAATATAACGCTGTAGGGCCTGGCATAGAGTGCAGATCCAGAGACAGAGACATACATTCTAAGCCCTTCCTGAATAGTCTGTAAGATGAGATGAAAGTCCTTGTATGTGCGGTGTGAGTAGATATCAGCATCGAGCCCTTTATCAGCATCGACGTCAGCGACTTGTAGGTCAGGTGGCTGTGTCTCTTGAACTGTTCCTTTAACATCTTTGCTGTTCCTATCGCGTAAGATCAGTAAGCTGTCAGAAAGTAGATACTTTTGAATCATCTCTGATTCCCCTAAGTACCTGTTTCCAAAGACTGCCTTATAAGCACGTTTCAAGAGGGGAACTGCTCTGGCGCAGTCAGCTGTTGATGAACAAGAGGAAAAGGACAGCTGGATGCTTGTTCTGCTACAATAGTCCAGAGGGCACTCTGTTGTAAATACAGGTGAAGGGGAATCTTCCCGCTCCCCGGATGACGAATCCGAAAGAGCCATTGCGGCTGGATTGAGCATGGTTCTAAAGGGCAGAGGCTCCATTATTTCCGCTGGAAGTAGAATGCACAGGGACTTTCAGGCAGAAAAATCGACTTAAAATATTGCCTTCTTCCATCCCCCTATGGAGTTTACTCTGCTTCACAAGACATTTGACGGAAGCCAAGCAGAGATGAAAGTGTGTCTGTCGTGTGTACTCTCAAGCACGCAGGACAGGGTGGACATGACTTTGACGAACTCAAATGATATGTTCTTCTTATATGAGGTAAGCATGGGAGCCGAGGACTTCCGAACAGTGTGTACTACTTTCTCTTATGACTTCCTACACATCAGCAGCCTTCCCAGTTTGCTTAATTCGGATATATTGCCAACCTTATCTAGTACACCATCTGCAGCAAGTGTGGGGACAGACATTTGCATACTGGAGACAGATGCGCAGATGGAGACTGCTGTGCTGCAGTTTCTGACGGTGCGGCCTAGCCTCCGCGTTCCATTTTTCTCCGTTCAACTCCGTAAGGGTTCGGATCGATCTATCGCTAGAAATATCAGCACAGTGGCTGCGCAGTTAGAAGCGAGGCTCAACACTGAGCTCAGCACATTCCAGCTACGCATAGGTAGGGTTGAAAGCGAAAAGGCCACCCTAGAATCGAAATTGGCTCTTGCAGAGTCATCAACAAGGCAGCTAGAAGCTCGAATGCAAGAACTGGCGTCAAATTATGAAGCGCAACTTGCTGAGTTGCAACGAGAAAAGCTTGCCACGTTGGAAGCAAAGGCGTCAGTGGAGACAAAGCTCGCAGATGTGCTAGCCGAACTATCCGCAGCCAAGACAAACTCTGCGATGCACATGTCTCACATGAATATTAGCGAGGAAGAGCTTCAGAAAGCGAACGCAAGGATTGCTGAGCTAGAGACGCTGCTGCAGAGTCGTGAGCAGCAGTATTCAGAGGAGATTGGTCGTCTCCGTGGAGAACTGGACAGGGTAACCAACCTTCTGGACAATCAGATCCGTACCACTGGAAGCAGAGATTTAAATACCGGCATAAGGCCGTCATCTACCATGTTAACAGCTTCGGTCGACTCGGGTAATGGATCTGATTCACACGGATCATTGTTATCTGGAGTATCAACAAATTCTATTCAGTATACGCCACTCAAGCAAGAGGACAGACCACAACCAGGCATGCCCTCTGTTCGATTCTCCAAGGACGATGATCTCACAGAAAGTTCGCTCTCCACCAATCAGACGACTATTTCACGGGCTCGAAGTACAAATGCCCGCAATATCCTAGCTAAGTATGGAATAAATAGTACATATAGCACGTATGGTACGCAGTCAAATGCCTCCATACCACCTAAACCTGCGTCAATCAACAACCTACCTATCATGCACCGTCTAAAACAGCTAGAGCTACAGGCTCAAGCTAAGCAGTATGGGGGAACACCCAACAGGGTTACTGTTGGTAATTCCGACGACCTTTCAACCAATCTTATTTCAGATAGGATTGCAAAGTATACTGTGCCCTCGTTAGCTACTTCGTCTACATCATCTTCTACATATTCGCAAGTGTCCTTCCAAGACCGTGGTATCCGGTTGCCAGGGACACAGACGCCGTTGTGAAGATAGTAAATCCATGCGAGTCATCATGTCATGTCCTTAACTTTGGTGCATCTATGTACCCTCTACAATAGAGCGAGCCGCAGAAACACGGGTATTTAGGCTTCACGCCGGGGTAAAAGTCAAACTTATAATCGAAGCTAAGCTCTTCATGGGGAGCAATACTCCGTAGGGCAACTATGGCAGCTCTTGGCTCCTCGCCGACATACCATAGCTGCACCTCACAGTTAGGGTCACAAGAATGGTTGATAAACCGACTCTCATTTCCTTTATGGGCAGCGTCTATGTAGAGTTCTCTGTCTAAAGCAAGAAAGTACAAGTGCCCCTTCGCGCTCTTCTTCCGCCGCATGCACTCTTCCCTTGTTATAACCTCACCTATGTATTCTGTCACGAGCGCTCCTCGCTGAATGCTAGTAAGTGCAAACAGACCATAGCCTTTCCTCCCAGCCGGATAGACAGCTGTCCGAGCGTACTGCATCCTCTGAAGCCTTTGGTTTCCACAGTCGGCAAGCCTACTGTTATCTTTATGAAGTGTCGTAGCGTCTTTTGGAAGATCTATAGAGTTACCAAACAAGGGTCTGACTATAAATTGCTTGGAGCATGGCGATCCTGCGCAGCACTCTTTGTAGCACTCAAGATGAACCTTCCTGAGCTCACAGCTTGTCCCACATCCAGTTCCTTCTTTGCACGTACAAGTACAGAACGTCTTCCGTGCCGCGCTAGGGCGCTTGCACCCTACATATATATTCCTTTTGACGTGAGTGTAATGGAGGGAGACGGCATCCATCTCTGTGATGTGTATTGCAGAAGCGAAGACCCGGCGCATTTTAGCCAGTTCATCCCTTTTGTACACATAAGGAAAGACGCGCAAAGGCTCTCTGGCCGTAGGTAGCTTGTCTCCTTGCTTCATTGCCATTACTTTGCCCATTGCACGCTACAACTCGGACACGGAAAGCTTTGCTAAAATTTGAAAATTCGAAATAGTCCATTTCCGCCAAGGCGTGTCTGTTCGGTTTCAAGCATTTGCTACTAGTCGGCTTCACCAGTCATGCACGTTTTTTGATAACAACCATACTCAACAAGCTATTTCTCAACCAGAGTGGTATCTAGCATACTGGTTTACTGACGAATGAGTGCTTAATTTAACGTCTGCTCTTGACATTCAAGTGCTCGTATGAGGATATATTTGCGTGTAGCTTTAGACAAGAGATTTCACGATCATTCATCGATTGGGTCTTCACAGGTTCTCATTTCATTTGCAGCGAGAGAGGCGCTGGTGCACCCTGTTTCACTGGTACGAGACCCCAGAAAGCCCGCGTTCAAATTACTGCTATGCGCTAGAGCTTCGTTCTGAGTAGTAGCCTTTACGGATTTAGTGTCTTTGGGACAGTCTGGCCTACTGCCGTTCATTGGACTAAAGGGAGGTGCTACATATCTACGGTGTGACTTTAGCTTTCGATTTCGACTGTTGACCTGTCTGTTCCTTGGTATCTTATTGAAAATCGTACAGCAATTACTTTGCGGGCAGGTGCGCGGCTTGCATTTTATCGTTAAAGCTATTGTTCCATAGTCTGATTTGTAGCACAAATCTTCTACGCTATCAATGAACCTATGCAAGGTTGATATGGTGTCGGCAGTATTTTGGATCGGTACGGATAGATGTATCTTTAAAACGTTATTGCCCATAGTTACTTGCGGCTTTCTGAGCGCCATTTTATTTTTCACAATACCACCCATGCTCTACAGCAGGCACTTCCGGCATCTCTTTTTCTTGCTGCTGAATGAAAATTTCCGATAGCAAAGCTGTATGCAGAGCACATTGTTCCTGGGGAATGCCCCTTTCAGCGAGATATTGTAGCGCATCTGGAAGCTTTGCTTGGTCAGCGTAGCTAATAAACAGAGCGCTGAGATTGTGGTTGTACGGATCTACTGTGACTACATTTAAGAGCTCATCCTCACAATCATCATTAGAGATAGGGTGTGCATAAAAGAATTTTCTGTGCACATCGAAAAGGATTTTTCTTGAGTTAGGACAATCTAGTAGCAATTGATAGCCTCCCGCAAACTCAGTTTTGAAAAAGAGCTGACTTCCTGCAGCTAAAAGCCTTCCATCTCTGAGCATGACGACTGTTTCGCAGAGCTCTTCCACTTCTTCAAAGAGATGCGTTGTTAGGAGGACGCAGAAGCGCTTATCTGTCTGCTGCGCTCGAATCCGTAAACTCTTGAGATACTTCCATAAGAAGGTGCGGGACTCGATGTCCACACCGCATGCAGGCTCGTCCATGATTAGAAGTTCAGCAAGGCCCGCCTCACAGAGGAGTATGGTCATGGCAATATTTAGGCGCCTCTTCTGACCCCCAGATAGAGTCTCTACCTTTTGGTTCAGCTTATCAGCCAACCCCATGCACTCAAGACTGGTCAGGATCAGCTGGCTGCGTTCCCCGAGCGGAAAGTCGTACAATACAATGGCTGCAAATATGTTAATTTGCTCCCCTACTGTGGCCTTTGGGAACATCACGTTTTCTTGCAATACAAGAGCCAAATGCCTTCCACTGTATAATTCCTCTTCGGCAGTGACAGGACAGTACGTTCCTAGAAGGCACACGCTACCGTTGGCCACCTCAGCGTACTTGTTGGGTAGGTACCGACTACTCACTGGCTTATACATTCCCAAGAGAACCTTCAGTAACGTGCTCTTCCCGCTTCCGTTTGCACCCAGTAACCCAATAACGCTATTATATGGCAGGTTAAGTGTCAGATGATAAAGTGCCTTTGTATCCTTTGCGCTCACGTTGTATCCGCGGGCAGTCGTATATAGAGATCCGTTGCTTACGTACTTTGCAGATATAACATCTCCTATAGGTGGATTTTCAGTTTTTGTTGCCCTGCCTTTGAGGGGAAATATGACTGAGACGTCTCTTAATGAAATTGCATACTCTGATACGTTTTCACGATCGGGTCCGTTGAGCAACGGGATCTGTGACTCAATTAGCTGAGAGGTCGACAGGTTAATTGATGATGGTTCCTCACTCTGCTTATCATCCTCTGTCTTTTTCTTAGTGCTAGTCTTTCTTGTCTGGAGCCAATGAATCGGAAAGCTGCGTGGCTTCCTGGGAGCTGCGCTTCCGGGGCTAGTGTACTCCTGGTACACAGCGAGTGCAAAATATGCAAGACCAGAAATAATACTACTCAATACTAGGAGCAAAAGATTGGGGTAATACTTAGTAGACTTGGTGAGACCGTCAGTAATGGACGTTACTCGTCCAAAGGTAGAGTAGTATAAAGAGTCATGTGCAAACACCATGCTTGCAGCTGTGAAGTAGGAGCTGTTGGCAAACGGCGGGAATAGAAGAGACAGGATGGCCATTAGAAACTGTATTCCACTGTTATTCGTAGATTGCAACTCCTGTTTCACGGTGAACGTAATTATCATTTGGACTATGGCGACCAACATGGATGGAAGGAAAAAGAGAAGCTGCATTGTGTTGGGTCTGCTGATTGTTGAGGCGCAAAACAGCGACCATGACACATTCTGCGCTGCCACTGGGAAAATGGATAAGAGGAGCACTACCACAGTAAGCCAACGGTTGCTGGTTGACCCTATTCCAAAGTAATAGCAAATAAGGATGGTGCCTACAAGCACGATGGCAATTTCACCCAGCGTGACGACTGCGTTTGCTATCTGATATGCAAGTCTATGCAGCCCATGGCATACAAGGTATTCGTAGCGGCGATTGCCCTTCATCATCCCTATGTTTGAAAGGGTGTACATTCCTGATACTATGAAGGTCATTGATACTATAGAAATGCTCGTAGCACCTATGCTCTGAAAGAATAGACTCATGGTATTATAGAATTGTATGTCGTACCCGGAAATGCCCGAATGCACCGTGTTCAAAATCCTCACCACCTGCAGTAAGGTAGAGCTGTCGAGAGAGATATCGGCCATTAGTGGCACGTTAGGGACCTTATTATTGCAATATAAGCGTATTTTCCGCGTTGAGTTCTCTATAAAAAGACCGACACCAACATGGCCCAGCCCTTCTCCGGTTATAAATCCATAAAGCTCCTCGAACGTCTGGAAGCCGATATCCTTTACGTCGTTTCTGCTGATAGCAGTCCTTGCTTCTTCAAAAACAGCAGACATAAATGCTTCTACATCTTTATTTCCTGTCGGGCCCCACGCAAATGTATAGCAGGTCCCCACTTTTAGGCACGGAGAATCAAGGTGTATGTCATCGAAGGAGAGCTTCTCTTTTGGCGCTGTGCTAGATATACTGATAGTCATCAATAGTGGGAAAACGAGGCCAAGAGTTATGTTTATGACCATCCCAACAATGAACTTTAGACGCAGGCTCAGTGCAAGTCGCAGGGACGCTACAAAGTGAGCCCTGAAGCGCCTGGACCCACAAAGCAGGCGTGCCATGGCCTTTAATTTACTTTAATCTGCACTTCATAAAGGGCTCTATCCCTTTCTGCCTTTGCACGGTGAATATAGGTTAGAAGCCATTAGCAATCTGATGCCTGTGCTTTGATAAATCTCTGCTTCTAAACAAGACCCAGATATTCCATAGCGGAATTAGCCGTCCACCACCTTTTACGTTTCGTCCTTACTATCTGGCATACTTGATGTTGATCTGTGTCTGCCTGGAGAGGTGTCTTCAGTTGAGCAGGAAAAGATTGCACGCGATAAAGCCTGCAAAAAGGGTGCACAGTTCACGCCTGGCTCCACATCTTCTGAATCTAGAATTGTGACAGGATTGTCCAATCCCTCACTTATGAAGTTGGCCCTTCTCATTCCATTGAGCACGCGCCGCTTAGTCCGTGTTGCTGCATCTGATAATCGTTGCTTTGGAGTTTCTTCTGTGCAGAGTCTATTCACAACGCCACGGAGAGTAACCTTTAAGATCTTATCCAGTTCTTCTGTCTCTGTTTGGGTCAAATCAGTATACTTTTCATTAGCTTCTTTGCTGCTGAAGTTAACGGTCCCAAAGTCATTCATTTCGCATGCTATTTTGCCAAGCTTGAGCCCCCATGCCGCATGCGTGTAACACTCCAAATCAGCGGCCCTGTGGGTGTGGCACATGAGGGTTAGCCAGAGGACATCATCGTGGGGGTGGGTACTGTATCGACTAAGAGGCGTGGAGACTGCTCCGTCATCCTCTCCCTTTAAGCATATTCCATGAAAGATGGCACGATGCTTACGAGATTCTATATCTATACCAGCCTTGGTTATCTCTTGTGGGTTGAAGCCCTTGTGGTGCGCTTGCTCCACAATACGGGCAGCGCTGGCTTGCGTGTTGGCCAGAGTGACAGAAAGGCGATTGTTTGAGCTCAGGCTTTCTAAGTTAAATGTGTTTGCACGTATAAGAGCAGACTTATCTGTCACAAAGATAACGCTGAAGCCTATGTCCTCGATGGTTACCATAGGAATGCTTCCTGTATATACGTTAATGAGTACAGATTGGGTCTCGCCAGGCGCAAGTACCCCATTCTGTGGATGAACGGATATGCGGATATTCGGGTTTGGCAGAGGCATAATCAAGGACCATTCATAATGTCCAGTATTAAATTGTGAGAGATAAGGATGTACACTTGTACTGCCAATGGGGGATCCCGTGATTGTTACAATGGTGCTAGTATAGCCTAAGCATGGCAGCGCACCTAGAATTAGTCTTCCATAGCTTAGCGAACAAAGTCCTACACCAGTTTGAGTGTTAGCCAAGAGCGAGGGATCTATGTCTTGCGACTTGATGGTAACAGACCCACAGCCGGGAGAATCCGCGTCCGCTCCAAGGGCATAGCTCGGAATAATTTCCTGGGGAACGTGGGTGTGGGGAAGAAAGACATACCCCACAAGATCAATAACTTGATATATTCTAGAATCGACGTGCTCTTGCACAGTGGAGGCAGCAGGCCCGTTGACACTACTTGCCGACTTAACTATCGCGCTGCTCGGCAACGAGTTCCTTGTGCTCCGCACACCGCTGTTGCCAACAGATGAAGCGGTATTACACCTACTTCCTGCTCTACTATTTGTGTTACTCCTGCGTACTTCCGCTAACTTGTTAGTCGGAACAGGCTTAGCGCCTTCTATTAGTCCATCATCATCGAACTCTCCGTATCCCACAAGGCCGCCCGCTGGGATGTCCAAAATATTGGCGTCGTAATAGGCTTCCAAATCTGTTGTGTGCATGGAAATATCGTTACGAGGACTTCCGCATTCATGAGTGAAGGTTGTATTGATGGAACGGGGATTGATTGGACTAATACTACTATGATCTCCCATTTTTTCCTCGTTAGAAGCCCCTGGTGCAGTGACTTCTTTGAGCCCGTGACTGCGTGGTCGCTCTAGTTTTATCCCGGGCTTGCTAGTGGGGTAAATTACTAGCCCCACCTTGAAGTGGTGGAAGCCTACACACTTGGGGCTGAAGCTAAAGACAATGTTAATAGAGCTGTTCGGGGCCAAATATCCGCGAGGGTTTAAGCATGTTAGAATGTCCGTGACATTTTGGCGAACCGTAAGCTCCTTCTGCACGACAACAGATGTATCTTCTGAATTTTCATGGTTCTCAACAGAAAAACACCGCAAACCCTGCAGAGCTAGATTCGACTGTTGTGGAGAATCGCTATCCTGATCTAATAATATTAGTTCTCCTTCGGCAGAGTAAATAAACATCTCTGGGCGTAGAAAAGCATAATTGACGCCAACTTTTCCCGGATTTGTCAGTTTTACAATTTGACGCGGAGATATGATCTCTCCCAATGCAATTGGCAAGAAGCGTTGCTCTATAGGTGCTAAAACGGCTGGCTCGTCTTTACCTAACGTTTGACCGATTAGATGCAGAATGAACACTCGGCCATTGGTTATGCTGACCTGGACTTGCAGCTCGTGGACACCTTCCTCAACGTGAGAGTAAGTTATAATGAATGCACGCTTCTCATTCTTCTTTAAGTAAATACGCTCTGGTGCAATGATAAATACTCCCCGCGAGAGCAAATCCATGGCTCGCTGCTCATGCTTTGGGGGAAGACTTCTAGCCCATGGACAAGCCTCAAGATTGGGTTCCTCGTGGGGAAGCGTGAGAGATAGCTCAACAGGGATGTCATAGGGATTAGCCAGTGATAGAATGACTCTGTAATTGGAAGTTGTCGTCTGCTTGTTACCTGGTCCAAGGACTACTGGAAATGACTTTATAAGCTTCACATTTTCAATGTCCACTGTGGTTTCAATATTATCTCCACGCGGTACAGACGTTGTTTCAGAGGAGACCAATGACTGTGCATTTATATCGGATTTTTTCCTGCTCCTAGCCATTCGTGTCACTTGGCTTACACGGGATTCGGCGCTCTCTTGCTGGTCCGAATCGAGAATAGTTCGTGCAAGCTTTTCTCGCATAAGAAGGCTTTTCCTGTAAACACGTTCTCCAGCCGTCACATCGCCCAATAGAAATTCGTTAAGGGAATCAACGTCGAGAATATCACGTAGCTGGCTGCTAGGGACCTTCGGACAGCTGGCATCAGCGATGAAAAACTTGGGGTAATTGGCTCGTATTTCAATGTTGCTTGTGAATAAGGTATCCGTTTCCTTGAGTGGTATACTGAGAAGCTGCTTTGCTAAGCCCTGAACGTAAATGCATTCTGATCGAAGCTCGTCCAAAATAGCATTTTCGCTCAGCACTGCCCCTACAAGCTCAACTACCTTTACCACGAGTCGCCCCTTGATAAACCCTGCTCGTCGAGGAACTGCCACAATAGTGATCGTGGCTTGAGCATTCGAGTGAACAATTCCACAGGAGCCTGTCCGAACAAAGAAGGTTGGGCAACGCTTGACTTGGTTATCTGTAAGTACAGATTCACCCTTCGTCAATCTATTGAGTAGAGAAGGAACATAGCATTCTGTTCCATCATTCGCTTGCTCAAATAAATACCGTTTAAGAGATACCTCTGATGAATCTAGGTCGGGTAGAAAGGGGAAGTTGGGCATTATTTCATGTATCTCAATAACAAAAGAGATAGAGCAATTGCTGCTGTTTTTAAGCACAAAGTGCATATCGTGGCTTGTTTCGGGAATAAATGGCCCAAGATTTAGTATCGATGGTGTCAGTGTTACAGATCGCGGTGTGACACTGATAATGGCACCAAGCTTTCCTGTAACAAGGGTGTCTGCTACCATCGCTCTAGCCACCTCAGGAACACCAATACACTGCTGCGGTATGGTGGCTGACAAATAAGCGTCACCCACGTACCCTGCTCTAAAGTAATTGTGGCTACGGAGCCCAAAGGAGGCAGTGCTTCTGACAATATCTGATAGAGGTGTCTGGGTATAATGGTTCAAAACATCACGCCACAACTCTGTGGACACAGCAATAAGCGTGTCCCCGTCAATTTCCTCGCCTCTTTCTAAATTCGTGTTAGAGCACAAGCTATGCAGTCTGTCGTAATAAAAGTCTGCACGATTGATGGCGGTAACAAAATCGAAGCCAGGGAGGAGCTTTAGGGGTATAAAGGCGTGAACATTAAAGGGCCATTGGTATCTTCCTATGCTGAGTAAAGTCTGATCTGCAAACACCTTAAACTGTAGCTGCAAAATGCTGTATGGCTGTAACGTTGTAACTTGAGGCGAAGAGATGAGCATATAACACTGCTTCGCTTCGCTAACATACAAGCTGGTGTCGAAATGGACCTCAACGGGGACAGCCGATGCATTCTTCAACATACAATTATGAAGCACTTCTGAGCCTATTGATACAGGACTGAATGCAATGTCTACTGTATCGGAGTTGGGTACGTCTGGTAACCCCTCTGTATCTTCAAATCTACGCTCGGTAGTATCTAACAGAGGCGGAGGAAGAGTTAACTGTTGCAATATCTCGTGATTGATGAACTGATCACCCAAAGCAGTTGTGGCTCCTTGTCTTGTCGGCTTATCCCTTCCCATGCCGAAATTAAGAAGAAGCCGTTCATTTAGCCCACTTGCTGTGGTTAAGATAAGCTTTGGGGCAGAGCAGATAGCGCTAAAATTAATGGTTATGTTCGTCTCCTCACTCCCATTCATCTTGAACTGAATGTCTGTAGAGAAGAGCACAGTGGAGGACAGCCCAAGGGCGGATCTATCAACGTTGGCATAACCGTATTTAGTCTTATTTTCTATAGCGTCCTGGGGGAAAAAGACGGCAAAAGTGACTATCTTTGTTCCACCATTGGGGGGAATGACAAAAATCTTTGGTGAAATAAACAAGAAAGAAGCAGTAGGATCATGAGCATGTTCAAACTGTGCGTCTCGACCAGAAGAAATAGAAGGGACGCACGAGAATATCATATGGCTCTCAGTGTTATTGGTCAGTGCAAAAGATGTCCGAGTAACACGGCCGGGAGCGGACGGAGGCGCTACCAGGTAATAACGACTGTTCATTGTTACAACAGGCTGAGATATTTCGGGCATTCCAGAACTTAACGTGGGTTTCAGAGGTTGACGCGTGCAGCCAGTGACGCTTATTGATGTGTGAATCGGAGAGCCTACGATGCAGTGGCGCATGCTTCGGTATTGTAGTAATGGCACGTGAGCACAAATAGCTGTAAAGTGTGTGTGATAGAACGAGTCAGATTGATCAGGGATGAAGAGAATGGAGTAGTGTCCATATGACTGAGGAGGTATTCTGCAGATGAGGCCTCGACTTAGCACGATAGGAAGGTAGACTCCGTCATCCTCGGTAAGTATTGTTGGAGAAATAGGGCCCTTACTGGCGATAAACTCCGCAACAGCATCCTGCTCGTCTAACTCTGGAATCGTGTAAGCCATAGACGGATGGTAGTCTGGCTGCGAACTGATTCCATTAAATCTCAGCTTGAAGCCGCCCCTTATAGTGGAGCAGGTCCACGAGACGATCAGGCTAACATCCTTGCTGTCGTTGTAGATATAAAAGAAGGTTTCACGCGCATCTGATGAGGATGCAATCTCTGTAGCACCATATTCTACATATCCAAAATCAATGTATTGCTGGGAGACTTTGATTCCAGCACCACCTTTTAAGTATGTAACGGGGGAGCCAAACAGCTCATAGTTCAAAGACATAGAAGGATCCATTGCATAGGGAAAGGTGCTTGCTACTCCTGACACGCTTGTAAAACCAGCAAGAGGTGAGGTTCGTTGATAATCACTAATCTTCTGACAGATAGGCTGGCAGATGCCCTTCAATTGCTTCATGGCCTCATTGATAGCAAACTCAGGAAGGTCCGAGTCATTAAATAACGGAGACAGTTCGTATCGCGGCTGGTCCTCTCCAAGTCTCGGGGTAAGAGGAGAGAAGACTTCATCTATGTTGTAACGACTGCGCATTTCAAGCCAGCTTTCCATATAGCTCAACGTAATAGGCGGGGGACGAACATCAATTCCTTTCTCAGGCAGAATAGAAGCTGAAATAAGAAGAAAGAGTGGAGATCCGCCTGGGATTTTCAACGCGATGTAGCCGGCCAAGGGATATGGGGCAAAGAAGCCTTTACCGTCACCATCTCTGGAGCCCAATGTAGAGACTTCCGAAGTATACCCCCGCAGGTCTAATTGTAGTTGTAGAGTAATCGCTATCCCCGCCGGAACTATCCCGGAAGATGGAGAAATGTAGCATGGAAGGTCACGCAAGAGTCGTTTGGTCGGCCTTACCTGGTTAGTTAGTCCTATATCTGCGGTATCTGGAATGAGAAGGTTTGCACTTAGAAACTCGCTACTATCAGATAGGATGACCTTAGCCGATTTAGACTTCCCACTTATAGGGTCCACAAATGACGTGGGGGTGCTGTATGAGCGCAAGAACGGAGCTGAGAATTCAAAGGGACATGGATGCTTGCCTGCATTTTTGAGCTGAACAGTATGGGAGACGACATGACCAAATGATACAACTCCTAAATTAATTTTGTTTTCTGAGAGCTCCAAAGGGACAGGGCAGGACGAGGCCTCGATTGAAAACTGCGTTTTTACCCCAGACAATGCCTCGATGGTAACATACTCTACATTGTAAACGTCCGAGCTATTGTAGAATGCATTGCAGTATAGAGGTGTGTACTTTACCTTGAGAGTGGTCTTCCCGTGAGCTTCAATTAATCCTGTACGGGGCTCTATTGAATATTCTGATAGCTCTCTTCCGTGATCCTCAGACCCTGCCCGTTCCTCCCAAGAAGGGTGGACGGAGAATGAGAAAGGAACGTTGGAGTCGTTCTCTAAGTAGACCAACTTAGATGCAGTAGAAAAAAGAGGAGTGTGCCTAAAGCAGCATACGGTTCCTGCTTGATCGGGAAAGCTTATCCGCATGAATGAGTATTGCGCTAGTCCATTCAGATGTACCACATAGACGATCTTCTCATCTTTGGCCAGCTGGTCGGGAGACGTCTTCTTAATTGAAAGTACAATTTCTCCGGAGAAACTGCCGGCTTCTTTAGGGTTAAAGTAAAAGGTCACCGGACACTGCTCATTAGGTAAAATTATCCCAGTTATGGGCGAAACAGTGAATGGGAGGAGAGACTCAAACGTGAAAAGAAAAGGAATTTCACCGTCATTAAGCAACGGTGTGGTAATAGAAGATTTTTCTGCAACTGCAGTGGGATCCCTCGTAAAGTCGAGGTCTCGCTCTATCTGACAAGAAAGCTTTGGTAGCTCAGCCCTTAACTTAATATAAAACTTTTCATTTGCCAAGGAACTATGAATGCCTAAGTATGTCTCAAGCTCTGTGGTACTGGTGGGCTTGAAGGAGATGGGTATAGAGTACTCCATGCCAACGGGTAGAGGTATAGGGTCGGGGAAAGGAGCAAAGAAATTAGGGACTTGTGGAAGCATATATGTAAGCGTCTGAAGGCTTTTACCTGTATTCTTGAGTGTCAGCTTCTGGGTGTGGACCCGTCCATCAGGCTTCCACCCAGAGAAGAGGATCTCAGAGACGCACTCGATGCCGAATCTCTTCAGTCGACGCTCGCGCGTAAGAACCGGAGGAGACATGCTATTTCTGGATTTTTTAATAGTAACTCCCGTGCATTACTCTCGTTAAGCCTTTAGACCGGTTTCAGGGCACAGTCATAGTACTCATAACCCTTCTACGTGCAAGGTGACCTACTCTGTGATAACTGAATTAGAACTGGCAGTTTTTCTTAAGCATGCTTCATCTTCTTTTTCATTGAAAGCTCCCGCTCTAATGCGAAGATATATTCAATGACGCCACCTATCTGACTGCTAACTTTAGCTTATGGATTTACAACATGATAGGCAACTAACACTTCAACCTTGCGAGGTGCTTATCGATGCCTAGTCTCGAAATGAAGGCCATCATTCTATTATCTCATTGCTTGCGAACGTTCTGTCTCGTTAACCGCGTGGCTACTGGAACTGATGCCGCTCTGCCTTTATTCCTGTCATACGATACCTACTTTGCTATACTCTCGAAAGAGGCACGGCTTTATCCCCGGGGACTTGGTAGTTACAGCAGCCTGCGAGGGATCCCAAGTAGACTAACAACACCTCAATTTTAGTACTTTCCATCCATATCTAGAAGCGATCCCTCACAGTAGAGGATTTTGTGGGTAATGCAATACAGTATGAGGTAGCAATTTCACCACCTGGGTAATTCACTTACCTGCTGCGTCTACATAGGAACCACCACAGGAGAAAACTGACCAGGCCCGTGACAAGGAGGACTGCTGTCACAGATACCCCGGCTATGAAGGCCGTCTTCCTTGTCGAGCTCGGGACTGGATCTGGGCTGGGCTTGGGCGTCGGGATGATGCTCGGGAGCGCATCAAAGGAGTAGCAGAGGACGGATCCGACCTTGCCCTCAGGAGGCATGCAGCAAGTGCATCCGTTGACCCCCTTCATGCCGTTGTTGTCCGCACCGCACGCTGTGCATGTGAACGCCGATCCAGTTGTCGACTGGTAGTACCCTGTGTCACAGAGGGTGCACATCTGCGGATTGTCCGGGGCAATGCAGGTGACGCAGCCCTGGGCGCATTTCTGGCACTGGCCGTCCACGCTCACATACCCCAGCCTGCATGTCACGCAGGCGTCGGCCGTACATTCGGCGCAGTTTGCGATCGAGCACTCTTGAAGGATGCCCGACTCGCTGACCATCTTTCCGTGCGCGCCCTTGGTGCACACGCCCCTCTCCTCTGCATGGCAGACGGTGCGTCCAGGATATGTGTCCACCTGGTAGCATCCTCCCGACAGGAGGAAGTATCCGTCTGCACAACTCGTGCAGGCGCCGTCGACCACAGAGACGCACGCGGACCCTGCCCGTGCGGAGAGCCCGACGCATTTGCCGTTCAGAGGGAACGCGGTCTGCGCGCTGCATACAGAGCAGTAGCTTGCTCCGTCGATGCTCGCGTCGCACCTCTTGCAGCCGTCGGCTGACGGGGTACACGGTTTCTTGCACTCCCCGACCCCCGATTCAGACGTTACCGCGTAGCCCGACGGGCAAGACACGCAGCTACTGGGGCCCTTAGCTACGCAGGTGGCGCACGTGCTGTCGCAAGGAGTGCAGACTCCGTTGTCGGAGAAGTACCCGTCCGAGCACACAGCACAAAGCTTACCGGCTCCACACTCTTTGCAGTTCGGGATCTCACACAGAGCGCACCTTGCGGGGCTCTTCTCCGTGGCATCAAGTGCGTAGTGCCCGGGAATGCTTCTGCAGTTGTCCACGCAGGTCCCCACACTGGTGAGGAAGAACCCGGGTCCACAACGCCGACACTTCTTGCCCTCAGTACACTCGGCGCAATCTGGGACCGTGCATGAACCCATGGTCTTGGTGGTGCATGTGCCTGCCTGATCCAGAACGTACCCGACCATGCAGTGTGTGCACACCTCCCCCTGGTCATCCATCCGGCACCGCTCGCAATTCACCGTGGTACAGGGGCGGCAGACTCCGTCTTGGTTCTCATAGCCGGCGGCACATGCATTACAAAGACCAAGACCGTAGTTGTTTCCATTAACGTAACCAGGAACACCTGCCCAGGTACAGATGCTTTTTCCGGGCTCCTTGTTCTCCTGGTAGCAACCGCCCATGTACAGGAAGTACCCCGCACCACACCGAATACAGCTCCGCGCTGAGTCAAAACCTACGCCAGTCACGCAACCGCTGGGGTGTGCGCTTGTTACATCAGTGCAAATGCCGTCCACAGGCGCGTGTCCATCCGTCTTGCACAAGCTACAGTACAGCTCCTCGCCTATTCCCACCATGCACGAGCCCGCCGCGCAATTGGGGTCCTCACAGTGGGACTGGCACTTGCCATTGACCAATATATAGCCGACCCTACAAGAAAGACACTTAACCAAATCGTTTTCCATAGCGCACTCTCTACAACCATTAATCCCTTTAGGATTGGTTGTGTCTCCACATTCGATGCATTTGCCACGGTTCTGCCCAGTAGGAACAAAGAAGTGTGTCCGGAGGTAGCAGGATATGCATTCATCATCTCTCGAGCTTCTGCATGTAGCACATCCTGCACTACAGGGAAGGCACTTCTGAGAAGAGATATCTCCATACATCCCGTAGCCACATTGCGACCCATCCACACAAACTCCGATGTTTTTATATATAGGCAATAAGTACTTCTTCGAGGGACATGTGAGGCATCGCCTTGGACCTTCTCCTACGCATGTCTCACAGTCATCGTGGCATCGTTTGCAAAAGCTCGGATCGTAGTATCCGTCGATGCAGGACTCGCACGTGTTTGTGTCCTGAATACACGTCTTACAGTACGGGTCCCGGCAGCGCACGCAAATACCTTTCTCATTCCGAAATCCACTTGCACACCTCTTACACAACCCAATTTCCTCAGGTTTGGCCCCGGCTTCTAAACAAACAAAGTGATTGTATCCCAACCATACGTTATAACATCCTCCTTGGTAAAGGAAGTACCACAAACCACATTTTTCACAACGTCCCTTATTGGCAACGCAGCCACTTCCATGATCGGGTGTAACTACATTACACATACCTTCGATAGGCGCATATCCTTCGATGCACCGAGAGCAGAGGAGATCGTCGCTCCAGGCAACGTTACAGCTATTTTCTTCGCAATACCCAGATGGCTCGCCACACTCTACTTCGCATTTTCCATTAATAGGCGAATGGCCCAACTCGCATGTTGTGCATTTAACCACTCCAGGCGTACTGGGAGGAATGCAGGTCTTGCAATTTGCTACTCCTTTCCATCCAGCGTGTCCCTGCTCGTCTCCACAGGAAACACACCTCCCCGTTCCATTCTCTGCTGCCAGAAAATAGCCCTCCGATTCATTGCAAGAGGTGCAATCTGTTTCATTAGGTCCTTCGCAGGTTTGACACGCACCAGAGCATTTTTTGCATTGTCGCAGCTGAGTAGGGGCTACGTAGAAGCCAACTCCACACTGAGAGACGCAAACACGCTTGGTTGTTCCCTTAAGATACCCGCGACCACAAACTGCACACGAATCATCAGCCGCACACCTAGGGCAGTCTGGGATCTCGCATCTGTAGCAAATGTCTCCGTTCGGATTAGGCTTGTGTGTCGAGAGCTTACACTTGACACATAGGGCCACGTCAGGACCCTTAGACTTAGACGGCGAGAGGCAATGCAGGCAACCGGCAACTCCTACAAAGTCCGCCACTCCTGTTGTGTCATCACACCGAACACACGAATCGACTGTTTGCGACGCTGCAGGGTTCCTAAAGAAACCAGACGTACAAGACTTGCAAACTCCTTTATCGCACTCGCTACATATAAGGTTCCCGGGGTAAAGATTACCGCACGCGTAGCAGCCTCCTTTGTATAGATACATGGAGTCTGTACACATCCCGCACCTCTTTTCGCTTACAATGGGTGTACCATCTGCACTCTTGCATGAAGAGTGTTGCTCGCTATCATACTTAATGCAGTGTCCGTTGAAGGGTATGTAGCCAGCATTCCTACACTCTGTGCACAGCTCGTGGCCGTTGATCTCCTCGCAACGGTCCTCTGCGCAATCGCTGACCTGGTTGGAGTGTGTACACTTCGCTGCTTGAAAGGCGATCAGCAGACCAAGGACCGCAAGCATTTAAATATAAACCAACGGAATATAATAAACTACATACTGCAAAAGTACAGAACTAGGACTTTTGTCAGTAAAGTATACGCCACACCTCTGTCTGTAATTCTTGTGGGCAGTTGTTTGTAGAGAACAATTCTGAGATTTCCTCTTAAGATTGCAGGTAGGTCCAATCGGCGTTTCAGCTCACATCGCAGAAACCACCATATTATCTCCCTACGGTATGCTGCGTAGAATTGCTCGATTTATGACCATCAACCCTCAGATTTCTACTTACACTACATTTCGGCTTTCTCAGCGTTTATGACGTTTTTATCGATTCTTGCAAAGGAAGTAAACACCCCAGGTCCGTGCACCAAACACCCAGGAAAGGCAGCGAGCCGACGCCGTCATTGAGAGATAACGACCAGCTGATCTCTCCCTGCGCTTAGACGTTTACTCACTTGCCGCCCTTGGGGGGCTTGAACTCCTCCTTGTCGATCTCCTGGATGATCCCGACGGCGACGGTGCGCTTCATGTCGCGGACGGCGAAGCGGCCGAGGGGCGCGTAGTCGTTGAACGTCTCGCAGCACAGGGGCTTCTGGGGGACCATCTTGACGATGATGCAGTCGCCGCGGCCTGCGTCGGGCGGGTTCTCCATCTCGGGCTTGAGCGTGCGCTTGTCGAGCTTCTGGAGGAAGAGCTGGAACTGGCACGCGATGTGCGCGGTGTGGCAGTCGATGACGGGCGTGTAGCCGGGCTGGATCTTCTTCGGGTGGTTCATGACGATGACCTGGGCGGTGAAGCTCTTGCAGCCGACGGGCGGGTCGTTCGTCACGTCCCCGACGACGTAGCCCTTCTTGAGGTCCTTGACGGCGAGCCCGCGGACGTTGAAGCCGACGTTGTCCCCGGGCCCGGCCTTCTTGAGCTCCTCGTGGTGCATCTCGACGGACTTGACCTCCGAGACCTGGGACGTCGGGGCGAAGACGACCTTCATCCCGGGCGCGAGCTCGCCCGTCTCGACGCGGCCCGCGGGGACGGTCCCGACGCCCGAGATCTTGTAGACGTCCTGGATCGGGAGGCGGAGGGGCTTGTCGGTCGGGCGCTTCGGGGCCTTGAGCCCGTCGATCGCGTCGATCAGGCACGGGCCCTCGTACCAGGGCATCTTGTCGGACTTCTCCATGATGTTGTCCCCGGTCCAGCCGGACGTCGGGATGTAGTCGAACTCCTCGGCCTTCTTCCAGCCGATGTTCTTGAGCTGCTTCATCATCTCGCCCTTGATCTCGTCGTAGCGCTCCTTCGAGTACTTGACCTGGCCGTCGTCCATCTTGTTGACGCAGATGATCATCGTCTTGATCCCGAGCGTGTTCGCAAGGGTCGCGTGCTCGCGCGTCTGGCCGTCCTTCGAGATCCCGGCCTCGAACTCGCCCTGGCCCGCCGCGACGACGAGGATCGCGACGTCGGCCTGGGACGTCCCCGTGATCATGTTCTTGATGAAGTCGCGGTGGCCCGGGGCGTCGATGATCGTGACGATGTACTTCTTCGTCTCAAACTTCCAGAGCGCGATGTTGATCGTGATCCCGCGCTCGCGCTCGTCCTTGAGCTGGTCGAGGACCCACGCGTACTTGAAGGAGCCCTTGCCCATCTCCGTCGCGCGCTTCTCGTACTCGTCGATCGTGCGCTGGTCGATCCCGCCGCACTTGTAGATGAGGTGGCCCGTCAGCGTCGACTTCCCGTTGTCGACGTGCCCGATGACGACGAGGTTGATGTGCTTCTTCTCCTTGCCCATTCGGGGACCTTTTAAAAGTGAAATGTAAAGTCAATTTAAAATAGATTATTATTGCATTTTATTCTCGTCCTCAAAGGGTCTGGTTTTTCTAGATCAGGCTGTCAAACTACTCATGAGCACAAGAATGCCAAGCAGTTTAGCTGGAAGGATTGAAAAGCATCCCAAATACTGATGTTTTGGCTTACCTCTTGAGGAAAAGTTGTGCAGGGCCCTCAAAGCATTCCTGTGACTATCTGAAAGTCAGGTGTACCCAAGCAGCATAGTAGAGCGTTTATTGCCGAAAACTGTTCCCCTAGTTCTCAGCAACCCGATGGAATATACTTTGCACAAACAGGGATTAAGGGATGTTAGAAAGACAATTCCTTATTTTACCATATATCTTCTGGCTGGCCATAGCAGTCTATGAGCTGTGAGACTCCCTTATTGCAAGATTTTATTTTAATGTGGTTGAACTAGTCAAGATTGAAAATTGTAAATCCTCGTACAATCATTGGGAGCAACTAGCTGATAAGATCGAGCTCCTTTTTGATAGCAGTAACATGCAACTGGAGGATCAAGTTCTTTGTTGTCTGGGATATTTCTTCCCAACGGCAAAACGAGGCAACAAAGGCCATGGATTGCTTTATCCTTGGAAACAAGCGTATAGCCCGAAGGACCAGCGCTCCGACGATGATCAAACTTCGAACGTCCACAGACGTAGACTGGCGCTCTTGAAACGTCCAAAGAAACTGAATGACAAGCGAAAGCTCTTCAATATTAAATCTCTGACAATGGAGTCCCGGCAAGCGGTTGATTGCTGAGAGATAAGTTAGGAACGGTGTCTTATCAACCTGATCACAGCTTATGGCCGCACGGCAAGCGCTATATAAGTGACAAAGCGCCTCGGAAACGTGCCCCTGCTCCAGAGTAATGAGACCGAGTGTGTGATAGAACTTGTACTGCTCCGAAGTTGACTCACAAAGGCTCTTGCACAGCTCATACGCCTTCTCCAAACATCTATTCCGTCTATTCTCACTGTATGTTCTTCGAGCTAACAAAAGATAGAGCGTTCCACACCTGTCCTTCACTGCTATGTTTGTTGTATTCTGACGAAGAGCCTTCAAGTAGTACCTTAAGGAGATATGCAGTGCTTTTATTTCGTGCGCTTCTTGATACCTGTTTAAGTACCAAAGACCCAGATCAGACGCAGCTCTGAACTTATGCTTAGTTGTTTTAGATAGGACAAAGCGCATAACAAGGCGATTATCTGCCAATTCCCCCAGGAGAAGGAGGTAATGAAGAAAGGGTTCTCTTACTGAGGTGGACATTATCAAAGGGTATGCACTTTTCTTAAGTATAGCGTCAGGAAAATCTGTGAAAAGACCTTCAGTAGTACTATATTGTGTTTGCAATGTCGTTGACAGGCGTATGAGTAGTAGGCTCTTGGCCATCTCCACCTGGTTAGCTAATATTAAGAACTCAAGAGCATTGGAATGACACCCGATCAGCGAGAGCTCACGATAAATCGAGGCGTAGTCTGATGCGAATAAATACAGCTGAAGTTTGCAAAAGCGTAGCATGAAGTAGGGAAATCCCAATAGGTGTGTGGAGAAGACAAATTGGATGGCCCGCTCCAGATCGTCCCCTGGAAACAGTGCTACCAGGTGTGTTTCGATAGCTACTAGTGCCTTATGATTGTTTTCTGCACAATCTGCGTCTTCGATTGTGTGTGAGACAATAAGAAGGTCCACTAAGCACGCGAGGAGACTGGCTGAGAGAGTGGTGTCTTCTGCGGCTTCTGCGCGGCGCACCTTTTCAAGGAGGCATTTAAGCTGTGTTGTAAGCCTATCAAGATTAAGCTGTGACGAAAGGGGATACTCCTGAATTGTGTGGAGAGCACGCAGATAGTCTTTATACAACTCTTCTTCTGGTCCATCCTTTAGAGCCAACAAGGGCATGTCTATATCTTGAATCAGTAGCAGCGCCTGGTGGACAGCCCCGAAATACCTGTGGAAAGTGTTTCGTAGTACGCTATATGGCTGGCAAACAGACTCTAAAACTGCAATTATTCCTTGCCAGTGCTCAACGCGATTGGTCGGAAGCTCCACCAGACTCTTTTTGGCATGGTCAAGGAGGTGCTTAGAGTGTACGAAGGGGGTATCGTCTTCTAGGCCGCTATAATCTCGAGGAGATGGCAGATAGCCAAAGTAGTTTTCTACAACAAAGATCCCCACTAGCGACGTAACAATCGTCTCTGGATCAGCTGGAGACATAGGTTCAGTAGTAGAAGAAAGAAGCTGAGCTACGATGGCCTGCGCAGCAGAGAATGATATGAGGGGCATTATCTTTATATTTCTGCCCTCGTCTGGCGAACGTGCCGTGCATACTAGCTGCAATGGATCTCAGGCTGAACAGTTGAATGGCAAATGTTACCCAGCAAAGGGTCTTTAAGTTACTCTTGAAGAGTGACGAAGAACTACCAACATATACTATGCTCTCTGCCAGTAGCGTCAGTCGAAGAGCCTGTGGTATTACAAATGGGAGTAGAAACATACGCGTGTTGATGGTCTGCAACATGCTTCAATAAATCTGCTAGTGAGCTTTCATAGACACATGGTAGTACGTGCACACTAAGGTAAGGACTCGATGCCATAATGACAGATATTGCCCGTGAAGGAAACGCCTTTCTGCAGTTTCATAGGAGAGCTTCCGGTAGTCTTCGTGTTGGCTGGCTGATACTATGAAATAAAAACTTACAGGCCTTTGGAATGGCTGTCTTCGATAAGGGGCAGACTCTGCAACAATGTCGCTTTCTGGCTGAGCACTCTACGTCAGAAGAGGCCAGATGCGATATTCTCGTTGCTTTACTGTGGATCTTTAACACAGAGGGTACAAAAGTGATGTCTGATGCAGATCTCAAGAACCTGTTTATATCGTTGACGAAGGTCCTCACTGTGTCGACCATGACAGTACAAATCCTCTCCATGCGCTGCGTACATGCGATTCTTCCCCGCTTGGACTCTGCGTTATTTATTGTCAACTCTCTTTGCAAGCTTTATGATCAGGCCAAGCCACTGCAGCCCCTGTGTCTCCGTCTTCTCTCTGAGGTCTCAGTTGACGCCAATGTAACAGAGGCTACCAAAATGGCCCGCATAGCCGCCAGTGATTCCCGTGACCCGACCCTGGTTTCCGCCGCAGGGTATGCCGCATCGGTGATTGGGGTCTCAATAGCTGATCAGGCTGCTCCTAACTGCACGACTGTTAAGGGGCCTGCAGGTGCTTTTCTGGCGAGCTATGTAAAAGTCGACAAGCTTAGCCAAGTAACAAACCCTTATGCGCAGCTGGTTCTTATTCGCAGACTGGTAGACAGCAAGGAGATTGATGATCAGCGGAAGCTGAAGATTCTTATGGAACACTTTCCCAAGCAGGTTGCCCCCATGAAGAAGTACGATGGTCATTCTGGAGCCTCCACCTCATTCATCGATCAGATGTGTCCGTTGGAGGCTCTGAAGGCGGTCCTCCTTCTTCCTTATGCAGTCTATTCGCGTAAGTTGAAGGCCATCATTTTAGGCGTTGCACACTACCTCTCCAGTGCCGTTGGATCTGTCAGCCGGACTGTTGGGCTTAATCTGGCACACTCACTGCTGCGATCTTGTAGTCAAAGTGGATATTTTGAAAGCTTTACTCTAGAGACAGCTAGCTCAGATACTAGCACCTTTACGTTACTTGGAGCTATAGAGGCTGCAGCTGGGTTTGCATCGCATGCTGTTGCCGTTCTTGCTGGGCAAGTCTTGATAGAGTTGCATTGCTGGATAGCAGGGACACCCTTTGCTCAGGCATATACAGCATTCAAGGAAAGTAGCGGCTCAGAACCATCCATTGGAAAGCTACTCAATACAGTAATCTCCCTGTTACCAAATGTCAACAACAATTTGAGGTCTGGCTTCCTCTCAACCCTAAAGGAGTATGCCAAGGTCTCTCCCCACGACGTGACTGCCTCCCTGCCCATTCTTGCACAGTTCTTAGAGCTTCGTGATTCGTCTCTACGAACTCAAACATTTGGGCTCCTCATAGATTTTTCAGAAAAACCTTTAAGCAAGTCAAACGATCGCGCCATTGAACTCTCTGTTCGGTCTCTCCGCGTCATACTGGAGCTACTCGAGGACTCACCTAACTCCTTCATAACAAAGAAGATCTGTGACTTGATTTCTAGACTGGACGTTACCAACTACATGTATAGAGGAAGCTTTTCAGAGTCCTCTGACATAGGCCGCAACACCTCTGAAGATCAATCAGCCCTGTCCCTTGATGACGCTGCAGAAAAGGCGCTGCTTCCCATTGTCTGCCTCCTCTGGAACCGCGCAAGGCTAGAGCCATCATCCACCCGCCTCGCTGTCATAGATGCCCTTTACTCTTTGAGCGTCAACTCTGGGTGTCCAGACACCATACAACAGGAATGTACACGTGTTCTTTACATCTTGGCAGACATTACTGCTGCAAGTGACGAGTATGTCAAGGACTATATCATGAGCCATCTGCAGCAGCAGAAGAATGCACAGGATAGCAGGTCTGCGGGTAACTTCATTATGTACCTGGACGTGAATAGCATCCTTGCCGCAGAAGAGGAGATCCTCAAAGGAAATCTCAGTTCTATAGAGCTGACGTCATCACAGCCCACCATCAGACCAGACACGATGCTTGAGTGCTCCAAGTCACAATCCTTGCGCACTGTGTCATTGGCAGCACAGAAGTATGTCCAGCCAACCAAGTTTAAAGAGCCTGCTCCACTTAGTGTTCATAAGCTTCTTGAAGATTGCTTTACGCATATATGTGAGTCTGCCATTCTAGACGATAGTGAAATAAAGGCCATAGAGAACGACCTGGCAGACATCAAGGGTACCAGAGCCTTATCAAATTATCTGTTTACTAACGGGATATGGCACCCGATAGTCACCAGTAGCTATGACGTACGGTGCGATGCCTCTTATATCTTCGTTAATGCTGCTCTGCACAAGGGTGTCTTAATACTGTTCTCCATGGGGACCTCGGATAAAGACTTAAAAGCAGATGTGATGCGGCTGCACCTAACCATGAACGAGGCAGAGCTCTCCTGTCCAGCTGAGTCTTTATTTGCAGAGGATGTGTCAAGTACCAGTCCAGTCAAGAAATACCTCTGGCTCTCGTTCGAACAGCTACCGTATAAAAGTTTCGATGAACTTCTTAGTAAGACAGACTGCTACGAAATATTCGGGGGTACTCTCACCTACGAAATCAATGGGATGTCGGATGTTGTACGATTGAGGTCATTTGGCCCTTCGAGCTTTGATTTAGTAAGCAATGCCACTTCTGAAGCGCTCGCACCACTTCGTGACTCGTTTGCCGACTCAAAGGACGTGCTTTCTGGTACGTTTCAGCTTCCAGACCTGTCAACAAAGGAGGACGCCGCAGATAGAATCCCAAGTTTCCTGGGGCTTTCTCTGCTGGAGGTTAATGAGACTAGCGAAGAAATCACTCTGTTCCTCGGAGGCCAAGTGTTTCTGCGGTCTGTTGCCCTTGTTAGATGTAAGATCTACCTTGTAGACAAAAAGGTTTGTCTCCGTATGGATCTTGTGGGGCCTTCGAAGGAGAGCATAATGAACCTGATGCAGTAAATGCTGCAACAGTGAGACATTTCACGAAAAATAACAAAAAGTAAAATTAATTTGTCATTCATTAATTCCGAGTTTTTTGAATGACGGGATCTATGGATTCACTGGTGGAAAAGCTCAAGCTCGTCAAGGTGGAGGGCGTCGACAAGGTTGTGTTTATCCGCGGGAAGCATGAATTCACCATCAACGAGGGGCTTCAGATTTACTACAATCCTAAAACGAAGACATATGTTGTCGGAGGGGAGCCCCGCAGTAACGAAATGGCCAGCAGCCTGAAGCAATACATGCAGATGATGTACTCGCAGATGGCACAGTCCGGAAACGCCCCTGGCGAGGCAGAGACTAACCCAGAGCCGGAGGGCTTCTCTGAAGAGGATGTCATGGCGGTCATGGAACAGGGGAACGTCTCAAAGGACGAGGCAATCCGTCTGCTCCGTGAAACAGGAGACGTCGGTAACGCGGTTCTTGCCGCGACCACCGATGCAGACTAGTTTGGAGCTTTGCCAGTGTACTGCCAGTGTAAATGGTGATTGAACGGTGCCCACCTAACGCCATCGAAGTAAGAATGAGACCGAGAACCGAGGGTCATAGAATACGAGGCTCTTGACGAAGAGAACTTCTCCCGAGGACCGTTTGGACACCACGGGATGACCGGTTGCAGCCACGGGCTCTCGCCTTCCTGATGTCAGCATGGTCGTTTGCACTGGAAAGACGCACTTTCCTCCTGCAGTGGCCATGACTGTGAAGTTTGTAAAGGTAATTCCCTCTCGGAGGCATCGTTCAACTTGATGCGAAAGCCTCTTCACACAAAGAGCGAAGAACTGGTAAATCCCGCACATTATGGTATTTTGCAAGACTGTCTCTATCTTTCTGCCGGGATCAGGTGGGCGTCTTGGGGCTCTAGTGACTCCAATCGACAAGTCGAAAAGAGACTCCAGTAGAGCGTCAGTGGTGACCAGCTGGATCTTAAATGTTAGCGCGTGTGACACCCTCAGTGCTCTATAGAGTAGTGCAGAGATGCGCTTGTGTACAGGCCTGGGCCAGATGTGAAGGATTCCTATGGGAGTGGGATATAGAATACTAACCCGACGTATTAGAGTGTTGTAAACATGGGAAGATAGCTTGACTAAGTTGTCCGCTACAAGCAGCATACAATCTATATCAGACTCGGGGACAATGATGCTTGGATTCATTTACTATAGAAAACACTCGCTAAAGCACATCACCTCACAGACAGATTGGTAGGCTAGAGGTTTTGGTTGGCCATCCGAACGGGCGCAGGCATACCCGTTACAGGATCCAGCAGCAAGTCGTTAATCAGCGTGCGTCCGCGTCGCTCAACGATCCTGTAACTCGTAGGCAAGTCTGCAGAGTCTTCGTAAGTGTCGTGCATAGGAGATCTAATGGGAGACGCAGGACTTGTCCGATGACATTGTTGCTGGTCATATGAAGATTGTTGCCGAGATGAAGAGACTGGGATGAAAAGTGTCTTCACTTGCGTAAATTCTGAAGGCAGAACAGCATACTTTTCCTGAATGTCATGGCTTATGTTTCCTGCATATGCTAGCTCCTCTCTATAGGTCCTTTGAGAATAAGGCTCTTCTAAGGCGTATACGGGCAGTGAGGGTCGCGGGCTCCGCTCGCGCTCAGAAGTTTGCTTTGATTCCAAAAGCGGAGACGCATATAGAGAAGGAGACTGGTATGGAGCTGAGTCCGAGAAGACACGCTGGGAAACAGCTCTTGTATTGTTCTGCCCGGGCAACAGGTTTGAGTTGCGCAGTTTGTCAGGATCGAGAAGCTTGCCATTAAGATCAACGTACTCTACCCTCGGCAGTGGGTCGAAACATGACTCTCTTGCTGTGCTGTTTCTTTGAGTGTGCACAGCCCTAAATCTATCTGTGGATAGTCTATCTCTTGTAGTGGGTCGTTCATCCACACTATAGACACTACTACAGAAGACACTCTGAGAGCCCTTCACGAGTGAAGAACTACCTCTGCGGGGGGTCTCCCTATAGCTTTGTTCAGCCTTAGTTGAGTATAAGCTAAATCCTTGCTCTGTGGGTAACCGGTCTATGCTCTCATCAAAGTTCATGACGGCACCAGTTTTCGAACCCTTGACATTTGAACCTTTGGCCTTGCGCATCAATTTTACCGGAAGATAGAAATAAATCTTTACAGGCGTTATACATTACACTAAGCTCACCTGCATCAACGTAATCTTCTAGTTAGTTCCGGGATATGCGCATTCAGTGCTACTCATTGGGTTATCGAGTCACCTTTTTTGATGGAAATTTGAGGACTCTATGGCCAAGATTCTGCAGGTCAAGGTCAGCTACATACAGACAGTAGATTACGGTGACTACATAGAGGGAGAACGCCTTGACATGGGGTCTGTCAGGGGCTACTCTCGGGTGAAGCTTCGGGTACCTATTCCGATCAACGAAGATCCACGCTGCCTTGATGTTACTGTGGATAAGGATGCGGTGCACATCAAGTTGGGAAGCTGGATGGCTCTGTACCATCCCCGGTTCCCCCTTGACGTGGACAATGCACAGGAAAGAACGGCCCGGATTGTCAGGAAGGGGCCCGACGTTTCCTTCAGGATACAGTGCTCCTTTTACTTAGAGCTTGTGATCCCCTTGCTTCGTAATGAGGCGCAGGCTTTAGCTGACGCACGCAGCAAACTTGAAGAGGTCACCCAGATACGCGGCGAGGAACGGCCCGTTCAAGATGCTGACTCTCAGACATCATCCAGCAGACCGTCCTCTCACAATAGTGAGCAATCTGGTTCTGAGGAGGACGACTCACCTATTCCAAAGGTTGAACCCTTAACAGAGTTACGACCCGGCGCCCCCAACCCTGTTGTGGAGTTGGCGCCGGGTGGAGACATGACGCTCCAGTCGCTAAAGAAGCTTGCAGCTGGGTGGCAAAAGAATACAACGCGTGGTAAGGTCGAAGATAAGATAGCCCAGCGAGCGAAACTAGAACAGATTCATCGGGCATTTCCTCTTTTAACAGATAGTCCGAAAGATGCACCAACCTTTGAACTCCAGGGCTTTGTTTTTTCCTTTGCTAACCCTGCCCTTACAGCAGCCTATAGTTCCAATCTTAAGTAAATATATGATCTGCACCTTTGAAGGCTACAGCGATACAGTTTTCCTTCGCAAGTTTTACTGCGGGGACGTCTACAGGGCTGTTTCCATAGGCAATGCACGCCCATGTATTCTGTACCGGATTGACCTCGAAACCATAGATGACGAGGCTCTGGAGAACGTTTCCAGGGACTACCGCTTTTGCTCCCAACTCAGCTGTCCCTTCATCAGAAGGTACACGCGAATACTAGAAGAGAAATCGACGGTGATCTTAGAGTCTGAGGACTGTGCCAACGGGACCCTTGAGCAACTTCTTGCCGACCAGCGCAACGGTCTTGCACAGATGCCCATCACAGAAAACCTCATCTGGGAGATCGCTGCTCAACTGCTAAAGGCTCTGGAGTACTTGCACCATCCGGAGCCGTCGGACCAAAGTGCTCCCGAAGCAGAGTCTATGCACTCTCCTATCGTACATCATAACATTAATCCTAGCTGCATTTACTTTGACTCGTCAGGTAATGTAAAGCTCGGAGGCTTTGAGCACGCGAAGACAGGCCCTTCGTTCACTCGTGGCTTTCTAGCTATCGGGAGCTCATACCACATGGCTCCGGAAATGGCTCAAGGGGAACAGGGGGCGACATACACCACGAAGATCGACATCTGGTCTCTCGGGTGTGTACTGCTGGAAGTAGCGACTATGAAGCTTCCGCCATTTGACCCCCGAGAAATTATGGGAACACCTCAGGTCTTTATAAAGGATTTCTCTTTTCAGCTCAGTCGTTTCATTCATAGATGCCTTATCTTTGACCCTGTCATACGACCATCTGCGAAGGATCTGCTTACAAACTGTGAAATTAAGATAGCACTTGAGCGACTGGTCAACAGTGCCAGTAGATCTCAGCAGAAAGTAGACGCTTTGAATAATTAAAATGCCAAAGTACTACCGGTATCTTGCTCCAGCAGAAATCCAGTTCTATGGCCTCGACCCTGCGTCGCAATTTATCATTACACGCAGAATAAAGTTTGAAGTTGGATTGCGTCATGTAACCGTGCCGAAGGGATATGTCTGCCGAGGAGTTGGACTGAGTTACCAAGACTTCTGCGTTCCACCGCGCTGGGCTGCTTACGAGCACATGTACGCGACGCATAGGACAGACAGGGCTGTGTGTACTCGTGAAGAGGCAGACCTCTTCTTGTTCAATGCATATCCGGATGACATGAACTTGGTAGGAGATGAACTCTTCTGTGGCAGTTCACGTGTGTCTGGGGAGGACTTTTGGGCGTCCAGGCTCGAACAAGGAGTAGTGACCGTGCCAGAGCTAGTCACCCCCACTGCCATCTGGCCAGGGACGGCCACCAAATTCAGCAGTACCATAGCGCGAACTCCAGTCGACGCTTCCTTGTCTCTTATAGCCCTTGCGGTCGCAATGCTGCTTGCCATGGGCACGGCTTCTGTGCTATTCTAGGTGTGTTCTACTTAAAATGGTTGCGCAGATGCGTTACACAGCATTGTAAACGGATACAGATTCTATCCACCGTTTGATGACGGCGACAAGGGTCTCTGGAAGGTCTTCAATGTGTCTGAGGAGAGCATAGCACTGGAACGGAAAATCGTCGAGATACATAGACGTCTGTGCTACGCGTTTGCCGGAGGAATCTGTGATAAAACTTACGCTTTTGATGTCCATAATACTCTTCTTATCTGTGTCCAGAACAATCAGCACCGGCAGCTGACCCCTACCCATGCACTTTCTAATCTCGCGGGCCACTCCACCCTTCTCTTTAAGTCTTCCGTCAGAGATCATAAGAAGTAGCTGCAATGCACTATCACTACCCTTGAAGAAACGGACACTATCCAGATAATCAGAGGCGATGCTAATCGCGTCCGAAACCCTTGTCTCATTCTGTGCAAATGTGAATGACCCGATTGCATACGCAAGAGATGCATCGTTGTACTGATCAGTTATCGGAAGAAGGAGCTCAAACTTCTGTCCAAAAGAAAAGACGCTAAGCTGGCCAACCTCTAGGAATTTGCAGGCATTGAAGAGGAGCGTGATAGCCTGGAGGGCATACTTAGCAATAGGTGCCATTGAGCTGGAATCGTCGACGGCAAGGAGTACCTGGTAGACTCTCTTGCTTGGCTTCGTCCTTCTAAGCCAAATCTTGTCCTTCTGAAATTCTGAGGCAATGAACGGGATGATCCTTCTCAAATTCAGTTTCTTTCCTGTGCGGAAATCACCTTTGAGGTCTGAAGTAACCGTTGGCTCAAGGATGATGCGCAGTCGTTCGGCCAGGGAGAAGGCCGCTGCAGACGTCTGCTTAATCAAATCAAGAAGAAGATGGTTTCCTCTTGCACTGGCAGCTGCCACATCTTCAGGGGCCCGCTTAGTCTCTTCAGAGGCCAATGACACGGCAAGCTCTTGGTATACCTCGCCTTCAGGGTTGAGCAAGTCCTTTGACGATTCGCGCATGTGAGAAAGCACGGCTTGTTCTTGCTTATCAGATGCAGTACTGCTTTCTTCTCCTTCATCGGATATTTCAGGGTTCAAGTGCTCTGCTGGCGGCCGATCATGCGAAGATTGGCTTGTTTCGCACGAGCTGTTGTGCTCAACGTTCCTCTCCTCATTTGGATTATCAAACTCTTGGTTGGTGAGATTCCTGTGTTTTGATTCGGTAAGTCCCAGGGCACCATCGCGGCCGCTCTTACTGTCGTCAAACTCAACGGTCTTATTCGATTGAAGAGGCATGTCCTGAGGCTCTGCAGCCTCATCTTTCTCACTTTCCCTGTCGTGGATGTTTAAGCGCTCCTTCCAAATTCTCTGGAACTCTTCTAGGCTCATATCTGGATTGCCCTCCTTCAAATCTGCACTCTCCGCTCCTTCGCCTTGACTGTTTTCCGTACTCTCTGCTTCCCACTGATCCTCTATATTTTCTTGCCTGAACTGATCGTTATCTTCATGGGTCTGCTTCTGATCATTCGTACCTACTTCGTTGGCATCTGGATTACTATCTGTGATATTTTCCTGGTCATACTCTGTATCTTTCTGCATTTCTTCTTCATCATTGGTCGCTTGTTGTTGGGCACTGATGTTAATTGCATCGTCACGATCGTTATCGTTATAGGTGCTTTGCTCATCACTGGCCTCATTGTCATCAATGTCCACAGGGGCTTCATGCTCATCATGCTCCTCTGCGTTTTCATCAGAACTGGGCAAGTCTCGGTCATCATCTTCTTCGATAGCACACGCATCTTGGTCAGGGTTGCTGAGATCGCTCATTTGTTGTTGCTCTTCCTCAAGCTCCTCATTGACTGTTTCGTCCTCTCCATCGGCTTCTGGTACGCTGAGGTCTGACTGTCCTGACAGATTCTTGTCATCGAGGTCATTATAATCGTCTTCCTGCGCCTGCTCATCGGTACTGCCTGTGGCATCCGCCTGTTCTTCATGTTGCTCGCCAGATGGATCGCTCAGCTCGCTGTTAATACTATCCTGGTCTTTCTCTTGAGCAGCTAACTCCATGGTATCATTATTGTTGTTGGTATTCTTCTTCTGTTCATCCGAATATTCTTCGGCACTGTCATCATCCTCGTTATAGTTGCGCTCGTCTATGGCCTCACCTTGCTCATCTCCCATCTCCTTTTCGAGCACTTCCTCCTCATCTGAGCCGTTAGAGTCTTCTTCCTCAATGTCATGATGCAACGACTCTGACATGCCTCCAAAATCATTCTGCATCTCTATGGCTTCATCGTCTCCGTCCTTCTCTTGCTGTTCTTGTTGATCACGGTCATTCTGATTGCCCATCAGATCATCCTCGCACAGCTCCTTTGCCGCTTCCTTAGAAACGTTCTGATCTCCTGTTCCGTCGCCGAGTCCAAGGCCAGATTGGTTGTCATTGTCGGTTTCCTTTTGGTCATCATCTACGTGACAGTGAAATCCAGTACGGAGAAGAGCTATGGCGCCAGATATGAGGGGCCCAATAAATTTCGCTAGGACATCAGCGAGCGCTTGCATATCGCCCTTCAAGGTTTCTATTTGACACAGCAGTTTCTGAGGCAGCACAGGCAGAGATACAACGTGACGGGTAGCGCATTGTAAAATAGGTTGAAGTGTCGAAGTGAAAAAGGCAGTCATATACGCAGATACTTGTTTCTTTGCGTTATCTACAATAATCTCAACTGAAAGACCTTCCTCGCCAACTGAAGCAAACGGCAGGGCAAAATATGGCCATTCTATCGACGATACAGTAGCCGCCTCCTCTACCCTACATTGCGCAAGCTGTTCCGTGAGAGTGTCGATAACCTCTGTGACCTGAGCAAGGTACTTTGCATGTTCTGTGACAAATGTCGATATAGGTGCAGTTGGCAAGACGGCTATTAATGCTGAAAAGATAGGAGAAAGATCAGCCAAGATTTGCTGCAGAATAGCCTTTGCTTCTTCAAAGAATGCCAATGGAATAAGCGTGATAGAGCACAGGCGCTTTATGAGCGCAGAGAACTTAGAAAATATCTTTATGCGATTGAGAGCCGTTACAGAATCAGCAGAGAAGCGCTCAAGAAACCCGCCTATTTGCTCATGGAGCTTAGTAGGAGATGACTTGCAACTATCGAGAGGTAGCCCAATGAGAAATTCCTGTAAAGACATGCACATCTTATGCGCCTTTGTCACGTGAGACATAACCTGAGTAGTTAAAAGCTGAGGAACAGAGTTGTCAGCCAAGTAGACATAAAGCACGCTATCAGCCTGAGACTTGGATGAACCAGTTGGGGCTGTTCTCATTACTCTAGATAGCAATTCGATATCTGCCAGCTCCACAACTAGCTCGGATAGTTGCACGAAAACCTGGTTCAGACAGGCGATTATTCTCTTCATCCGCTCAATATCATGGGGCTCAACTTCATTACACCGCTGACATAGAGAATCGTGAAACATATGCATAAGCTCAAATGTTGAATGAACACTCGGTAGACAAAGATGAGCAAGTTTCCAGCCGAACGATTGCTTGAAGGCGAAACCGGAGGACAGAACACAGCCTAGCGTCTCCTTAAGAACATCCAGTACATCACTTAAAAGCCTATTCTTTTCATTTCTCTTGAGTGTTTCGGATTCTTTGCGTCCATGACACATCTGCTCAACGCAATAGTTGAGGCGTTCCACAAGTTCCTGTGAGAGCGCAGGAGGTAGCATCCCAGACTCAGAGCTCAAAGGAAGATACTCCTGGACTGTAACAGACAATGGTATTCGATCATACGTTGCGCTATACCCCATATGAAAAGCACGAGTAGCATGCTGGAGAACCTCTGTATATTCTCTAATTATCTTAGTGCAAAGACGGTGGGAATTTTGTGCAGTGAGCCACGACGTGTAAGACGAGCGCTCGTTCCACTCAAAGATGCGAATCTGGTCCTCAAAGCGCTTCTTGATCTGCGCAGCCTCCTCTTCGAACTCTTTGTTCATGTACTTAGCAAATTCCACTGCTTCGGATGCAATAGAAAACAGCACAGCAGATGTCATCGTCTTATGGGGTGAGCTAACTAATTCTGGCTCCGCAAGTTCCTCGATATTGCTTAGTAGAGCTGAAAGTGTGTACAGTAGTTTCAAACGAACTGGAAACTCCCCTACATTAGATTCGTAGAGAAATTCGCGCATCTGCGCATAATAGGCTTCAGTAGATGGTTCTCCCTGAGTCACTGATCGTTGGTACGTTAGGCTCGCTATTAGGAGCTCTGGCCAATACGTGAGAGACACGTTCGAGAACTGTGTATGCACGCGAGAAAAGAATCCGTTCCAAGACATCAGCTCAACGCGCCTCCACGTCACCATTAGATGAATTAACGACTTAGTAAGGCTTTCTGGAACAGGGACGTTCGGATTCGTTACGTATTTATAGACGGCAGGTGCCCCCTTGTCCCATGTTTCCAAGTGACGTACAAGCACCTCTGCCCCAGTGAGAAACATGACAAGTGGCGCTTCTAAAACAGGGAGCTCCATGAGCTTGTCGCAAACATGCATGATGTCTAGGAGCTGCACATTATCTGGCCACTCTGTGAGGAGATGCTGCGTCCGAACAATGATCTTCCGAAGCAAAGTGGAGCAAAACTCCGCAGTTTCGTAAGGATAGGGGCGGCTATAGATGTCCTCGCAATGAATTGCGCGTCGTGTTTTACCTGTTTGGAGCTTTGCATAATCAACATTGGGGCTTCGAGAGCTGAGCACACGTACTAGACCCATGGTAGCCCCTGTCACTAGTGGATACATAAGTCTGTCTGTCTCTGGTGTCAGCGGAGACCTAATAGATAAATTAGATGACACACCTCCGGCGCAGATAGACAGTGCATATGTAACCGCTTGCAGGGCCACTAAGGGGCGAGATAGATGAGGAACATGGGCCTGAAGGATAGACGAGAGGTTCTGGAGACGTTCTTGTATAGGGAGGGCCTCTGTGTCTGATGTATATAGATGCAAGATACAGTTCCCGATAATCAGGATCATATTCATGCGTGTGAAGAAGCTAGTGGCGTATGCATCATCGTAATCAACCTTCGTCTGAGCAGACATGCTGATTGGTTGTTCATCGTCTGAGGATGTATCAGATTTAATGAAGTGACTATCATTCTTTGGGAACAGAGCAGCAATTTGCGTTTTCAGCTCATCCTCTTCACTGACTCCCTCGGCCGTCGAAGACTGATTGCGTGTTTTAAAGATGCTATGGTCTGCTATATATTTCCGATAACTTCTGGCTTCCTCAATTTCAAATTGGGCGGCAATAGATGACACACGCTCAGGCCTCAACGTATCAGCCAGAAGAAACTGCGATACGTCACCTTGAACTCCCTTGGAACATGAAGAGTATTGCAGAAGTGAGAGTGTGAATAAGCGGGCTACGTGAAGAGTAGAAACGGTCTTGGAAGAACAGCATGAACGTATGAACTTGTCATAGCACAAAAGGTCGAGAAACTCATCTCCAGTACCGACGACGACCCGCTGGATAAGAAGAAGCAAATCCTGGAGGGTTATCTGCAGTCCAATGCCTTCGCTTGATAGCCTTCGGGCCGCGTTTATCGCATCACAAACATGGGCATACACGGAGGAAATAACGGCAGAAAGCCCTACCCTAAGACACATTAGAAAAGAGGCTATGGGAATGGTCATATCGAGATAGTAGCTGCTCTCAACGGTATAGTTTATGAGTCTGGGGAGAAGAGCAGCTAGAGTGGTTGATATTTGGCGTTCGGCTACAGCAAGTCCATCAAGGATAGCCTCAATGCACTCCGTGCTCTCGTGCATTTGGAGGACCTTCTCCAAATTCAATACCCCAGAAACAAAAGTCAACACATGTACCTCAAAGCCATCCAAACTGGCTAATTGAGACGACAGATCTTCAAAGAATGTATTATCTTCGTCATCTGCTCTCACAAGCAGCTCAGCTGCATACTGATCAGCTGCTTCGGCATAAGAATTGTAAAGTGTCGATAGCTCTTTGTATATCGAGGAGCTCTCAGACAGCGCGCCGTCTCCAAACACGAACAAGGCGTGCAGCTTAGAATCTTCGATGGAAGTCGCAATCAGTTTGGCCAGACGTCTGTAGAGGACTTCTCTATGCTTGGTCATAACTATCGGATCACGTTGATTAGCTATAGACGTGAGCAAGTAGAGGACTAGCGATGCAACAGTAAGAACAAGTCCAGACAAAAGAAGAGGACTTGGAGAAAGCTGCACAGATATGATAGCTTTGAGAATATCTTCAACTCCTTGAGTGAGAGACGCTAGAAGGGGGTTGCTGGAGTGAACTATTGTTTCTAGAATGAGAGCGAAGAGTTGGAAAGAGCCGTCAGTAAAGTCACACGATGGTGCTTCACGCTCAAGGGCTGCGAAGAATAGCCGCAGCACAATCGTTGTAATGGAGTTGATGACGTTACCGACATACGACAGAAAGTCCTCACTTCTGCACAAGAGAGATTTGAGAACTGAGGTTGCCTGCTCTTCAATAGCATTAGTCAGAAGAGCGGGAACAGACAGAGAGCTTGTTACGAACTCCCCGGTGCTGACAAAGATTGGGCCCCTAAGGTATGTAATTGGCCCCGCAGCGTTTCTATGATAGAAGCTCATGGATCTGAAGAGGAGAATCGGTAGTTGTGTCGTCAAATCTCTCTGCGACCAACCCTCGAGAGTGTCCGACACCTGCATGCAAAAGGCTTTTCCTGTAAATAGCAAGAAAAGCGATTGCATCTGAGCTAAGGCACGAGCTGTCGGGTGCTGATTGCCAGAGAGCTTCGATGCGCAAAGATCGATGCGGTTTGCCGAGTCTTGCAGGATTGCAAGCTTTGGGACATAATCACCAGTTTGGTCATCTGCCCTACATGCCATATATATGACGGTCGCCAAGATGTCCTTCCAGAGACTTGCTGTAATGCTGTCCGATAGTCCTTCTTGAAGGAACACAACGCCCTCTGGAGAGATGCAAAGATTCAGTCGTTCAATTACGTATCTAAACACTTTAAATAACTCTGGAAGGTAGTGGACTGAAATGCGCGCCAGCGCTAAGTTCTTGCGGACAGCGAGCCAGGCAGTCTCTAGATCGTTTCGTGCCGCAGAAATGAACAAAGACCTAATGTATCCTGAAAGAAGCCTCGGCATCGATTCGAAGTACTGATCTGTCAAGATCATGTCAAAGAACGTCCTCATGACTTGACGTTGGCCGAGAGAGTATGTCTTCGTTGATGGGTCTATGGAATGAGATATGAGAAGCTCAAACAAGGAGAAGAAAAGGGCTACATAATCGTAGTTATTGGGGTCAGTCGCTAGATGTTGAGACAGTTCTATCAAATATAATAGTAGATAAGAATCTTTTGTTGTGAACTTTCCCTCAATAAAAAGCTTGAGAATTGAGGCGTAAAAAGGACTGCATAAAGAGACGTACTTAATAACTTGGTGGATAATCGAATCGGGACTTGAGTACATATCAAGATAGCCTTGTGATATGTACTTCAGCAACGCCTGGCTTGAAGGCTCGGGCGGAGTTAGCAGATACATTGGATTTATATCTGTGCTAGTAAGCAAATTGGAGACTAGCTCCTTGTGGTGTTGGAAATCAAGTGAATGACCTACACATATTGCTAGCCATCCACTAACTTGAGAGAAGGGTTCCATGATCTGGGGTTCTTGATCAGCAAGAGAGACAAGCTGATCAAGTGGTTTGACGGTAGTACGCAGCTCGAGCAAAGCCAAGCTATGTTGTAGTGAATTGCTTATACTGAGCTTTCTAACGGCACCCAAGGTTAACTGATTCAATACAGCTGCAGCTTCAACTAAAGTACACGCCTCTAGGCTTCCATCTCCCTGTAGTGCCAGGCGTGCGTTCTGGTACACCTGCATATACTGTCGATGGAGGTCAGCGTTCAGAGTCGATGCTATGAACACAGAGCTGAAGCTGCGGTCCACCCAAGAGGACACTGCTTTGGGGTCGCCAACCGACGTGGAAAATCGCTTGTGGTAAGTTACAAGAAGCTTAAGCCATTTGAAGAGAAGCCCCAGGCCAACAATCTCCGGGTTATCTCTGGAAAGCTCAAAGTAGACCAGTGAGACGAGCTTTATCAAGTACGGATCTAGCGAGACACCACTGGCAGTTGAGCTCGTGTAGACACAACGCACAATATCAAGCAGATTGTAATGAGAAACCTGAATGTCTATTGACAGTTCTAGCGAGCGATTTCTGAGTGCACGAGAAATGTCACTTGTGGGCGCGTAGCTGATAAAGAGCCGAAAATTTGGGTGCACTTTAATGGAGCGTGTTTCCTCAAGTCCTTGCTCTAGTATTTCTAGACCACCTCCACGCTCTAAAAGAGAATTGAGTCTATCGAGAACAGAAGGCATACAGAAATTTGCGTTTGTCAGCTCTACCCAGTAACCACGCTCAAGTGCCCGAATCAACTCTGAGTCCCTCCACACAAAGCGCCCTGTCTGGCTCTGCTGAGTGGACAAATAGAGGGATGCCATGCTCTTGCATAGTTCGGGGATTGTTGGCATGTGAGGTGAAAAGCGTTCGTCCACAGGTGTTGTGTCTTGAGTGAGTATCTCTGAACAGAAAAGGGAAAAGTTCTTGGCTGCTAGTCCACCAGAGTCGAGATCCGGAGAAAACTTAGCCATGAATTCCAGAAGAAGCTTCTGTACAACCTCTGAAACGATTGATTCCATTGATATCGCACGGCTCTTGGACCCCAATCCGTCCCCAATCTCTCTATCGAGAGAGGCGGTGAGGTCTTTTAGGAATTCAGAGAAGGAGATAGCAGAGTAAGAAGCCTTTATGGGCAGTGAGTGAACGAAAAGACACAAATCTCTAATGACACTCTTCAAGTCATACAAAACATCGACTTGTTCGTAGGCACCAATCAAATCTGAGACATCTGTTGCTGTGCTTGCTGAAATGTGGACCAGTGGCTGTCTTACAACATCTGCAAGAGTCCGTAGAATGCTACTCTTCCCAGACTCAGGAGATCCAACCAAAATGCAGCTCAGGTTCTGTGTCACTGCTACTGCCAGTGCCTCTAAAGCAACTAGCTGTGCTGTAAGGAAACACGAGGTGTGTGCATAAGACAGCTTCGTCCCTAAAACGTCTCTAAACACAGGGTCAATGCGTGGTATAGCAAGAGAGCCAATTTTCACAACGTCTTCTGTGACGTTCCAAAGAGGTCGTAGTGAGTACCAGTGGTGTGACTGTGTGGCTTCTGCAACGCTGTCAAGAGAGTGTGGAGAAAATAGCACATTTTGGACGTACGCATCATCATCAGCGGTCCGAAAGCGATATCCAAATAGAATATGTGCATAGTGCTTGGCATGAGCCAGGGTGATGCCTTGTGCGAGGCCAGGGGTTGTAGTCAACATGTCACAGAGCCGCATCATGTCGCGAACATTTAGCTCCCACGGGCCGCCAGATATGCCGAATTTCAGCTCTTCCAAACCTGCTCGAAGCTGTTTAGTGGACCCGAGAATGTAGTCAAGTACGTATGTGGGGATATCGGTGAAAAGGTTGCTCAAGATCCAGTCATAGTCCTGACTCTTTAATACATCTACGTACACGTTAAGAAATCGGTTGATGAAGGATTGCGGAAGACCCTTGCGACCACTACCCTGCGAGCGAGGGTTCTGGGTGCCAAAGATCCGAAGGGTATCCGGAGATTTGACGGAGAGCATCAACTCTGGAATGAACAGGCTTCTGCGGTGATCAAGAAGTGAATTGAGACCTTCCAGGACGGTCTGATTGGCCAGGTTGAGCTCGTCTAGAAGAATAAAGGCGCCTTCTTTAACGGCCTTCAACAAGACACCATCTACCCAGCGAAAGCCATTCTCTGCAGGCAAATCAGACCCTAAAAGGTCGGAGAGGTCTGTCTGTTCTGAAAGATTAATTCTGACTAGTGAATACCCGCAGATTTCCGCAATGGCAGATACTAGAGCGGACTTTCCCACGCCTGGATCGCCCTCCAAGAGAATCGGCCTCTGAAACCGAAGCGCCTTGGCGATTCTGCACGCGTTCTTAATGGTTGTGGGAGCGTCTAGCCTAAACGATGTCATCTTTCGAAGGGCCTTTGCATGGTTGTATTGCGGACCAGGAGGGATTGTAGCCAAAACGGTTTGTGTAGAGGCTTGAAGAAACGTCAATTCGTTGGTGTCTTTGGAAATGCTAACTGTTAGGTCTTGGATCAAATCGATGTCTGTCAGGTTTGCGGAAAGAATGCGGTTGGCAAGGTAGAGAACCATTTCGTGTTTAACTTCACGACAAGCGGGCATATTTCCCAGCTGTGTGCGAACCGGGAGCCCATCTAAGATAGATAACGTGACGGCATCGATGAGCATCTGCCCCAGTTCAGTACCCTCCTTCGTCTGCACCTCTGTAATGTAATCACAAACTGCCAGGATATCTCGAATACTGAGAGTAAACACATCTCCTAGTCTGCCGCTTTGTGTTATTCTATCCATCTCTGCAAAGAAGTCCGCCAAGAGTGAGACCACATCAAGACCTTGTTGGTGCCCTAAGCGATAGATGGCAGTCTTCTGCAGCTTCCTTGTTAAAATCATTCTAACCTCATTGATGTCTCGAATATGCGGCATCCAAAACTCAGTAAGACGGGATCGCATTGCAGGGCTAAGCTCCTTCTTCCCATAATCTCCTGCAGGGTTCATCGTCGCAATAAGCTTGAACCCGGTGTGAGCAATCACTGGCCGAGGCATGTTTGGGTTCTCAGCAACAGTGAGCTCGCGAGATGTCTCCAAGACTGAGTTGAGTCGTTCGAGGACAGACTCGTCAGCCAGTGAGACCTCATCTAGTAACAAAATGTGGCCACGCTTCATACAATTCAGTATCGGCCCATCTTCCCATTCAAATAGCTTAGTCCCAAGCGTTGTCTCAAGGCGCTTTATCTCGGCATAGACAGCTTTATCTACATTTGTAGTTGTGGCTGCATACTCCTTTAGAACTGAGAGATGGGCATGCATAGACTCACGAGAACGCAATGGACGCAGGCTTCCTATGAAGTCTGCACTTTCTGTATGCTTATGAAGATTGACCTGCACTAATTGCTGGGCCATGATGGCTGCAATCAGCTCCACGGATGTCGTTTTGCCCGCTCCACTCACTCCAACAAGCAGTGGCGATTCCCCATTGGAAACGGAGGTGAACAAGAGGGCGAAAAGCCTGATCATGCTCGGAGTCCACACGATGTCCTGAAATTTCAACAAGAAGGCCGACTTGGGACTATCAGCGCCCGCCTTGAGAGCCTTCTCAATCATACTTTGAATTGGTCGCACTCGAATGGCGTACTCTTGCTCCGCTGCCGAAACCGAGAATGTTTTGAGCCCCAGGTTTTTGGCGATGATCTCTGCTACCAGTTGTTTGTCTGCTGGGTCACGCTGTCGCTCACCGATCAATTCAAAAATCCCCATTGCAAGCTCAGTAAGCGTGCGAGGCAGACGATCAGCAACCCGGAAGAGGTCACGCAAGGTGATGAGCGCGTTAGTCATGACTGCATTGTTATTTCTGTGGCTCAGTTGCATCTTTATAGCCTGGATAGTGGTGATCAACTTCTCACAATATTGGGGAGCAAGGTGACGGCTTGTACTTCTATTGATTAGGATCTCTTTCAGCTCCTCTGTTGATATATCAGCAAACTCTATCATGATAAAGCGATTCTGAAAGGCTTCAGACAACATCTTTCGCCCCGCATATGATCCGGATGGATTTTGAGTTGCAAATAAGAGAAAGCCAGGGGCAGGCCGAACGATCTCCTGTGTGTCAGGAACCAAAAGCTCCCTATTGTCATCTAGAAGCCTGTTAAGGGCCTCAAGAATCTCCGAAGACGCCATGTTAAGTTCGTCCAGAATGACCCAGTGACCCTGCTTCATCCCAGTCACGAGAGGCCCATCTTTGAAAACAAGCTGACCCGTCAGCGGATCTGGCTGGTAGGACCCAAAGTACTCCGAGAGGTCTGTATGTTCATGGTTATTAATGCGCGTAATGGGACAGCCAAACTGCTTGGCAATGTGCTTGATGAGGCTTGTCTTCCCCGACGATGTCGTACCTTCCAGAAGGATTGGAAGTTGGGCAGCGATGGCCCTAGAGATTGTCGTCATGTATGATCTGGTTGATTTTGTCAGCACATAGTCAGTGCTTCGAGCCCGGGATTTCTCTTCCTCAAGAAACCCGTGAGCAGCCTGTGGCTCTTGATATTCCACGGTGACGGCTTCGTCCTTTGTGGTGGCTTGGAAGATCATAGCGGTGCATGGCTTATTAAATGGTTGTATGATGAATGGATTTAGCAGGTATTCTTTGTTTCCATTAAGTAGCTTATCAAGAATCAACGCATGCACTGCTTGTCTACTCTTTTCATTGAGCATTGATCCAAATGCTAGCATGAATCCTTCGTACATGGAGCGGCGAAGTCCTGCAGCTGCACGGAATCGATGCGCAAAGCTGAGAGCGCGGCACAGAGAACGTAGACTGAAGCAAGGAGACTTGGCCTCGGCGGCGGTGACCAGATCTGTCTTCGCCCTGGCCTTCAGCACGGTGAAAAGCTGATAAACGACATTAGGGTCGAGACCCTGACGATCCTCTATCATTGCATCATCCATTCGCAGATACGACTTGGTAAGAGCAACAATGTCCACGTCATCAGACATTTCGCTAACGTTTATTTCTGTAAAGCAACGGCGAATGGTCGGTGGCAGGTCCTTCTTCCCCACATCGCTCCCCGGATTCATGGCTGCAAAGACTCTGAAGTGAGGGTTCTTTGCTACAAATCCTTTGTCTGGGATTGCAATCTCGTTGTGCTCAGGATTGACCAGCTGAGAGATCACATCAAGCAGATCGTAGCTCGCAAGATTGATCTCATCTATAAGAATCCAGTCGCCTTTCACGAGCGCCTGCACAAGGAGACCTTCTTGGTACTTAAAGGCCATGGTCGGCTTCTTAGTTTCTACCTCGTGACAGAGGATCTTGTGCAATTCAGTTGCCTGCTCTAGGGTATCTCCCAGAGACTGCAGAAAATAGAGAGAGTTCTCATATGTACCTCTTCTGGCATATTTTTTATCGTGTGACACTCGCTGTTCAGTAGAGCCCTGTTCCACCACCTCCCCGACCTCCTTTCTGAGAACTTGTCTCATTCCGGATAACGCGGTTTCACAGTTAGCTAGGAATTTTGCTATATCCTTTTCTGCGTATGACTTGTGAAGCTCCGTAACAAAGATCTGGTTTTTTCTGACAGAAATGTAGAGCCCAAGACTGCCTGTGATGGCATCATAGAGGTTCCTCAAGATGCGATCCAAGGTGGCGGGCACATAGCCTCCTAGAAGGTCTGCTGCATCTGTTTGACTCGACATGTTGACAACGTGTAGCTTCTTTCCCAAGGCTCGCGCTATGACTTGCAGACACGTGGTCTTGCCTATTCCGGTGGGCCCCACCAGTAGGAGAGGCTCGTTGTTTCTAATAGCAGATGATATGATTTCTAGCAATCTTGTCGTGTGGTTTGTTCTACAGATATCATCAAGAGAGCGCTCGTCTGGAGATTCATAGAAAGGAAGAGATACGCGCCCACAGACAAGTCGCTTCTGCGTATAGTCGTGGCGAATATCGACTTTTATTTTCAGTAGCGTTGATAGCATCAATTCCTCGTGGATATTGAGAGAGAGTCGGAGTATATCAAGAAAGGCCCTCCGGGTCTGCTCCTTGGAGTACCTAAGGACAAACGCCTCCCATGCATTCTTAATCATAACCATACGCGTATTATCGTCAAGCCATGATACTAGAGTCGTGGCAGCAGTGCCTGCCGAGGCCTCTTGGACGGCCTTGTTCAACACAGCACCCCCGTTTTTGAGATCAAGGTCGATTCTCCGAGCCCATTTGACCATATCGCTGGCTGAAATCCGCCCTGCTGTTAACCTGTGCGTTTCAAACTGGACGTGAATGTGTGCCAATATGGTACAAATACCCCTGTTGCAATGCTTTGTAAGCACTTGAAATAAGTGGTTGCCAAGAGGAGGCAGAACAAGGGGATAAAACATGCTTTTAACGATCGTGCTGAGGAGAGCTGGGTCAGCACTGGTCTTGGCGTGAATCCTGAAGTCTGGATGCACAGAAATCTGGTATGATCCTACAGAAAGTGTCCTGGTGTTAACAACAGATGAAAGGAGAAGTAAGGAGTCTTGTGAAATGGTTGTGATCTCCTCTATACTAATCCAGCGGCCTGATTGAGCGGCATAAGCAAGGGGGCCAAGAATAAAGCGAAAATCCCCCGGTTTGTTTGTCATAACATAAGATCCAATTAGGTCACGGGTATCTTGCGCAGTAGTAAGGTGTAGGGGGATGGGTGGCTTTGCGCCAAGCTTAGATGCAAGATGTGACAGCAGAGCTGTTCGGCCAGAGGCTGAAGGGCCACATAGAAGCACAGCCTGTCCAGAGCTTACTATCGATTCAGCTGCTCGCAAAACCTCCGCATTTTGGAGATCTGTGAAGTACCCGCTCATTAATAACAATTATTAATCTTCGGAGAGGATGCTGATGAGATGCTTTGCTTCCGCAAAGCAATGTAATTAGTTGTTGGGCAGGACCCAGATGAGTAAATGTTTCCGTTTCCCTGGGTATCTGGTTTGCCTGTTTCAAGATTTCATGGCCAAAAGGAATAAAAATACATGATTCGCGAAACGGTCTCCCAAACCTACTTGGCCTCGTTCCTCGCCTTTGAACGCAACGTGCATTCGTACAATACTGACGTAACGTTTGACTGGCTGCGGCAGATGATCGAGAGAGAGCAGCGGTATAAACCTCACAGCTTCTATTTCACGGAATGTCAGTTTGGAGCCTTCACCGAGAACGACAGGACGATCCTTATAGAGTGGTTTACTGAGATTGCCCTGAGTAAGCGCTTGCCTCTCTCTGCAGTAGTTCGAGCAACTTCCCTCATGGACCGCTACTTTTCGACGGTCTATTCAATCAAAGACGACCGAGAGCTCTCGGCGGCAGCCTTACGCTGCAACAACACTGCGTACATATTTGTTGCCATGATGTGCTTCAACATTGCAGTGAAAGTTGAGGGAGAAAAATCGTGCATCCCCCTTTTCATACAGATGTGCAAAGTTAGCTCCAATCTTCTCATAGACCTAGAGGCAAAAATCCTTCGGGCGCTAGAATGGGAAGTGTTTGTCCCTACGTCACTAACCTTTGCTGAAGACTGTTTAATGATGTTGATGCAGACCTGCTTTCAGATAGGGTTGAATCAGCATTGCCCTCCATACTCGCCTCAAGGTGAAAAAGATTCCCCGCCGAACTCAGATTTCAACTACTTGCGGCCAGATCCGTGGGGAGGTAGCCCTGGCCCCATGGACTCGTTCCCTCGATTTTGCAAAGACGTTATGAACTACCTTCATCTAATACTGAGTAATCCAGTTTTCCTGCAATTCTCACCTTCCGTGCAAGCATGCGCGGCCATCTATCTAGCTGCTTGCGTGAATGTGAAGAATGCATCTCTTAAAACAAAGCTTCTAAAGTTTCTAGACGACCTCAAAGCTGTTTCTGGTCAGAACATCAGCGCCGTCCAAAAGTGCGGCCAGGCTCTTCATTGCTTCATACGTTCCGGGTCTGCAACTCTGCACGATGAAGCGATAATGCCTCTCGTCCAGCCCCCCTCCAAACGTATTAAATATTAGCTATCTTGTAAATCAATCTGTTTGGCTGTCTGGCTCTGTCCGTTCCGTGTGACGTGCATCTCATATGAAGCAGCAAACTATTTTAATTTGGAATTACATCCCACCAAAAGTCCCTCTGGGATGTCAGCGACGAAGGACAAGCAGCAGAGCAACGCAGGCGCGAAGGTTGGCGGGAGACACCCGCTTAGGCCGGATCCAGACCGCGAGAGAAGAGCCCTTGAGAGAGCCGAGACTCTGCGCAAGGCTGCTTACGAGATGGCTGAGAACCAGCACGAGCGAGCGTATCACAAGCAATCCCAGATCTTCCAGGGGCGCTTCCTTAGAAAGGACAACGCGCGATGCCTCCGCTTCTACAAGTCCATCGGCATGGGCTATCACACACCCATAACGGCGATCAACGGGACCTACATCGACAAGAAGTGCCCCTTCACCGGCAACGTCTCCATCCGCGGACGCATTCTCCGCGGGGTCGTGCACTCCGCGAAGATGCAGCGCTCTATCATCGTCCGTCGCGACTATCTCCACTTTGTTCAGAAATACAAGCGCTACGAGCGTCGCCACAAGCACGTCGCTGCACACCTTTCGCCGTGCTTCCGCGTCAAGGAGGGAGACATCGTCACCATTGGTGAGTGCCGCCCCCTGTCGAAGACGATCAGATTCAATGTTATCAAGGTCGAGCCTGTCAGCGAGGCCGCCAAGAAGCGCTTCTCGCCCTTCTAGGCAGCACTAGTAAATAAGGGTCATTCACAAGGCCGCTGCGTTCTCGAATTCGTCCCGGAGCGCCGTCCGCACGGGCTCTGTCGTTGGTATGAGGTGTCCGTTAGGATGTTCGACGTACCTGAAGAACGGACAGATAGAGCGGAGATACGCGATTCCTGAGGGAGGAGTGACAGGGTCCGCACTACCATAGATCACTAGAACTCGAAACGGTAGTTGCAGATCAGCTTCACGGCCCATTTCGGAGCGTGCTACGCGAGTAAGGACATCTGTGACCGGATTTCCCTGCTGGGGCTCATCGCATGAGTTGAATTGGCAAGGATGCGGAACCCATGGGGATGCTAGGATAATGCTCTTCACGCTTGCCAAATGTCCAGCCGCGTCATTCCTTCCTTCCCATGCATCTAATAAATCCAGTAAGATCGCGGTTAAAGCAACTGTGGCCCCTTGCGAGAAACACAAAATACACGCCGGATTAGTTTCGGCTGTCACTGCCCTAAAATGATTGAGTCCTAGCTTGAAGTCATACACAGCAACTGGTCTACATGTCCAGCAAGCAGTGGAGCTACACAAAGAAGGCTGCGCAGACACCGGCAAGTCAGCCGAGGTGTGCCTGAACCACGCATATACCGCCGAAGAGGTAGCAGAGCCATCCTTCGCTTTGCTATCTTTTTCAGCGTCTGAGTCAGCAAGCAGCGGTGCATCTACGTATGTGTAAAGAAGCTTTTTGCAGAGTTTGCGGATTGCTCCGGTCTTCTGCCGAAAAAGGGCTGCAGATCCGAACAGCCCGTGAATCATCAAGCAGACAGATGATGGGTCGGTTGCAGCCTTCGTATCAATCATGTATATCAGAATGCACAGGTGCCGTATCAACAAATTCGAAGGTTTTATTCTTAGCCACCTCGATCTTGACATGTGTAGGTTGAAGTGCAGATTTCGATGCCATCCGTAAAAGATCACTCAGAGGAACATCGCTACCGCCTGGGGGATCGATGGTGCTTGAAAGAAATAGACGATCCAGCGGCTTCTCCGTTTTCCGAAGCAGCGCATATCCACGTCTGAACTCTTTCCCCAATAGCTCGGTTGTTTTAAGATCCAGAAGACGACCCACATTGATATGTGTCTCAAAGGGGTCTTCTATGCACATATAAAAGAACTGACCATCTTTCGTGTATATGTGCTGGGACACTTCTGCGTCCGGGACCTCTGGGGGGTATCTAAATACCCGGAGAACATCTGCTGCTCTCACGCTTTCATGAGTCTCTGCATGATCGAAGCATTCTCCGTGACGCTGGCTGCGCTGAGCGTTGGAATTCTCATCCCATCCTTTCTCTTGTTTGGAGAGCGCCCGACCCAAGCGGATAGACACAACCGAGTCGGTACTATCAAACTGATATCCATAGAAACGGAAGAACCCACAAAGAAGCTCTGAAATTGTAGGCTTGCGCGGTGCAGGTTTTTGCTGGGAGAAGCCAGTCATAAGAGACCGCCGACACCATGCATCTTCTACAGAAAGGAAGCCTGTGTCACAGCCCCTGACCACGGGTCCCCATCCAAGACCAGGCTGGAGAACCGGTAGAATTGGAGTCTGAAGGATTTGGAGATAAAAGATCACAAGCAGCACAAAGCCGTAGGACGACAGTCCACCTTGCCAGGTATTGCACAGACCTCTTGCAGACGCCCAACTCTTGACGCACCGTATCAGCGGCGATACAACCGGATCTGCTCTAAGGTACTCTGCTAGTAGCAGCGTATTACGAATTGCTAGCCTATTATTGAGGCAGATGTCCACATTTAGTAGCATCATATCGCTATCTATATGAGTGTTTATCTTCTCTTCACCTTCTGGTACGATGAACTGCACGGAACGATTCATGGGGAGATCAGCATAGTACGATGGTAGAAGGCCCTGTTCAATCTTAGCATTTGTTTCCGCGGCAGAGACAACTTGGCATAATCTCTTAGAGTATTTGAGGCTTATCTTCAGGACGGGAATCCTGCTGCGGGTTATGAAGGATGAGACTTCAAAGGCGTTGAAGGAGGCCGCCAATCTTCCCAGAATAATAATGTCCTGCCAACGTGCACGCTTGAGAATAAAATGGACCATCTCTCCAGACGGCGCCGTAGCATCTGGAAAAAGATCCATGACATTGATAGGCTGGGACGGATCCCTAATACACGCTGCATCACTAAGGCAGCGAGACGGGCAGAATAGTGAGTACTCTGTCATGATGTCCTTGCTAGGCGTAACCCCTCTATAGTAGCTAGATGCATCAAATCTGAGGAACGGAAACCTTTCTGTGAACGCTCTATCTAGAAAATCTACCTCAGCCACCGGATTGTCATGGAGCCTGTCTCTGGCCTGTTCCTGTAAAAAGGACCAGAAATACTCTGCAGCAACCTGCTCTGCCCTGTCACAGTTATCCACAACCAGAGTAGAGTCAATGTCCCCGCCGTCTGTACTGATTCCATTGACGGCTCCCCCATACGGTTGCAGCTGCAACGAAAGGAAGGGAAATGCTTCGTTGATGTGCTTCTGGATGTAACTGATGGCCTGCTGAATGACTACAGAGGAAATGATCCCCGCAGCCATCGTTGCATTCCGCTTTTCAATAACCGCCGTAAGAAACGCAAAATGCTTTTGCTGGGGAACATATCCTGATCGTGCAAGTCTTTGGGTGTATGGTTTCCCGTCAGGAGGGATTGCCCGGTGATTTAGAAAGGGGAGAACTGTGTTTCGGTCAGAGTCAACGAGGATAGGATTTTCAGGCGACGCATCTACTGTAGGCCTTATAGTGGTCTTAGTACTTATTGTGATGACCAGCTTCTCGGCTGGCTTACTCGAAGATGCCTTCTTATGCTTGGTCATGAGTCAGAGTTTTTTAAGCGATTGTGAGTAAACTAGTAGTGCAGCAGCATCGTTACCCTCACTGCACAAGAGCTCTACTCACAGTACCAGCGTCTTTAGAACCCTGTTGTATGACGACCAACTGGGTTGCAGCGGTAGGTGTGTTTACTATCGCACGTATTAGGGCTCCTCCCTGATGACAATCCTCTGCACGGAAATCTTAGTAGAGGAAGGAGCCCGTCGAGTCACTGCTATCAGTCCACACACAATCCAATCTACATTACAATCTTGCTGTTAGTATTCCTATTCGTGCTGAACACACTCACAGTGGATTGTCAGCCAGACGAGAACCACCTGGCCACCTGTGCACACGAAAAATGTGAGACGGTTGGGTCCCTCGAGGCCTGCACTCAGGTTAGGGTCAGGGCGTTGGTTGAGACGTGGCAATCGTGCAAGGGAGCACCTACCTCTACAAGGGCGAGTACTACGATGACTGCCCACATGGCGATGGATCGGCTCCGAACACCTGTGTGGATGTGCCTGCTAGCTGCAATCTTCCCAACTGCAAGTCATGTCTTGGCGATACATGTACAGAGTGTAACGACGATTTGTTCTAGATGATGATAAAAAGTGCGTGTCTTTTAGTGTCAACAGAAGCGTGCTTCTACTAGTACTATTACAGGTATTTCTGTGGCTGTGATCGTTGTTGCAAGTGGTCTTGTAGAGTTCATTTGCAGAGGGAAGGCGTGACTTAGGTAGTGAATGCTCTATAGTGTGTGATAGAAGGTGATAGTGGAGTGACATATGCACACAGGCTGAGGGAGGAGTATGCACTACTTGTAACACAGCTAACGGCCTGTTCAAGAACCCTGATGCAACACCAGAGAAGGGTAGCGAGTGCATCCTCTGTCATGATGTCAATGGGGCAGATGGATATACAGGGGTGGCTAACTGCGCCACATGTACGGCACCAAGTGGTAGTCCAGGAGCGGCCACGTGTGATACCTGCAGAGATGGATACTATAAGAACGCTCAGACATGTGAGAAGTGTGATCAGTCCTGTCTGACCTGTGAGACTACAGAGACCCAGTGTACCTCTTGTAAGGGAAATACGTTCCTGAAGGATAATGCATGCGTGAATAGTGATGGATGCACTGGAAACACTTATGCTGACCCTGTGACAATGACCTGCAAGGCGTCTGCAATAACTGATTGCACCACGTGTGAGTACAACCCGGCAACTGGGGGCCCAAAGTGCACGGCATGTAATGGAGCTAAGATAGTCAAGGAAGAGGCCGACGGGACGACTACGTGTATAGACGCCGGCACCTGCACTCAAAGCGGAGCAACTGGTGAGAACTTCTTGAGCGACGGAGATGCCGAATGCATACTATGTAGCAACGATAGCAGCAAGACAGATAATAACAAGGGAAGCCCCGGTTGCGGGACCTGCAGCAAGAACGGCGCTAAGCCAGAATGCAAGACGTGCCTCGATGGCTACTACGACAGCGGGAACGGTAACCCCGCCGTATGCGTTGCGTGCGCTGGCGATTGCGGAAAGTGCGGGCCAGGAGGCGCTATAGATACCTGTGAAAAGTGCAAGCCAGGGTTTTTCTTAAAGAATGACGGGACCAAGAAGTGCGTCCCATGCGACGATCCGACAGATGGAGTGCCCGGCTGTGCAACGTGCACCCTCTCTGGCTCGTTTACTTGTGACTCTTGTAAGGTGAACTACCAAAAGAAGGTAGGGGCTGGAGGAGCGGTCACGTGTGAGAAGACTTGTGAAGACCCCACGGCTTGTGGTGGTACTTCTGGAGCCTGCGATGCAATAGTGATCGACAACACAGGGAAGGAGCATCACTACTGTTCATACTGTGGAAAGGACAGTGAGTTCCCCATTAATGGACTATGTGTTGGGAATGAAAAGAAAGAGGAGAATAACTGTAACAATCATACATGTACATCATGTACTACAGGATACTTCTTGTACATGGGAGGCTGCTATAGTGTGTCAACTCAACCTGGTAGTCATATGTGCACAAAGGCAGGCGAGGGTGTCTGCACAGAGGCGGCAGCGGGTACTTCATCCCTCCCTCGCCCACCAAGGACAAGCAGTCTGTCCTCTCCTGTGGGAACCCCCTTGGGGTCGAGCTGGCTGGTCAGAAGGCATACGTGGGGGTGGATGGCTGCTCTCAGTGCACAGCCCCGACAGCTCTAACAACAGCTGGCATGGCCCCCGCTATATGTACCTCTTGTGACAGTGGTAAGAAGCCCAACAGGGATGGCACTGGGTGTGTGCTGTGCTCTGACACCAACTGCAAGAGCTGTGTGATGGACGGTGTGTGTGGGGAGTGCAGTGATGGGTACAGTCTGGAGGGTGGCAGGTGTGTGTCCTCTGGCAGTAATAGGAGCGGCCTCTCCACGGGTGCCATCGCGGGGATCTCCGTCGCCGTGATCGTCGTCGTCGGAGGGCTTGTCGGGTTCCTCTGCTGGTGGTTCATTTGCAGAGGGAAGGCGTGACTTAGGAGTAAACGCGTCATTGGTGGATTCTACTGGCGACTGTTTGCATCTGTGCGGCCGAGCTTCCACCTGAGGCCATCTCTACCGAAGGCCCATTGCCTCTGCATAGCTTCTGGGCACCACCAGACCGCGACACCCTGCTCTGCCTACGCCCGGTTCACAGGCAGGTACGGTAGCCATGCAGTCAATCTTCTTGCTGTGCCGTGCACGTCAGCGGGTATAAAAGGCTGGTAGTGATCGGCTGTCTCACCTACAGGTAAAAGAGAGGAGGACCATGCCATCACGCAATAGCAGCACCCTCACTCAGCACAGCCTGCAGAGGGTCACGTGTCAGGCCCCTCTACAGAGACTGTTGAGTGGGTGCGGGGAGGGCCTCAGACAACGATTCGCTGGATGTGCCGTGCCTCTGGAAGGAGTGAAGATCCTCCCGACACTGGATCTGCGCTGAAGAGTCTCGAACGGTCATTGCAGGGGCCAGCACTCTGATGACTGGACATCTTCTGGGCTCGATGCTTCAAGCATTGAGGGCCTTGTGGACAATGAGGCACCGGTGGGCAGAAAGACACAGCCCCGTGGCCACGATCCCTTCCAGGAAAGAAGACCTGGATAGCCTGTGCTGGCAAATGATGCCTTCTGGCGAGCTGGTGCTCCCAGACATCCAGCGGACCTTGGAGTGCTATCCTCACAGCACCCTACTTATCAGAGGTGTTAGTGCTGGCCCTTGGCGCGTGACTCGTCCAGGCCAGAGAATGGACAACTACCTGAAGCCATGCAGCTCCCTAAGAGCCTGCCCACAGGTGCCCACTCACGACCCGAAATGGTGTTCATGAAGCTGAAGAGCCCTTGGTAAGATACATTGTGTGCCAGACGCGTTCGTCCGGTGCGTCTCCACTGAGGAGCCCTCTGCCTTGGAGATCTTGTGGAAGCTTTGGGGACATCAAGTCTACTATCTATTTTAAAATTCACCGGTCTCCTCTGATAACAGGTACAACCATACTGATTTAGCGTCCTTTGCTATGGAGGTCAATCCACAAAATGGTTTAAACGGCGTGTGAATTGATACTTAGTGTAAGTAGAGTGAGTTTTTTATGAGCAACACGTCTTGCTCTTCTTTCAAAGACAATGAGGGAGAATGGTTTGGCAACCTTGCTCTCGAAATTAGTTTGCCAACAACTTTCTTACTTCATTGCATGTAAATTCTATAATTATCTGATAGAGAATAATAATCTGCATGTCACGATCTTTATCAGTTCTGCTATTGGCCTGTCTTCCGATAGGGTTCTTCTCTGAGGAGACGCCTCTATATCGCAATGGGTTTGGGTACTCTTGTGAAAATGGAATGCCAAATTGCCTTCCAAATAGTTGCATATTTGACCTAGCTGGTGGGTTTTTTTGTGTAGAGTGTGGCTCTGAACACGTTCCAATCAATGGAACGTGTGTTTCTACCGCACATGAAGCGGTTAGTAAGGCTGGTTGTGCTAAATCACCAATGGGAGGATGGTGCATGAAATGTGGTGATGGCTATTTCTTATTTTATGGTGGCTGCTATGAATTGACCGGCGGATGGAAAGCAGGTATCTGTGATAGGGCAGAGGGTGGAGTCTGCAAGGAATGTGGAAAGGGCAGTAAGATATCTATCCCAATAGTCTTTACAAACCCTAATACCACATCTCCTGAACGCTGCATCCACTGTGGGGATCCCGTGGGTTTTGGCGGATACAGCGGAACAATTCATTGCCAATACTGCAAGCCCCCAAAATATGCATGGAAAACAGAGGCAGACTGCTTCTCATGCTCGCTGCCACAGACAATGTGCACCTTCGATTATCGGTGTAAAATTGTCACTAGTGGCGTAGATACGGGATACTGTATTAGTTGTCCCACAACACACATCTTGAGTGCTAATGCTTGCTTTTCTATAGATAGTCCAATCGGTAATAGTATCTGTTTGCCAAAGAATATCATAGACATAACTGACCGGTCTCTGTGTGTCCAATGCACCAACTCGTCGGAGGCTCCTTTGCAGGGTAATTGTGTGGCAATCGCTGAGTTCTCTGACATCTGTGTGAAGGATACTAAAACCGGAAGGTGCACTGCTTGCAAGAATAAGGGCGATACTAGTTACTATTTGTTTTACGGGGGTTGCTATTCGGCTAATCATGGTTCAGGAGAACAAATAGGAACTACGATTTGCCAAGCAGCGGAGAACAACATTTGCACCACATGCAACAGTTCAATCAATGATGTGTTCACCAAGAACAACGGATGCTGGCGCTGCGGGGACTCAGCCAACGGGGGAATAGAGGGATGCCAAAGGTGTGAGATGAAGGACAGTGGTCTTCAGTGTCTGGAGTGCCGCGACCTCTACCTGAGCCTGGATAAGAGAAGCTGCCTGGCCAGCTGTCCCAAGGGGCAGAAGGGCATACAGGGGTCCTCATCCTCGGTCCACAGCTGCGCATGCGATGACGGGTCCTATCTGAAGGACGGGAAGTGTGTCGGGTGCACGGTGGAGAACTGCGCTGAATGTGACGAGTCGAGCTGTAAGAAGTGCAAGTATGGCTACACACTCTCCGGCAGTCAGTGCGTGGCGACCAAGTGCAAGGACCCCAACTGCGACACGTGCGAGAACAGAGACGTGTGCACAAAGTGTGCCGATGACCACAGCCTCGACCCCCACGGTCTGTGCGTGAAGGACTGCCTGGGCTCCGCCGGGTACTACAAGGCCACCGTGGGGGGCGTCTCGAGGTGCGTGGCGTGCACGCTCGGCAACTGCGCAGTCTGCGAGTCGGAATCCAAGTGCAAGGCATGCAGGGACGGGTTCTACGTCGAGGGCTCGGGAGGATGCAAGCCGTGCAGCTCTGAGTGTGCCACGTGCAGCGGACCGGCATCCGGCGACTGCACCTCCTGCCCTGCCAAGAGGCGGCTGCAGTACAGCGACGGTGCCAAGGGATCGTGCGTCCCGCAGTGCGTGCAGGACAGCAGCTGTGCAGAGTGCGGGCTCACGGTGGGCGGGACCAGCTACTGCTCGCGCTGCGTCAAGAGCACGGAGTACCCCAACAACGGGGCGTGCACTTCCTCCGGCTCGCGGGCGGTTGGCATCGCGTGCGCGAATGTCGCCGCCGGTAGGTGTGTTGCTTGCAGCTCGAACTCCTTCAGCCTCAACGGGGGGTGCTACACCTCCACGCTCCTCCCCGGGAAGACTGTCTGCACGAAGGCGAGCGACGGCTGGTGTGATAGCACCGTGGCCGGGTACGGGATAACGTACAACGGAACGCTCCTTACATGCCCGACGAACTGTGCAATGTGTAGTAGTGGGGTCTGCAGCGCCTGCAACAGTGGGTTCTACCTGGAGAAGGGGGCGTGCAAGGCGTGCTCCAAGGGCTGCGCCACCTGTCCTCATGGGAAGGCATGCTTCACCTGCCTGGCCGGGTACTACTTCTCCGAGAGCACGTGCAAGGCGTGTCACAAGGCGATCTCCAAGTGCAGCCTCTGCGTGGTTCCAGAGGGCGCAGTCAAGCCCATATGTCTGGAGTATGACAACACCTCCAAAAAGTCCGCCCTCTCGTCGGGGGCCATCTCTGGCATCGCCATCGGCGTGGTCCTCGTCGTCGGCGGTGTGGCGGGTGTGCTGGTTTGGGTTTTCGTCTTCCGAAAGAAGGCCGGGGTTCCACCGCTCTACAAGCAGTCTATCGTTGCAAGCACCCATTAAAATAGTAACTGCGCTAGAAACTACAGCTGTATCCTTTATTAGCTTTCACCACGTGATACTTTGCTTGGCATCCTGGAGAATCGGTGTATAACGATGTCCCTGCCTCGAATAAGGACGAGTATTGGAGGAGAGAGGTGTTTTTAGGGCAATGCAGGTATGCGCGCCTCGTAGATACTTCTGCTTCGATAACTGGAGACTGGTTCTGAAGAGAGCCTAAAGCAGCCAGCAGGCAGTACTGACCATACACACCAGCAGAAGACACAGACACATCTGCGTTCAGCCCCAATGTAGACACCCCACAACCCGCAACAGAGTAAACTGCTCGGCCCTGCGCTTAGACGTTTACTCACTTGCCGCCCTTGGGGGGCTTGAACTCCTCCTTGTCGATCTCCTGGATGATCCCGACGGCGACGGTGCGCTTCATGTCGCGGACGGCGAAGCGGCCGAGGGGCGCGTAGTCGTTGAACGTCTCGCAGCACAGGGGCTTCTGGGGGACCATCTTGACGATGATGCAATCGCCGCGGCCTGCGTCGGGCGGGTTCTCCATCTCGGGCTTGAGCGTGCGCTTGTCGAGCTTCTGGAGGAAGAGCTGGAACTGGCACGCGATGTGCGCGGTGTGGCAGTCGATGACGGGCGTGTAGCCGGGCTGGATCTTCTTCGGGTGGTTCATGACGATGACCTGGGCGGTGAAGCTCTTGCAGCCGACGGGCGGGTCGTTCGTCACGTCCCCGACGACGTAGCCCTTCTTGAGGTCCTTGACGGCGAGCCCGCGGACGTTGAAGCCGACGTTGTCCCCGGGCCCGGCCTTCTTGAGCTCCTCGTGGTGCATCTCGACGGACTTGACCTCCGAGACCTGGGACGTCGGGGCGAAGACGACCTTCATCCCGGGCGCGAGCTCGCCCGTCTCGACGCGGCCCGCGGGGACGGTCCCGACGCCCGAGATCTTGTAGACGTCCTGGATCGGGAGGCGGAGGGGCTTGTCGGTCGGGCGCTTCGGGGCCTTGAGCCCGTCGATCGCGTCGATCAGGCACGGGCCCTCGTACCAGGGCATCTTGTCGGACTTCTCCATGATGTTGTCCCCGGTCCAGCCGGACGTCGGGATGTAGTCGAACTCCTCGGCCTTCTTCCAGCCGATGTTCTTGAGCTGCTTCATCATCTCGCCCTTGATCTCGTCGTAGCGCTCCTTCGAGTACTTGACCTGGCCGTCGTCCATCTTGTTGACGCAGATGATCATCGTCTTGATCCCGAGCGTGTTCGCAAGGGTCGCGTGCTCGCGCGTCTGGCCGTCCTTCGAGATCCCGGCCTCGAACTCGCCCTGGCCCGCCGCGACGACGAGGATCGCGACGTCGGCCTGGGACGTCCCCGTGATCATGTTCTTGATGAAGTCGCGGTGGCCCGGGGCGTCGATGATCGTGACGATGTACTTCTTCGTCTCGAACTTCCAGAGCGCGATGTTGATCGTGATCCCGCGCTCGCGCTCGTCCTTGAGCTGGTCGAGGACCCACGCGTACTTGAAGGAGCCCTTGCCCATCTCCGTCGCGCGCTTCTCGTACTCGTCGATCGTGCGCTGGTCGATCCCGCCGCACTTGTAGATGAGGTGGCCCGTCAGCGTCGACTTCCCGTTGTCGACGTGCCCGATGACGACGAGGTTGATGTGCTTCTTCTCCTTGCCCATGTAGATACCTTTTTCTCTTTGTTACAATTATTTTGCTCAAAAATGAATTCAAAATACTTTAGGAACTGCAGTAGACAGGAGTCACAGCGTCTGGTCAATCGCCGGGGCCTCGTTCTCTGTATAGATTGGCATCTTGTATGGCGTGTCCAAGTCTTCCACGCTCAGATGATCAATGACGAGGCGGAAGTACGCTCTGATGACCTCTGCAGACTGACTTTCGTACGCTACGCGGATAAAGTGGGTAGCCAGGAACTCACAGTAGTAGTGGATAAACAGTTTAATGGTCTTGTTGGAGTAAGGAATAGTGTAATTTATATCTTTCAAGCATTCGATACGTATCGGATGTCCATAGGTCAGCACACCTAGTCTCTTCCGAAGCGCCTTGTGCTTTCCAATACTGATAGGGTCCGGGGCTTCCAGATGATCGTAGAAAAGAAGCAGCTGAATTTTGGATAAGAATTGCTCGAAGTCAGACTCAGTCGGCACTGCTGTCTTGTTTGCTTCAAATAGAAGCCTAAAGCATTGATAATATTCGCTGACGAGTAGCAGGGGGTGAATTAGTAATTGAATGCATATCTGGCTGGGAATAGGGGCCATGCCTGTGACTTTTGTTGACGCCGCTACCACTCTATTATCAGCTACAGAGACGCCGATACCCACTGCTACAAACAGATCGATAAACGTCTCGATGAGCACGTTGTAGTGCGCTGGCACACGCATCAAGGGAACTTTGTGAAAGGAAACGGATGGATTGTAGAGGCTTTTTACTGCGTTTCCCAACCAGTACTTAAGAAGAATGATCTTGAATACCTTAGTTGTCACTCTGGTTGCATTTAGATTGCAGCAATAATTGTCAAGATTGTAATATGCCACAATAGTGCCATCTATGTTGATCAGATTTCCAATATTCAGCTCTGCCTTTGAAATCAACGTTTTCTGGCTCTGAATATAGCTATTTATGCGGGCTAGTGAAATCGGCTCGCTGGTTGAGATAGCATCTGACATGGCATCTAATCGTTGCTTCCCCATTGTTTTAATATCTGCTTCTGTGAAAATCTCCCTTTTCCCGGAAGAATCAACAAGTGTTTTCTGCTTTTCTTTTGCCGCCCGAGCCTCTCTGGGGCTAGGCCCTAAAATATGGCTAATGGGCCTTTTCTCCTTCAGTTCTTCTTCGAGAACGAGGATTACATGGTTCTCAAGGTGATGAAAGCGTGACCTAATTACGTCAAGGTCAAATACTCGAGTGAACCTTTTTAGTTTGTAATAGTTATCTTCTTGATAATCCTCTGACGAAAGAGTTAGATCACGTTGCTTGACAACGCTTTCAATCGATTTTTCTGCCTCTGAGATCGGATTGAAGATTTCACAGTACTCTAAAGCATCATGCTCCTGCGATTCAGAGTTGCACTGAGCCTCAGTTTTTCCCATATTTGAAGTATCGTCACTGGGAATGGTGAGGGAGCTCAGTTTGGGACGGGGGCGTCGAGAAGTCGATAGTGAGGGAGATCTGCTTGACTCGCTGCTGGTAGAGAGTCCGGCAGGTTCGTGCAGCGGGACTTCGGAGATGTCGGTGCAGTCGTCCTGGTAAGATGTTGGGTGTGCAGTCTTGGTGGCAAATTGCGTCAAATACTCTAGGAGGGGCGACGCCATGCTAGCAGTCATAGTTGGTATGTAAGACGTGTCTAGTCGGGAGGAAACTGTCTCAGGAAGCTGGACATCAGGTGCGCTACCGACGAGCTTGACAGTAGAAGACGGAGGCGGGGCAATATGGCTGTTCTTTTGTTTGCCCTGCAAGGAGTGTCTGGTATGTCTAGATCTGAGTGCAAAGACGCTGCTAGACGGATTCCTGGCCACAAATTTGGCCTCAGAAACCCAGTCACTAGATTCCTGGCAGCTGGACAGGGCATACACCTTAGAATACCGCACCGCAGTTGGGGCAGAGGAACTATTAATGGAGTTGAAGATAGCCGCCAAGACGCTGAGAGAAACGCCAGAACCATAGTTGAGAGAATGGCCAACATGTGGCGCCAATTGCAAAATACCAGTGATGAGATCCGGACGCATCAAGGTGAAGCTTTTGATCAACGCATACTGCGAACCATAGAGCAGATAGGTAGACAGAAACAAGGCCTTGTAATTCTTCTTGACTGGATTGTTGAGACTTCTGATGGTGTGAAAGTCACAGCCAAGAACCCGCTTCATGATATCTGTGGTCACCTTGCTGATTTTGCAGGACTGAGCGCTCTTATGTGACCCTGTCTGTCTTGGACTACGTGCTTCAACTGTGTGGCTCTTTCGACAACTGCCTTGTTCGCCCATAGGAGAGCGATTTGAAGTGAGTGTCTGGCAGTGTGGGCCGTTGTGGCCCATAACCTCCTCAGAAACGTTCCGGTGCACCAGAGCATAAGGATCGAAGGTTTTGAACTCCTCACGATACAGTTTAATTGTCTTGACGATCACATTGTTGTTGATATGCCGCGTTGCCGCGCGAGAGTCAAGGTTTGTTACCCCGCTATGGTACTCGCTCCCAGCCGCGCCCTCGAAGATCCGTTCATAAAGGTACTGAGTGCACTTTTCAAAGAAGAGACTGAGCCTGTAATCAAAGTCGAGAAGCTTTGCTGGATCCATCCGCGCCACACCATGAAGTCCGCCTAATAATCGCAAGGCGTGGGAGTTGGCGCTGGCACCTATGTCTAATGAGTCGCCAAACATATTAGCCTTCGCCAGGAGACGCTGGTGTTCATTGAGCCGCACCCGTTTGCGACCCAGATTCTTTGAAAAGATGGATGACAACAGCCTCAGGATTCTCTCCTGAATAAGTTTCCCAATGTACTTTCCAAATGTAATAAACTTCTTCTCTGGGGTTCTATCCAAGTCGCAGAAGCAGGTGCCCTGAACCGATTCCATGATTATCAACAGTAGGCTAGGGCCGCAGATCTCCTTGAAATACGCGTTTATGCATGCATGTATTCCGTCGAAAAGACGCTTTGAAATGACTGGCCGTTTATTATAATATAGGAGCACGGCCAAATTTGCATTCATCATCGTCTTGCCAGTAACGAGGCTATTTATGAGCGCAGTTTGCTGTGAACTTTTTCTAGCTATAGGATGAATTAGTGGATTGCTTGCGTGGATGGAAATCTGAAGTGCAGCGACATAGCTATGGTGCGATGGACAATGGTGACTAAGTTCTCTAATGAAGCGACAGTGCTTCAAATGTAACTGCTTTCCTGGGGCTGCTGAGGTTTCTGATAAGTGTAAGGATCCAGTGGAGTACGATGCTAGGAGTAATGGAGTTAGTTGTGGAACAAGTCGAATCTGGGCCGAGTTGTCCCCCTTTGTGACCGCGTCTGTGTACCAAAGAGTATCAGGAACTGGAGGAAGAGTAGACATGACCGGTGATCCAAGGGAAGCTGGAGCAGATGACGTCCTTTTCAGAGTTTCACGTTGATCGAGATTCACCACCCGGAAGGTCTCTGGACTACGGGCATCCCTGGCCCTAGCCGTACATGTGCTCGAAACCCGTGTAGTACAGGTAGCTGTGTCGTGGTTCTCTATAGAAATAGAAGGGGCGCATGTAGAAAGAGAACGACGACTCTCGTGCTTGTTCTTAATGGCAACATAGAAAGGGCTTTGCAAGATTTCCTTCTCTGAAATGTATAAGGTGGTCGATCGGGTGATCAAGTGAGATGGCGCCCCAGTAGGTGTATCTGATGGAGCCCTAGCTTGCCCGCCCTCAACGTGACCTGAGGTAAATATATCTCGTCGGATATCAAATAGCCTGTCATAGATACTGGGCCGCTTTTCCAAAGCAAGAATGGGAATGTTCATATCTGTATCGTAGAGAAGGAACTCTTTGTCATAGTGGGGTATGGCGTAGCGCTTAACGGTATCCTCCAGCTCGCTCCTTTGTGTAGAAGGAGACATCTCCGTTTCACGGCGACTATCGCCAAAATTCGAGACAACCATAATGGTGAATCTTCCTGACACGTCTATGGTAGTATGACCAACAAACGACCGAAGGACGTACTCCTCGTCCTCTGTGCGAATAGAGACGATAGAAAAGAGACCACCGTTGACATAGATGGCTCGCATGACTTTTGCATCATCGCTCCCGCGGCTGAATATCTGAAGCTCTCCCTTTAAACTGATCCACATTAGGGCGTTGCCTCGGAATCCGTACGTCCGCACAGAGAAGATCTCGTCGTAGATGCGGATCTTGCTCGTGCAATTACTGTTGGCAATGACCTCGAAGCTATCGTCATAGCCAGAAATCCCCAATCCGTTGTCATAAACCGCGATTTCTCTGTATCCATAGTAGGAGTAGAAGACCTTGACAACCGTGGCCCCAGCATCCAAAGAGTTTTCAATAAGCTCCTTGACTACGTCAGCTGGGCTGTTGGCACAATCCAGAGAGTTGAGTCTGATTATATCCAGGGGCGACAGTCTTTTAATGTGTTGTCTGATATCACCCGAGGGAGAACCGCTGGCGTGCTGGAGGCTCATGCCAACAGGCAACTTACTTCTGGCGTAGTTTGCTGTGAATTCAAAAACTAAAAAATTAAAAAAGCCCCGATGCCACCACGCGAGGATGACGACAGTTTCTCCGATCCACGCCTTGACTGGCTTAAGGTTCGGCTCCAGGCATCGCTAAAAATCAAGGAGGATAGGTGGCGGAAGCTCATGGGCGAAGAGTATGCAATACAGATTGCCTTGGCCTTCTTCGAAACAGATGATTTCCCCCGGATCTTCTTTTACGCCAATTCTCGCGATGACCTTTGCATTACTCACCTGGCTCCTCGATCCTTCAAGAAGAAAGCGATTTACTTCATGCGCTCGGCAGCTGCCACGCGCATCGACAAAACCAATATAGGAGAATTTGTCTTCTACGGAGACCTAACTCCAAACATTATTTCCCATCTGCGAACATCTTTTGACTATATATACCTTCCTCTGCTTAAGGCACCGAGCTACACAAAGAATTGGCCGTCTGTCCTCGTCACCGACGTTATGCGTCACTCTGATCGCTTTGCGCAAAAGACCTGCACCATGGAGGGAAAAACCCAGGGGAAGTGCCTCCTTCCCATGAGCTCCGACATAGATATGATTTACGAGTTCCTCTGTAAGGCCGAGACGGCGCCCCTCCAGACTGCTGCATCTCATGGCATTTCCTTGGCCCTTCAGCAGCGCGTGCATGAGCTCGATGTTGTAGAGGAGCCGAAGAAAATTGTAAAGCACGACGCGGTGGCCATCTTTTCGCGGCTATCCAAGGACCAGAAGGACAAGCTTCACGATCTTGAGTCTATGATTCTGGATTGGGTGCGGCAAATCCGCACTGTTCTGTCGTCTTCCCCTGACGATATACTAACAGCAAAGAGTCAGCATCACCTTCCCAACGTGGAAGTAGACTTTTGGAACCAGAAAGCTGAGAATCTTCGTGCCATCCTGGAGCAGCTCCAAGGTCCTCGGGCCATGAAGGCGCTCAACATACTCCGCATGACCGAGTCCTCTTACTTTACGGCCCTCACACAAATCGAACGCGATGTAATTGCCCAGTTGGCGGAGGTTTCCTGTAATGCAAGCTTCCTTCTTCCTCTTAAGCCTCTTTTTGGCGCACTCAGTGAGCAAATGGACCCCGTAGAAACGGTGGGCTATCTGCAGGGGATCTTCAAGGCTCTCGAGCTTGTCTGGATGCATGCTCCGTTCTATAAAGAGCAGGCAAGGTTTGTTTTTCTATTCCGCAGCCTCTGCAACGCCATGATTGCCCAAATAAAGACACTGATTGACTACGAGAACATTCTCAAGGCAGATCCTAACGACGGGATCCTATCGCTGGAGGCGGCGATGCGCCTTTCAGAAGACTTCCTGAACATATATAAGAGGACCTATGATATTGTAGCAACGCGTGTGAACGGCTTGAATAGTGCAGGCCACAGCCCTGTCCAAGACGATGCAAAGCGTGCTGAGGTCTTGGCGAGGCTAATCGAGCAGCAAAAGGGAGAGATAGAGGCTGCTCGTTTCAAGCAGCAGAAAGAAGAAGAGGAGGCAGCAGCAGCACCGGAAGGCGACACGGGCACTGACGCTGAAGATGCACCGGGAGTTGATGTCAAGAAGGAGACCGAGAAAGCTGCCTCAAGCGAACCAGCCAAGGACGCTAAGGTGCAACAAGGACAGCCCTCTAGCCGAGAGCAATACGAGTACAACAAGGGATACTGGCCGGAAACAAATCAGATCTTCCGTCGCCTAGAAGCCTTTCTTGAGCGCATCAAGGAGCTCCACCGTCTCCTCACGATCATCACGTCTCTTCACAGACTGGAGAGACTGGAGATAGGCGGGGACCAAGGGGCCCAGTTGTCCAGTCAGATCAATCAGATATACACCATGTTCCTCAACAAGATCACTATCTTTCAGGATAGCACATACGACCCCACAGACCTCGATCCGGATAACCGCTTTGAAACAGACTTTGGAAAGTTCATGATGCACTACGCGTCGTGGGAGAAGCGTCTCCAGGCCATCATGGATGCTGGCTTCGAGACCTGCTCGTCTTTAGAGGGCAAGCTGAGTTTGATTGATAGCTTCTCAGGCATCCTACCTGATCAAGTCATTCGCTTGATTGTGGACAGGAAGTTTGGCCATCTCTTGGAAGAGTTCTCTATTGAAATACAGAATGTCTATACCTTATTTGAGGCTGAGTCTGAAAATCCGGCTATCCCTGAAGGCATGCCGGCTTTGTCCGGTCGGATTATGTGGAGCCGCATTCTTCTAAACAGAGTCAGGGTTCCATTTACACGGTTTGAGGTGCTCAACGATGCTCTGATTCAACTGCGTACAAGTAGTGGAGGGAAGGAGGACACGCGCTTCTCGCTGATAGCCGAAAAGTACCGCCAATTCCAGAACAAGCTCGTCGAATATCAGGATACGATTCACCGCAACTGGTGCAATTCGATTGCATCTGTCAGCGATAAGAAGCTAAAGGAAACTCTCCTGGGCCACTCTTCTGCAGATAACCTTCCGCCCGGCACAAACCCTCTTGACATACCGTCAACTCTCATGGTTAACTTTGACCCCACTCTTGACTCTTTGTTGAAGGAGTGCAAGTATTTCAAGATGCTTGGACTAGATATTCCCAAAAGCTCGGAAAAGATCTATGACAGGGCAGAGTTGTTCAGGGAGTACCGTACAAGCTTGGATGCAATTGTCAACAAGTACAACTATTGTCAAAGGGAGCTTTACACGGTGGAGCGACCCATGTTCTATCGCGATCTTGAGGCCATCGAGGAAATCCTCAAGCATGGATATGAGGCTTTTACGTGGGACAATGACGAAACGAAGGTAAAGAAGTTCATTTCGGAGGCGACACAGGCGATGAAGAAACTCTATGACAAGGTCGTAAATCTCAAGGAGAACCAGGGCAAGATTGAGCAACTACTCCGTGACTGGGCTAGTGTGTCACTTCTGGAAAAGCCTCTCAAGGGCACGCTTCCGATCAACGCCTGTCTGGAACAGATAGAGACGCGCGCAAAGACCGTCGTTGGCGGCGAAAGCGTGCGCATTGCTGAGTGCATTGCAGATAGCAAGTACGTCGTTTTTGGTCTCAAAGACTTTGACAAAGAGCGCGAGGTTGCCAATGGCCTAGAGGAGGAAGAGGTCACTGCTGCAGAGGGTGATGACGCCCCGGATGATGCCGCGGAGCAGGGAGACGCAGAGCAGCGAGCACTAGAGGCAGATGCTGCCGCACTTCAAAGGGCTGCTGCAGAAAAGGCCGCCGCAGAAGCAGCGGAGCTTGAGCGTGCAAGGATGATGACAAAGGCGATTGCTAGTAATCCAGAGCTGCTGAAGCACTGGGAGAATTACCTTGTCTGGCTCGCTGAGTTTATTCAGACAGGAATCCTACAGATTGTTTTGAGCAACGTGGCTCGTATTCAGTTCTGGATGGACGACGCCGAGACGGCAGAGCACAACGACAACTCTACACAGTCGGACAAAATTAATGAAAACGCCCTTCCGTTGATTGAAGTATCTATGGTTCTCTATCCCCCGGAGCTTCTCTTTGAGCCGATGCTCGCAGCCGCGAGACCCCTGTCGACCAAGGGCGGAGAATCTCATGGTGCTGTTTCCATGCGCACGCAGTCGCTAGAGGCGATCATCATGTCTTGGCTTGATGCCTTTGTGGGCATCTCGGCCCTTATACCCAACCCTACTGCGACGATCACTGATGAAGTGTTGGCGTCGGCCTGTGAGTTTCGTGATTATGGACTAAACATTCAGCGCACAAAGGAGTACACAGATGCTCGAGAGCGACTTCGGGCACGTATTTCGCGCAGGTGCAAGGTTGCCACCAGCCAGGCGGAAGTCTTAACCAAGTATAGGGATATTTACGTGCAAGACTATAACACATATCTAGTTCGTTATCTAGAGTATGGGCCAAACGTTAGCTTTACAGGTGATGTGGATGTGGAATCAGGACCTCAGACGCAGAAGATTGTCCGCACCATAATGAAGAAGCAGCGACAGCAAGCTGAACAGGAAGACGACGGTGACGAGCAAAAGAAGCCCAGGGCCCAAGATTCTGGAGCCGGAGCGACGTTCGAGACTGTCGAGGTTGAGCTGCCATACTATCGTGTTCCTAATCTCGATGATTTCAATGATACTATCAATCGCTACAAGGCTCTCAGCGAAGAGGTAGGGGCGCAGGTCCCCATTTCTGCACGCTTTGGCTGGCTTGTCATCAACCTTAAGCCAGCCAAGCAGACGCTGATCACCAATATCGGGAAGTGGACCAATAAGTTTACAAAGCATCTTGTAGATACAAATGTCGAAAAGCTCCACAATCTCAGCAGCTTTATCACCGAGGCAAACTCCGTTTTGGCAATTGACGTAGGTGCTGATGACTACGACAACTTAGTCCAGGCCATGCGCATTATGGCGGGGATTAAAGAGCGCTCCGAGGCTGCCATTACGATGTGGGAGCCCATGAACAACACAGTCCAAATGCTTGCGCAGCATGGTGTCACGATGCCACCTGAGGCCCTCAAGCTCATCGAAGAGCTGCCCGATGAGTGGAAGGCAGTGGTCTCTAAGTCGTATGGGGCGAAGGATAAGCTAACCCCGTTGCAGGCAGCGGAGACAGGAAAGACGCTCAAGGTTCTTCAGGACTTCAACGAGGAGCTCATGGCCTTTCGCGAAGAGTTCCGTCAGAAGGGCCCTTTCATGTTTTCTGTGGGGTCTGCTAGGGCGTATGAGCTCTTAGATGAGTATAAGCAGCGGGTCAATACTTACTACACAAGAGGCGCCGTAATCCACGAACGCCAGATTCTTTTCAACGTGAATCTCTCGGCGGGAAACAAGCCAGAGGAGTTTGGAATGTTAATATCCACCGATAAAGAGCTTCTTCTTCTAAAGAGCGTCTGGGATGTTGTCGACCTTGTCTTTAGCCAGATCGAGGCGTGGAAGTCGACCCTGTTCACAGACATCAATACAGACTACATGGAGGATACAATTAAGAAGTTCTCGAAGGAGATCCGTAATGTGGATAGGGGCGCCCGTGCCTTCGATGTCTATACGGGACTGGACAGCAACGTTAAAAACTTCCTGAAGACTCTTCCACTCGTCAGCTCTCTACGTTCTCCGGCAATGCGTGAACGCCACTGGCAACAGTTGGCCTCGACAACGGGTGTGTCGATTAAGATCGACAGTACATTCAAGCTAGAGAACCTCATCTCCTTAAATCTACACAACTATGCGGAGGATGTAGATAGCATTGTTGCTAAAGCCGAAAAAGAGCTCCAGATGGAAACCCAACTTGCAACTCTTGAAAACAACTGGAAGGACCTATGCTTCCAATATATGAAGTACGGAGATCCCACACAGGAGAAGCTAACGCCCGATCAGATCAAGGAGATTACTGCAGACAACGCAGCCGGGAAGAAGGAGACTCTTTTCCTGGTCTGTGTCCCAGATGAGCTTGTGGAGACCCTCGAGGATAATCAGTTGATGGTCCAGAACATGATCAACAATAAGTATGTTCAATTCTTCCTCGAAAAGATCACAGATTGGCAGCATGACCTAGCGGCAGTCGACACAATCATCACTCTCTGGCTTGGAGTCCAGCAAACATGGGGATACCTGGAGCCTATCTTCATTGGTTCAGAGGACATACGGTCTCAGCTTCCCGAGGACTCCAAGCGCTTCGAGGACATTAATTATAATTGGAAGAAGATGATGGAGAAAATGGTTCACACCTCGCAGGCAATTCAGGCTAGCAAGACAAAGGGCTTCCAGCGTCAACTCGAGAATCTTCAAGCAGAACTTGCCAAGTGTGAAAAGGCCCTTGCAGATTACTTGGACGCTAAGCGCCGCCAGTTCCCGCGGTTCTACTTTGTTTCCTCGACGGATCTCCTTGATATTCTCAGCAAGGGGCAGCAGCCGAAGCTAGTGCAGAAGCATTTGAGTAAGATCTTTGACAACATCCATAAGCTCAAATGGACGTCCGATGACGACGTGACTGACAAGGTGGCGCACGGGATGATTTCTGGTGAGAATGAATATGTTCCCTTTTCTGAAGAATGCCATTGTGACGGGTCGGTTGAAACGTGGCTCAACAACGTCATTGTCCACATGCGTGAAACCCTTCGTGACACGCTTGGGAAGGCGCTAACCAACTTCTTGGACATGGATCGTGAGCTTTGGCTTGAGAAGTATCCTGCTCAGACGGCATTGGTCTCCCTGCAGATTTGGTGGTCTTCAGAGGTGAACACTGCCTTTGAGAAGCTTGAGGAGGGAAACGAGATGGCGATGAAAGATTATGCAAAGCGCCAAAACGACTCGCTTCTACATCTCATTGGGATGATCCAGGGCGACCTGGACAAGAACCTCCGAACAAAGATTTCTACCATCTGTACGATCGAGGTTCACTCGCGCGACATCGTTGCAGGCCTCATCAAGGACAAAGTTGACAGTAACCTCAGTTTTGCGTGGCAGTCGCAGCTCAAGTTGCGGTTCGACGATACCGTTCATCACGATTGCTTTATCAATATATGTGATGCTGAATTCCGCTACTCTCACGAATACCTGGGCTGCACGGCGCGCCTTGTCATCACTCCTCTTACCGATCGTTGCTATATCACTCTCACCCAAAGCCTCCACTTGATCATGGGTGGCGCACCAGCAGGCCCGGCAGGAACAGGTAAGACAGAGACGACGAAGGATTTGGGGCGTGGCATGGGCATCATGGTCTATGTTTTCAATTGTTCTTCCGAGATGGACTTCTATTCTATGGGGAACATCTTCAAAGGTCTTGCCCAGTCTGGCGCCTGGGGGTGCTTCGACGAGTTTAACCGGATCTCTATCGAGGTCCTCTCTGTTGTCGCCATGCAGGTTAAGAGCGTCCTGGATGCTATTCGTGGCAAGAAGAGTCGGTTTGATTTCGAGGGCATAGAGATCAATCTTGTTCCCACGTGTGGATTCTTCATCACAATGAACCCAGGCTATGCAGGCCGTACAGAACTTCCCGACAACTTGAAGGCGCTTTTCCGACCGATATCCATGTGTGTGCCTGACTTTGCGATGATCACAGAGATTATGCTGGTGTCCAACGGGTTTATGGATGCTCGCACACTTGCAAAGAAGTTTACCACACTTTACTCGCTCAACAAGGAGCTTCTCAGCAAGCAGGACCACTACGACTGGGGGCTGCGGGCTATCATTGCAGTTTGCCGTACCGCTGGTGGCTTGCGGCGAACAATGATCCCCCCAGTCCAGCGCAAGAGAAAGTTCCAGGAGGGAACACAATGATTGCTTATGTAAACGGGTCTAAACATCATTACCTTACTGCAGCTTTAGCGTGGAGAGCTGAACCATTGATGAGTAGACTGGTAGCGGTAGGTCGCTCTGGCAAGTCAGCAGATGGTTAGCCATCGTGAATCTGGAGATGCAGGTCACCATGCTTCAGAAAAGCGCTGCAAGTACAAGACATATGAAGAGCTTTATTGGGAATGTTAGTGATAGTGTTAACTACGAGGTACCGGTATACTCTGCTTCATTTAGGAATTAGAATATATTGCTAGAGACTCAATGTACCACAAATGTGACCAGTTCGAATAGGTGCCGGCAGATCTAGTGTTGTATGCTTGTATGAGGATAGATTGGCGCCTCTGTCTGCATTGGGTGGCTTACATGCCCCTGGACTTTGCCGTAGTGATTGTGGGCAGCCCTCTGTATACAGTATTGCACGACCCGTGCCTTGTCCACGCCCTTCACCCACAGCGCTTGGCGGTACAACGGGACTCCAGCCAGGCATAGGATGCTTGTCCCACTCCAGAGAGCGCCAGGATGAACTAGGCCACCCGTGATCAGCGCGACGTTTACTCCACCAACGTCTTACAGGCCGCTGCTTGCTGACCTTGATGTAAGTGCAATCAGGCAAGCACGCGTCTGAGTTAGAGCGCCGGTGGAGCAGAGGGGAAGGACCGTGTGACTCGAGATCCGCCGCAGACGAACAGCAACCCGCAAGGGACATTGCACCCTTGGAATGGCCTGTGAGTAACTGCTTAACGCTCGAATCAGCCCGGAGGACCCCTGCTGTCTACATCTTCAGCTTTCTGCGCGGCGCTGACCTGCTCCGAGCGCCGCCGCTCTTGAGGATGTCCTCCGCCTGGTCGATCACCCCTGCAAGCGCCTTGTTGGACACGGAGATGAGCGTGGTGTTGAGCTCCTTGAGCATCTGGAGGTACCGCTTGTAGCCGGGCGAGTCGTTTGGCTTCAGGAGCCGTGTGAGCGACCAGGGCCCGCCGTCAGAGTCGCGCTCGTTCCAGTCGCGGAGAACCGCCACCAGGTGGTCCAGGACGTCCCGCGGAAGGCCCTTGTACCCGCGGGCGACGATGTACTTCTCCTCATTCACGATCCGTGACCTTCCCGGCTTCACTATGTGAAGGTCCCGGAAGCAGACAAGTAGGAGGTAGAGGAGGTGGGACGTGAGGACCGTGCAGGAGCCGAACATCTTGACCACCATATTTCCCGAGTGCTTAAGCAGCCGCAGCCCGGCCACGACCTCGCTGTAGAGGAGCTTCGCCACGATTGACTCCTGAAGGTGCTCGACGTGTCTCCTACCGCCGGGCCCTTCGATGAGGAAGCCGCCGTCGGCCAGAAACAAGGCGTACGGCCCGTGGAGCTCCCTGGCGACGGCGTGCAGCTGTGTCAACAGGGTGACGTTGTCTGGGTTGTAGACAGACCCCGTTCCATCGACCCCCAGCGTGGTCTTCAGCCTCCTGCTGCTGATGAAGGGCTCGAGCCTGGGGTCCCACGTCAGCCCGACCTTCCCCCCATCGGCAGAGAGGCTCATGGCCACCCCGCGGGCCCTCGGAAAGCGCTCCAGGATGGTGTACGACCAGCCGCCGGGGGCCGAGCAGAGGTCTGCGAAGAGGAGGTCCGGGCCCTCGGGCTGCGTCCCGGTGGAGATGCTCGGGCTGCTGCCGACGAAGGGGACGGCATCGTCCAGCTGGATCAGCTTGTCGCTCGCCCTGTTGAGCTGGTTCTTCCGGGATCCGCCGTCGCACTCGGGGTAGAGGCTGTTGCGGGCCCTGACGTACGCCCACCCGCTCCCCTCGTCGTAGATCCTGTCCAGACGGTGCTGCGTCTCGAAGTATGCTTGGAGGAGGCCAGCCGGCACCAGGTCCTGGTTGTCGTAGAGGCCGTCGTCGAAGACGCTTTTAAAGCGTAAATCTTCAAGGGAGACGAAGTCCTCCACCGCGAGTGCAGAGTCTGGCCTTTCGTGGGCAGGGATCCAGTCTGCCAGATTGTACACAACGGCCGACCCGGAGGCAGTCGAGGACGGCATGGCCTCGGGGGGTCTTCGGTTTCTTTTTATTGCGGTCCGTGGAGGTCACGGATACGAGCCCGTTCGGGGCAGCCTTCAATCGCGACCCGTGTCTAACGGCTGGTCCACCCAAGCCAACACAGGCGCCCTTCTCGCATCATGATCGACGGGGCAGCCGTACCAGCGGACCCCGTTACAGAGGACGTCCCTAACAGCATTCTCGCCGGAGTGCCACCCAAGGGTGCCCACGCAGTCGCCGATAGGTTGCGGGTGCGATGCTTCTGCGCCCTTCCCCTGCTGTGCGACGAGAGTATGGCTCCACCTGCCATGCGAAGTTGTCATGTTGGATGGCAAGCGCTGAACCAGGCAGCCAGAGGATGGTCTGTGACTCTGCTGGGTCAGCCTGTGCCCGTTCTGGAGCATATGACATAAGTGGTGGCGTCTATAATGCGTTCTCTGTCCACGTGAGAAGCAGGTCCTCTTCGATAGAGTCAAGTTCCCATTGCATGTGCCCAGACAACCTTTCAAGGTAGCAGCCTGCGAGTGCATGGTGTTTGGGTGTGCTTGCCTTGTTATCAATATCGGCAGCTGTATAGGCAGCCCTTGTCAGTGTCCCTCTTTTCTTCGTCAGTCAACGCACTAATCTTTGCAGAGGCACATGGATGCCTCTCTGCAATGCAGGTCTGTAAGTGCTGCAAAGGTCTGCGAGAACATAGCTCCTGCTTGACCATAGATTGCCAGACCGGCCCGTCCTGCAGCTGCAGAGGGGCCGCATTCAGTGCATGGGATCCGCGGTCTGGTCTCTAGGTACCTGTACAGCACTGTTGGTCACTTGTGAAGCTATGGACAGGGCGTGCTACTGGGTAAACCGAGCATCCATCCACACGCCTGATGCTTAGCGCACCGGCTGAAACCCTTCTGTCCGTACTAGCAAGAACAGACACCGAGCAGACCCATTAATGACGGTTTACTATCTAAGTACACAGCTAAGTCTATGCCTTCCCGCGGTAAAGGAACCACCAGCAGAGAAAGCCTACAAGCCCCCCGACGACAACAATCACAGCGACGGAGATACCGGCTATGGCGCCTGTGCTGAGGCCGCTCTTGTTGACGCTTCCACCAGTGCCTGCTTCTGATTCTAAGCATATGACTGAACTGCCAGATGATGACACACATTGCTTGCATCCAGAGATCTTCTCTGAGCACTTCTTGCATAACCCATCAGTGGTATCGTCACCGTTTTCCTTGTAATACCCAGTGGCACAAGTCTTACACTTATCAGCCGCATCTGCAGTCGAGCACGTAGCACAAGTAGAATGGCACTCCCCACAGGCCCCACCTTGTGCCTGTAGTCCGTTGGCACACGTCTGACATGTTCCTCCCTGTGCACTACTACACACTTGTTTACCAGGCTGTCTATCTGTCTGATAGCAGCCGCCGTCCTTGAGGAAGTAGTTAGCAGCGCATTGAGTGCATGCTCCATTACTCACCGTAGTGCAAAATCGTGTTCGCGTATTGGCCGCACAGTTGCCGTTCAAGGGGGCCTGAGTGGAGGTCTTGCACTTTGAGCAGTATGCAGTTCCTCCTATTTGGGCTCCACATGTCTCACAGCCAGTGCCATCTGCAGACACTTTGCACGCATCCCCGCAGGCGCCTCCGTTATTAGGATTGCTGTCATCTGTATATGTCAGTTTCTTCCCAGCAGGACAGGCACTGCACTGATTAGAAGCAGCACCCTTGCACTCTGCGCACGCATCGTTGCACTTCTTGCACTTCCTTTCGTTAGTATCTCCGTAGTATCCGCTGATGGCTGTGCAGTCAGATACGCACTGACTAGTTGGAGTGAGATAGTTGCCGTCATTACATTCAGTGCAGACCTCGTTGTCTGTTTTGGGGTTGTCACAGGCCTTGCAGTTCGGAACCGTGCACTCGGCCGACACTGGGTTGCACTGCTTCGTGTTGCTATCGAGGTTGAAGTTAGAGTTGCACTCCTCGCACTCCGCGGGCTTTCCTTGGGCGCACCGCTTGCAGTTCGGAACCGTGCACTCGGACCCTGCGCCGTAGACAGCAGAGCTATCAGGGCACACGTCAATCGGCACGTGGCCTGCTCTGCACTGGCCGGTTGCGCAGTTGGCCAGCACGGTTGCACAAACTAGGAGAAATCCTACCAACATTAGCCGGGTTCGTGTGCCACTGCTCTTCCGTCAGGCTGGTGCATTGGCCGCGAGCAGTGAGAGACAACCGCTCTTGCTCTCCTTGATCGGTTGGACCGGAGAAGGATACGATAGGAGCACGCCCACCGGAGGCCAGTTGATAGTGCAGTTCTCTCTGGCTTCCATAGGAACAGGATGAGTGAGGACCAGACTTAGATCGCACCTCTCCTGTGGAATGATCGTTCGGGGTGCACTCCTGTACATTGCTGTGGGGTGCTCGTCGGCTTCCTCTGCGGGGGCTGGTGTCTCGGTAGTAAACGCACTGCTGAATCCTGCCCGTGACTTTCTGGGCACTGGTCGCGAGGGAGCCCCTGGTGCGTGATGGGTTCTAAAAATGCGGTGAGCACGGGTGATCCTGTAGGGCATGCAGCCTCAGAAGAGAGCACCGACAGGCCAGCGCTGGAGGGGCACTAGACCCTGCGTGGCCCACGTGGATGAGTGGCGGAGGAGGGCAGAGAACGCGGGCGAGTGCTGCTAGATGGCCGTGCACACGTGGAATGGCCATGACTGCACAGTCGAGGGAGCTGGCGCAGAGTACTAGTAATGCGCGATGGTCACGAATAGCCAGGACAGACAGGGTGCCATGGCATGCAAGGGCGCTCCACAGTGTACGGGATGACGTGTCTGCTGCTATGGACACAGACTCGGGAAGTGAGGCTAGCAGAGGCCTGCACTTTCTTGTAACCTCTGAGGGTGTGGCCCAATCACTCGTTCAATCCGATCGCTTGGTCTTATTTTTGGAAACAAACTGTCATGGCTGACGGCGATGACCACGCAGCCAGCTCCCAAACATCGGCCCCCAGCATCCCACAATTCGTCATTGAGGAACTCCACGAGCGGTTGGATGGCGTGCTGGGCAGAGGAGTTACAGGTGTAGTCTACTCCCTCGAGGGCTATCCAAACCTCGCCGTGAAGGAGATCCTCCTCGACGGCCTGGGCAAGAGCAACGTGGACGCTATTAGACTCGAGCTGGCCACCCTCCCCGACCTCTCCCACCCAGGGATCCTCAAGTACCATCAAGTGGTTGAGGACGAGGGCTTCATTTACATCGTCATGAATCGCCACGACAAGACCCTCGAGCAAGTGTTTATCGACTGCAAGCGGAGGAAGACCCCCGTCTCTCCCGAGCTGGTCCTCTCCATTCTGAGACAGCTCGCCGCCGCCCTCGCCTACCTCCACGGCGTCAGCGGAGTGGGTGCCGACGGTCGCCCCTACAAGGGCCTCGTCCACCGCGACCTCAAGCTTGCGAACGTCCTCGTCAGCGCAGATGGTGAACACTTCATCATCGCCGACTTCGGCCTCTGCAAGGACGCCCTGAGATGCGGGAGCACCATTGCAGGCACGGCAGTATACATGGCCCCCGAGGCGCTCCTCCGTAATGAGGCCAGCCCCGCCTCTGACGTATGGAGCCTCGGGGTCATCATTTATGAATTAGTAACTCTGAGGAGACCGGACTTCCTAGAAGGCAAAGACCCAAAAGACGTCTTCGTCGACGGGTGGAGGCCCGATCTGAGCGGTGTCACCGATGGCTTCATGCAGAATGTTCTGGAGAGGATATTCGTGCTGGAACCAGAGGAAAGACTGACAGCCAAAGAGCTGCATGAGATGCTCACCACATCTAATGTCCCAGTTAATGAGCTGGGACATCGGTATGTGGCACTAGAAGGCAAGTGCAGCGCCTTGGAGACTGCTCTGAATACTGCTAATGCTAGGATTACACTTCTGGAGGAGGATGCAAAGGCCAAGCTGGACAGGATCACCGCTCTTGAGGCAGCCCTCGACGCCAGGTCTGCTGAGACTGCCTCTCTCAAGGACGCGCTAGAGACGAAGGCTGCTAGGATCGACGCACTCGAGAAGGACGCAAGGGCGAGGGAGGACAAGGTCGCCGCCCTTGAGAAGGATCTCGGAGTAAGGTCTACTAAGATAGACGCGCTCGAGAAGGATATCAATACTAAGGCGGACAGGATTAGTGCCCTTGAGAAGGACCTCAGTGCTAAGTCTGCTAGGATCGACGCGTTCGAAAACCAGGGTAAAGAGCATCTGGCCATGATTAAGGCACTGGAGAGCAAGATTGCACAATTCAACAATGGAATGAATGCAGCTGACCCCCAGTCCGACTTTCTCCTACTCCCCAGGTTGATACGCGCTGCACACATGAACTGCACAGAGACCGTCCGGGTGCTGCTTGAGGAAGGAGTCCGCACCGGCCAGCGTGACAAGCAGAAGATGACGGCCCTCATGCATGCAGCCCAGCAGGGGCACGGTGGGCCTGTTGAGCTGCTTGTTGAGAAGGAGAAGGGCCTCAGGGACAAGAACGGCTGGACTGCCCTCATGCACGCCATACATAATAGCCATTCAAAGGTGGCTAGGATCCTCGTCCCTCATGAGCACGGGAAGAGAAACAACAACGGCCGGACTGCCCTGGTGATGGCCGTGGCCAATTCATGTGTAGAGACCGTTAGGGCACTTGTCGAGTTTGAGCATGGTCTTCGAGATTCGCATGGCCACACAGCTCTGATGATCGCCGCGGAGAAGGGCCATGCAGAGATCGCCTCCCTCTTGGTCCCGCACGAAAAGGGCCTGACCGACAGCAGAGGCAGCACCGCTCTGATGATCGCCGTGGCCAGCTCGCACGCCGAGGCTGCTAGGGCGATCGCTGAGCACGAGCACAGCTCTAGAGACCCGCAGGGCCGCACCGCCCTGATGATTGCCGCACAGCAGGGAAGTCTTGAGATTGTCAGGGCCCTCGTCGAGCACGAGAAGGGGCTGAAGGACAACACTGGCTGCACGGCTCTTTCCTACGCAGCCCGGGCCGGCCACCGCGATGTCACAATGCTCCTCATGGACTATGAAAAGGACGCCGCCGGCTGGACGATGCTCATGTGCGCCGCGGCCCTCGGAGATATAGACATGGCGTCCCGGCACCTCGATGAGAAGGGCCAGAGGGACAAGCGGGGCCAGACAGCCCTCATCATTGCTGCTCAGAACGGAAGGGACGAGGTCGTGAAGCTCCTGATGAAGCACGAGAGCGGTGTCTCCGGCTGGACGGGCCTCATCTACTCTGCATACCTCGGGGACACGGATGGGGTCAGGGAGAACGTCCACGAGAAGGGGTGCACCGACATCACTTGGATGACGGCGCTCATGCGGGCTGCACAGCGAGGCCACCAGGGAGCAGTGGAGTTCCTCCTCGAGCACGAGAAGGGGATGAAGGACAAGGACGGTAACACGGCCTTCATGTATGCTCTTAAGAATCAGCACACAGACATAGCTCTGCTTCTTCGCGAGCATGAGGCCCCCTCGTGGACCCTTCTGATGTGCGCGGCCTTCACTGGAGACGCTACCATGGCGAGGAGGCACCTCCATGAGAGAGACGTGAAGAACAGTGACGATGAGACTGCGCTGATGATTGCTGCAAGGGAAGGATACAGAGATATTATCGAGCTCCTCGATCCCACAGATGAAGATGGCGTCACTGCACTTATGAGAGCCGCAGCCAGAGGAGACACCAAAACGACTGAGCTACTTATACCAGTCCAGAAAGGAATGAAGGATAGAGGTGGGGACACGGCCCTCATGTACGCCCTCAGGAACAGGCATATAGACACGGCGGTGGTGCTCGGCAAACATGAAGACTCATCCTGGACCCCACTCATGCGCGCGGCTCTCGCTGGGGACATCACAACAGTCAAGAAGTACCTCTCGGACAAAGACAAGAAGAACAGCGACGGCGAGACTGCGCTGACCATCGCCGCAAGGGCGGGGCACAAGGACGTCGTCGAGCTCCTTGATCCCACAGATGAGAATGGAGTCACTGCCCTCATGAGAGCCGCCGATAGAAACGATCCAGTAGCTGCAATGGCACTTGCTCCCCTCCAGGCAGGGCAGAGGGCGTCTGGATATTTCTATATAGGAAACCAGAGCATATACAATGTAACAGCTCTTATAATAGCAGCGGCACATAGCTACGCAGATATAGTGGAGCTACTCCTAGAGAAAGAGGGAGGCATGTATGATACTTCTGGACGGACAGCCCTCATGAGGGCAGCAGCGAATGGCCACCTAGAGTGTGTGAGACTCCTCGCAGAGAAGGAGAAGAACATAAACAGGAGTAGTCTCTTGGACATAGCCGAGGGCAATAGAGAGATGATGGCCCTCCTCTCAGAGTAGCCAGAGTAAACAACTATCGCCTCTACATCAGACCTTACACATCAGAGCCCCGCCACGCAGCAGGACTCCGGGGTCAGCAGCCTCTAGCGCGGGAGCGAACGCGGCTCAGGGAAGTCGGCAAGCCGGCTCCGTAACCTCGGGAAAAGGAGTGGCTCTGACGGCGCGCCGGGTCAGAACTGGAACGGACGCGGGGATCCCGACTGTTTACTAGAAACACAGCGTCGCGAGGGCCGCACCCGGCGCTGGCGCGACGTGATTTCTGCCCAGTGCCACGACCGTCACCGTGAAGCGATCCGCCGAAGCCCTGGTAAACGGCGGGAGTAACTATGACTCTCTTAAGGTAGCCAAATGCCTCGTCGGGCAATTTCCGACGTGCATGAATGGACCAACGAGGATCCCACTGTCCCGAGCCGCGCCTCCGCGAGCCTCCAGCCTCGGGAACGGGCGAGGGCCGGCCAGCGGGGCAAGAAGACCCTTTTGAGCTTGACTCCAGCCCGGGCCTGTGGGGCGGGGCGGCCGGCGCAGCGCACAGGGGAGGCCGCGCCCCTGAGACACCCTGACGGCCGCCGCCGCCCCGCTCACCCGGTCGCGCGGGGACCCGCCCGGGCGGGGAGTTCGGCTGGGGCGGCGCGCCTGCTACACCGGACCGCAGGCGTCCCACGGCGGGCTCAGCGAGGACGGAGACCTCCCGCGGAGCAGAAGGGCACAAGCCCGCCCGACCCGCGCCCCCCGTGCCGGCGCGGGCCGCGAAAGCGGGGCCTACCGATCCTTCGCCGCCCCGGCCGCGGGCGCGGAGGTGGCAGAAAAGTTACCACAGGGATAACTGGCTTGTGGCCGCCGAGCGCCCGCAGCGACGCGGCTTTTTGATCCTTCGATGTCGGCTCTTCCTACCGTCCGCGCGCACCGGCGCGGAAGCGTCGGATTGTTCACCCGTTCAAGGGATCGTGAGCTGGGTTTAGACCGTCGTGAGACAGGTTAGTTTTACCCTACTGGCCCCGGGGCCAGAGCACGGCGGGCCAGTACGAGAGGAACGCCCGCCGCGGGCCGCCAGCCCCGCGGTTGCCCGGCCGGGCAGCGCCGCGCCGCCGCGCCCGGGGGCCCTGCGCTGACCGCCTCTAAGCGCGCACCCCGCCTCGCGCCCCGCCCGGCCGCGCGCCCCAGCCCCGTGCCCCGTCGCCGAGCGGCCCCCGCCCGGGGAGACCACCCGGCGCGGCGCTCCTGTACGGCGCAGAGCCCTGCGATCGCCTGAGGGACGCGCCTGCAGAGCGCGGGGCGGGGCGCGCGGCCCACTTGCTCTGGGGGGGTGCGGGGCAGACAGACAGGCAGAGCGCGGAAAGAGAAGATTGAGGGAGTGCAGGGTGCCCCAAGGGGTGGCCAGGGGGCAGTGCACGCCCACCACCGGGTCTGCCTTGCACAGAGAGACCCGTGTGCGCAGGGGGGCGGCGCAGGACCGCAGGGGGCCCGGGGGAGGCGGCCCGGGGGATCCAGACAGAGAGGGCGGCAGGGAGGCCCAGCGCCTCCAGCAGGCCACGCACGACCGGGAGACACGCCCACGTGCGGGGACGGGCGCTGGGGAGGCCCGGTGCAGGAGACCGGGGGACCGCGGGGAGAGCGCGGAAGGACCCCCGGACGGCCCAGAGCAGCCGATCCCCCGGGCCAGTAAACACTCCGGTCTCTCCTGCGGCCTCCTGCGCCCCCGTGGCCCCGCTGCAGCCAGGCGCACGCACAGCACCCGGGGCTGCCCCAGTCGGTCCAGGGCCGGTCGGGGGCCCCTCCTCGGACCGCGCCCTTCCGGGGGGCCGCCCCCCACGCAGTGCCCTCCCGCTGCCAGCAATCATATAGGTTAGAGACGGACCGTATATAGCCACGGCTGCTGAGATCCCCGCGAGAAGCCGTTTCGGGCGGTCTCCCCGGAGAGGGCCCCCAGAGCGCCCGGATGCACAGTCAGCCTCCAATTCGATCGTTTTGCAGTCAAGGGCCTCCCCGGGGCACGGTGGACGGAGAACGAGGGGCGCGGATCTCCCGACCGGCAGGGGAGCCCGGGACACGCGGTCCGCACAGGAGGGTTTGCCGTGATATGCAGTCCTGCAGGGTCCGCCCGGGCTCCCCGGCGCTCCCCGCGGACCGGCCCCCCGGCCCCCCGGACGCCCCCAAGGGATTTCAAAAAAATGTGGTGCAGGGGGACTCCAGGGGGTGTGTGGGGGCGGCTTCGTCACGCACTATATAGGACAAGGTGCTTTATCTCGCGAGGGCCGGTTTTTTGGAGGGGGGCAGAGGGCCCCAAGGGAATCCAAAAAAGTGTGGTGCAGGCGGACCCGGGCCGGGCTGTGGGGGGCGGCCTCCGCCCGGCACTATAGGGGGGACCCCCGACACGGCATGGGCACGGAGGGGGCGGCCCCCGTGCCAGGCGGCGGCCCCCGCGCAGGGAGGCGCCCGGCCCGCGGCGCCCGCGCCCGGCCATCCGGTCGATCCTGCCGGAGCGCGACGCTCTCCCCAAGGACGAAGCCATGCATGCCCGCTCACCCGGGACGCGGCGGACGGCTCAGGACAACGGTTGCACCCCCCGCGGCGGTCCCTGCTAGCCGGACACCGCTGGCAACCCGGCGCCAAGACGTGCGCGCAAGGGCGGGCGCCCGCGGGCGAGCAGCGTGACGCAGCGACGGCCCGCCCGGGCTTCCGGGGCATCACCCGGTCGGCGCGGTCGCGGCGCGCCGAGGGCCCGACGCCTGGCGGAGAATCAGGGTTCGACTCCGGAGAGCGGGCCTGCGAGACGGCCCGCACATCCAAGGACGGCAGCAGGCGCGGAACTTGCCCAATGCGCGGCGCGCGAGGCAGCGACGGGGAGCGCGCGAGCGAGGCGGGCCCACAGCCCCCGCCGCGGAGCCGAGGGCAAGGTCTGGTGCCAGCAGCCGCGGTAATTCCAGCTCGGCGAGCGTCGCGCGGCGCTGCTGCAGTTGAAACGCCCGTAGTTGGCCCCCCGCCGCCACGAGGAAACGGGAGCGCTCCAGGCAGGCCCGTTGGACCCGCCGCGTGGGACCGCGCAGCGGGCGCGGCGCGCCGCGGCAGCCCCGAGGAGAGCGGGCGGGGGCACCGGTACCGGCCGGGGACGGGTGAAACAGGATGATCCCGCCGAGACCGCCGGCCGCGCAGGCGCCTGCCAAGACCGCCTCTGTCAATCAAGGGCGAAGGCCGGGGGCTAGAAGGCGATCAGACACCACCGTATTCCCGGCCGTAAACGGTGCCGCCCCGCGGCCGGCGCGCGCGTCCCGCCGGCCGCCCAGGGAAACCGGGAGGCTCCGGGCTCTGGGGGGAGTATGGCCGCAAGGCTGAAACTTGAAGGCATTGACGGAGGGGTACCACCAGACGTGGAGTCTGCGGCTCAATCTGACTCAACGCGCGCACCTCACCAGGCCCGGACGCGCGGAGGACCGACAGCCGGGCGCGCTTTCGCGATCGCGCGGGCGGTGGTGCATGGCCGCTCCCAGCCCGTGGCGCGAGCCGTCTGCTCCATTGCGACAACGAGCGAGACCCCGGCCGCGGGCGCCGCGGGACGGCCCGCGCGAGCGGGAGGACGGCGGGGCGATAGCAGGTCTGTGATGCCCTCAGACGCCCTGGGCCGCACGCGCGCTACACTGGCGGGGCCAGCCGGCGCCCGCGAGGACGCGCGGAGCCCCCGCCGTGGCCGGGACCGCGGGCTGGAACGCCCCCGCGCACCAGGAATGTCTTGTAGGCGCCCGCCCCCACCGCGCGCCGGACGCGTCCCTGCCCCTTGTACACACCGCCCGTCGCTCCTACCGACTGGGCGCGGCGGCGAGCGCCCCGGACGCGCGAAGGGCCGCGAGCCCCCGCGCCTGGAGGAAGGAGAAGTCGTAACAAGGTATCCGTAGGTGAACCTGCGGATGGATCCCTCGCGCGCCCCGCGCGTCGCCCCCGCGGCCCGGTCGGCCCCCGAACGCCCCGCCGGCGGATGCCTCGGCCCGGGCGGCGACGAAGAGCGCGGCGGAGCGCGAGACGCGGTGCGGACCCGCCCGCCCCGAGAAGCACCGACCCTCGAACGCAGCGCGCCCCGGCGCCGCCGCCTCGGCGCCCGCCGCGTGCCGCGCGCCGCGCCGCAGAGAGCGCCCCGGGGCGGTCCCGCCGGGCTGCGCGGCCCGAGGCGGCGGGGGCGACGGGCGGAACTTAAGCATATCAGTACGCCCCGGAGGAGAAACCAACCGGGATTCCCCGTAGCGGCGAGCGACGCGGGAGGAGCCCGCCCCGAAGGCGCGCTGTGGGGCGCAGGCGCAGGCCCGCCGCGAGGGGGCCCGAGGGCCCCGCCCGAGAGGGTGCAAGCCCCGTACGGCGGCCGCCGGGCCTGCGCGGCGAGTAGCGCTGCTTGAGCGTGCAGCGCGAAGGGAGGCGCGGCCCTTCCAAGGCTAAATACGCCCCGGGACCGATAGCGGACCAAGTAGCGCGAGCGAACGGTGAAAAGGACGCCCTGCGGCCGCTCAAAAGACCTGAACCCGGCCGGCCGCCGGCCCGCCGGCCCCGTCTCGAAACACGGACCGAGGAGCCACGCGCCGCGGCGAGCCCGAGGGAGCCCCCGCGGCGGAGCGAGCGCGAGACGCCCCGGGCCCGCCTGCCCCTGCGGGCGTGCGCGGGCCGAGCCGCGGCGCGTGGGCCCGAAAGGCGGTGATCTATGCCCGGCGAGGGCGAGGCCGGGCGAAAGCCTGGTGGAGGCCCGCCGCGGTGCTGACGCGCAGATCGCTCGTCGGAGCCGGGCATGGGGGCGAAAGACTCATCGAACCGCCTGGTAGCTGGTTGCCTCCGAAATGTCTCCCAGGACAGCCGCCGCCCCGCAGTTGCGGCCCGTAGAGCGCTGGCCGGCGGGAGCGGGGGGCCTGCCCCTCGCCCGCCCCCCAAACTCCGAAGGGCCGCGCCGCCCCGCCGCTGGCCTGGGCGGGGCGGGCGAATGCGGGCGGCGCGTGGGCCCCTCCTGGTAAGCAGGACGGGCGAGGCGG